AAACAAATTTGCTTTTTTTCCCTTTTTTTTTTAAAATAAAAGCTGATTTTATCTGAAATTTGCTGTTTTCTGAATTTTCGATTTCTAAAAGTAATCCCCAGAGATTTCCCTTGATTGTTGTCGTTGATTGAAAAGAGAAAAAAAAGTCTGGAGGTCATTAATTAGAGTTCTGAAGAGAACATTCAACACGTAGATCTTGGGGTAGAAATGAAGTTTGGTTTAGAGTTGAAACAAACAAGCCGATCCTTTCTCTGACCATTTCCCTTTAATAAATTTGATTAAAGCCTTTCCCCCATTGAAAGACACTCGCACCCAATTCTATTAAAAGAAAAAAAAAGTGAAGATAGACCATAGAATTCGTCCAGATTTAAATCTTTAAACTTTGGAGGTGGAGGTGTTTTTTGGAAGTGTTTGTGAACTCGAAGTGGGCCTTTCATTAAAGAATTAAATACTAGAGCTTTCTTTTTATGTTGATCTTCTAGTATTCTAGTAAGAGATAAGACTCTATCCTGGCGGTAATGGGATGTGTCATTGGTAGAGCGTTCGTCCGGTAAGCTCATTGGTAGAGCCTTCGTCCGGTCAGCGAGCGAGCGAGGTAAGGTCCGCGGCTTCGAATCCTGGCTCCGCCCATTTTTTAGATTCCCAAATCCAACCCATAAAACGATCAGGTCTAACACTAACTCCTTGTAATTGTTATAAAGACTAACTGAACTGAAACTGAACCCATAAAATGACATCAAAAGTTGATTTCTATTTTAACACCGTTTCTACATGTCCACTATACAAGGGGAACCCCTCTAATCACCCGTTTTTATCGATGAAACATCGAATGTAATAATTTGTGTCTCTTTTTAATGTACATATAGTATTGCACTCTACAAAAGTATGCTTACGTACATATTGCACATATTGCACTCTACAAAAGTATGCTTTTGTTAAAAACCAAGAGTTAACAGTTTATACAACATATATTTAAAATTTAAAATCTACGACTATTTTTCTATTAAATTCGCTAAATAATTTGTGCAAGAATTTAAAAATTCAATTTTTTTTTTTTAAAAATACATTTATTGAAAACCAATAATGTGATACAAACAAAGGGTACATAATAAGACATAAAGGTTAAACACACAATTTTATGGCACTGCGGCCGTTCTCACCCCTATTACCCAAATGTTGTGAAAGAAAAAACCCACTTGGTGGGAAAAAGAAACATTTTTATCTTGCCAGAGTGATTGAACCCTCGACCTTCCGCTTAAGAGACAAGACTCCTAACCGGTCGGCCATGTGCCATGTGGCAATTGTTTCATATAAGTCTTTAAGCGTTTGTAATAATGGAGTTTAGAATAATAATTTATTTCTTTATTTTCTGTGATCGGGTATTGTATAAAATAAAAAGTTTCCCCACGAAGCGAAACGTTTAGCAAAGTTTACCACTTGATTTCTATATTTTCTCTTGTTTTCATTTGTTTACACGATACGGCACGTATAGTTTTGCGCTTTAGAAAAGGAGAATTTTCTCAAAAATCAAAAAAGTTGACAATTTTTTCGTTTAGATATTTAAAATCTACATTTTTTTTTTCACTAGATTCATGAGTTTTTGTAAAACTTTAAAATTTCATTCGTTTCATATATATATGTCGTAGCCGCTAACGAATGATTCGTTAACGGCTAGCCGCTAACGAATGAAATTTTTCGCTAGCCGTTTACGAATGATTCGTTAGCGGCTAGCCGTTAACGAATCATTCGTTAGCGGCTGAATTTCGTTAGCGGCTACGACATATATACTTTATCCGACAAGGAAAAGTGACAATGCAAACAGATTGAACAGCGTAGACGAAGAAAGATAATTGATATACAAACACAACTACAATTAGACACGTGTATATATGACATTAAAAACTAATTTAAAATTGACAGAGCTACAAGATCGAGATATAAGACTTTAAACGTGATTGCTGCCGAAAAAATAAAAATTGTCAAAGATGTGCCCATTTTTGTTAGTCAAAATAACCTCGCGTTTGCAATAATGGAGCTCAAAAAGGAGCTTATATGAAACAATTGAATTTTTAAATTCTTGCACAAATTATTTAGTGAATCTAATGGAAAAATAGTCGTAGATTTTAAATTTTAAATATATAAAAAACTGTTAACTCTTTTGGTTTTATAAGAAAAGCATACTTTTGTAGAGTGCAATATGTGCAATATGTACGTAAGCATATACTTTTGTAGAGTGCAATACTATATGTACATTAAAATGAGACACAAATTATTACATACTTTTATAGTAATTAACTCTAAAAAAAAGTATTTATGCAGAAAAAGATGGAAAAGACGACTTTTAGAAAACCCAAACACGACTTTAACTTTTTTTTTTAGCAGCATTTCTTGTATTGCTTGGCTAGGGTTGTCAAAGTCGTTAAAAATTTGACACTTCTTCTATTCTTCTATTACGCTTAGATTTTATGATTAATTGCTGTTTTTCAGCTTAAGTTAATGCATTATCTTAGAAAGCCAAAAGCCAAAAGAAAATCCATTAAGCACAACACTGCAGCACCCTGTAATTTCTGTCCAATTTTGATGTACCTTTTTGTTTGCATCAATGGGACTTCTGCCCAAGAGAGAGAGAAAACATTGATTGCCCTCTGGGGAAATGTCTCTTTATTTTTCTTCAGATAATAGGCATCTCTCCAAAAAAATGTGACGTGATTCTTTGAAGAGATAATCGAGAAAGAGCTGAGTGAGTGAGAAGAGTTAGTGGCGCGTGCCGGGTGATTTCAAATTAAAATTCCCTTCATTTCTATTTGTGAATTGATGAAAGAAAAAGGTGCGATAGCCTCTATGAATTTCTTTTACATTTCACGAAACTTTGCAAACGCAATTAGTTTTTTTTCTTTTTGAAAATGCTCGCGGAAATGAGAAGGCCAAGGAAAAGAGCTCGTCTAAGGTCTTAAGACTTTTCATTCTACTCATCTTCTTTCAGCTTTACTAGATTCTAGAAGTTTTGATGAACTTTAAAGGTTGCAAGATCTTTCCTAAAATCCTAGTAGACTTTCCTAGAGTTTCAAAAGATTACAAAATGCTAATAGAGTTGGTAAAGTTGAAAATTTTCTTTCTTTGGTACAGTCTTGTCAGCCATGTTTTGCCCATTCTTCAGCTTTTTACTTTAAAAGTTAAGAGAATTTCGACCTCCTCAATGGCCCCAGGAGTCTTTTTTGACTGAAGAGCAAATTTTTCAGCCGTTCCTCCGTTTTCCTTTCCTTTTCTTTTAGTCCTTCTTCCCATTTTGACATGAAGCCAATTTCTTCTCGCTCACTTCTTTTTTTTTGAACATACGAATTCGCAAAAAAAAACAAAAAACAATTTCATTTCTCTGTTCAATTTATCTATGAAACTTGCGCTCATGTTTTATGAAAGTAAAGCTCATTCAAGTCATTGGACATTCATTTCTTTTTTTGTCATTTGTCAAGTGATTCGAGACATATGGACAAGGGAGGGGAAAGAAGAAACAGCTCAATGTGGACGATTCTCAAGCTTTTTCTTTTTTCTCGTCTTTTTCAGGTTCAAACAGTATTTCTATACTGTTTACAGTATAGAAATGTATTCAGTATGCAGTTTCTATACTGCAAACGTATGTAGTATACAGTTTCTATCTTGTTTTCTATACTTTGCAGTATGGAAATTTCTTCAAAACGATTTCTAGTACAGGTTTATGTGTGGGTGGTCGGTGGACAAATGGAAGGGTGACATGAAAGAGGGATCTCATTGCTTCTCCAAATGCATACCGACCTCGAGCGGGCCATCTCTTCGGACATGAATTATTCGACGAGAACGCTTCGAGCCCTCCACCTCTTTTACCCCCGATTTCCCGTCCCGTGTACGACCCGACATTTCCCCTTTTTTCTCCCTGTACTACCCCCGTCTCGAAAACAATTCATTTCCTCTTCATAAGCTTTTAAAATTCTAAATTTCCTTGTCTAACTTTTGAGAAAACTCTCGGAACTTGTGAACGTAATTGCTTTATGATTGCCATTTGTTGAGACTTGAATAGCCATATTGTGTTTGCCTTTTACCTTGAATCGTGTTACTTGAATTTAGCGAAACATTGTCGACAAATTGAGATTCGAGCTTTTTTTTGATTTCAATATTTTCATCTTTTCTTGATCAAGCTAATGATTTTAGTATAAATTTCTGTGAAGAGGGGGTGGGGCTTTAAGGGCCACTTCCTGTTGGTGGGGCTTCCGGTGGGCGAAACGCGCTCGATCGGATGAGAGGCCACAGAAAGGCCGACGACATATCGCTTTGTTGCTTGCATAACTCAATTTCCTACCCAATGAATGCCGCTGTTAGCTCTATTTTTTTCCTTCATCAAATATTTCCAACAGCGAGTTCGTTTTCTTTCATTTCTTTTCCTCAAATTAATTTAATTTTTTTTCTTTGAAGGAGCTTGAAAATATTTTTATTTACGAGATAATTTTAGAAGAAGCGAAAAGATTTACCTTAGAGTTTAAGAGAAAAACATTTGCCCTTCATCATAAGGATGATTAAAAATAAGTAAAGCGATGCCGATCAGGAAATTCATAAAAAAAAGGTAGTAAGGAGTAGTAAAGAGAAAAGAAAAGAGTGGAAAAATGGGGGATATATTGAAAGGGAACGTGAAGGGGAGAGTGTTATGAGCTATCGGGAGTCCGCACCCGAAATTTCCCCGGAAAAACACCCGCACCAGGCCATCGGGCTTAGCCCATCGAAATGACGAATCTTTTGCCTCGATTTTTATGTTCCACGTGTTACCCAAATTATCTCATTTACTTCTTTCTTGAGCTCTTTCTGAAATCTTTCTGATTTCCCATACTTGCTTTTGACCAGCTCTCATTTCCGTCTCATTTCCTCTTTCTTGTGTGGAGTCTTTTTTTCAGAAATGTTATCCTCAATTTGTTCTCTATTTCATCAAGGGTTTTCTTTATGAAAAGAATTTCTATAATTAGATTGTTAGAGAAGAAATGCGAAAATTCGAAAGCGATCGATTGAGAGCTTTGTTCCTGTTTGTGTGCAGGTAGGAGATGCAGATACGAGTTCATTTTTTAAGGATTTAACTCGAGGGTGGTGAGGTGTGATTCCGCTCTCGGTGCCTTTAAGACTCTCATAGACTCTCATAGATTCATTTTCATGCGTCAACGAGTTTTTCATCAAGATTAGTAAAGAAAAACGTTTGGAAAATCATTTTTAAAAAAAGGTATTTTAGTTTAACAACATTGACGTTGGCTGACTTGCATCCAATCTACAAAATGATCGAAACGAAATCGATTCCAACAGTAATAAAGTTGAAAGAGGGTTTAGCTAAAAAGATTTTTAGCCTTATCCTGGGAAACCATTGGACGTACATGTTGGATTCTATGTGGAAAGTCTTGGAAATTTTCAAAGTACAGAAATGGTTGGTTGAAAGGGAGTCGATTCTATCGAGTATCGAATCTAAAAACCTTTATTAGTCTGCTGATGAATAGATCTAAAGCAATTTTTTGAAGCTTTTTCTTTCTACAATCTTTATTTTATTTAGACTTTTGATATGGATTTGTACATGTATATGTCGTGGGAGGATCCAGTGATGGCACACAATGGCACTGATTACGTTTTAATCAATGGTCGGTCATTTGATAGTCATTAGATGGAAAGTAGATCTGTGATTATAAAATTTAAACAAAAGTTTAAGCTTTATAGAGCATGTAAAGTGGCTAGTTTATATTGGGTTGGTGAATTGAAAACTGCTGGACTTTGAACTAAAATTTATTGAACATAAAACCATAAATTCATTCCAAATAATTTCCATTATTATTGACGACTTGTGCCCATTTTACAAGCAATTTGCGGATTCCTCTTTCGTAGTAGGATTTTGGTTTGTGTGTGAGTGTGTGTGAGACAAAAATGGAGGACTGGAGATGTCCCAGTTTGAGCACTTTCTTCAAAAGAAACCCATTTTGGGGTCAATAGAAAATTTGTAGAGAATCAAAAACTAGGCTTATAGCCAAATTTCCAAAAAGATATACTTAGTAGTTTCGCTTCAAATGCAAGTTTTGTGAAAATTTGGCATTTCTTTTGTGTAAATTTGGCATTTCTTGAAAACCAGTTTTTGAATCGTTCTGAAAATTTGGATATAAGCTTGATTTTTGATTCTCTACAACTTTTCCATTGACACCAAAATGGGTTTCTTTTGAAGAAAGTGCTCAAACTGTCACATATGACAATAGCCGGCAGTTTTCAATTCACCAACCCAATGGTTTTCGAAAAAAAACTAACTAACACTTTCCTTACTAATGTTTAGTTTTCAGGGCCAAGTAAGTGTTTTCCCCGAAAAAAAAAGGATTCGTGTGAGACTTTTGTTGAGAGTGTGAGATCTCTCTCCTTCTATCTCTATGACTTTATGTTGTTTTTTTTCAAATCGGTTTTCTTGAAAGAGATCTAGGATAAGCATGTAATAAGAATTGAAAGATAATCAATAAAATCAAGATTGACAATTGCATGCTCAAGCTGTACTTAAGATAGGTTTCGAGTAAAGAAAATCCCTAGAAAAATCTCAAGAATGATGCATGTGCTTTTCTTTATCTTAAACAAGCTTTAAATACATCATAATGCATCATGAAAAAGTTAATTTATAAAAAAATCTATAATTCTATAATTTCAGTACATCTGTCAGTGATGCGAGTGGGAGGGAAAAGTTTTAAAATAAAATTTCAGACAAAGAAGTTCTTACAAGGATGTGGTTACCTGATCTCTACTTTGCCAATGCGAGAACAGCTTATTTTCATGAAGTCACTGTGCACAATTTCAACATGTTCATCAATCCGAAAGGAGTTATCGCATATGGGACAAGGTTCGGCTTAAATTTCATTGGCCCTTTTATGGATTGGAACTGAGAATACAAAAAATGGCCGGCACCTGGACTCGAACCCGCGGATCTTGCCTCGGTCACTCGCCTACCATTCCTAATGTATCCCATTGCCGCCAAGATAAGGCCCTAGTAAGGACTCGCAAGAGAACGGTCTCAGCTCAAAGTTCGGAATCGACTGGAAACACAGTGCATAACATAGAATCGGCATGGCGAACAAAACACCACAAAAATTAGCCGCTAATAGCCACGGAAACGGAATGCATACACCCCCCCCCCGGGCCCCGGGTAAAGGCCCGCCCCAACGCCTCGGTTGCCCGGGTTCAATTCTGCAATGTTTTTTCTTTCTGACTCCCTTGTCTTGAGCTTTTTTGGAACTATTTATCACTGAAGCATTTTCAGAGTGACTCTAAATGTTGCTTGTACGTTGGATTTGAAAGATTACCCGCTCGACTCTCAGCAATGTTTCATCAAGATTATCTCTTGTAAGGAAATTTTTGCGCAAAAAAACACAAGTTTTCAGATGCTCATGTTAAAGATGAGATGAACGCCACTTGGTTTAATGATGGACCGATTCGATTCAATCCAGAAATTGGTGAGTTTAATGGAGTCGAATCAAAAATAGATCCGAAAATTTCGATTTCAGGATTGCCCGAATACCATATCACCGGACTTGAACATACCACTTGTAATGGGGTTTTTCATTACACGATCACGCACAACTCGAGTCGAATTGGTGAGTTTAAAAGGCATCAAACCTCATATTGCCTCACGAGATTCTACAGTTAAAGCATAAAGATTTGCTCGCATAAAATCAAGACAGCAAATCTTTGTGCTTTAAGAAATAAACACTTTCTGGCACACTATTCTTCGTTTGAAATGAATGCCTTTTAGGAGATTTCTCTTGTTTAATGGGCATTATCAAATTGGATCGAGCTATTGGCTACCATTTGGTTCAGGTATTGTTCATACTTCAATTTATTGATTTAATTGCACTTCTTTCTTTCTCTTCTCTCTTGTATTTCCTCTTTCTTTGGTAAAAAGATACCAAATAGCTCAATGGTTAGAGAATTTGAGCGAAAATTCGAGGCTTCAATCCCCTCTCCGGGAATCGACTTTTCTTGCCAATTCCTTCAATCTTTTTTGGAATCTTTCTTTGCCATTCCTTACTTTATTATCTTCTTAGTCATACATTCCGACTGGATTGATTGTTGCCATTTCATGGGTATCTTTCTGGATCGATAGGAGAGCGGTAAATTCTGACACTTTTTTTTGATTACTATCGATTTCGGATAGGTACCAGCTCGAGTTTCCCTTTCATTCACCACTCTTCTCACTCTATCCACACAGGGAAACGGTATTCGATACGGTTTACCGCCAGTTTCCTACGCAAAAGCGATTGATTACTTTTATGGAGGTTAGTTACGAACAAGATTGAATAAAAACCATGAACAACTTTCAATTTTCAGTTTGCATGTTATTCATCTTTGGCGTTTTGCTAGAGTTCGCACTTGTGAATTCGTACATGCGAAGGGCAAACAAGTACAATTATATGGCCGAAAAGATGCAACAAACCAGTGGCGGTGGTGGTGGATCGACAAGGTCGAGGCACAATGATGCGTGCGGGAATGGTGAGTTTTGGATTCAAGCCCAAATTGCTTAAAGGAAGAGTTGATTCTCATTAAAACCAAATTGTAGACAGCTAGGTGTAACTATCTAATTTTTGATGAGGTTTCATGTAGAAATCGATTTATCAATTATCAGGTATTGAAAGATGAAATCAACTTTGCAAAATCATTTCAACCTTGGGTATTTCAACTAGTTTTGGTTCCGGGATGTAGAATTTCTAGCAAAAATACAGCCAGACTTGAGCCAAAAATTAGCCCCCGTAGTTTGAGGACGCCCAAAGTGACGAAGTCGACTCAGTCGCTCCTTGTTCCTCCCTCTTTGCTCTTTACGAATGCCAAAAAGGGAAGCCCCCCTACACCTGGGTGGTTTCCCAGATGGAGAGCGATTATCCGGCCGCACAAAGAACACCTTGCCAGTCATTTGCATACGGATGTTTCTTTTGCCTTGTAGATGGCACAAAAAGAAGACATTGAGCTGTAAATTTGTAGCCGGGGGTTTTCGGGACCGGAGAATCGATTGGAGCTATTCATTTTATTGAGTCTACCAATCGAAATTCGGGTTTAATAATAAACTTTTAGAGAAACTCGAAAACTTATTAGTCTATCTTGGAGAGGAGATTCGCGGCTTTCAAATGATGTTTAATAGTCATATTCTTAGAAATTTACCATGTTATAAGTTAGATATTTTAAAGCCTTACGTTTTCCATTATAAAAATATATAAAAGTTAACAATAATGTTATATCTAGAGAAAGTTCTGAACCTTCAAAGTGTGATTATTCATTCAAATGTCACTTTAACTCCACAAGTGTCGTGACGATCTCGTGATCGAGATTGCCACGTATGGAAATGGCCAGCTAGACACTCTTTTAACTCTCTTTTAACTCACTCGAGTCATGTCAAAAAAAAAGTCATTGTAGCATAAATTTATACATAAATCTGTAGAGAATAAATAAAACTCAAGAAAATATTGATAGACTCAATAAAATGAATAGTGCCGATCGATTGAGCGATCGACTTCGTCCCTTTGAGTGTCATTACCGTATTTCTTCGAATAGAAGACCGGGTAAAGAGTATCATCGCGTACTCCTGCGTAGCAGCCCTTTTTAAAATTTCTTTTCTGCATAAAAGCTTTCAATCAAGTGCTATAGGGCTGGAAAATGGCTCAAAAATCTGTTAGCTCATGTGGTATTTTTGAGTCATTTTCCAGCCCTATAGCACTTTCATTGAAAGCTTTTATGCAGAAAAGAAATTTTAAAAAGGGCTGTTACGCAGGAGTACGCGATGATACTCTTTACCCGGTCTTCTATTCGAAGAAACACGGTATATGCAAATTCCTGGGATTCTTGTTCAAATTTTTCTACATTTTTTGCTACATAATGATTAAACTAAATCGATTCCCAAATCCCGTCAACTAAGGAAACTTTATGCTTACAGGTAGCACGGATTTCGACTCGGATTCGAGCCCGCAAAAGCCTCTCAATCACATGAATCGAAACGCTGCTCATTTGATCTACAAGGTAAAAAATCCTCATCAATACTTAAGCTTTTTCAACCATTTATGATTTCCATAAAAAAAAAAATAAGAAACTTAGCTTAAAATAAACTCTGTCAGAGTGCAATCCATATGAGTCCCGGACAGCGCCGGAGTTTTGGGATGAGCATGCGCGAGGTATTTCTACTTTCTCCTCATCACTCTTTTTGTTCAAAACCTTTCCAAAAAAAAAACAAAACTCCCTTTTTTTTAGATAAAAGCCTACTATGAGAAAACGGTACAGAGTTTTTTCTTGAGTATAATTACCATTCTTGATTACAATTGCACGAAAATGTATGTTGCGTGTTCTATAGACGAAATGAGAATGGCGGCTGCTGTGAAAAAGAAATCCGACAATCAAAAAAAAAAACAATTTGCTTAATGAGTTGGAAAGAGCTTTCAGTTAGCGCTAATTTTCAGTTAGCGCTTTCCGTTAGCGCTTATGCTCGTTTTCAGAGCACAAAAATCACTAGCATCGTTGTGATTTTTAAGAAAAATGAAAAGTGAAACATTTTAGTCGATGAAGTACTCGCGGAAAGCGCTCGCAGTCGATCAAATCTCTCGATTTGCATTCCCAGGTAAAGCTTTTATCCATTCAACTCTTCTAGACTATATAAAAAGCCAATCAAAATAAAATTTAGCTATTTTTGCTTTCTTCAACGTGATCTACTGGATGTACTATTTGAAAGAGCGACCGGTAAAAGCCGAAGATATCAAAGTCTGATGTAATACTCGATTTTTCTAAATCTTATCCTACCTTACCTTTCAAAATATTCAAAACATTATTTCAAAAAAAAAATCCAGCTAAGAATTTCTTGTGTAAGTGCCTTACTTTGTTCGGTTAAATGTTTTCTTCTTTTTCTCTGAAAGCATGCTTCATTGATGATCTCATTAATGATTTGAATCATTTCTCATTTATTTCTCATTGATGATCTCAAATATTTTTCTCATTTTTATTAGAAACTAGGTGAAACTAACTGCTTTAGCCTTTTTTCGGGTCATTGTTATTCTTTTTAATAGTTGATTTGCTTTATTGATGAGTAAATTTGACCTTTACAACAGTACGGAGTTTAAAAAAAATCGCTTCTAAACAAATGGCATACGATTACAAAGCGATTAAACAACTACCTAGCAAAAAAAAATTGTTAGTAAAATATGTTGAAAAGTTAGTTTTTAAAAGATGACAGACTGCTTCTTCTTCTTAAATGGCGCTTCTTCTTCTTCTTCTTAAATGGCCTAAGATCACAAACTGTAAACAACTTAAATGTTCTTAAAGTTATTGTAAAATCTAAGCACGATTAATACAGTATATCTAACGATACAAAAATGTCAAGAGCAATATTTCACAAGATATTGACTCATCGAGAAACAAGTTTCGCTACTAATCCTCAAAAAATCCGACCTCTGGTCAAAATTTGTACTCAAAAAACTGTCCATCGCTCATTGAGTTTATTATCGAAAAAAAGACGTCTCTGTTTACTTTTCGAATCTATTGACAAAACCCAGAGCATTGCGAAAATCTTTTAAAAGCCTTCCGTAAGAAACTTATCGAAAACACTTTTTTAAAAAGTTGATATTCACAATGAAACTCGTCGCATTATTGTTCTTTGTTTTGATTAGTTGCTCGACGTGTAAAGCCGATTGGTTGAATGATGTTTTCGATTGGCTGAACAACGCTGCACAAGATGTCAGAATTGGGTTTCCCCTTTGAGAATTGAATGTTCTTCAAGTTATTGTAAAATCTGAGCCCTCTTAGCTTTTACAATAGTCTTGTTCAGCAAGATTACAGACAACAAATCCCATTTTCAGTCCAGCGATTGGGTACAAGACAAAGCGATTCCGAGTGTCGAAAATGCAGTCACCACTGCCCGAAACTGGGTAAGGATACATTAAAAATAGCTTTTGAATGCCTTGACACAATTCGTTTTGAATTTATGCACGAAATTTCTATTAATAATCAATAATTTGATGAATTTGCAGTTAAAGAACCGCGATGACGATGCAAAAAATTGGCTTGACAAGAACGTTTTTGATTCGGATTCGGAGAATGGGGAAAATTTCAATCAAAACCCAAACAACAACTACGAAAACTCGAGAAATCAACCCTACAATCCTCAATTCAATGACGATCTGAACAATAATGAAGATCTGAACAACAATGACTACTCAAATCGATATAATAATCGAAGAAAGTAAATGAGAAAGTCAATTTCGCTCAGTTTTATTCGATGAATATATGAATAAAGTTTTTTTGTTTCTATCATGGATTTAATAGAATGTTTCAAAATTGTAAAGGGCAGGCAACCTATCCCTCTTTTTCGAGATTTATTCAAAGTTAATCCCACGGTTAGTTCAAGGAGAGGTTCTTTCGTTTTAGAAATTTCAGTCACCTCCAATAAGTTTGTTTATAACTCTTTTCCAATAAGAACTGCCAGAATTTGGAATCGACTCCCCAGAGTTTTGAGAGAGTCCAATAGTCTCGAAACCTTTAAATTATCTGTAGATGATCTTGATCTTGAAGCTCTAGTGGATCCTTGACGTTATCTGTGCTACCCACATTTTACATATATTATATCGTGTTTCTTTTTATCGGCCCTTTTCGTGTTATGTGCATGAATTCATGTGTTTTAATCTTAAATCTCGCGCACTTTATCTCAGGTCCTGAATAAAGTATCTATCTATCATTTGATTCATTGCAAAAAGGTTTATTGTTTTGTAAGAATGAAAAACTAAAAAATCTAGATGAAGAAAGACAAATTATTTGCAAAACCCAAGACAATTTACGATCGATTAAATGAAATCGAGAGAAAAATTCGATTTTGAACATTTGACAATTCGAAAAGTTGAGAATTTAGAGGAGAATTAACATTTTCGTAACCGTAAGTGCAAAATCTCAAGCATATCAGGAATGTGTTTTTTTTGCTTCAGAATGAGAAAATGAATGCAAATCAAAATAAGACCAAAAATAAGAAATGAGAAGAATTTTTTCTAATACCAGTGTTTTTTTTATTACAGAATACTTGCCGGGAAACCGGGATCGAGAAAAAAAACCAAAAAAAAGCAAACACGAAAACTAGTTGTCCTCACTTGGTGGTTGCCTTCGCAACAGATTCCACGACTTGCTCTTTCGACTGTTCGCTTAATTTGAAATGTTTAGTGAAAATTTTATGGAGTTGTGTATGTGTAGATTTTTTTTTTGTAGAAACCAAAGTACTCACCGACAAGCATGGGAACTTGATTCATATGAGTGATCTGAATGATACACGGTGGTTGCATCCACGGTTCTCCATCAATTTGCATCGGAAACGGCTTGTGAGTTCTAGAAGTGAGTTTATTGAGAACAAATTTCAACACTGATAAATCGTGATAAACTGATACACTGATAACACTGATAAAAGATAAAATCTGATCAACACTGATAAAAGCACTCACTGAATGACAACGGTACTGCACTGGGAAAGGCGGCGAGCCGCCGCTCGCACTCCGGCTTTGATCTGTCCAATTTGTGTGGCTGACTCGAGTCCGACTACCTGAGAATCTCTGGTCAACATACAGGAATTACTTTCAAAGATTACTACCATCCTATTACTACCATTTACTAAAGAAATTTGACCTCAATGAGACCATCACCGATATCTTGCACTCGATGCTGGAGTCCCCCACCCATGCCTCCTGTTGCAAAGATCAATGGCACTCGGAGACCAGTCGGCTTACGAGATCTTCCTATAAAGAAATCAATGAATTTGCAAAAATAGATTTCCCGAGAGGGGATTGAACCCTCGACTTTTTTCACTCCTTTCCAACCTAACCACTCAGCTATCCTGTACCTTAAATCGCCGAGAGAAAAAGGGAAAGACAAGGGAGAAGAAGAGAAAAAAAGCGATTCTTTAAAGCTATCAAGCAATTCCTTTCCATTTTCTAAGGCTACCCCATAAATTTGATCCTCCATAAATACTGGCAATGTTGAGCAGTGCAATTCCTTCAAGAGTTGGTCCGTTTCCCAAATCGAGCGTCTCTCCATCACACTGAACACTTTTCTTTCCAATAATTTAGATCCATTTTTACCAAGATATCGATTTGCTCATGAAGATTTTTGCAAGTAGCACTCAAGGTTTCAGTTGTTCCCAACTCAAAATACCTGAAAATTGAGTTCTTTCATTTTTGGTGGCCAGATCGACAAACCATAATTTGTTTCGCATTCGACTGTTGAATTTTTCCGGGTATTTCTCTCGCATCACATGAAATCGATGAGCAATTGAGGCGTCCTGAACATTTTTCTATTTAGTAAACAATTTGTTCAACAAACCACTCCAATGCTAAAATAATTGTTGATAATGCTGTATGGTGGTGGATCTCCTTTGTCGGAGCGTTTGCGCTGCTCGATCTTGATCTGCCATCGGTCCATCATCATCTGCAAAAGTTTCTATCCAACCTATATATAATTTCGAAATGTCAATCTGTCCGTCGGAGTTCTAGCGGGTTTTTGGGAAAGCGGAAATGGGCGAAATATGTGCCCCCTGAAATTGTCTTGGGCCCAATGGCCGAGTGGTTGGCGCATTCGTACCCAATGTGAGAGGTGAAGGGTTCGAATCCGCCTCCAGTCAAACATTTTGCTTTTTTTACCAAAAGCTCAAATATAATAGAAATAATCACGAGCAGTCTTCCACTCGCTTGTAAAATTCCCTAATTTTACTTACAGGTTGTGCTTTTTCAATGCTGTGAAGGATTTTCTGAAGGCTTTCATTCTCATAGCCACCTCCCCATCGAAGACATCTAAAGACAAAAGCTAGACTTGCTCAATATTTGTAGCAATAACCTGGCCAGATCATTTCCTGTTCCAAGCGGAAGTACGGCTACTGGCGGTCTTCCATGCTCCCAAGAAATTTTATCTAAATTCATTGAATTGTTTGAATCTTTTTTTCAAGTCACCCATCGCCTCGAGAACCCATCCGATTGTTCCATCTCCACCACACACCAACACATGGCAATTCTGGATTGTGGAAAACAATTGCAAACTGCAAGAGGATTGCTTGTTTTTTTCTTTTATAGCGATGCGTTACCCAGGTTCAGGGCCGGTCTTTGAAATATCATACACTTGTCTTGGATTCAACATGAACTCGAGCTTTCGAAGCACCTGCATTTACAAATTGAATCATTTACAAATCGCTTCGAAAATGAAAGATACAAGCTGATCGTATTCTCAAATATTTTCTTGCTAATAAGGAAAAGTTAAAATCAGAAATAAAATCAATATGTACCAAAAGAACTATCTCACCAACCTTCACTCCCTGTTTCCCTCCACTTTTCGGATTGATCAGACAAAGGAGTGGCCGGCAATGTGTCCCCGGAGAGATTGCCTGAATATTCTATAAAAATTCATACAACATTAGTTTCAAAAGGCTTTTGGTGATTGTTTTTTTTTAAAATTTTCTTTGCAGAGCAGTGCCAGGGTGAAGAGTTTGAAGTAGTGAAATCGATCTCAGCTATCAGGGTGACTTTTTGTGAGTGTGATTCGATGTGATTCGATCCCCAGCTATCAGGGTATGAATTCAGTGTTTAGAAAAAAAAAGTTTAAGTGACTGCAAGAGAAAAGAGCAAGAGGAAAGCGGCAAGCAGAGGAGGAGGGGCCAAATGACCTGGATGAGCTTATATCGGTCGAGAGTCGAAGCACGAGAACGAAGAGTGGGCCGCCTCGGTGATATAGCACTCAATTCCTTGTGTGCCTCGCCCGAGGTGGTCGATGTCGAGGCACGAGGGGTGCGCGGTGAGCAGCCCCCATCCCGCTCCTATCGCCCGTTTTTTTAGCCTAATTTCCATTGTATTTTGTTCTAACCTGTAATAGATTAGTGCTATGTGGTTGTTTAATCGTTTTTCGCTCGAGAAACGCCGGGAAGATGTGCGATGGTGGTAGAATGTGATAGCTGAGTGCACCGAGGTCACAAATGTCCGGCCATTGTGAGAGACACTTCGAGTGCACCTAAACAAAAAAAGAATAAAGTAAAGAAAAAAAAAGGGTTTTCCTTCTGTTTTCAGATTTCTTTATGAATTTGAAGCCTTTTGGCATCTACATTATCGTTTTGACATTCTTTGTAAAGTAAAGATTCGAGTGTGTTCCTCTCAATTTGCATGAGTATTTTTTACTCGATTAATCGACGTTTTTGGTTGAGTAACTATGAGTAAACCTCTTTACACGTCGAGTAAATTGAATATCTTTACATTTGAAGGGGAATTTGCCACCAAATCAGTTAAATGGCTGAATATCTTTAAAAAGAGTCGTATATAAGTCGTCGCTGGTGATTTTTTGCAATAATTTTCGCAAAAAGTACGGTAATTTTTCCTGCGTTGTGCGTTTTAAAAAACGCATTACTCGTGAGGAAAACACTCTAGTAAAGAAAGATTCTAATAGAAGAGCTTTTCTATATTTTTAAGTCTCTTGAAAATTCTTTTTTCGCTGTATTTTTCGCTGAAAAGCCTTAGCTGTATTTTCGAGAGCTCAAAAATTGGTTTTTATTGAATTTTTATCTAGTTTTCGATTTAATTAAGCTTTTTTTTAGTCTATAACTATTATTTAAGGTCTAAAAATTTGAGTATTTTGATATCCGAGAGTTGATAAATCCGAAAAAAATGAAAAATTTTTGTCTAAAGGCTTAGAGAGGGCTCTTCAATTGGAAAAATACGATAATCGAAAAATGAAACTTTACGACAGAGAGCCTTATCTCGTGAAATTATCGATTTCCCTCAAAAAAAAAAGCCAAACCGTGTTGTGGCACCATCGACAGCGTTTTCCCTGAAAAGCGCCCACATTCGCACGACATTTGGCGCATTTCTCAGCCGCATTTGCATCAATCCAATGATGAGCCATTGTGTCCGTTTGGCGGTTGCTGAAAACGTTTTGGAAACTAGGAAACGTCACAATCAGGCATGCAAGCCGAAGAATTGAATATCTTTTAATTTTCAAACAAAAAATCAACAAATCGGGGCAGTTATTTTTTGTCATATGCACCGCTGCCCTATTTGTTGGGTTTTGCTTTGAAAATCAATAGTTATATAAAATTTTCGGCTTTTTTTTTGCCGTTTACAAGCCTGATCAAAATCCATTCAGAAACGCGATACCTGAAAGTACGAATGCAACAAGTCTCCGCGTTTCTCACGCACCGAGAATGCACCGTGTACTTGCAAACTAAATGAACAATGACAATAACAATGACAATTTTCTACAATGAAGCCAGAATTGATGTGAAAATTCACCGGAACAAGAGAGTCCCTGTTTACCGCCCCATCCGACCAGCAACAATTTGCACACGTGACAATAGGTCGGCTTTGAGAAATGACGTAATTTCCATAGATGTGATCCGTCTTCTTTCATTTCCTAAAGGAAGACTTGAAAGTAGGCATAAGGATTTAAGATTTGGATTTTATCATGTTTACGAACACGCTCTAGATCGCAGCTCAAAGACACAAAGACAAACCCGTAGCCGAATGCGAGAAAAATTGTATTTGTGGGCGTTTCGCCGTTTGATCGTCGGCATAAGTTTTCCTCGAGTTTACAGTGCTAATAATATAGTTCTTAGAACAAATTGGAAAGAAGTGAATGAGCTTTTAAAGAAGTGAATGAACTTTTAAAGAATTGAATGGTCAAGAAAGTTTCTGAAAGTAAAGACAAGAATGGGCAGTTGCTATTTTCAAAAGAAATATGACAGTGAAAGGCGTCAAAAATGATTTAAAGTTTCAAATCGTCATAGCCGATGGCTCAAAATTCCGTAAACTTGAATCTTATGCAATTTATTATATAAATTAATAAAAGTAAAGCAAAACTAAAGGAAAACCTTAAGCTAAAACCTCATTAACACATTCGTGAATTTAGCACTTTTTTTAACGCCGATTGGCCCGACATTTGCAATTAAGGATTTTCGAGGATGAGGAATTCGAATCTGTTATTATTTTTTGTTTAAAGAAAACTGCTATTTTTGAATATTTTATTCAGTTTAATTACCCAAGTGCAACTCGACCTCCAGAGCGAAGGTGTGCGATTACAAAAACGTGAAAACTTTCATGTTTACGTAATCGCGTGACTTCTGGCGCACGGCTAATAAAAAAAAAGAATTAGGTCAATTGATTGACTTTTCGCTAAGCTGGAGAATCTGAACTGAGTGCGGGTAATTGTGCGCCACCCTGTAGACAAGTTATTTTCGATAAAGGACAAAACTTTATCTCGTTTTCGCCTTTTTCTCTCCAATTTGATTTAATTACTCAAATTGTTAGAGTTTTGTGCTGATCGTATTGGCTTGAAAATGAAAGTTGCTCAAAAATGAATAACAGATTCAGATTTTCTATCCCAGAATGCCTTTGGTTACAAATTTACAGATCTACAGCTAGCATAGCTAAGCGAAAAATGTCTTTTTCATGAATTTTTTTTAAGAAATATTCGAATGACAGAAGAAATAGTTACATAAAAAAATGTTGTGACTGTGAATCAATGTGAATTGGGGAAGGGGGGAGGGGGAAGTGACAGATTGCTCATAAATTTTGAGCAATGTTTTGCTGTTTTGTGAGTCATTTTGCTCTTGATTGTAGGCGCGGAAAGTTCTTCGGAAAAATCTCTAGGAACGGGCAAAAAGTTTTTCTCGTTTTTCTTTCTCTCTCTCTCAATTTCTCCACACACAATTTCCAAATCATATTATTCAGCTAAAACCCGGTTTCGGTGGGGAAATTTCCATAAACTTTCCCACTATTTTCGAGTTGTTGCGAGTTTTTCTTTTTGCCTTTAATATTTCGAAAAGCAAGAGTTTGGAATCAAAGGAATCAAATCTCAGTGTGGCGAATTGTCAATGATCTGCAGTTAGTCAAAATTTTTATGGATAAACTATCGTAGTCAGCCACTAGTTGATGTTGATGTTGATGGATAAACTACCGTAGTCAGCTACTAGACGATATTCAGTTGTCCGTTTGGCGTAGCTTTTGTACTTAAAAACCCATCATTTAAGCTTTGTCTTGAGTCAGTTGTGTGCTCCTTTTTCTATTCATCCTCATTTCTATTCATTTCTATTCATTTTCACACGCAAGTGTTGAAGTAATTGTGATAGTGTCAGGTTGCTCCAGTTTGAGCGAAATTTGCCCCTAATAAGGGAAAGTTTTGATAAATTGTGCGCTTTCAAGACATCTACCATTAAACCACACCGAGAGACGGCGGTCTCACAAGGAATTTTAAAGATCAAAGTATAAATATATTTCTTACACTCAGACTTTACTAGAAAAAGATACGGTGTCAAAGCCGAGTAGAACGAGTAGTGGAATCGTCGTCATGCCTCCTCGTTTCCACTCGTCCAACGAAACGATTCCATCATTGTCGTAGTCGATTTCGCTCATCATTTGCCGCAAAATCTAGAGATTTTTATATAAAAATTGACTGAAAATCGAAATTTCTAACCGGCTCAAGTTCGCTGGTGTCCCATTGGAGATGTTTAGCCACATTCATCATTTGCTCAATGATTGCCTCGGTTTCCTGGAAACTCTCAAACATTGAAAGAAAAAGAAAGGAAAAAAAACAACCGCTTTATCCAGATATCCATTGCAATCCGAGTCGTAAACGTGGAAAACAACTGAAACTTTTGAAGTTTTACTGATTTTTGCTTTTTCGGGCCTTATTTTTACAAACCTTCAAGTTTATTTTCTGGAGAAGCGCCTTCCAAAAGCTGTAGATAGCAAACAAGCGGTTTCAACGGGATTCTCTGTCCATCAAAATTTTGAATCTATAAATTTGTGTTGATTTTTGACAAAAACGTGAACATCAACCGTTTTATCATCGTGGCTACTCGTAAGCTTTTCGAGTTTTTCACCCAAAGTGTAGAGATTCGTTCGCACTGAGTTTAGAGTATCTTCAAACACTGAGCATCGTCGATCTGATTTTGAGATTTCTTTTGTTTACTTATTGAAGAGAAAAATAAGCTTTTAAAATAAAGCTTTTGTTTGTTTATCTACGATTTTTTATGATTTTAACTGTAGAGTCTGTTGTAGAAGCTTTAGGTTTTAGCTTTTAGGTTTTAGGTGCTTTACAGAGTGGCGCACAATTACCCGCACTCAGTTCAAATTCTCATTTTGAACTTTGATCCCTAATTGAAATTCATCGTTAACTAGTAAAACAATGAGCTAGATTTTGGAAATAATAAGTAAAAAGGAGTAAATGAAGCTGGTTTTCTTCGATTTTGAGGCATTGAAACTAGTTACAAAAGCCAGAAAAGATACTAAATAGCTCAGTGGTTAGAGAATTTGATCGGAAAGTCGAGGCTTCAATCCCCTCTCCGGGAATCTTTCTTTGCCATTCCTTACTTTATTATCTTCTTAGTCAATACATTCGCATTCGCAGGAAACGCGTGTCGCAACTTTGCAGCGCTCTAGCAAAAGTTTAGAAACTTTTCTGATCAAATCCAGAAAAAAACATTGCAGGAGAAATATTCAATTTGATAATAAAAAAAAAAGAATTAGGTCAATTGATTGACTTTTCGCTAAGCTGAAGAATCTGAACTGAGTGCGGGTAATTGTGCGCCACCCTGTAGACAAGTTATTTTAGAAATTTGCCATACTTCTAGTAGTGCTAAAGGCTTAAAAAGATAGAATTTTATAGTACGATGTTATTTTCAAGTAAACCAACCAGGTTGAGGGTTTTTCGAGGTGGGTTTTGCAAGAAATGAGAGAAAGAGCTGCTCGACGAGATCTGGCGGCAGTTCGGCACCAAAATATACGGTAAGAAAATGGCGCATTCCCTCGAAATCGATTGTCTAAAATGCTGAAAATAATCTCCGAACTTTTAGCTAAAGATTGAAATCTACTTTTTGCAACAAACCTGTAAATCATCGGAGAGATATTTATAGAAAATTCCCTCCTGTTCGAACTCGACAAGCATGTCTTTGAGCTGATGAGAACTGTCTGAAATCATGCTTTTCACCATATTCTTTTCCCTTGCGATAGATTTATTTTAAGTATAAAATTTTTTGTATAATAAAATTTGTAATTTATTTCAAACGCACAAGCCGCATATTCGGTGAGTCGGGTGAATTGTTCGGGCGAGAGAAGCATCGCCTCCAATTTGAATTGCTTTCTCTCACTTTTCTTTTCTAAATCTAAACAAAAAAAATTCTTTTAATTTCATCAAATTTCAATTAAAATCAAAAATTTCAATAGAAAGAACACTTTGAAATCGAAAATTTTATGGTCAATGATCAATTTGCGAGCAAAAAAGAAGCTACCCCTGCTCACTCGTTTTCGAAAAGCATCTAATTGAGGCGTCAACTACCTTGCGGCTAAAAGTTTTCCAAATGTTAAGAAAGTTTTTATTTTCATTGTTAAAGAAAATGCTCGTTCAATGTTCAATAATTAAGAAAATTTACATAAAAACCAAGTTTACTTCAACAAAAAAAACGGCGACATCTGAAACTGAAAGAAAATATTCTTTTTTGAAGAGGGATCTTTCTGGGGGATTAAGAAGGAGAGGTTTATCTCCTGAGAATCGGAATAGAATGCCCGACGGAGAGACACCGAAGAAGTCAATCAATTCATCTCAGAATCTTCATTGAAGCCCTCTCTCACATCAAACCGATAAATCCTCTGGATTAGCCAACTCTTTTCATAAATATTATTGTAGAAATGAAAGAAGAGTGGAAAGAAATGAAGAAATTTTTTAAGAAAAATGATCGCAAAAGAAAATCTCATGTTAAAAAAGGAATTTTTTTCTTTTCTCGGAGCGTCATTTTTTTTCTTTTATTTTCCATTGTTGTGACACCCAAAGAATAGGAATTTTTGATCAATTTTTATTCATTTTTTTTCCAAAGGATTTCTTTTAAATCAACTCAAATACTTTTCAAGAAACGTTTTTGAATTTTAGATTGATTAAAGCTTACCGTAAATACTGTAATAGTACCCCACCCCGATAATGACGGTGCGGAGTGTTGCGTAGGCTAGCTTTGAACGAGTGTTTCTCGACACTGGTTTATGCTACAATGCGCGTTTAGGTATCAAAAAATAGCCCTGAATTTCAGCTATTTTTTGATACCAAAGACGCATTTTTTGAAAGTACGGGTGCTTTGCAAAAAATGAAATACTAAAAAACTTTTGCGACTACGCGACTTTACGAGGGGGGTGGGGTACTATTACAGTATTTACGGTATATATTTTTACAACAAAAAGGCTACAGTAAAGGGAAATATGGAGTAATTAGTGATGAAGGAGCTACAAATGAACAAATGCTGAGAAAAATGCGGATGAAGAATGCGGACAAGTAAGCATTAGATAGAAGATTGAAAACAGAAACGGAACGGGTAAGAGAAAAAAAGAAAAGAAAAATTGGGAAGGACACAATCGGCCATCAATTAGGGCACATTGTGAGAAAGATGAGAGGATTTGAAAAGAGAACGATGGCTGAGATGAGGCCTCTTTTTGTGCATTCACATAGCAAAACGTCGAAGGATTTTTCGAGATATGAGAAGAGCACACAGCCAAGAGATATTCAACGAGCAATTCCAATTAACAATTCCCAAGACAATTCGTCATTTCTCATCTTCTTACCCTTTTTGAAAAGCCTTTTATTGCTTTTTTCAAGTTAAAGAATTATATGTTAAATTTTTTGCGAAAATGATCGAACAAAAAGTGTGATGGGTAGATAGTGGCCAAAAATAGGAATCAATTTCCGGGGAATGGGTCTCGGATCAGCGCTCACAGTAGTTGTCCCGGGGAGGGCCGAGCAGAAGGGGGAAAATCCCTGCGAATCTCTCACAGTCACTCGGACGACCGCTGCAAATCCTCGGCGACACCCCTTGTTTCTTTTTCCGCTTTGATGAGAGAGATTCTTCCCCATAATCACCTCCCCTTTTCATTGCCCATCCTCCCTTGAGCATCTGATTGTTTTGATTCGATTCTGGAATATCAGCAGCAGATATTCGTTGATCAACTGGTTGTACAGAAAGGAAAAGATCAATGGTGCAAAAGAAACATTATCTTTCAACTCTACAAAAGAAACATTATCTTACAACTCTACAAAAGAAACATTATCTTTCAACTCCTTTCAACTGAATGCCAAAAAATTGTGTGAAAGAACAGGTTTTCTATGGTCAGCTCACTTGAAATTGTTATCGTTTTTTTGAGTGAAGAAGAAAGGCTATCAAAAACCGATCGAGAAAATAATAATGGTTGAAGGGCGGAGTCGTTGCAGAGGAAACATTCACTATCATATGAAAATCTCAACGTCTACGGCTACACTTTTCTGTTATGTTTTCTGTTAAAAAGTTCACATCTAGAGAGTTACACAGAGCCCAATTACTCCAAAAAAATCGACTCCGTTGATCTTGCTTTCGGGCTTCTTATTCCTAGAAATAAGTATGTACCACGATGTTTAGAGTATCGAATAATGTTACACGGATTGCTTAAATTGTTCCTCTTGCTTTCTTCCCTTTTTTCTATTAGTAAAACGAGCTGTCGAACCGAATGTAGCCCTCACTTTACACTACCTTGGCAAGTCTTTATTTCAAATAAAATCAAAATTTCTTGTCTAGTTCATTTGGAGCATTTGCTAAATGTTTGCTAAAAGAATGTCAAGATTTGTGTCGAAAAGATGGTAGCCGATCAATGATTGGATGTTTTTGCAGGTTAGCGAATAGTTTGAATAGTATTTTTTGAATTTTTCTTTATCTATTGATATATTTGAAATAGAATAGTGAAGAATTGAAGAAACTTGGTTGATGGCTTAATTCTAGAGGTTCAATTCTAGAGGCTCAATTGAGGGTCCAACGTTACGCAGTTGCTTCTGTGGACCGTCGAAAAGTGATGCCAGAAAAAAAACAAAGAAAGAAATGATTTAATACAATAAATGTTTTGAGAAATAAATAAATATTTGATTTTTATTTGAGCGAACAAAAAAGGTCGACTTTCTAACAGGAACTCAATGAATTCAAAAAGTTAATTACTAATCTCGAGGGATACCTGTTAGAAAGGCCGATCTGCCCTCATCGCAATTCAATTTCACGGCGCATGAAATGGGGTCGGACGGAGGGAGGAGGTGGGGTCGGGAATGGAGGGGGATGGAGCGGGATGGAGGGGGATGGAGCGGGATGGATGTAGGTGTGAATGGGTGAGTGGGGCCTCTTCCCTCTGTGACTCTTCCGAGATTCCACCCCCCCCAACCCTTTTTTCCCTTTTCGATCATCCAATCCTCAATCTCTCCTCAATTTGCACATTCACTCGACCATGACACACATTACTTCACTTGGGCTTTTCATTTTAGCTTTTTCGACAAATCAAATCGTTGTTCTGATAGAGATGTAAAAGGTGTTCCAAAAAAAGCCAGTTCGGCACGATTTTGCTCAGAATTTCTAGTGGCTTCTGGTGGTTGTTGTGGTGAAAAAGCGAATATTTTGGGTGTCATGTTGGCAAAGAAATCTTTTCACGATTTTTCAGAATCTCTAAACTGAACCACCAGATATTAAAAAAACTTTTTTATGACTTTTTTCTAATAAAAAGTTATGTAATAATCAGCTTTTGAATCAAGATTATCTGGAGTAGAAAAACTTATTTATTTATTTCATAAATAAATTTATTTCAAGAAAAGTCAATTTTTGTGAGTATTTTCAATCAAAAACTAATTCCAAAAGAAGTTACAAGGCCTTTAGTTTTGAATTTGTTTGCAAAATACAGTATAAAATACAAAAATTCACTTGAGCTTTTGAAGAAATACATGGTGTTTTAATAAATTCCGAGTTAAAAGAACGTGAACTCGGAGAATATGAAATTTGACTAAAAATAAAACTATACTCAATCATTACTAAAACTAAAGCTCAATCATTTCTTCCATCAAAACTTTTCAACATTTGTCATTGATTTAGTTTAAGATATTGATCTTTAATTTTAAGCACACAAAAGTTTGATAGATGCTTTGGTTGAAAAATTTGGATGGGTTGTTATCTTTTGTTGACTTTCTTTTCACCCTAAGACATTTCAGAAAGTTTTAAGACGGCGCGTATATAAGGTGGCGCGTATATAAGGTGGCGCGTATATAAGGTGGAGCGTATATAAGGTGGAGCGTATATAAGGTGGAGCGTATATAAGGTGGAGCGTATATAAGGTGGAGCGTATATAAGGTGGAGCGTATATAAGGTGGAGCGTATATAAGGTGGAGCGTATATAAGGTGGAGCGTATATAGGTGGAGCGTATATAAGGTGGGCGTATATAAGGTGGAGCGTATATAAGGTGGAGCGTATATAAGGTGGAGCGTATATAAGGTGGAGCGTATATAAGGTGGGCGTATATAAGGTGGAGCGTATATAAGGTGGAGCGTATATAAGGTGGAGCGTATATAAGGTGGAGCGTATATAGGTGGAGCGTATATAAGGTGGAGCGTATATAAGGTGGAGCGTATATAAGGTGGAGCGTATATAAGGTGGGCGTATATAAGGTGGAGCGTATATAAGGTGGAGCGTATATAAGGTGGAGCGTATATAAGGTGGAGCGTATATAAGGTGGAGCGTATATAAGGTGGAGCGTATATAGGTGGAGCGTATATAAGGTGGCGGTATATAGGGTGGAGCGTATATAAGGTGGGCGTATATAAGGTGGAGCGTATATAAGGTGGAGCGTATATAAGGTGGAGCGTATATAAGGTGGAGCGTATATAAGGTGGCGCGTATATAGGGTGGAGCGTATATAAGGTGGAGCGTATATAAGGTGGAGCGTATATAAGGTGGAGCGTATATAAGGTGGCGCGTATATAGGGTGGCGCGTATATAAGGTGGCGCGTATATAAGGCATAGGGGTAAAAAGGGAACTACAGGGGGTTCAAAAGAAAAGTCAGTTCAGCGCGATTTTTCTCAGAATTTCTAGTGGCTTCTGGTGGTTGTGGTGCCAAAGTGAATATTTTGGGTGGGGCAAATTTTTGATATTTTGTCACTTTTTCTTGATTTCATGACTCCCAATTACATGAAATTTCTGAGTCATGGTCACCACCTCCATGAGACTTTTACCATAAAATTAAAACTTTTTACTGGCATCGTGGTGTCATCTTAGAGTCAATACTAAGATTAAACTAAGATTTTTAGCCAAAAAAAACACTTTATTTATCTATTAGGTTGGCAAAAAAGAAATGCGCGTTTTCGTTAAAAGTTTTTTATTATAAAAACAAGATAACAATACATTAATCCAAAAGGTATTCGCCATCTGCATCAATGACTTGTCGCCAACGTTCACGCAGAGAATGGATGCCCTTCTTGAAGAACTCGACCGGCTGCGACTCGAAGAAGTTGGACACCCAAATTTGGACCTCGTCACGGTTCTTGAACTTTTTCTCGGCCAAGGAGTGGTGCATTGATCGGAACAGATGGTAGTCGGAAGGCGCCAAGTCTGGGCTGTATGGCGGATGAGGCAGGACTTCCCAGCCCATTTCTTCAATTTTCTGCTGGGTGATTTTTGCGACATGCGGCCGAGCGTTGTCGTGGAGGAATTTTGTCGACGCCGTATCCACGCCTTGACGTCGCAGCGCCTGGTCCACGCGGTCCAATTGGCCTTGGTAGAGGTTCGCCGTAACTGTTTGACCCGAATCCAGAACCTCAAAGTATACCAGGCCTTTACTGTTCCACCAAACACAAAGCATCACCTTTTTTCCGTGGATGTCCGGTTTTGGAGCTTCACCGGGGTCCAACCACTGCCGCTTTCTTGCTGTGTTGCCGTATTGGATCCACTTCTCATCCGACATAACAATGGAGTCGAAAAACCCACTGTTCTTGGCGCGGTGAGTGAGAATTCCGGCGATTGCGATGCGTGTCGCCTTGTTTGCGTCGGATAGCTTATGCGGTACCCATTTTCCGCATCTATTCGTCTTGCCCATGCCATGCAGATGGTTCTCAATGGTGACATGAGTGCAGTCGAACTGTTCTGCCAGGTCGCGAGTGGTTTGGCGTGGATCCGACTCAATGGCTTCCTTCAATGCGTCGTTGTCGATGATTTGAGGTCGACTTCCGTGTTTTTGGTCTTCCAAGCTTTCGTCGCCGTCTCGGAAGCGCTGGAACCATCGTTTACACTGACTTTCGGATAGAGCATCTTCGCCAAACACTTGAGATAGAGCGCCATGAGCTTCAGCAGCCGATTTGCCTTGCTTAAATTCATGCCACAAGCAGGGCCGCAAACGAAATTTTTGGTCCGACATTTTCTAAACACTCTTTCTTGCAAAAAAACAAAGTAAACATAGACAAATTATATATCAAACGATGCGCAAGAACACGCTCTTTCCAATAGAATAAACTATTTAAAAAAATCTTTTACTGTGAATAAAATACAAATCAACAAACACGACGCTCATTTCTTTTTTGCCAACCTAATACATTATATGAAAATTTGTCGTACATAAGCCATTTTCAATTCGCGTTTTTTGTCGCCTTTTCACAGAAATGTCCCGTTTTTCCAAGAAAACGCTGATCAATAATCTGATCCGAGCTGATCCGAGTGATGGCTAAAGTGTATGGTTTAAATTTGTACTTATCCTAATAGTATTTATTATGCACCACGATGCCAGTAGAAAGTTTTAATTTTATGGCAAAAGTCTCATGGTGGTGACCCATATCTGTCGTAAATAAGAGATTTTCAACTCGCCTTTTTTCAAGAAGTATCCCGTTTTTCCAAGGAAACGCTGATTAATAAAGTGTATGGTTTAAATTTGTACTTATCCTAATAGTTTTTATTATGTACCACGATACCAGTAGAAAGTTTGAATTTTTATAGCAAAAGTTTGGTAAAATGGTAAAATCCAGATGGTAAAATCATAAAATCATGGATTATCAAATTGGGAAAAAGTGACAAAATCTGAAGAATTTACCCCGCCCAAAATACAGTCGAACTTCGATATAACGAACCTAAAACGTGCCTCAAATTTTCTGCGTAGCTGCCCTGGACGGCCATTTGGTATTTGGCTTAGGCAGCCAAGTAGAAATTTTGGGTACATTTTAGAATTTCAAATTCCTTTTATCGAAGTTCGACTGTATCCACTTGGGCACTACAACCCCAAGAAGCCAATAGAAATTCTGAGAAAAATCGAGCTCAACTGACTTTTTTTGAAACCTGTATGTGTTTGTTATACGATTGTCTTATGTTATTATTATTTTAGCCAATATTTTATTGTAAAGCTTTAAAGACGATGAGTTTTCGGAAAAATCATTGTGTTTCATTATCATTCTGTTATTGTTGTGCTGAAATCAAAAACATTTTTTGTGTTAACCATTCACTTCGTAAACGTTTTATTTTCATAATCAGTACAAAAAAAAAGTAATAAGTAACTAAGATTTCTGAGAAAAAGGGGATTATTTTGGATGTTTGTCGAAGAAATGTGAAGAAAAGTTAACTGTAATCTAATTCTATAGATGGGAGTTTTATTGAGAAAAGAAAAAAACGGGTTTCGAATGATTCTAGAGAACCCGTAAAACACAAAAAAAAGGTTAGATAACTGAAAAATCCAACATTTTCTATTTGAGTAGTAGACTAAACAAAATTCAAAGATTTTCTATTCTGTGTACAATAAAGTCATTGGATTATTCAACATTATTGTAATGAAATTGAACTTTAAACTTCAAACAAAAGAGAAAACTAAATGTATCACAACTCTCTGATAAAATTTCGATGACTGAAGTTTTAGGAAACTTTTCCCTTACACAAAAGAAGACAAATTGTATTAGTATGAGCTGTTTGCACAAAAAAAAACAAAATATACTTGTTAGTCGAAGAGAATGTTAGGAATTTGTTGAAAGGATTTTGGAAAAAAAAGCATTAGATTAGATTTCAATGGTTTTCACCATAAAAATAAGTAATATTAATACACTGTTTTGAGAAGAGATCAGCTTCGGGGCTTGAAGAACTGCAGAGAAAGTTAGTTTTGGGTTATAAAACAAAAAAAATCTCACAAATACAAAGTTTAATACTATAGCTTTCCAAAGGCAAAATGTGTTTATAGCATAAGATTTGGGGAATCATTTGTTGTTTTTTTTATGATCAGGGCAAAAAGAAGTGAACTGTGGATGAAGCGCCTTTCAAAAAGGGATCACAAAGGGGAAAAGAAAGCTGAAAGATGTTGCGCAAGAAAAGACACATTATGCGCTTTGTGTTTTTTGAGAAAAAAAGAGAGACTCAAAGTTGTTCATCTTCGCTGGCTGGAGTGAGCTCGGCGGGTGAAGTCCGAGTGATGGCTGGAGGGAGCGCCCGTCCACTCCGAGCACTTCCCATTCCATTCGATTCCACTTTTCTAGCAACCGTTTCTTCTTTTGTCTTCTCTTCACCTTTCTCTTCTAACAGATTCCCTTCTTCTCGAACGTCCGGTGATGACTGGAAATTAGCTTTATATTTGATTCAGGTCTTTTTTTACCTTTCTAATGCCCAACCATCGAGCCAGCTTGCCGAAAGTGGTCGAATCGCGAAGTATATCCATGTCAGTTAAAGTGTGACGTCTCTTTGGATCTTTTGCTGCTCGATTCCTCATCTTGATCTTTTGCTCGCATCTTGTTTCCCCACCAAGTGCTAGTTGACGTGGCCTTTTTGGTGAAGCTGATTCCTGAATTTGTTTCTTTATTTAAAGCTTTGGAAAGTTTGTATAGCAAAGACCTGATACAAGACAACTAGTAATCAAACTCAAAAATCTTCTAATTCTTTGTGAACTTGGCTTTATTATACAAACGAATAGACATGATCTACAAATTACAAAATGACAAACTGTCGGACTGAAAACGGTCGTAACTTTCTTTCCGTTAAACATTTTTCTGTTCATTTTTTTGACCAAAAGATAGCAGAAATCAAGAGCTTTCAAATGATAATAAATTTATGCAGTAATAACAATAACAGCACAAGTTTCAAGAGTCCAAAACAGAACTCGCCGTTTAATACAAAATGGTGAGTTGTGTTTCGTACTCTTGAAACTTATGTTGTTTATATTATTACTGCACAAATTTATTATAATTCTAAAGCTATTGAATTCCGCTATCTTTTGCTGAAGAATTTACAGAAAAATGTTTAACAGGAAGAAAGTTATGATCGTTTGTTGTCTAACAGTTTGAAGTTTGTAGATCATGTCTACAAATGAATGCTTTCTAACAGGGTATAACTAATGCTTTGTCTAAAATTGCACTCAACACGAACATTGTGTTTGACGTGGGCCAACACGTGGATGCTAAACACTTGTGAAACTTTTAAGGATAGCAGTTTAAACGTTTAATTTTACCTGTCTTGTACACGGTGACACATCCTCACTCGCATAATCACTGCTCGCCGTCCCAAGAGGCACATTTACTGTCATTGGTGCGGAAAGAGGCAGTGAAGAGGCGGTGGAGAGTGACGAGGAGAAAGAGAGAGCGTCTTCTCTTGATGGACTTTGCTTGGTGTGGACGAGTGGGGCTCCGGTTGTTCCCCACAAACGTGGCTCTCCTAACGATGCTGTCTCTCGACTTCGCTCTCGTGCTTCTCGCAATCTGAACTCCTTCAATGATTCCTCTCTTTCTTTTCTCTTTCCATTCTCACCTAGCTATTGTATCTGTTCTTCGACTTCTCTCCGCGTTTGTGAAAGTTGCGCCCGATTGAAAGCGACGAATTTTTTCGCGAGTTGCTTCCGAAAGTACCTAGAATTGATTTTTGATATTTTGATTAATACAATTAATCAAAGTACCTCTAGCACTGGACTGTCAGCAACATGAAGTTGTTGAGTGTCTGAAACGAGTGAATCAACACTTTCAACATTCGACACTTTTTCAGCAGCCGCCGCACTGCCTGCAATAAAGATTCGACGAGCAGAAGAAAGACTCTAAAAAAATTCTTTTTAAAATTCATTTATCTAAAAAAACCTCTTGTCGTCGTTTCCTTCTTTCAATGTCATCTAACTCTCGATCTCTTTCACTCAACTCTGGCGCTGTCCTCGATGTATCAGGCAAAGAACCAAGCGATGACTAGATATTTTTTGATGAAATTTTTCATTTCAAAATAAACCTCAAGTGATGGAGATTGATCAACAGTAGATGCAAGTGGAGAAACGGTTTGTCTGGAGGCAATCTCGGCATCGATATCCCGCTCTTGATAGGATCCACAGAAAATCGTATCCAATGCGCTCGATGTAGGGATTGGCGGAGGCACGGTGTACAAATTGCCCGGTCGAGATGGCTAAAGTTGTATTTGAATCGATAAGAATTTGAAAGAAAATGACAATAAATGAAAATAAAATGAAAATTGGTTGCAAAAAGCTCACCAGAACATTCGCCGATGGAAGGGGATTCATGGCGGCAGGTGCTGTGCTCTCGATTTTCAGGCGCCCCTTTTCTTTTTTCCTTTGCGAATTGCGGCGAACATTGAGTATATTTTTAATCTGAAAATGGAAATCATTTTCCAAGAAAATGAATGAAAAGAAAATGGAGAGGGTTTTTTTTAAAATCTAAATGGAAAGAGAAGCCACCTTTCCGGCACGACTTTGCTCCTTCATCATATCGGCTGCCTGTTCCTCATTCGCCCGTCGAATCAAATTATGCATGTCATTGAAAGAAGTCGTGGACACGCCTAAATTTGCTAAAAATCATAAGCTTTTTTAGGTAAATGAAATCCTAGGTTTCTGAATGATGTTTTGTCTTGTTTTGTTTTGTTTTCTGAATGAATAAAGGAATGTTTTCTGAATGAATAAAGGGACAACGAATGATGTTTAGTAAATGGATCATTGAAAAAGATAGCTTATTGAAAAAAAACGGATCGATAAAAGAAATCGAAGATCTGGAAAATGGTGATAATAGAATAGAAATCGATGATAAATTTGTGTTCAAATCTCGGTCCCTTGATAGAGGATTTTCGAGAAAATCGGATCTAATGTGGAAATTCGTCGGAAATTTTTATCACATTAGATACAGATTTTATAGAGCTAAAGGGTTTCTTGAAAGGAAATATTCAAATATTGATTCACCTGCAGGGCCAGCATCCAATCCATGAGCACCGCCGGGCGGAGGGACTGGCTCGGTTTGAATCATCTCGGGTACCGCGTCGTCCACCGTTCCCGCGTCATCAAACATCCAAATATACTGTAAAAAGGTTTACATTTTACATATTTTTTTCGATTCACTTACATAATTGATAAAAGACTCGATGATTTTGCATTGATCCGACATATGTGTGACCATCGTGGCCATATTGTCATCAGAGGGACGCACAATCGATGGGCCAAACATTAAGGCAAGATTACGGCATTCCATCTTAATAAGAAAATTTACCGTTTACAGTTTACAATTATAAAATAAACAAAAAAAATGAAAATATTTAGTTTACAATACGAAATTACTAGATACAATAAAACCAGCCGAGAAACCTGCTTAACAGCGGGTTTTTCTGGGCTTGGCTCAGGGCAGTCATGGCGCAGTCAAAACGGCGCTTGTATACAGCCCGCACAATCCGGGTTTGACCCCCGGTAGTGCCATCCGTTTTTGATTTTTTTAAAATTTTTTAAATGTCACGATTACAATATATTCTAAGGTTTTCTAGAGAAGTTTTAGCTTTATTGGTCAAGAAAATCCCCGTGCAGACAGAGACTGCTCTTTTCTATAGTAGATTTATACCTTATTAACTTCAGAATGCATAGTGACAGCTCTGAGATGAGTCATCAAATGCTTCAACGTATCGTAGTGGGCTCTGGGAAGTTTCCGTAACTGAAAAAGGGAATTTTCTTTGTTGTGTTCAATTTTTCAAACCAGATTTCTGAGTTTATGAAGTCTTTGAGCATGATTTATCATCCGACTGGCATCAATGAAGAATGGGTAAAGTTTATCGGTGAGAAGAGGCTCGGGCAACTTTCGTAGGAACATCTTTAACAACGATGACACCACATTCACATCTTTCCACCGAGAATCGTTGAAGTCCAGCTGAAAGGTTGATTTTTGAACTGTAGAAATGTTGTAGTTGAATTTGAAAAGCTCAAGGATACTCACGTTATCAAAACCCTGATTGAGAGTCTCTTTTAGAGCATTCACAGCGGCTGTATTTCCCGGAATTCGATAGATGCCCACAGTCTCCATCCCGTGTGCTTCCACCACTCTCACGCACAAACGCACAATCAATGGTACCAACTGAAAGGTGTTTTTTATTGTTATTTCATATAATCTTGCTTCAATTTTATTCCAAAAACCTACATCGCCATTCCCTGCCGTTTGACAGTCACCGATCTTCAACCCAAGTGCATTGTTTGGCTTGTCACGGTCCTAAAACTCATGATTCTTTCCATCTTTCCGTTCATTATCCTATTTACATTTTTAAATTGTCAAAATTTGCATTTATTGAACCTAATTGTATTCGTGTTATTGTAATTTTCACATCACGACTTCAAATTCTTTTCTATAAATATCCTTTTGTCTTATTAACTACGCTTTATTTCATGACTTGAATAAAGTAGCTTATAAATAAAATATATTAATTCATGTTTTGAATAAAGTATGAATAGATTGAACAAATAAAATTCATTTTCCTACTCACATGATATGATGGCGGTCCAGCGGCACTCGTCTGTTTCGAAGCTTTCGGCTTTTTCCATCCTTTGCGCAACGTTTTCGGTGTGGTTGCCGTTTCGTTGGCGCCTTTAAAGAATATCTGATTTGCTTGAGGAAATATTGAACTCACATTGACCATTTCCACTTGGTGGTGCCTCGTGATCGGTGGACGTCGAGGCACTTGTCCCAGCTTGTCCCTCGTGGTGGCCATCGGAAACCCGTTTGGCCATTGGTGAGCCCAATTGTGAGGATTTTGCTTTGTACCTAAGAGGAATTGGTGCAAAGGACTTAGTCACTAAGCTACCTATGCATGATCAATTGTTGAGTGGCTCGATCGGGGTGTTGTGGCTGGGAGGCACGGATCGGATATAAAGGAATCGATGGAAGTGGGGGTGCACTTGCTGTACCTAAATCTTAGAAAATAAAGAAATTGGTGAATATAAGTTAAACCTGAGTCTGAAATTTTCTACTGCATAAGTGTTTCTCACTAACCTGTTCCCACATGCCGCACCGAAACTCCTCCGCTCAACACTCCTTCCGACGATGAGGAACAGGAAGCTAGCGATTGCTCCTGAAATCATTTGGTTTCAAAAAAATTCAAAATCTAAAATATTGGTCAGAATAATCACTGGTATTGTTTGAAATTTCGGCTCTTGCGTAGTTTCCGGATATTTTAAACGGTTCGTCATGCTTTGAAGGCCTATAACTTTGTCCAGAGATCATACTTGTGCTAACATTTTATATCGTTGTACAGAGGACATTAGAGGCTTTCAAATGATACCAAATAGAGCTTGACTGGAAGATCCAGTCCTAGAAAATCAGAGCCAACTCTGAGCAAATGGTCTATCCAAATCGGGTGTCATGTCTTCTTGTTTGCATGGGAATGAAAAATCCAGTCAAGCTCTATTTGGTATCATTTGAAAGCTTGAAATGTCCTCTGTACAAGGATATCAAAAGTTAGAACAAATATAATCTCTAGACAAAGCTATAGACCTTCAAAGCGTGAAAAGCCGTTCAAAATACCGGGATTTCCGAAAAAAAAATGATTACCCGAAAAGCAAATTTCAGTTCAAATTTTAAACAATATTACTGATTATTCTGATCAATATTTTAAAGTAAAGTTCAGTAAAACATTACAAGAAAAAGCGAGCTAGGGAAGCACTTCAAAAAAAGAAAGAAAACTAGGAAGGGGGGAATCCGGGGAAGGGAATGGCTCTCGATGCGGCTCAAATTGAAGACGGCAGCCGGGAAAGGGGGGACCTCCAAATAGGGAATAGAGGGGGGACACCCTGTGGCCCAAGGAGGCCATCCGGGGATGGCTCTGAAAGGCGAGAAGTCGTCTTCGTCTCGAGAAGTCCTGTCCTCCCCTATGCGAGACGTCTCTTCACCCTTCCCAACACGCCCCTCTTTCGGGCTCTCTCCCGGCCAAGAATCAGCTTGCAATTAGGCTCTCCCGACCCTATCCCCTTCCCAAATCAGACGCACACAAACTTTTTTTTATACGGCTATCGCCTAAATCCCTCAAATATCTAGTCAAAAAATTTAGGAAGCAACTCTAGGTTTTGCGAAAATCAAATGGAAAGGAAAAATAGTAATCATAAAGCAACTGGTATTGGTATTGGCAACGAGATCGAGAGGGGGTTGCATAGTGAAAGAGAGCTGTTTGCACAGGCCATCAATACGAGGCTGCTCGCGAAATAACGTATATTTTGAGTCTCATTTTGTGCGCCTGCCGGTGAGCGACCATAGTTGTGGTTACGCTTGTCAATTCTCTTTTTTTTTGAATAAAAACGATTTGATAATGACACTAGAAAGGTGTAAATCAATTTAGATTTGATTAGAAAGGTGTAAATCGATTTAGATGTCATTAGAAAGTTGTAAATCTATTTAGATTTCATTAGAAAGCTGTAAATCGATTTAAATTTCACTAGAAAGTTGTAAATCGGTTTAAAGTTTCAAAAAATTTGTTCAAAAAAACGCTAGAACTTCTATCCTATTCAAAAATGTGTTGGAGAGTATTTCGGTGAGTTGTAAAATTGTGAGTGAGGGACGATAATGGGCAGAAGGGTGGTAGGTTGTGTGTGTGTGTGTGTGTGGGTGAGTGTGAGTGGTCGATCGAAATTGCTCGCTTGTGTGTTGCCGCTGAAGAGGAGGTCGCACAGGGGAGCATAGGTGAAATGGAAAGGGTGAAGGGAAGGGACACAATAGGCGGAACAGTCTTTACGTCTATTCTTTTGCACCGCACCCTTTCCACCTCCATCTACTCCCAGCTACTCAATTTTCACCTCCCCGCGTCCACCCTTACCTTCCCAAATTTCTGGTGTGCACTAGAAATAGGAAAATTCCAACCCGAACCTAATTTCACCTTTATTTTCTCAGCCGTTTCTTGGCCGTTCTTGGTTTCTTGTTCTGGAATTTTGTTTACAAATAGAAATAGAAATTGTAGACAAAAATACAGAGCAATCAGCTAAGAGAAAGAAAAAACGAAGATCGAATGAGGTTCAGATTGAAATTTTCCCACCCATTTTACAATTAGACTTCTTGATTGAAGGTAAAAGATGTTCTCTAGAAAAGCTACCGTATTTGGCACCTTTTTTGAACTTAAACTAGCTGATCCGGTGGCCTTTGCCTGGCTGAGATAAAGCTTAAAATGAACTATTAGCTTTAGAAGTTAAATAACATCTACGTAATAACAATTTTCAAATAAGCTAGTCAATTGTTAACTTCTCTTTCACAAAAAGAGAAACCAGTTCTTTGCATCAAGCTCATTTCTTTACAGCTAGCCACTTGGCAAGTGAAAGAAGAGAATAGAGGATCAAAAAAAGAGAAATTGATGCACAAGTGCTCGCCTAAAATTTGATCAAAGAGGCGGCGCTGCCCCTAGAAGGTAAGTGTTTACAAGAAGCAATTACACAAGTGTCAATGACGTTGACATTTCGAGTATAAGTGCGGTATAGTAGATTGAATTCATGGGGGGGAGATTTTCTCGTGTGACTGGCATCTCAAACAAAACAAATCCTTTTTGCGGTGACTGCAAGCAACAGATGAAAAGACTTGAGCTCTCCACTTTTTCAAGTAGCGCTTTCATTTCCACATAACCCTTAATTTGCACTAGTAAACTCGAAAACTCGAAAAGTTTCGAATTCTCTCTAAATATTAGTTTCTTTCGGAAAGGCTTAATTGAAATCACCACTTTTCACATTCAAAATGTTGCCAGATTTCTATTTATAGTGATTAAAAAGAAAAGAAAAGAAAAGAAAAGAAAGAAAAGAAAAGAAAGAAAAGAAAGAAGAAAAAAAGAAAGACACGGCAAAAAAACTTCTAAAACTGTTTTTTTATTTAATTTTTAATCTCTAGGGATTAAGAAATGAGATCGAGATTGAAATCGAAATCTTCTAGATTTCCGACAAGACAATAGAATAGAAATGAGGAAAAGAGAAAAGAAAAGAAAACATCAAGAAAAATGAAATGGGGAAACATTTGTAAATCAATGACTGAAAAAAAACATGCCATTTTGGCGGTCGGTCTCCTCAATTTTATGAAGGATTGGGGATAGGATGGGAGAGGAGATACACACACCGAGAGCCAGGTAAAACTCGGTGAAAACTTTTAGGAAACACTCTTTTACCAACTCTTTCTCTAGTGGGGGAGAAAATTTTGAGAGAACTTGCGAATGGAAAGGTGAGCAAGAAGGATGCATGGAGTGGGAAAGAGCTCGAGAATCACTTTCACTACCCTTCTTTCCAATGATGTATTCCCTTTTTCAAAATACCAGTTAAGTAGTTAGTAATTTCGCGAAAACACAAAAATCACACTTCTTTTTGCAACAGAAAACCGATGGGAATAGCTTAATTGCGGTTTTTAAAATCGCACTATGGTATCTTTTGAAATTTTAGAAGAAAATCAATGGATAGATGAGGGGAAAGGCTTAGGGATTCGCCTTTTAAATAATATAGGTAAGTGGCATTTATGAGTGGGGGTGGCAGGTGTGAGTGGAGTGAGGGTGGGAAAAGAAATGGGAAAGAGAAAGAGAGAGAAAAAGCAAGCACATCCTTTGCACGATCTCGATAAAATGAAGTGTCACACCTTGGAAATAACTCAAATTAGAAAAAGGATTCAGAAAATCATCTCTCTAATGATTTTCTTTGCTTTTAAATACGGGAGGCATGGCGTAATCAAGCCGTTTTCAGTTTTAGAAACGTTAGAATTTAGAAAAAACCTGAGAAATCATTGAAATTTCAATGAAAAGGCATGTTATAAAAAGTAGAAAAGCAATGGCTTTGGGTGTATGGTGTAAAAAGGAGTAGAAGGAAAGCAAGGAAGACGAGAGGAAGGGAGATTGGGAAGAAGGAGTTCGCGACTCTCCATTTGAGTAGAAGAAGAAGAAGAAGAAAACACACTAGAAGCAGGAGACCAAAATGTGGGGCTCACGTTGCCTCTTCTCCCCCCTTTTTTTTTTGCTTTCCTCCACCCCACTAGTGGTTGGCCACCGGCCATCCCAATCAATAGGACCCCTCTCCCGTCCATACTCGGGCACTACCCCCTTTTTTTCAACGATATTGAAGTCAACAAATGGACACAAAAGAAGACCACACGCCTCACAACATTCTAACAATATTACTATATTACTCGACATCCACTTGAATCCATTGCCTCTTTTAGATTTCTAGCTTTAATTCCTTCTAGGTTTAAGTTTCTAGCTTTAAGCCTCTAGCTTCTAGCTTTAAGCTTCTACCTTCTAGCTTTAAGCTTCTACCTTCTAGCTCTAAGCCTCTAGCTTCTAGCTCTAGGCCTCTAGCTTCTAGCTTCTAGCTCTAAGCCTCTAGCTTCTAGCTCTAAGCTTCTAGCTTCTAGCTTTAAGCTTCTAGCTTCTAGCTTCCAACTTTAACTCTTTCGATTTGTTATGACTTAAAATTTAGCTTAATGAATTGATAAACTTATTCTTTTGCTAAATATAACTACATTAAGCAAGCTTTTTCTTTAAACTCCATCAATTTTGGGATTATTATTCTAGACAATATGATCGCTCAAATTAAGAGAAGAAACTTTTAATCCGTGAATCGATGGCAAAATCTGTGCTTGGTTTCAAAAGGAAAAAAAAGGAAAAATCTTCTTTTGGGGAAAAAAGAAGGAGTGAGAGTAATCTCAACTTTAGAGACCTATAAAAGAATGTATCCAGGAGATTAGGAATTAGACGAAAAAAAGTAAAAAAAAAATGAGGAAAAGTGGCTTGAAAAAGAAGTCATTTTTGTAAAAAAAGACATAAATAGGATGTATTTGGGCACTGTATCTGGCCACACACAGTAAAAGAAAGAAAAAGAGCTAAATGATGACAGTTTGCACGTTGAAAAAGGTGCCGCTCAGTGATTCAGAGACCTTTCCGCTACACTCAAAACTTCTATATCAGCTTTTTTTTATTACTAAACAAGGTAAGTGAAAGTGAAAAAAGAGAAAAGAAGAGAAAAGAAATAAAATCTAAAAAAAGGGAGAAGACGTACTGAGTGAGTGGTGGTGGACAGAGGCCTTTGTTGTTGCTCGGCTGCTTCTTCCACATATAAAGTGGCCGCTTTTTGTAGAGCGGCTATCCATGAGAGCATGTCTTCTTCACTAAATGAAATGTTGTTCTTTGACATTTTCAATTTAAAGATTTTCTTCTGAATTTGATTTGGATTTGCTCTTTGCTAGAGTTAGTGAAGTTAGATTTCTGGAGCGATCTGATCACCTCCTGGTCATCCCTATAAACCAGAAACACCTCCTGATTAAGGTCATTCCGAAACTGCTTTCAAATCCTACTTCTCATGAGCCATTTTCGAGATCTAAACCTTTAAAGTTTCGCCAAACAGCATTTCGCCAAACAGCAATCTAACAAAACAGCAACCTACTTAAGGATTTTGTGTGGGACACTGTCAAACTACGGAGTACTTTAAAGTGTTGGCTATGCTTTCTTAGCGTAATCCTTTTCCAATAAACTATTATCCAATTAACAATTAACTATAACAATTAACAATTAACTACTTTTCCAATAAACAAACTTTTGTGTCTGCAGTAGGTGTTCTCTGTGTTGCAGAGTGACCACTCGAACCACATGCTTTTGTCCATCTCTTTTAAGTGCATCGTAAGCGATATCAATAATCGCCGACGAAACCTCGATTGAGACTGAATCTGCAGGCACCGAGTAAATCTAAAAAAATTTCTTTATTTTCTCAACTCCTCTTTTGTTTACCTTTTCCTTTGTTTTATCAGAGATATAGCTGCTAAGTTGTTTACACAAATGAAGAGTTTTCCCAGCAAGAACAGCCCATCGTTGTTCCCATTGCGAGGGACGAACGCGTCTCGAAGCAACACCAATCGGATGCTCCTAATAAAATAAATAATCTAAGGGTCTAAAAGTAAAGTTTTTTAATAGAAAGAGTTGATTTTTAAGTTTACTTGATGTTGCAATAATCCTTGTCGATAGACAGCTGACGCTTGGACAGGAATTGGAGGAGATAATGGAACTCGATTCGCCGGTGGACCCGTAGTTCTCGATCTAAAGTCTCTGGATTTCAATGAGTTTAAAAATAAAAACCTTTTCAATGGAGCATGTCTCTTTGTTTGTGATTGTTTTTCTTCAGAACTTTTCTAAATTTCTTTTGAAGTATTAACTAATTAAGTGCTCACTTGGTTATCATGATGAGAGAAAAGTTGGATGAATCGAGTGATACGCTGCGTGGCTGGTGGATGAGGAGCTCCCGGACGCCGGCGCTCCAACGATTCCACTGACGGAAATGAAGGCACTCGTCTGGAAAATTCTTTGTTAAAGATATATCGAGTACTTTCTTGAGAAGCTTAGCTTATGTTGTTTTAAAGAATATTGTGCAAAGACAAGGCTGTACCTCGAGTAGACAGGTGCAAGTTTTGAGAATGAAATTGCAGAAATTAGTCGCAGAAAGTTTGTAGTCGGATTGAATTGTAAAATGTTTTCCCCTCAAATCACAAATGAATCAATGAGAGTTGTGAAAAAAAAGCGAATGACCAAGAGTTGATAAAAGTTTTGAAGAAAAAAGGAGAGATGGAAGGCGGGGGGAGTGAACGAGTAATCTCTTTTGATAGAGCTCTTTCTTATTTTCTGAATTCATTACCCCAATCGTTTTTCATACTTTGAAACGGCTGGAAGCCTATCACTCACCCAGGCTAATACCAGTCTAAAAACTCGATTTTCCTGATAAGGTAAGCGCCCAATTTTTCCCAATCTCTCTTTTCCTTTTCTATTCAATTTTTGAAAATGAATCACTATTGTTTTCTTGGAAAAGTGTTTAAATTCAAATTTTGATATTTAAACTTTAGACTTAAAGATTAAATAGTTTAAAAGTTAAAGGTATGGTTTCAAAGCTTTCAAAGCTAATAAGACAAAAAATTACAGTTTAAAAAGATTCAGATTTAAAAAAGATGAACCTGGTTGTTCAGTATGTTAGGTTTTAATAGCAATGTAACCTGAAATAATATGCAAATTAATATTTAACTTAATAACAATTGAAAAGCGTATATATAGAAGTCAAAAGTGGAGCTAAAATGTAACAAAAAGTTGTTGTTTTTGAAAGCTTTGAAAGCTTTGAAAAAAGGTATTGAAAGTATGTAAAATTTAAAGCAATTTAAATCTATTTAAATCTATTTAAAGCAATTTAAAGCAATTTAAAGCAATTTAAACCAATTTAAACCAATTTAAAGCAATTTAAAGCAATTTAAAGCAATTTAAACCAATTTAAATCTATTTAAATCTATTTAAATCCATTTAAATCTATTTAAATCTATTTAAATCAATTTAAATATGTAAAATTTTCAAAAGCTTTCCTTTAAACAAAATCAATCAATTAGATGAATTGTTTTTTAACGATTTGAAGATGATTTTTTTATCAGAGAGAGAGACAAAAAAAAACAAGAGATGATTGAGAGAAAGAAGAAGAAGAAAAAGAGCTTCATTGATTCGATGTCAAGGACGATTTTTCATTCGCACACGCCACTCGGCAATGCTTTCACAAAAAAAACATGGATCGACCAAGAGGGAAAACCGTATTTCATTTTTCATCTCATTGCTTTTTTTTCGAAAAAAAATCGATCCACGATTCGTTTTTGACACCGGAAATTGTCCAATGAAACTTTTCACGAAACTTTTTTTGCATAACAATTAGGGATTTGAATGAATGAAGGAATGAATGAATGAATTCGCGAACGCAATGAAAATCCTTTGAAATGAAAAGGTGAGACTTTGAGAATTTGAGAGATTTTGAGAAAAAGGAGTAAGAGGAAGAGGTTGAAATGAAAAAAAAATGGTACTCTTTCGCTCAAAAACACCCACACTCTCCTTTCCTCTCTATTCTCTGAGTTGAAGCGAAAATACGCTAAAAATTACTTCCACTTTGCTAGTTTTTAGGTAGTTTTGAAAAGCTTTGAAAAAAAAAGAGGTTTTTTTTCTATTATTGAGTCGTTTTTATTTGTTAGAACTTTGAGAGTAACTTTGACGCAACTGTTTGAACTCTAGAATCCCTAGATATAGAGTTCAAATCTGAACTCTAGAATCCCTAGATATACAGTTCAGATTTGAACTCTAGAATCTCTAGATATAGAGTTCAAATTTGAACTCTAGAATCTCTAGATTATAGACTTCAAATTTGAACTCTAGAATCCCTAAACATAGAGTTTAAACTTGAACTCTAGAATCCCTAAACATAGAGTTCAAATTTGAACTTTAGAAATGAGTTCTTACTGTGAACCCTCTAAAGCCTTTTATAGACATGCTCATTAATTGAGTTTAGCAAAAAAAAATATAAGGAACTTTTGTGATCGGAGAAGTTTTGAATGAGAGTAGGTTGGTTGAGAGAGTTCTCGAATTGAAAGGAAGAGAAAAGGTTTCCCTTTTCCCTCATTTTGCCTCCAAATTGAGACATGAGTGGGTGGAAAGAGGTTTTTTTCTTTACAATAGTTCGACAAGTTACCCGGGGGCGTCACGATAAAGATGCAAAGAAGAGTTAATGAGATAGGAAATATGAGAAAAGTGAGAAGCGAAAAGGATCTCATCGATGTAGGTCTTTCGTTTCTTTAACGAACATGGCTAGAGATTGAAAAAGTGCCAATCAGCGACGGATACGTCTCACTTCATACGAGCTTAACGAAAAAAAAAGAATTGGAAAATGAGATCTTTTAGGGGTGGGGGGAAATGTGGTGAATGGTGATACCCTTGTGTTTGTCGATGTTTGCCCGATCCTCTCCACCTCCACCCCCGATCTTCTCTTTTTGGTTTCCCCTTTTTACTTCCATTTCTTCCAGATTCCTCTCTTCGTTATTCAGTTTTATATGAATGGATTTGTGTATTTGTGCACATTCGCTACTTTCTATCGAATCGAATCTATGACCGTTTCCTGGAGATCTCTTTCTATCGAATCTATGACCGTTTCCGTTTCCCTTTTCCCCTTTCATCTTGGCGACAAAGTGAAAAAATTGAAAATGTTAGAAATGATATTAGAAATGATTTCGAAAAGATTTTAAAACGTACAGAAACTTTCCGAAATTTCTGTAATCAGAAAGAAAAAACAAAACAATTGCCAACTTGTGATAGGAGTCTCGAGAGGTGGCGACTTTTGTGTAGAGGAAACATGTACAGAACTTCATCGATCACGCAGCAATAAAATTTGTGGGGGATCGATGATTGTTGAGTTCAATTTTGGGAAACTGCTAAACTTTTTATGTTGTTTTTTTTTTTCGATATTGCATGAAAAGGAATCGATAAGTGATAAAAACGAATGGCAATTCTAGAAATTTAATTGGAATCAACAAGCGCTTTTGATGAGAGCTTTGAATAGGAGTTTTTATGTTCAAAACAGGGTTCAAAAGCGTCATTTGAGCTTTTGAATGCATTTTTGCAGAGTTGAAAAGAGATTTCATTTGGACAAATTTACATAAAACTGCTTTTATTGCAGTAGAAAATAGTTTAGTATGACTGAATTTTGAAAAAGTATTAAAGCTAAAACTCTAGAGCTGTAAGAAGTATGAAACGTTTAGATATTGGGTTGGTCAATTGAAAAGAAAGTAGAAAGTAGATCTGTGATTATAAAATTTAAGAAAAGTCTAAGCCTTATAGAGCATGTAAAGTGGCTAGTTTATATTGGGTTGGTGAATTCAAAACTGCCGGACTTTGAACCAAAATTTATTCAACATAAAACCATCAATTCATTCCAAATAATTTTCATTATTATTGACGATATCTGCCCATTTTACAGGCAATTTGCGGATTCCTCTTTCGTAGTAGGATTTTGGTTTGTGTGTGAGACTCAAAAATCGAGGACTGGAGATGTCCCAGTTTGAGCACTTTCTTCAAAAGAGACCCATGTTGGTGTCAATAGAAAAGTTGTAGAGAATCAAAAATTAGGTTTATATCAAAATTTCCAAAAAGATACACTTAGTAGTTTCGCTTAAAATGCAAGTTTTGTGAAAATTCGTAAATTTGGCATTTCTTGAAAACCAGTTTTTGAATCATTCTGAAAATTTGGATATAAGCTTCATTTTTGATTCTCTACAACTTTTCTATTGACACCAAAATGGGTTTCTTTTGAAGAAAGTGCTCAAACTGTCACATATGACAATAGCCGGCAGTTTTCAATTCACCAATCCAATAAGAAGGAGATTTTTATGGTTTTTTTCCTTCTTTAAATTGTTAGATAAAAATCGGAAAGGATGATTTGGTATGGTGTAGATGAAAAAAAGAAGAATGAGTCTTCTAGTAAGAACACAGGACAGTCAATTTGCTGTACAGCTTACAATGGAAAGTGAGTCGGCAAAAATTGGGAGAAGGGACCGATCAACGGCACGCGAGACCCAATAGAAAACGAAAAAAAGTGAAGACATTTCTGTCAAACAAATGAAAGAAACTGTTTTTGGGAAAAGGAAAAAAAGAAAGAAAGAAAGAAAGAAAGATGGATGATTAGGAATTCTATTGGGAAAACGACAAACAGAGTGCCCATCATTGGAAAGCATTTCTATTCGATTTAAAGAGAATACTTTTTGAACTTTTGCGATAAACATGAAGAATTTGAATTTAACATTCAAAAAATCATTGTAGATTATGGAAATCGGAAAACTTTAGCTTTAGAAAGACGAAAAAGGAAAGTGGAAATGTGGAAATGTGGAAAAGCTTTTTCTCTTCATCTCTTCACGAGACAAATCAAGCCTTGTTACTCTCAATTTATCCATCAATGACGTGAAAGGAATTAGCGATTCTTTTTTCATAGAAACACAAATATTCGTTGTATATGATGCTGCTTTGTTATCAATGAGGGCTTATCACTCAACGCTTCTCCAGAGAAAAAATCCCTAAATAAGCGTTAAGAGAAGAAAATTTAGCAAAAGTCTAAATGCTGAAGAAAAAGAGAAAACTTAAACATTTAGGTTTGACGAAAAACTTGAGAAAACCAAGCTCGCAAATTGAATTTGTGAAAGGGAAGCGGATATGGAAATGCGGCGAATGTCCATGATGTCCATCTCCAGTCTCTCAAAGAATATCCTCAATTTATATCCTCAAAATCGTGTGTTTTGATTTTTTAAAGATCAAATATACACATATACGCAAAAGATTAATCGAGAAAATGATTGAAAAAGTTAAAGTGGAAGAGGAAGAGTGGAAGAGGAAGAGTTTACGCGCCTCCGGAAGAGGAATTTCATTGGAGAACGGGGAGAGAGATTTGTGCAGTAGATAATGTTCGTGAGAGTGAAAAATGATGAATTGTGAACGGATCAATGTGCAAGGAAAAAGAAAAAAAAGGGAACAAGGGTGCAGAGGAGACTTTTGAGTTTCATTTTTGATTGGGGGTGGAAAAAAAGAGGAGGATTGAAAGAGGGATGAATTGAGGACTCCTCGTTCTCTGCACGCTTTTCATTGAAAAAAAAAGTGCGCGCCACAGTTGCTTCAATATAAACAGAAGCTCGATCTTTTCTCCCTTTTGCCCATTCATTGCCTTTATTTCACGCCTTGCCACGGGTTTCCGCTGCTTTTTTTTCCTTGCTCGTTGGATCAATCAAATTTCCCATACGCTCTTTGTTCAAAAGTTATTTAGAATATTTACAATTGATCTTTCTGTATCATTAAATTTCTAGTTCTAGAAGCTCTAGAAGTTCTCGAAACTGGAATAAAAGAATCTTATTAAAGAATTTTAACAATTTTAAAGCCATTCAGAATAATTTAACATTGCATTATTTTAGTAGGATCTCTTTGAAGGAATCAAGTCATAATTAAGAAAAATGCCATCAAATTTTGCATCAAGACAAATGACAAATGCAATCATTTGAAGCAAAGATCTCACTAACAAATCCCCAATCAAATTCAACCATTTAAAGCAAAGATCTCACTAAAAGATTCCCAATACTTTTCCCTTCCCAAATTCAATCTCTACCGTAGTCTGAAAGGTAATAAACTAAAAAAAATTGTAAGAATTTGACATAAAAGAAGAGATGGACGCATTTAGAAACGGGGAGGAGACCTTGGCCTTGGTCTCAATGAAATTCGAGCCACTCTCGACAAAATACGAATGCAACCCGAGCTCTTAGAAAGAGAACCTGTAAGTGAAAAGAAACATCGAATGAGAGAAAGGAAAAGAGCCAACGAATAGATCTTTCATAGGTGCATTTTATCGAGTTATGCAAGTTATTGAAGAAAAAAAGATGGTGAAATTGAAGTAAACGAAAGCAAAAACAAAAGGCCCACCTGTGTTCATCGTTTTCGATGGTGAGGGGAAACGATGAGGAAGTGGCCAAAACATAGGACTTTGGCCGAGGACGGCGCATCGGGGACGCGGGCACCGATTGCGATTCCCCTGAAAATCATTTCAACATTTTTATAAACACTTTTGCACTTTATTTGTACTTATGAAAGTAAATGAAAGTTTGAATCTTGACGGCTAACGGCGAGAGCCAATTCTTTGGCCAACTTGCATCTCATTTTTAAGCACCTTAGACTTGTCAGATCAGAAAGTTTTAATAAGATTTAGATAGCTTAAAACGTGAGCTTTTAGAAACTATTTGTTTTATCAAAAGTTTTGAACAAAAAACTATCAAAAATCGGAGTGCAAGTTGGTCAAAAAAATTGGCTCTCGCCGTTAACCGTAAAGGTCCCTGAGTTTTTCAGTGAATCACTTTTCAAGTAGAATACAAAGAAAAAAATTATTTATTGTCTCTTGTCAAGGAAAATTTGTTTTTTATTTACATTCTAAAGCAATGCAGATCTTGGAATGATAATTTTTGAAAAATAGGAAATGGAGGCATGCAAGCAAAACCTTACTGATACTTGTGCATCTTTCCCAGCACACAAAAAGCAAATTTGGCTTCTTATTGGCCAGCTTATTGGCCTCCAGATGCACAAATTGGTTTACGCGATAAACAAAATTCATGTATTTTATCTTACCTACCGTAAATACTGTAATAGTACCCCACCCCCATAATGACGGTGCGGAGTGTTGTGTAGTCTAGCTTTGAACGAGTTTTTCTCGACACTGGTTTATGCTACAATGCGCGCTTAGATATCAAAAAATAGCTCTGAATTTTAGCTATTTTTTGATACCAAAGACGCATTTCTTGAAAGTACGGGCGCTTTGAAAAAAAATTAAATACTAAAAAACGCGACTACGCGACTGTACGAAGGGGGGTGGGGTACTATTACAGTATTTACGGTATGTGCGTGATATGTATTGTTTTTAAAATTTCAAAGTACAGTGGGAAAAGGTGCACAAGTGAACAATTTGCATTTAACTCTAATCATTGCGGTGGAAAAGATGCACAAGTGTCAACTTACTATTAGTTGTTCAGTTCTGAAAATAAAGTCCTATCGTAAGCTGAGCTAATTTTAGGAGAGAATCCAAGTCTATCCGTTTTGCGTGGATGGGTGTCGCCGATGAAACAGATTTTACCCTAGGGACTACACTAAACCCTTGGAATTCATCTTCGGGGACCTTCCCTGAATCCTTTTGATAGCGCTTTTAAAGGCTCTGGAAAGGCTAAAGTTAGAGAGGGATTCGAGAGAGGTTTTCAAGAGAGGGATTCTTGCGAATTTTTAGCTTAAAAAACAAAATTTTACGAGAATAAAGCCTAGCAAATATGGCACATAAAGAGTCGAGTCAAAATGACTAATATGAGAGAAGAGAAAAACGGAGAAAAAAAAAGAGAGAGAGAGAGGGAGCAAAGGAGTCTAACCCTTGCCTCGAAATGAGGTCAGTCAAAAATCTCTTTCAACAATCGGATGTGAATAGAGAAACACGATTTGTCCCCACTCACATCATTTTGACAGCTGACTATTGCTAGATTCCGTGTTTCTGCAAAACGAATACCGTTTTCGGGTATTCCTATGCCTTTTTCCCAGTCCGATTGCGCTACTTTAAAAGATAGAATCTGAACTACAATGCTATTATTTTTCAAAAAGAACCTTAGAAAGTCTGTTAACGTTTTGTAGGCTTGCAATACCAAGGAAGGATAACAAATATTTACTATATAGAAAAGAGCAATGTGAAAAGAGTCCATCCATCTATACGGGCCTTTTCTCAACCGTCTTTGAGCCAAAAAGTCTCAAAATATAATATAGTTGTACCATTTCAAATAAAAAAGAAAATTGATTGCAACTAGGGACTCGAACCCGGGAGGTGTGGGCTGTAGGCCATCGCACTCCCGACTGCACCACAGAGACTAAATGCTAGCGGCAAAACATCCAGCTAGAGAAACCTCTTTGACAAATTTTTCGGCATAAAATGACAAGCTGAACTAGAGAACAACGAGGTGGATTGGTTGTCGAATTTGGGTGAATGGGTGTCATCTTTCCCTCTAGCCCTTTCCCACTAACCATTCTAGCGACCAGACGAGAGCTGCCACCCCGCAGATCCACCCTACCGGAGAGGTCAAGCGCGCACAGCTGTCACCCCATTTGAGAGAATTTGCTCACCTCGTAACCATTTATCGCTCTCGCGCTAATTTCTCCGCTATCAAAACTTTCGTTTCGTAATCCGGTGAAAGGAAAAAAAAGCGCAAAAACGGCTTGTTTGGTCCGTGGTTTCACTAGCCACACAAAATTTGCATTCTCATTTCCATGAGAACAAAGTATCGATTTGAGAGTCGGACACTGATAAAAAGTTGGACAATATTTGAAATATAAGGAAATCAGTAAAAAGATATGTTTATATTGAGTGGTAGTGTGGGATCTCATACATCTATTCATTCCACATCTAGAGAGAGGTCCTTGCAATTATATAAACGTGGAAAAGAGGAATGTGCTCGACGATGCGTAAAGCAAAAGCCCTGGTTTCTTCTTATGGTTAATGGGCTCCTTGAATAGACTTTCGAACTTGAGGCTAAGAATACACTTATGATTATTTGAGTACGTAGTAATTAAGTGATCACAACAAAAAGGCTATTGAATAGTAAAAAATGAGGGTAGTCTTGAATTTTCGGTTTTCTCATAAAAGCTTATTAGTAATTGGATGCAGACAATAGAGTGTTGAGAAGAAAATGGTGATCGATTGACGGTCAAATATGGATGGCACACCTGGCCTTGAAGGGGTGAAAGGAAAGGGGAACAGCCCGTGGAGCCGACCATCAACAAAGAGCTCTTTGTTTTTGTTTGTGAAAGGGGAATTTGATTAATAAAGTGCATGATAATATAGTTGAAACTATAAACAATTGGAATACTTACTACAGACTGACTTTGACTGACTGTCTCAAAATAAAATAAAATTCTAATACAGTCTCGATATAACGACTCTGTCGGGACCGCGAAATGGAGTCGCTAAATCGAAAATCGTTATGTAGAAGTAAGCAAGACCGGTAACAAGACCCGTATGAGTCGTTGTATCGAAAAAGTCGTTAAATCGAGAGTCGACTGTATTAGAACTTGATTTTCTTTCGAGAAAGTCAGTCAAAATCAGTCAAAATTTTGTAAGATTGAATCCTTAAAAGAAAGAAATCGAAAAGGTTCAAAGAAGGTTCAAAGAACTTTTAAAAACAAGTAGAGATTTTTAATTCCTAAAGCAAAAAAAGCTTGAGTCATTGTGCAGAAAGACTTGAGAGAAAAGAGGGGCACGTTTGCGTAAAATCAGGTCACTAATAAATCGCACAAATAGACTTTTTGGCAATCGAGACGTCACCTTTCTGATGGAAAACTTTTATGGATTCATGAGGAATATGAAGAATAAAAAAAAGGTGAAGATGAAGATGAAATGGGATGTGAAGTATATGAACAAAGTTCAGAACCGAACTCTCTTCTGTTCTGAACTTTGTTCATATGGGGGAATCGACTTTGTTTCATATGCCATATGGCACAATTTCCATTTTCTTTTCTCTTTTGTTCTAATTCCTCTTTTCAAAGCTCAAAACGCGTAAGCAAGATTCACAATTAGTCATCTCTAATTGAAAGAGAAAGCCCCGGGTCTCGGAATCTAATTTTGATGAAATATCGAAAGCTATAGTTGAAAATCTATCTTTCCCTTCATCTTTCCCTTTATCATTCTTTTGCGAACCGTATTAGTAGGGTTTGGAATAAGCTCCCGTCTGGTATCTTCTCGTCTGTAGGAAAATTGAAAGTATCTGTGAACGAATTAGATCTTATTGCCATGTCAAATCTGCCCTATATTTAATCTTTTTGTATCTGTGTTTCCTAACTGTACTCTTACTGTACTATCTTTAGTTTTCTCTCTTTTTTCGGTGAGAGTATTGTGGCAATATGTTATATGCAGTTATGATTATCTGATTCGCTTTTATTCGCCCCATGAATAAAGCATATATATATATAAAATTCTTAGAAAAAGCTATTGTAATCGACCTAAAACAATTAACGAATCAAATAAAGTGACAAAGGGGAATTGAAGTGTTCCACTAATTCTAAATAGACTGATCTAAGTAGACTAATTGCAAGAACTCACTATGAATCTAATCAATTTTTAAGTAAAACTCGAAATCCTCTAAACAATAGTCATCCCTTTTTTTCTATTACAGAATCTGTAAATGTTTTCAATAAAAAAAATAACAATAATAGAGTTGAGCTGGGTGATCAATCGATCGAATAATCACCTATTGAAAGGCTGAGAAAAGGAGAAAAGAAAAGAAAGAGGATTCTCTCCAAAAAGGACCAAACAAACGACAGCTGTCCATGCAAAAATCACCAATAGGATAGGATAGTGATAGGATAAAAATAGTTAACAAAAAGCTTTACAATAAAAATGTTTTATTAAAAAGGCATTTACCTAATAATGTAGGCATTTCGGAGGAGGGAGGTGGCTCGAGAAGGGATCGGCTCGTTTGTTTCGACGTGACACGTACCGATGAAGAACCCTCTAAAATAGAGTTGAAATTAAAAAAACCAAAAAAACCAAAACCTTTCCGTAAAAATAAAAAGCTTTTCTAGTTGTTTAATCTATTATAAACATTAATTCAATAACAAAGCGCTAGAAAAAGGGGGATAGATTGTCGCGAAGCAAAACGAAAACAACAAAAATTTCTTTTTTGAAAAGAGGGCCGTGAATCAACATCCTCCACAATAATAACATTCTAGATATTTGCTATTTTTTTTTGTATAAATGATTCTGCTGCTATAATTATCGCCAAAAGGTTTTCGATGGGTTTCGATGCCTTTTCGAGAACTCAAGTACTTTCCTTTAGCAATTTGAGCAATAACTTTTCTGGTTTCAAAATAGTCAATTCCAATCTATTGATGGCGTTTTTAATGCAATTCTATTTCTCTCTAATCACTTTGAATTTGACTTTCCAACCATTTTTAAAAAAAATAAATCATTAAACAATTTCTAAGACATTTGCTAAAAAAACGCATAGACAAAAATTCTAGGAATAATTTCATTTAAAAGAAATATCTTGTGCGAGGCTCTTTGGAGTGGAGACACTTCTCTTAAAAAGCTTTTTTTAGACAAAAGCTTCAATTTCCGTTCAATTGCACATACTCCCAATGGGAGAGTGAAACGAGTTGATATTTCAAGAAAAAGGCAATGATTGTTGATTAACTGGAGAGATCTGTAAAGTAATGATTGTTGATTAAATAGAGAGATCTGTAAAGCAACGGTTGTTGATTAACTGGAGAGATCTGTAAAGCAATGATTTGTAAAAAGAATAGGTAAAGTTGAGGGTATTTGTTCTCCATTTTTGGACCAAGTTATCAAAGAAAAGGAGTTGACAAAAAAAGGAGGGTTTTCAGAGAAAAAGAGAGAATGATGTGTGTGACTTGGCGCTCTGACTTTGGCGCCAAACAAGAAACCCCCTTGATGTGTCTCCCCTTTACTCTCGATCAGTCTTCTTTTACTCAATCTTTGACTTACCCCAATCCTTATAAAGAGACTTTCTTTTAAAAGAGTCAGGTCTTACAGCCTTTTTATACTTCTATTAGGTTAAAGGTATATTGATTCGACACGAATAATCAATTACAACACAACGGAGGAAATTTTTTTTATTTCTAGTTATCCCTGTTACCTAAATGTTGTTAAGAAAAAACCCATAATAATGGGAAAAAGAATCAATCTTTCTAGCCGCCGGGATCGAACCCTTGACCCGCCGACTAAGAGACAAGACAAGACAAGACTCCGGTCGGCTACGACGTTAGTGCAAGTCTTTACAACTTTCTTCAAACTTTTGTTTCCATAGAAAAGAATCCTTTACCAAATTTTTTTGTGTCTTAAACTATTAAAAACTAAACTAGGAAAAAACTATTAAACATTAAAAATTAAAAATTAAAAATTAAACATTTCTCTACAAAGCTTTTAAGAGAAAGCTCAAAGTTTGCCTCAACTCGGTAAAAACGCATTTTTCTGTAAAATTTTCAATTGCTATTTTAAAAAATGGCTAAATACATCGTTTTCGTTTTTTTATTTAATCAAATAAGCTTTATCTTTTTTATTTTAGCACTAAAATAGATTTGTATTGAAGAAAATATTCAAATTGGGACTTCGGAGTAGTTTTTGGTGCTCGCCTTTGAAAATCCATAAAAACGACTATCCAAACGAATCCAAGAACTTCTCAAAAGCCATTTTGTAGTGTAACAATTAATTTTTTTAATAGTTCAACTAGAAATTCTGTTGGTGACAGCATTTTTTAAAAGACGTTTGGAAAAAAAATTGGGAAGATCACCCTAATATGATTGTAAACAAAAAAAATTGGTTAGTACAAACCACGATTGCGTCGATGTCGTCGTCCTCTAGCTGGTGGACTTCTTAAAGTGACATGCACCGTTGAACCAGCTGTCTCCAATGAATCAATCTCCACAATTTGCAGCTTTCTTTTGCTTTGATTATTCTCAAAATTTGGATTGATCACTCGTTGAAAGACTTTCTCGTCCTCGTCTTTTTCTTTTTCTTCCATTGCAGCTCGAAGGCTTTCTCGGCGATGAAATCTTGTGTGTGATCCTGAGAATAACGCATGCTTACATGTTAGGAATTAGATGGGTTTTTTGAAAAGAAATAGTCCGTAGTAAGAAGAACGATTTGCAAATTCTTACCTGCATCTGCAGAGATTGTTTGCTTGATCTTTTGTTTTGTACCCCCAGCAATGGCAGCCATAAAAGAAGCTTGTCGTGCACCTCGACGCTCAAAAGTTGATGTCGAGATACGGTCCTCAGGTGGCGTTCCATTTAAGTACTCTCTGAATTGAAATATCAAGATTAGATCGTGTTTAATTAGATTCTCTAACTAAAGTTATCGTATTTTCTCTAATAGTAATGCACTCCGGCGAGCCGAGTTGATAACTATTTTACGGTTTCCAAGCTTTTGCAGAAGCTCAACACTCAAATCCCCCACTAGATCTCATCGTGAGCTACATTTCCCGACCCCACATCGATAGGTTCTGATAAGCGGTTCTCGAGATTTCGAGGAATTTAGGCGACGCTCAGGGTGCACTACTATTAGAGAAAATACGGTATACCTGTGAACAATAAGTGGTTGTGTTTGTGATCGACTCGTATTCGGAAGAGTGCCACCGATCGAATTTTTCTGATTTATCGTTCTATAAAAAGTGTATAAGTTTTTTAGTATAACCTTGTTTACCTGTTTGAATGAGTTCGTGGTCCTGTAGCATATGAAGAATCAATTTTTAAAAGGTTTCCATTGAGCTCACCAGTGGATGAAAGCTAGAAGGTTGTGAAAACTTTGAAAGATTTCTAGATTACATTAAGATATGATAATGATATTCTCTCTTTGTTTCAGTCTTCAGTCTACCTATAATTTTAAATCAAATAAAACCTCATGTAGAGATAAAGGTGAATGAGCAAGTCGAAGAGTTGGAAACTGAGAATCCGAAGGCAACGAAGCCTCCATCGTACGGAAATGAGAAGCAGGAGAATGGGGAGCTGTCTGTAAAAAATACAATTGGTCGGATTTGGATCAAGATATACAGAGAACAAACTTCTAAAAACCAACATTAAAAGATTTTTGTCCATGACTGTATATATGTTATGTCTGATTTAGACTCAGTTGTTGTTTTATGTTTTACAGAAGTTTTCAGCATTTTTTTATCGGTTGTGAATTGCAAACAAGTTTATTTTTAGAATAAACAACAAAAGATGCAAAAACAACAAAATTGAACAATACATAATCAACTTAAATTAGACTGCAACAACTGCAATTTTTTGTACAATGTTTCAAAAACGAACTTTGATATCCCGTAGTAAATCCTAAGATATTGCCACATCAATCCAATGCGTGCTCGACATAACAAAAAAATTCTGAAAACTTCTGTAAAACATAAAACAACAACTGAGTCTAAATCAGACGTCCGATTTAGATTGAGTCCAAATCGGACGTCTGTTTTAGATTGAGTCTAAATCGGGCGAAAATCTAAATCGGACATAACATATATAAAACGAGTAATAACAAATTAAATAACAAATTAACCTATAGTTTCCTATTAGGCTTTTCAGAAAATTTTTTCATTCCTTTTCATATTTTCCGTAAAAAATAACAAATTAACCTATAGTTTCCTCAAAAAAAATTAACATAAAAAGTGTTTATTGTTCAATTTCCTTTTCTTTTTAAGTCAATTTCAGTTCACTTTCAAGCAAATTCGTGAAAACACGTGTTTTTCGTAAAAAAAAATCTATCAAAACCTCTACGAAGAAATTGGCTGAAATGATTTCTCTGAAAATTTAGCTATAAACCTAACTTTTTATGCTCTTTCTTTTATCTATTGACACGAAGATCGGTTTCCTTAGCTAAAGTGTCTAAACCGTATCATCGAACCGTCACACCTCTGCGCAAAATAATGTAAAAATGCGTTCTCTGTTAAAAATCACTGCCATTCGTGTTTTTTAGACTCTACTTTACATATTGTTTCATTAATTCTATAGTTTTCATTATTTTTATGCTGCTATTATATTTATTAACTATAAATTTTAGTTTAAAAGTAAAAGTAAACACCACCCAATTGCTGCCTCCATGCGCCGAGTTCTATTTGTCCAGGACTACACGGCTTTACGCTTTCAAAAAAAAATCCAAAAATAAGACATTTTATACCTGTTTTATTGTCATTTTACAGAAAAATAATTGGCCTTTCTAATGAAAAAAAACCCGTAGTTCAATTAGTGCATTTGTTGGTTTTAAATAGCAGTACGAAAAGGTACGAAAAGATTTTCTGGACAGTCTAATTGTTTCAAACCGATAAAGGACGAGGGTTACGACTCCAGCCGGGACTGTGTCTCATTGATCTCGATGATGTTCCAGCCAACCATTCAGGAGTACCTTAACCGCTAGTCAAATTTGTTTCAGAAATTTTCTGACTTTTCTTTCTTTTTCTTTCAATAACACCAACACGATTTCTCTTAATATTTGCAATTTGCTATCGCTATTTGCTATAGAATATAGAATAATTGCTATAGAACTATTCTATATTCTATAGCAAATAGCGAATAATTGCTATAGAATAGTTTTCATGAATCAAAATGGTATTTACGATTTCATCAGAGCTTTTCATTCTTTATAATAACAAGCTATAATAGCTTTTTTTTTGTTTAAAAAGGTTTTTTCTAAATAAAAACAAAGTTTAATAACATTGAACACACCAGTCAATTGACTTCGAGGTCGTTCCATCCATTCATAAGGTGGTGGGGAGTCAAAATGAATAGAAGGATCCTAAATGATAATGAAAAAAAGTGAAATAGAAGATATGAAATAGAAAAAAAGATACCTGGAAAGAGTTTGATGGTGGATTGATGATGATATCTTGTTGTGAATCAAGGGGATTTCCCACAGAGACTCTTAAAGCTTCGGGTGGTCCATCCCTTTGTGACCGCATTTCCACCAAAACCCACCCAAGCTCTCCTTCCTAAATATAAGTATAATTAAAAGTATAATGAAATAAAGATCTTGAGCTCTATAAAGCTTTTGTTTTCACATATGAAAAAGGATACTATTACTAGAAATAAACCATAACGTATCTCAATTTTCAGAAAAAAATAAAATATTTCAAAAAAGCCGAATAGAAAATTTCAATTTTCCAAAAAAGAACGTTCAGAGACGGGGTGACATTCAAGCCTATCAGAATCGTGTTTTGGAGAAAAGCAAACAGTGCGAAGTGAAGCGAGAAAAAGTTTCCCCAAGCAAAAAGACTGACTCATTGGCGAAACGAAAGGAGACACAGCTGTCTTCAAGGAATTGTGTGTAGAAGAAAATGAATTTTCAAATGTAAACAAATCAATTCGATTTGATTTGATATTGAAGATGAAAAAAGAAGTGTAGAAAAGGAAAAAAAAAAGGGGTCGCAGATAGGAGTAGAGAGAGCACAAAAAAACGCTTTTCGGGGTCAACTCCGAAAAAGACGAAAAAGGGGAGAACACGAGTGACTGGCAAGCATCAATGTGTTTGAGACTGTAGAAGGTGAGGGAAAAGAAAAGAGAAGTGAGGAAGGAAAGGGGGATCGAAGGGGTCATCCCTGGGGACATACCGTGGGATATTTTATTTGAAGAGACACGAAATGACGCAAGCAATCACTAAAAATGAATTCGTTTGCTATTGGTTTCAGTCATAGCTTTTTTTTCTATTAAAGCCATCTTTAAGAGATAAATAGTGCTTTAGCGCCTTAATAGACAATTAGACAATTCTGCGGAAGGAATACGATAGCTATTGGGTTGGTGAATTGAAAACTGCCGGCTATTGTCATATATGACAGTTTTTTTGACAAAATTCGAATATCTTTATTTAAAGCCATTTACAAAGCAAAAGAGAAATCCCTGTCTAAATGACTCGGTGTTCTTCGCGCGGCCGCGTAATCGCTCGTCGTCTGGCGCAGGGCTTTTACATAACCCCCCTCCCCTCTCTGCTCTGTAATCTATATCCTGGCCCTTTCCGAATCCTCAAATTCGACATTGACTTCTCCTCAAATCAGGGTAATCTTAATAGCTATTAGGTTGGTGAATTGAAAACTGCCGGCTATTGTCATATGTGACAGTTTGAGCACTTTCTTCAAAAGAAACCCATTTTGGTGTCAATGGAAAAGTTGTAGAGAATCAAGAATTAAGCTTATATCCAAATTTTCAGAACGATTCAAAAACTGGTTTTCAAGAAATGTCAAATTTACGAATTTGCACAAAACTTGCATTTTAAGTGAAACTACTAAGTGTATCTTTTTGGAAATTTGGATATAAGCCTAATTTTTGATTCTCTACAACTTTTCTATTGACACCAACATGGATCTCTTTTGAAGAAAGTGCTCAAACTGGGACATCTCCAGTCCTCGATTTTTGAGTCTCACACGTGTCTCACACACAAACCGAAATCCTACTACGAAAGAGGAATCCGCAAATTGCCTGTAAAATGGGCAGATATCGTCAATAATAATGGAAATTATTTAGAATGAATTCATGGTTTTATGTTGAATAAATTTTAGTTCAAATTCCCGCAGTTTTCAATTGACCAACCCAATATCTAAACGTTTCATACTTCTTACAGCTCTAGAGTTTTAGCTTTAATACTTTTTCAAAATTCAGTCATACTAAACTATTTTCTACTACAATAAAAACAGCTTTATGTAAATTTGTCCAAATGAAATCAAATTGCCTTTAAAATGGGCAGAAGTCGTCAATAATAATGGAAATTATTTGGAATGAATTCATGGTTTTATGTTCAATAAATTTCAGTTCAAAGTCCCGCAGTTTTGAATTCACCAACCCAATATTTCTTCTGTAAATAGTGCCTAATCCAGTTTAAAACAGTAAAGAAGCAATCGCGCAATTTCACGAGTTCATAAAAGTTCATAAAAGTTCAAAAGTTCAGAAGTTTAAACAAGAGTTTATAAAAGCTAAAAATAAGAAGTGATTTTTGTCGAAAATTGGTTAGAAGTGTTCAATTCCTTTGTATGTAAAGAACTCAAAAAAAAAGATGACAATATCCTGTGGTGGGGGTGTCCGTGCGATCTTCCCCTCTTTCCTCTTTTTTCTCTCTTTTTTTTCTTCTTTTATCCCACCTCAATTCTCTACTCTTCCCTAAGCCCAATATCCACAACCCACACCTTCTCCCTCTCCACTCAAGATTCCCAAACAAATCCCCCCCCATTTTCTATTGATTCAATCGGAGTTTCTGTCCAGCAAATTAAAAGGTTTCAAAAAGGTAGTTACCTTAAAGTTCAAGGTTCAATAGAAATGAAATGTTCAAGTTTTAAGTTCAAAAAGTATCATAAATACACTAATAGAATCCCCACATACAGTCGCGTAACTTCTCTTTAGAAAATCCCCACCTCTAGATTTTTCCTAACTACACTTTTAGTACCAAAAATACTAGATTTCTTAGGCTATCATTTGACACTCAAGCAAACACTGTAGCTTAAAGCAACGCGGAGAATGGGACGTTTAAAGTTAGACCACGCGACTGCACGCTCGTCATTATGGGGATGGCACTATTGGAGTATTTACGGTAGAATATGGCTAGCCAGGCGAATGAAAACTTCGAAAAGCTATTTGAATGAAAAATATTTGACTTTAGGAAATGTGAAAAGGAAAAAAAGCACAAATTATTCGAAACAAATCTTTCGATAAGGCTAAAATAAGTTTTTTTTCCAATCCAATTTTTCCAATTGTACGTTTCTCAGTCTTTATCGCGAAATCATAAAAGAATGCTTTGTGAGCGCTTTGCCCGTCGAAACAGCTACCATCATTTAGAAAATTCAAATGTTTTTGCCAAAAAAGCCGTTTATAATTTGACAATGTTTTTGCTGACTGCAGAAAAAAGAAAAGATATTGGCACTTGATATGTGTCTATCCATTTGATGTACTTGATCATCGATAGGATCAAGATAGCAGAGAACATTGAGAGAGAGACATCACGAGCGATGATGGTGATGAGCGGGAATCACAGGGAAAGGCGACTCGAGTCACCCATGAGTGCATCGACAAACACCATTCCCCTATGGATGGCTTCCCCCAAATCCCCCTTTCGATTCGTCGATCCCCACCCTCACCCCAGGATCTCTTCCGACTAAATTACCCTTGTCCAATTGTCCAATTGAGTTTTCAAAAGATTTAAATTTCGGCGCGATTCTCCTGCACACTTGTCACTTTAAAAGAGTTCGAATGAACTGGATTTAGGTGAAAATTTTAGAACCAAGAACATTAGACTGTAATGTTCTTGTCTAATGTTGTCTTGTCAAGAACATTAGACTACAACTACCGTAAATACTATTAGGTTGCAACAATAATGACCCTAAATGTTTTTTAATCAAGCCCCTCCCTTTTTCATATATACAAAGTAAAAGATGCTACATAAATAACATAGTGCCCAAATACATTTCTTTTTGGTAAAAATGGAGGACAAAATCGTATCGGCCATGCTACGATTTTAAACAAGGAAAATCACCAGCTGAATCCATCGCACGATCATCACTGTTTTGGGGAGAAAAGTATACACATTCGGCAATGTCAACGATGGTTTCAAAGATTCCAAGGCGGCGATGAAGCCTCGTAGACGAGCCACACCAAGGACATCCTCCAGAAGTGGTCGACGATGCTTGCTCGCCTTATTGAAGCGCCCAACACCACCGTTCGTGAGTTGGCAAAATATTTGAAGTATCCCATACGACAATCAAAACTATTTACACAACTTGGGAAAGAATCGAGTTGGAAATGGGTTCCTCACGAACTGACCCAAAGCAAAAAATGTCGCCTCAATTTTGCTACAAAAATGTGATCAAACGCTTTTTCCGGGTTTTGACTTCTGACGAAACGTGGTCAACTACGGAACGTTAACGCAAAATCATGGCTATCTGCTGGGCAGACCCCTTAAACCACTCCCAAACCTGATTCCATAGGAAGAAGTAATGCTCTGTTGCTGGTGGAACTTCAAGGGTTGGTGCATTATGAGTGCTGAAACCTGGCCAAACCGTCGTGCTGATCTTTATTCGAAGCAATTAATGAGGTTAACGAGTCTTCGAAGAATTGGGGCTCAAACCGGAGAGAGTCAGATTTTTACACGACAACGCAAACCTCACCTGCAAAGATCACTTATAAGAAAATCGAGGAACTTGGCTGGAAGTTTTGCCCCACGCGCCTTATCACCTGATCTGGCTCCTTCAGTTCTTTTTGTTTCGGTCGCTGGCCTTTTTGGGGGGAAGTTCGTGATCATGCCAGGTCATAAAGCAGTGAATGACTACTTCGCCTCAAAAGTCCCAAGTTCTTCGAGTATGGGATCCGGGATTTGCGCAGAAGATGGGAAGAAGTCATAGATACTAATGGAGATACCTTTCGAATTGAAGCTCTTCTTTGTGTTTTTGAAATAAATGATTTGTTACATAAACGCGTCATTATTAAGTTGCCAACCTAATATAATAGTACCCCACCGCCATAATGACGGTGCGGAGTGTTGCGTAGTCTAGCTTTGAACGAGTGCTTCTCGACACTGGTTTATGCTACAATGCGCGCTTAGGTATCAAAAAATAACCCCGAATTTCAACTATTTTTTGATACCAAAGACGCATTTTTTGAAAGTACGGGTGCTTTGCAAAAAATGAAATACTAAAAAACTTTTGGGACTACACGACTGTACGTGGGCTGTGGGGTACTGTTACAGTACTGTTACAGTACTATTACAGTATTTACGGTATGAGTATCAGTAGTGTTAAGATAAGAACTTTTGGTTTTTCAACTTAGCCCAACCCAATGATACTTACAATTAAATAATATTGGCCAAACATAAGGAAAAGTGTTTCGAAATCATAGTAAAGAATCAAATTCATAAAAGTGATAAGTTAAAGTCAAGAAAAACAAGTTGTAGATCGAGGTAAAAAGGGAATGGAAAAGAAGGGGGAAAAGAGGCGTGAGTGGATAAATGCGCCTCGATCAGAGTCGACCAAAAAGAAACGATTTGCGAGCGGCTGGGAAAGTATGGAAATTTGGAGGAGAAGGGGATTGTGAATAGAGGAGGAGAATCGATGTAGAAGGGCATTCTCCCTCAAACAATCGACAAAGAAAGAACTCTCTCTTCTATAGACTATCTAGGTTACTCCAACCCTTGTTTTCTTAGCTTTGATGGTTTATAGTGGTGAATTCGTGTCGCAAAGTTTGCCTAATTTTATGGAAAAGAAATTTGAAATAAAGAAAAATGAGGAAGCAAAGAGAAAATCTGCGAAAAAAAAAAGCCCAGGGTCATAGAAAAAAATGTCCTTCAACTGACCAAAGCCAAAAAAAAAATCGATTGGATTTCTAGATGATTCATCGTAATTTCCGCCGCACTATTTTCCGCGAATCCCTTTTAACGTTTTTTGTTTTCTGTTTATTTATGAGTAATTTGATGATAGGAAAGATTGTTGAGATTGAGGAGAAGCTCCATCAATTCACATACGAATAGAGACAGAATAGAGACAGAATAGAGACAACAGAATAGAGACACAGACTCCTTCTCCACAAATTCCAGAGCAGATATCGATCTTTACGATCTCTTAAAAGAAAACTTTCACCCTTTTTCAATATCGAAATGAAAAAATATGAAATAAAATCATTGAAAATCATTGAAAAATAAAGGATTTTACTTGGAAGCGTTGATTTTGTTTGATGTTTTGTTTTGTTTTGTTTTACTTGATTTTGTAGCTGAGCGTAGGTCGGTAGTTCAAATCCTAATCGCCAGGTTTCCATCTTATTTAAGAGATTGTACAATAAAACGAATATTCAAAGAATTGATTGAGAAAAGAAGCGTTGAGCAAGTGTGAGGAATTGTCTTCTTAGTGTTTTGTTTGGGAAATCGGCCGTTTCTTTGTCGCGAATCGAATAGTTTATATTGGGTTCCCCCTCAAAAGGCCGAAGCCCATCTGGAGGACTGAAGGAGTGAGAGCAAAAACAATACCCACTCGAGCGGGGGCCGAACCCCGGTCTCTTGTCTTCCCAATTTTCCCTCAACTAACCCACTCAACCAAAGAAAACGCTTGTCAAGGAATGAACTAAAAACATTTAAAGAGATTAGCAGCTGAAATTTACTGGAAAGATTACTGGAAAGTTATTGGAAAGATTAGTTCGTTGAGAACTATAAAAGAGGAATCAATTAGATATTTGGAAAAATGTTAAGACTCAAGCTTCTAATTCATCGATTGGATCAATTCATGGGTTGAATCAATTCATGGGTTGAATCAATTCATCGATTGAATCAATTCTTCGGTTGAATCAATTCATCCGTTGAGAACAAGTTTAAAAGTTTTAAATGATATTTACCCTTTGCCAGAAAAAGCTTATCCAAAGATAAACAAGCCATTCAGTGTGGCATTTACACAAAAAAGCAGCTTTCCTTTCCCTCTCACTCTCCCAAACCGCCCACCATTATTCTTTTCTTCTTGCTGGAAAAGCAATATCTTTCCACCGAAATATGATCGACAATACCCAATTTGAAATCTTTCTACACTAGAAAATAGTACGAGTTCAAGTTTTTTTTTTTTGACACATTCCACAAATAAAAAAACTCTTACAAGGGAACGTTCCCAAGTTACCCAAGAGTTAGGTGTCGCAATATGAGGTAGGTGCCAAAAGAAAGGCCTGACAATGTACGTTCAGAAACTGTTTTCAAAAAGCGCTAATCGGCAAAGCGCACAAAGTTACAGCCATTTGAATTTCGAAAAAATGAAAGCTTTTCTCGAATTTCTGGCACACTGATTTTTGCCGGCGGAAAGGCTTTCCTTTTGCCATTCATTTTTTTCAAAATTCAAATGGCTCTAACTTTGTGCGCTTTGCCGATTATCGGTTTTTGAAAACAGTTTCTGAACGTACATTGTCAGGCCTTTCTTTTGGCACCTACACTACTGGACAATGAAATATCATATTTGAAAAAAGTTCGTCACTTTCGCGCGTCTGTAACTCCATTGTCTTTACCGTATTTCTAAATATTAATATTACCATTGTGTAGCCATTGAAAAGAGCTTTCAGAAAATGTATAACACTAATAGTTTAAACTCAAAGAAAAGGGAGTTACATACGCGCGAAAGTGACGATCGTTTTTCAGATATGATATTTCATTGTCCAGTACTGTACCTCTTTATTGTAACTCGCGGGTAACTTGAGAAGGTTCCCTTGTTCGAATTCCTTAGAACTAAGAAAACCCATTTTTTTGTGTGCAGTAATTTAATCAGAAACCGAAGAGAATCAAGTTTTTAATAATATTTGAAAAAGTAAAAGTTCAGTTTCCGCTGGCTATGATTTTGTCGTCACATGTGGATATTTTAATGGATCAAGGAGGGTTTTTGGGAAAAGAAAAAGGAATAGAATGATCAGCTCCCCTTAAAATCTTTCCCACTACTTTCCGGTTATATCAAATCTGCATTTTCACACAATTTACATACCGTAAATACTGTAATTGGACCCCATGGGGTACTATTTTTTCCCTCCCCCTCTGGGGTGGGGTACTATTTAGAGGGTGGGGCACTATTAGAGGGTGGGTTACTATTTTACACCACTATCCGAGTTACCAAATCAGGAAACATTCAAATAATTTGTTCAAAAGCAAACTTTTTCTTTAGTTTTTATTGGTTTTAGCCATTTGAAAATTTAACAGCAAAACGAAACAAAAACAACTAACAATGAAATCAATAGAAACATCCGAATCAATGAATTCATCATTTTCTGATCATCAATTCCTCGATGTCCTTGAAATCCCGTCGATGCGAGGGCTCCAAGAGGCCCTTGATTTCTGTCTTTCCGAGCATTTCTCATCCCTGTACAATAGATTAAAGATAATAATTAAAGATAAGTCCACCGAAAGAGCGTTACAAGTATTCCGCCCTGATCCATTATCGAAGCACTTGCTTTTCTTCTCTTTCCAACAGAGCAATAACTTTGATTGGAACTTTGTCTCGATTTTTTCGTTCATCGTTTTCCGAGGCACCACGACAAAGGGCGTAACTTTTCCCCATCGGAACGAGCAGTGGCATCACGGATGTATTCATCTTGTCGTAGCCGCGGGTGAGAACACCAACTTCTTTGGCTCCAACCGCTTCGCGCACTGCTTGTCGAAGCATCCAGCCAAACCGCCGTCTCATCGCAAGCAACAATGGGCTTGTAGTCGCTTCTTTGATTGTCTTGTTCAGCCTCAGAATGTGCTCGACGATAGCCCTCACAAATTCGCTCGGCAGCTTTTGACAAGTTGTTGTTGGTGCCCTCAAAGAAAGTTGGTGGCGCTCAAGAACGACTCCATCCACCATGGCTTCTTTTGAAAGAAATTTCAGCTTTTTCGAATCGATTGCCCTTCATTCCAGATAATCGTATCCATTCAGCCAAACCGATATCAATCCCCTCCGAGTTCAAGTGGCTTTTAGTGGTTCAGTCTTCTAAGTGGGCCATCTTTATGATTTTGGTGTTACTTTGTTGCACTTGTTGAGATCTACAATCATAAAGATTCGCCAACTTAGAAGGAATTTATGGCGAGCTGCGCAAAAAAATTTGGCGCAAAGTAGCCACTCCAAATTTAAAAACAACAAATTTATGGAATAAAATTAAAAATACAAACGATTTCTGAAAATACATGAAAATTTTCCGCTTTAAAAGCGTTGTTTTTAATTACGCGTTGGGTGGGGGTGGGGCACTATTAGAGGGGTGGGGTACTATTAGAGGGGTGGGGTATTATTTTTTCCCTCCCCCTCTAGGGTGGGGTACTATTAGAGGGGGGGTACTATTAGAGGGGTGGGGTCCAATTACAGTATTTACGGTAGAGTAAATTTTAGATTTTGCATAAATATTGCACTCAAAGAAGCAAAAACTCGATTTTTTTTTTCATTTTACACATTTGCTCTTTCTTATTCGTATGTTTTCTTTGTCAACTATCGAAGCTGCGGCAATTTAACAAAAAATACAGTTATTCACACGAATAATGTGGCATAAACAATACACAAACACAAACCCTAAGCCCTAAAAGAAAAAAACCCATATATATGGGAAAAAAGAACCAAAAAGAACTAGGCAGCGGGGCTGAACCTTCGAGCTTCCGACTAAGATACAGGGCACTTAGCCAGTCGGCCATGGAAACCACTTATCTCTCTTTAATTTCCTATTTGAATTATTCTTTTGTGAGTAGCTTTTTGATTTGTTGAAGATTTTTAAAATGCAAATTTCGGGGAGATATAACTGGAAAGTACAGTCGACTTTGAAATTCGATTATTCGACTCGATTATTCGATTCGATTATTCGACTCGATTATTCGATCGTTTCCGAGTGAATCGTTAAAGTTGACTGTACTTTTCTTTTCCTCTTATTCTCTAAAAGACGGTTTCAAATAAAAAGAAAAAATAGCCGTCAACACTTTCAATTTTTCTTGCCTTTGAGCTCTTCATAGATAAAAAATAGAATTTAGAGAATGTTAAGACTATTGAAAACATTGGATTGTTCACGGATTGTCCACAGATTGTTCACAGATTATTCACAGACAGAACACTTGATTGTTCGTCTAATGCTCAAAAGATGTAAACTAATCCTGTCTCAACAGGGTTTTCTCCTATCCAGCTTTTGCTCTTTTCAATATTTCTCTTTCCAATTCTTTATAATATTCAAATTCTAGTGATTGATATTGGTGAAGATTGATGATGTTAGTGGGGGTTTAGAGCGACTAAATTCCATGAGTAAACAGACGAGAATCGTGTCTTTTTCTCATTTCATACTCGATTTAATACGGTGAATCTTTTTCCGACACAAATTTTTTGTAATTTAATCTTATGTTTTCTCTACTCACTTTTTCGCTTTTATTTTATGGAATATCGGCAAGTGATGAAGAGTTTCGATTGATTAAAGATCTTTTGAATAACTACAAGTAACTACAATTTACATAGAATCTCGTTTTTATAAACATTCAGCTCAATGGAACGTCCAATCAAAAATCATTCTGAGGCACTTGAAGTGAAAATTCGAACGATTCTCCAACAAGTCGTGGATGTGGTTCGTTTTTTTTAAAATAAATTACCGTAAATACTGTAATAGTACCCCACCCCCATAATGACGGTGCGGAGCGTTACGTAGTCTAGCTTTGGACGAGTTTTTCTCGACACTGGTTTATGCTACAATGCGCGCTTAGTTATCAAAAAATAGCCCTGAATTTCAGGGCTATTTTTCGATATCAAAAGACGGAGCATCACGTAGTCTAACTTTAAACGAGTTTTTCTCGACACTGGTTTATGCTACAATGCGCACTTAGGTATCAAAAAATAGCTGAAATTCAGGGCTATTTTTTGATACCAAAGACACATTTTTGAAAGTACGAGCGCTTTGAAAAAAATGAAATACTAAAAACTACTTTTGCGACTACGTGACTGTACAAGGGGGGTGGAGTACTGTTACAGTACTATTACAGTACTATTACAGTATTTACGGTAATACAATTTGAAACTTTAAAACTTTGAGGATGAGAAAAATCAACTCGTACAAATTGTTCTCTGGGTTCAATTGGTAATTGAAGAAATTTAAGAAAAAAGAAATTCGAAACTCTTAGACTTGGAAAGATTACAAGATGAAATGGGATCCAAAAGAATATGGAGGAATCATCGATGTACAGCTACCACCGGGAACCCTCTGGAAGCCTGATATTCTTCTTTTCAACTCGTAAGATACAAGATTTCTTAAAGAATTCGCTCATTTATATATATTTTACATAAATTTTCCCCAGTGCTGACGAGCATTTCGATGCTTTGTTTCCGGTGAATTTCGTCGTCGACTATGAGGGAAATGTTCTTATGAGTCCGCCTTCAATTGTCAAAATTTCTTGCAACATTGATCTCACTCATTTCCCATTTGATGATCAAATTTGTTACTTGAAAGTAAATTACAATTGATTTTCTCGTTTTATGAACAATTTCAGTATGGCAGTTGGACCTATACAGGTCATAAAGTGGATATCGTTGTCGATACAGAAGGTCTAAACCCTCCACACAGTATGGATCTTCATTATTATGTACCAAATGGAGAATGGAGTTTATTAAGTATGATGATGTAGTAAATATGATATTATTTGTAAACTTGGAGTGTAAATATGATATTACCGTATTCTCTCTAATAGTAGTGCGCACTAACTATTTTTTCAATCCCCTCCTGGACCGCAATACTATTAGAGAGTGCACTACTATTAGAGAGAATACGGTATTTGTAATAGTTTGCCTTCTTTTATCTTTATCGCCTTATCGCAATAAAGAGTTACCGGTTGGGGCCGGGAATCCAAAACATGGGTGGCGGGTTCGAAACAAAACAAACTGGGTTCGAACCCTCGGAACTCACCTCACCCGCTCGCTTTCTAGGTGAACGCTCTACCAGAAACATGAACATGAGCTACACTGACATGCGCTTCCCAGCCGCCAAAGTGGGCTTTATGCCTTATTATGCATTCCAGGCACTCCATCACACGTTGATCGTCAAGAATTTTTTGGGAAAAAATATGTCGAAGTGTATTTTTATCTTCATTTGAAGCGACGAACTCTCTACTATGGTAAGCTAAGTATGCAAAAACCGCTCAATTTTCAATATTTTCAATATATTCAACTAGAAGTTAAAGATTAACGGCATTTTTTTACAGGTTTAAACTGGATCATTCCATCTTTATTGATCTCATTGTCAAATGTGCTTGGCTTTGCGCTACCGCCAGAGTGCGGTGAAAAGATCACCGTTCGTGAGTTTTCTTTGCAATACTCGGTGGATTTCTTGGAAAATTGTAGCGTAACTTTTAAAATCAATTACAATAAACAACTGTACAAGTTTTATCGGTTTAAACTGGATGAAACTGGATGAAACTGGCTTTAAACTGTACAACAATAACAAATAGAATAACTGTACAATTGTACAATAAACAATAGAATAACTGTACAATTGTACAATAAACAATAGAATAACTGTACAATTGTACAATAAACAATAGAATAACTGTACAATTGTACAATAAACAATAGAATAACTGTACAATTGTACAATAAACAATTGTAGTGCTACTTAAAGCTTTACTTTATCCAATTGTACCTTTCTACTTTAAAATCACAGAAATCACGAATTTGCTCTCGGTTTTGGTCTTTCTTGGTATGGTTTCCAATGTGACGCCACCGACATCCGAATCGATTCCAGTCATTGGTGAAATTCTTCGACAATTTCTCTCTCTTTTCTCTTTCTTTCTAACCATTAAAATATTATATATCAAAGAGAAAAAAATCTAGCGAATTCTGGCTCCGTAGCGAACAGTTATCAGGGTAAGCGGTTGAGTGCCAATCAGCGCTCCACCATAGGCTCCTATAAAAACATAGAATACTGTAAAAACTCTAATAAAACTCTAAATAAAACTATAATCCTATAGGAGAGTCGCGTAGTCTAAATCGGCTCTTTTTTTGCCGCTTTTCAATGATGTTTTTCTAAGCACTGGTTAATGCTAAAAATATGTGTTATATCTCAAAAAAAATCACCCATTCTCTCTACTTTAATTTGATACCTAAGCCCAAAGAAATAAACGTACTGGTGTCGAGATCTAAGTGTTTCTTTGAGAGGAAACTTCGACTAAGCTCTAGACTTCCTATAGTACTTCTATTAGAGTATCTACGGGATTTTTCTTTATCAAAATTCATTTTTAGTTGCCTTTTTCACCGCCTCGTTATTGATTCTTGGTCTTTCCGTGATCACCACCACTCTCACTATCACCATTCACTTTCGAAATCCAAAAACTCGACCACCCATGGGACCTTTGGTTTAAATTTTATCTTTTTTTTGTTAGTAAAGAAAATTTTAGCTGAGTTTAATTTTCCTTGAATGGCTTCCATGGTTTCTAATGATGGAAAGACCTGGAAAGAAATTCGCTCGTCCGCCACAATTGCAAGGTTGCCGATGTGAAACATTTGAAGTAAAGAACAACTCAGATCTCATTTACAAAAACGTTTAGGATATACGCGAAAAGAGTCACCGAGGTTCATCGATTACATCCAAAAATATCGACTCAAAATCGTCAACTGAGGAGAGTGAAAGGTTGAAAGCCTCTAGTGAGGATCTGATTGAAGAAACAAATTGGACGGGTAATTTAAAAAAAATCTAAAGATATACAGAAACTTAGAAAATCCAAGATATGTAATCCCGCAGTACAGTTTGGATGAGTGTACGCCGATGGAGATATCATTGCGAGAAATCGCTGATAATTTAAAGTTTATACGAGTAGGTTTTTGAAAAATTGAACTATAGAAAAAGAAATAGAAATACAGTCATGGACAAAAGTCTTGGCGGGTCCTGGGTGGCAACTTTCAAACGCAAATTTAGGAACCTTCCCGAGAGGCTATAAAAAAGTTGTCACAAGTATTTTTGAGCATTTTTACTCTACTTTTAGTTATGACCAAGCATTGAACTCGAAAGTTTATTTTAAACAACAAAAATAAGCGTCAAAGGCAAAAAGGTCACAAAAACAATGGACAAAAGTCTTGGCGGCACAGACATAGAGGCGAAAAATTCAATATTTTGTGGGTCCGCCTAAATTTGCGTTTGAAAGTTGCCACCCAGGACCCGCCAAGACTTTTGTCCATGACTGTAAAAAGAAATAGAAATAAAAAGAAATAGAAATAAAAAGAAATTAAAAAAAGAAATTAAAAAAACTAAAGAAAATATAGAAATATAGAAATATTGTAAAAGAAAAAAAGAAATCTATAAAAAAGATTTAGAAAAAATTCGAAGAAGAAGAGGCTGAAGAGGAGGAGGAGAGTGACTGGAAATTCATGGCAATGGCTCTCGATCGTTTCTTTCTTTTTCTTTTCACTGGTGCTTACATTTTCATCTCATTAGCAATGGTCATAGCAACTCCACGTATTTTTGATCAATCCGTTATTACTGTGAAAAAATAAAAGCATTTTTTCATTTCATCAAAAAGCCTTTACTTTTCCCGTTTTTCTTCAACTCAAAATTTCCAATGAAGCAACTGGAATTGAGAAAAGTTGATTTGATGAAACAAGTATCGTTAAAACAAACAAATGGATGTGGGGGAAACTTGCAACAGACAGATTGAATGCTTGAGAAATACAAACACAGACAACACCCAATCAAACAATGATCCGGTAGTGGTTGAAGAGTTCGCGGTAGGGCCGTAAAGTCTTTATGAAAGGTTTAAGATCAGTTTTCTCAAGTCTTCTTTTATTCTTCTTTTATTATTTTTAACTCTTTAAATATCTTTTTCTCGTTTTTTGGGGTAAGCTAATTTCCGCAACTTTTTTTGCGCAACAGGGTCATTTGCGCAACTGGGTCGTTTGCGCAACTCGCCATAACTTTCTTCTAAGTGAACCATATTGATCTTAGCCAGAGACCAGAAGCCACACATTGATCCTAGCCGAAGACCCGAAACTACATATTGATCTTTATGATTTTGGTGTCATTTTGTTGCACTTATTGAGATCTACAAAATGACACCAAAATCATAAAGATTGGCCGACTTAAAAGAAAGTTATGGCAAGTTGCGCAAACGACCCAGTTGCGAAAATGACCCAATTGCGCAAAAAAAAAATGGCGGAAATTAGCCGACCCCCGTTTTTTAGAACATTTTCAATACTATCCAGCTACTATAGCTTCTTTCGAGTGATTGTTTCAATAGAGTTTCTCTTCAAAGTCAAAAGTCTTGATTCAGATATTTATCCTTATCGAAAAATCACGTTTTTCAGGCATCATTATTGTCAAACAAGAGGTCGATGGATGGCCCGGGTGGCGGGACCAAGAAATAGATAGATGAAGAGAAAAAGAGAGACAGACGACCCCTGTCTCCCCTTTTCTCTTCTACCTTTCTTCTCTTCAGATCCCTTCGATGCCCTTCTCTATTTTTGTATTCGTGCAGATTGTTCTTCAAATTCTCCCCATTCTCTCAATCTCTTTTCCCTGTTGCTGAAACGCGCATCCGGTTGCGCTTGTAGCGTCATGGCAGAATGGAAAGAGAAGTAAAGAGAAAGAAAGAAGGGGGTTGGCGGGGGGCAAAGTGTGGCTTGTTTGAGCACCACCCCCAGAGACCCACAGGCTTCACTCTCAACTTCGATCTTGCAAATCACAGTTATTTTCTTGAAACTTCTACCTTTCTTGCTTTTTATCAAACTTTATTGAACTAGGTCTACCTTTCTTTTACAGTTTTAAGGTATATCTTTATCTTGGTTTTCAGTTTTATAGAAATCTTTTTGTTGGTTTGTTCTGGTGATTTTATTGACTGATTGACTGATGATTATTGGCTGGTGATTTTACTGACTTTCATTTCTTAGCGTTTTTGAAACTCGTTTTTTTCACTAGATTATTGAAAAATATGGGTTTCTGATTGCCGAGAATTTAAGTATCAAATTCTGACCGTTTTGTTACCAGTTTTCCTACCAGTTTTCTTCTCTATTCTAAAATTTTGTCTAACTTTAAGATGCCGCGAGCGCGGAGGTCACTGATCGTTGTGATGATCGGAATGATCGTTGGGGCTTTGGTCTCTCTTGGAGAAGCACAAGAACCCGGTTTCACATATCTTACCGCACAGGATTACTTTAATGCACAGGTTTGATCTGAGAATAAACATTGAAAAGAAGCACTTAAAATAAAGGTCTTTTGCTTTTTATAAAATCTCTCTGTTTCAGTTTGTGAATACTCGGATGCCAATGCGCTCGCGGCCCCTCAACGACATTCGAATGAGATTTCGGGTTTGAAGTTTGATTTTTTTCTTAAATCAAGAGAAGTATTGTATTCTTGATTTTAAGAAACAAAATCATAAATCAAAGTACTTTATCTTTTCTTTGGTTTCTTTTAAACCAAAATCTAGTTAGCACAGTTTGGAACCCGATCAAAGCCGATCCGATCAAAACTTGTGCTCCATCGGGACTCGAACCCGAGACCTTCGCTTACGGGGCAAATGTGTTAATCATTACACCACAACGCAACTGATCTCTTTCATCCAGAGGGACATATGAGTACACTATAAAATGGTTATGAGCACTTTGATCGATTTCCATTCTCATTTCAGAGAGGTCTTTCAAAGCGTGGAATTGCCGTCTCTCTCGAAAAGGACAAATGGCCGATGGGTCGTGTTCCCTATGTCATCTCCAGCTCATACAGTAAAATGAATCGCGTATTTCCTCTATAAAATCTATCAGCCTATTTACAGAATTTCTTAAACATTTCAACTTTTTTAGCAAGTGCTCAAAAAGCGGTGATTGCACGAGCGTTTGCCGGATATCAACAAAAGACTTGCATCAGTTTTGTGCCAAAAAGAGCCACCGATAAGGATTATGTGGTCATCTCAAAACTTGACGGGTTTGTTAGCAAATATTTAAAGATGATTTTTATCTTTAAGTGTTGAGAGAACAGATTAATGATTTTAAATTTTTACTGGATTTAGGGTTGACAGTTTTGTTTTATTTAGTAAAACAGTTTTGTTTTATTTAGTGTAACACTTTTGTTTTGTTCAATTCGTCTGTCATCAAAAAGTTCATTTATAAATTCTAGATGTTATGCTGATTTTGCTCGAGTTGGCGGCAGACAACAGGTTTCATTAGCGGATGAGTGTGTTGATTATGCGACGGTGATTCACGAGCTAATGCATGTCATTGGCTTCATTCACGAACATCAAAGGTTCGAGAGTTTTTTTTTAAACTATTCCTAGGTGCTAACAATAAAATAATGAAGTAAAGTAAGGAAAGACAAGGAAAGATTTCCGGAGAGGGGATTGAATCCTGCTTTCCAGGTAGATGCTCTAGCCACTGAGCTATCCGGTATCTTGTTGCCAGAGAAGAAAGAGGGAATACAAAGGGGGGAAGAGAAAGGAAGAAAGAGAAAGAAAGATATGAACTGAGGGGTAAGAACTTTGAGCTTTAACTTAAGTCTATAATCAAACCCAATAATACTTACGTTTAAGTAATGTTGGCCAAATACAAGGAAAAGTGTTCAGAAATCAAAAAGATAACTGAAAAGTTTCTCTACCAACAGTCTTTTCTTTAAACAATTGATTTAGAGAGGATCGAGATCAGTATGTTCGGATTGTTTGGCAGAATATCATTCCAGGTATAGTATTTGAACATATTAATGATGAAGATTTAAACGGGAAACGTTCAAAACTTGCACAACAAAGAAACTCAACAAAGAAATTTCAGGAGCCAATGGTGATTTCGATAAATTGACGAATTTGGGTCTTTCTTACTACAATGAGGGATATGATTACACATCGATTATGCACTATGAAAGCAATGAGGGCAGCAAAAACGGGAAAAATACTATTGAGGTGAAAGGGTTATTGCTGGATTTTAGGTTTTAAACCTTCAAGATTATATATATATGCTTTATTCAGTTGAATAGCGACAAAAGAAAATCACAATAATTACCCGGGACACCACTCAAAACACACCCAAAAGATAAATAGATACCTCAAGAAAGAAGTCACAGAGCAGTCAAATCAATTGCCGAAATTGCGGCTTTAAATCTAGCCAAGGTGGAAATATCACGAACATCAGGGGGTAAAAGGTTCCAGAATTTAATAACTCGATTAAAAAAGAAACTGTGGGGGCTTTTAGAGGAAACGGAAGGTTGGCGTATGAGAAAAGGCCCCCTTCTGGAGGCGCCCCGTAGAGAGCCGAATTCTGGTCAAAGAGAAATTCAAGAGCTCTCAAAATGGCAGCCATTTTAGTGCCAAAACATTGTAAACATTCACTCAAACAGAAACTTTCCAAAAATGGAACCATTCAAGGAAACGGAAGGTTGGCGTATGAGAAAAGGCCCCCTTCTGGAAGATTGACTTCCAAAATTGTCAATCTTCCAGAAGTAAATTGAAAGTAAAGCAAAAGCAAAAGTAAAGTAAATCCAAGTAAATTGAAAGTAAAGCCGAATCAAAGCAATGATCTACAAATCGATCTACAAATCCTCTATTCAAATTCTTAAACTCTTTTCGATTTTATCCAGTCTCTATCTATGGAAACGAGGCTTATTTTATTGATTTATATATATTTTTTAGTCTAAACAAACGCAGTACACGTCGATTATGGGAAAAGCCAGCGATTTCTCGGCTTCCGATTTGCGTCGAGTAAATCGAATGTATGGTTGCTGGTCGAAACTCGGATAATTCTTCTTTTGTTTGTTTATATTACCTTATATTGTTTTAGTGTTTAAAATGTTAAAGTGTTAAAATAATTCCGGTAATCTTTTTGGTCGCTAAAAAAAACTTTGCCTTTTCTCGGTGGTCAGTCGTTTTTTTCGTGGTCTCGTCTCATCCTCGCTAAATCCGGTGTCAAACTTTGAAATCATATATCAAAGTGTATTTGTACATATTGCCGAATAAAGTATTTCTTCTTTTATAATCTTTTTAAGTAAAAAAAAAAGTTGAACTACAGAAAAAGAATTAACTTTTTAAAAGCTTTCACAAAAATCCGGTCTGACTTTTCATCAAAAATATTAGGTGTGTGAAAAAGTAATCGTTTACGCAAAGCACAACAGAACGCAAAATTATTTATTTATTAAAGAAAACCTACTGCTGATTAATGTTTAAACTTAAAATTTAAACATTTCAATGTCAGGTGCTTTTTATATCATATCCAATGTTATTAGGTGTGTGAAAAAGTAATCCACGTTTTTAACGTTGAAATATAAAAGACCATAAGTTTCGTTAAAATAATTTTTATTCAACGAAGTAATCACCATTCGAAAGAACAACCTTTTGCCAACGTTCTACAAGTAAAGACATTCTATGATAATAAAAATCTTGGTCCTTAGAGGCGAAGAAAAGATCAACCTCGGTTTTGACATCTTCTTCGGAATTGAACCATTTATTGGCCAAAAAGTTAGACAGAGACAAAAATAAATAATAATCAGATGGAGAAAGGTCTGGACTATAAGGTGTATGTGGTAAAACCTCCCATCCAATACTCTGGATTTTTTGTCGAGTCTGTAAAGAGACATGTGGTCGCGCGTTATCGTTCATGCGGTATCCATTTGTCCAACTTTTTGATAAAATTCATGGCATTCAAGCGTTTCCTTACGGTTAACCCATCACAATTTAATGTAAAGCCTATTTCTGAAGAGGTTGAACGAGGGTTTTCGAGAAGACAGCGTCTTATTTGGTCATCAGATAAAAATAAAAAACGTGGATTACTTTTTCACACACCTAATAGAATCTTTATTTTGTCATCAACACTGAAGCCTTTAATCCATTAAAGCCTTTAAGTTTTAAGCCTTTAAACCTTTCAACCTTTAAGTTTTAAGTCTCAATCATTACTGTAGTTACTTTAGAGGTCATTTAGAGGCACTGTACTGATTTTGGGGACTCACAAAAATCGTGCAAAGATTTGAAAAGTATTTCTGCTAAAAATGCGAACTAGGCTTAGTGGAGGTTTTTTTTGAGGTTAAATCTCTTTTCTTCTTTTCACCAATAGATCCATTTTTATATGGTATAAAAAAATTGGAAAGGATTGGCGGCGAAATGCGGCGTCGCCAAGCGTTCCCCGCCTTCTCCCCCCTCCACTCCCTTCCCTTCCCTTCCCCCTCCACCCCTCCACTCCCTTCTCCCGTTCCCCACCCCAGTCTCTCTTTTTCTTTTTCATTTTTCATTCCCAGTTCGTTTTCCTTTTTTGTCTAGGTGAGCTTCTTTTTAAAGTAGCAATCGTTTACTTAAATTTTCCACTTTTTCTTAAGCAAATTTATCAGAATGCTTTTTTTTACAGATTTTATTTTGAGATTTTGAGATTTTTTCAGACTTTTCTTATCATTGTATGTTTTTTTTTGTTTAATAAAAATACAAATACAATTACTAGAAATCAAAACTAGTAAAAGGATTAAAAAGTTTTCTTTTAATATAACTGTAAGATTTGAGATTTGGGATTACTTTTCGCCCAATTAATTGAACTCCCATTTCTAGCAGTTGTTTAAGTTGAAAATTTTATTTTTTCTTGATTCGTGTTGAAATTTTCAGCAAATTTCTATACGAAATTGTGGGGTGAATTGAAAAGAGGCAAAAAAACTGAGTAATAAACGATAGGGTGGTGCCATTGGAAAGGAGTTTTTGTGGAGGCACGGGGCGGGACGAGCCCCATTCGATCCCAAAAAAAAACAAAAAGAAAAGCAGAAAACCCACGAGAAAAGAGGAAATCGAACTAAAAGGCATAAAAAACTGAATAAACACTTCCACAACGTTCACTCACTTTCTCTTTCAACTTTCTCTTCATTTATCTTTTTTCATCACCTTTTAACAAAAGAAGGCTCGTTTTTTAAGGCGTAAATGAAGATTTTGAATTCGAAAAACTAATTATGTGATCTCCTTTTTACAAGCATTTCAGTAATTTCTCCTATTTACGGGTGATGTTGAGCGAGTTTTTTGGTTGTCACAGGGCGGCCCTTCGAGGCGGGCCGATTTTTTTCTCTTCTCACTTCTCCCCCACATCCTCTCTTAGGCGTTCTCTTTTCTTTTTTGCTTTTTTTTCATTTTTTGCTCGGTTTCACTGAAAGAAAAAAACCTGGCGAACGGGTAGGGAAGAAAGAAAATTTTTTGGAAAGGCCTCTTCAATCCTCCCGACAAAACGATTCATTCCCCCAATCTACCCAAAATTCAATCCTTTTCGAAAATTTATTTATAGATTTATAATATTTGTCGTTTCCTTTTGTTTTAATAAAAATTTAATATGTTGTGTCCGATTTAGATTGAATCTAAATCGGACGCCCCCCCCCCCTCCGTAATATTAATACTACCATTGTAGCCATTGAAAGACTTCAGAAAATGTATACCTTAGTTTAACCAAGAAAGGGTTCAGCGCTCCGGTATGTAGACTGTAATCTAAATTGGACGTCCGATATAGACTGTAATCTAAATCGGACGGAAATCTAAATCGGACACAACAAATATAAATAGACGGGATGAGATGTCGAGAAGAGGCTTGCTAAATCCAAGAAAAATCTCTACAATGAGCGCCGAGGCTGAGCTATTTGCCGTGCCTGAATCTTCGCAAAATACACCGGATAATGGTTTGAGCTTGTGATCGTCAAATCACAGATCAGAAATAATCTTTTAGATGATGAAGATGGTACAACGTCGAGCGGTGATGATACGAGTGGATTTCCTTTTGATCTCGCGGCTGCTGTTGGCTTGGTATGAGTTTCTTCTGAATTTGTTCCAACAAATATTCCAACGTCTTCGGACTAAAGTGCAAAAATCTTGTCACGTTCAACTTTGAGCGCTATTCAAAGTCCTAAAATAAAAGATAATAATGTAAAGGCCCAAAAACTGTAACTAACCTCGATGCTGAATCTCATTTATTTAGTTGGCCTCAACGAAGCAAGTAAACTGTTCGGTTGGTTCATCAACTTCCGCATCTTCTTTTATTTCAAATCCGGTATCGATCCGTAAAAGAACGCGAATCTCGACATCAAATAGTCGATTGACAAAGAAGAGTTCACTCGTCAATCAAACCGCGTAAGTACAAAAAAAACAAAGACAAATTGACATACCGTAAATACTGTAATAGTACCCCACCGCCATAATGACGGTGCGGAGTGTTGCGTAGTCTAGCTTTGAACAAGTGCTTCTCGAGACTGGTTTATACTACAATGCGCGCTTAGGTATCAAAAAATAGCTGAAATTCAGGGCTATTTTTTGATACCAAAGACGCATTTTTTGAAAGTACGGGTGCTTTGAAAAAAATGAAATACTAAAAAACTTTTGCGACTACGCGACTGTACGAGGGGGGTGGGGTACTATTACAGTATTTACGGTATGTGGTAAATCCGCTATACTCCTATAACCTCATAGCAGGCCAATACTCAGAGGGGCAAGAAAGCATTTGCCCCTCGCCTGAAACTTCGGCAAAGCCAAAGAAGGTTTTTAGACAACTAGCTGCCTAAGAAATGGGACCTTGCCTGCTTGCCCCCTTTCCGAACTTTTTTCTGGGATATAATATTATAATAATATAGCAAAGACAAATTGACATAAAAGAATAACTATATTGTTTAACAAGAACTTGTTTGCACAAATTTTTAGATTATCTACAATAGTTTTGACAAGTGATTTTGCATCAAAAACTTTCCCAAATTGACAATTTCAGCTTTTGCTATACAATTCGTGGACCGAACTCGCTCCTTCGACCGGATAAATCAGCTCTTTTTACTATTGGTGGTGTTTACGAGTTGAAATGTTGGCTCATGAGTCCACCAAGAGCCAATTATGTATGCAAGGTGTGAAAAACAAAACAAAAATAAGTAATATTTCCCAAATTCTCAGACAATTCTATCGCTGAGCAGTGACGACATTGGAGAGTGGTTGACCATTGAAGAGACTCTCGCCTCAGGAACACTTCTCTCAAATCAACCGGCACCCAATCATTTCCTCACGATGGGTGAGACTTTTGCAAGCCATTTCTTTAGAAAATTCAGAATTTACATACCGAAATTGTCGAAAACACGTGAGCACTAAGCTTTCAGATCGGCCATCTCCAAGAACGCATCGTAATGTAAAAGCTGGTCGACATTCACTCGAGTTTACCTGGGATGCATCAGGCGTGATTTTTGTCTATTTAAGGGTAAGGGAATAGTAAGGAAAGGTCTTTAAACAATGAAAATGAATGATTCAGTTCTTGTGTGCGGTGAACGATCTGATTGCAAACCCAAAAGCTCCACTAAGACTCATTGTGCAAAGTCAATTTCTTGATGAGCCACATTTATTGAATATGAAATCGCTTGTGATGGAAACGATTGGAGTGAGAATGATTGAGAAAACGAAAAGCCGAAACTTTACAGCATCCTTCTCTTTTGGAATCGGCTATTGGATCACAGGGAGCAATCGATTTTTGCAATGATTTACATGAAAGAATTATTCCAATTGATCATCGCGAGTACCTCTTTGAACAGCCCAGCGACTTTGATGACACGGATTTTGTGCGCAATGTTATCAACAATGTTGCTAAAGCTGCTGCCGCTGATTGTTGGTTTTGTTTTTGTTTTGAAAAACAGATAAGAACTTTAAACAAATTTGTTTTCAGCGCCAATGGCTGTTCTTGAAAAAGCTATCCAAGATAGTATACCAAAAAATGAGGTGGAACAGTCTTTTTTTGAGTCATTTATCAAGCTTTATAGACTAGTTCATCGGCTCAAATGAGTGCTGCAACAATTGGAGAAGTAGAGAAATGATTTTTCTTCTTTATTCATCAACTTTCAGGCATTGGGATCCTTGTTGGGGTCGAAGCATGGGAGTATTGCCCCATCATCGACATTTCCTATCCCATGCACTCTCTCTTCTCACACTCCACGACCTCGTGGACGACCTAGAAAGTTTCACTACCCAGAATACTGCTATTCAAAAAGTAAATTTTTAGCTAAATTCAAACTTTTATCTATTACTAGATTGTCTATTTTTTTAGAAAACTTTTCGAGAGAATTGCTTGCGCTTTATTCTCTCTCTCTCTATTTTTAGCTGCTCTTGAACGAGGTCCAGCTCATGCAGGTGAATGTAGTGGTCCAGCCGCTGAGATGATCGCTATTCAACAAATGCAGAAACAGCATGCAAACGAAGTTTAAATAAAAGTCAAATAATCTTCAAAACTGGAAACTTTCCAGGCTCAAACAAGCTCTTCGGGAAATCGAATTAAAATGAATATTTTGGAAGAGAAACCGATCAATATGGCCTCATTGTTCACCCTTCAACAAACAGTCGTTGAAGAAATTGATAAGTGAGTTAAAGGGTTTAGGAAAGATCTAGAATCTACAAAACAAACTTTAGACCGTCATCATCGATGGAAGACGTTGAACCAAATGCTGATGTGAAACGTTTTCTTATACAACTCAAAATGCCAAACTATATCAATATTTTTGCAAAGTATGACAAACAAAAATGATTTCAGAATTTTGTGTCAAGGTACACAATGATCGAGTTGAGACTTTTGTCTTCTGAAGATTTGCGAATCATTTGCGGAAATGACGCCGAGGCGATTCGTCTTTATCATGCACTCCGTCTCAGGTTTGATTTTTGGGGAGTGGGACAAATGCGACCTTTTTTTTGCGCACCCGGACATTTGCGCACCTTTTTTTCCACACCTTGCCCATTAGCGCACCTTTTTCGCGTTTTAAAAAAAGCTCTAAAAAGCTAATAACCAAATTTAACCAATTTCTATTCCAAAAGTTGTTTTTCTAGGTAATTTTAGGGCGTAGAATCGAAATTTTGACATATCAGAGCTTGTGGAAACAAACGGACGGAGTTATACAAAGAGAAAACACAATTTTCTTTCTGTACAATTTTCTGTAATTTGATCTAGCCGTTTTGTCTTTCAAATTGGTTCCACACGCTCTGATATGTCAAAATTTCGATTCTACGCCCTAAAATTACCCAGAAAAACAACATTTGGAATAGAAATTGGTTAATTTGGTTATTAGCTTTTTAGAGCTTTTTTAAAACGCGAAAAAAGGTGCGCTAATGGGCAAAGTGCGTTTTCCGCACTGATTTGTCGAAATTCGGAATCTATGCATACGATTCCCTTCTATGAAAACATTTTTGAAGCTTTCCTAAGGCCTTTTCCAGCAAAAAAAAGGTGCGCAAATGTCCGGGTGCGCAAAAAAAGGTCGCATTTGTCCCACTCCCGATTTTTGGCGTTTTAGAGAGGCTGTAGTGCTAAATTTACCTTCCATCTTCAGATCTAATATCAACGGGAAATTAAGTATTTTCGTCGCCCTACAAAACGATGAGGTTTATTTTAAAAAGCTTTTTTTTTGTACAGAGTGCGTTAAAAGTAATGTCACCTCCGTAAAGTTGGGCAAAGCGCAAAAAAAAACCGAATTTTCTTTCAGTTCAATGAAGAATATCATAGAAAATAGTAGAACTTTTAAACGATCATAGATTGATTCATAGGTTCAATCTATGACAAGGTTCAATTCATAGATTGCTTTTACAAAAAAATTATGAGATCTAGAAAATTTAGTACCCTATTTGTATTCTGAATTTTCAAAAGTCGATAAAAAAATAGATATTAAAATAAGATTTCTTTTGCTGTCCAACTTATTTAAAAATTGAGGATCATAGATAGTCCTATACGTTCCTAGGTATAAACGGATGTGGACTAGAATTTGGGTTAAGTTAAAGAGAGTGGATCCCTTTTGATATCCCGCCATCTCTAACACCCCGACAACCCAACTCAACTCCTCCAACGTATTAGAGGGGAGTCCCTGTGAAATGACCGACCTGTACTGCAGTTGCATAGACCCGGAAGATACGTATCTTTATTTACAGTAATACAATAAGATGAATAGATTACAAATGAGTGTAAGGGGAAGGGGGACTCCAAATGAGAGTCTCATTTGTCCTCCTAGGCAGTCCCAAGGACCGCCCCTTCTCGGCAATAAAAGGGATAAGCACAGGGGAGAACACATTTGCATAAGAATAGACAAATCATTCAATAATAACAATAGTAACTAAAATATCAGTTTGGTTCGGAGCTGACAGTCCCAAAAAATTTTATGCTTTCGTTTACGTTCCCCGCCACGTTGAAACATGGAATCTCGTCTGATCTGCCAAGTTAAGCAACATTGGGCACAGTTAATCGCAGATTCAGAGTTATCCCAAGCACAGAGTAATGTAACGCACCATCGAAATTACATTATGGGTTGGCTTGCGCATAAACTGCAGCCGTTATTTCCTTTCATTTACCAGCATCTCCACAAAATAATAATCATTGACTTTCAAGAGTTAAGAATAAAAGCTTAAATTAAGAATTTGAAGTCCTTTTATAGCATTAGGTAGTTTTGGGTTAAGATTTTGATAATATTTGCTTGATTGATTGCTTGGATTCGTTGAATAAACCAGTAGATAATTTTACTTGAAATTCCGACAAATTATCCGCGATCTATTTATAAATTTGTTGCTAGTAAAAGATTGAATTCTTCTAGGAACATTTTCTATGATGTTTTTTATACGTTCTCATTTTATATTCATAAAATAAGGTCAAAAAAATCGAAAGTCGATTGGCATTTGCCTTAAAATCTAAAAGCTGAGTAGGTGAGGTGATAGAACTTTTGGCGGACTGTGTATTTCGAAAGCTAAAATCATTTCCCAGGGTGATGAACCATGCTATGAACTGTTGAAACTCTCTCCACCGTGTGTTTCGGAATTGGCGCATTCGTTAAGGTGAAATTGAAATAACTACAGTCTATAGCGGAATGAAAGGGACTAAAAAAAAGATTTTTTCTGTTATATAGAGTGCCGTTATATATACCGTATTTTCTCTAATAGTAGTGCCCTTGGAAACTGTAAAATAGGCATTAACTCGGCTCGACTATGAAAAATACGGTGACCTTTTTCCCAAAAAACAGACAAACTTTAGACTTTTCTAATAGTAGTGCACCTTGAGCCTCACTTAAATTCCTCGAAATCTCGAGAACCGCTTATCAGAACCTATCGATGTGGGGGCGGAAAATGTAGCTGACGATGAGATCTAGTGGGGGATTTGAGTGTTGAGCTTCTGGAAAACTTGGAAACTGTAAAATAGTTATCAACTCGGCTCGCTGGAGTGCATTACTATTAGAGAAAATACGGTACGATCAACTTTCAATAAATGTCAATTTCAATAGGTTTAAAATGTAAATACGATGGTGAACGAAAAGACTTAAGTTTAAAGAAAGTTTAATAGAATTTAAAAGCTCTTTTAGTGTTTATTTGGAATTTGATTTGTTTAATTTGATGATTTGAAATATCTGGAAGAGCAACAACACGATTAGACAAGGAATCTCTAACCGATTTACACAAAACTAAATCTTTATGATATCTTTATCGCCGGGGATATCGCCGGATTGTACTACTATTAGAGAAAATACGGTAGCTTAGCGTCGGCCGGGATCAAAATTCCATTCCTTTATATAGAGTTTTCCGCTAGATCGAGTTCGGTTATAGAGAGAGTCGACTGTAAATCATTTTTTGTAAATCATTCTTCGAAAAGCTTAGCTAAGTTGAAAGGCCGTAAATCGTAATCAAAGCAATTTATATGATAAGAATTTAGAACGAAAGGGTTAATTGACTCGAACGTGAGACGGCTTTGTGTGGATGGGCCGAATGGGATTCTTGTGCAACTTTCTGATGAAGTATCTGGGAAAAAAAATGTTTTTTTACGAAACAATTCCTTTTAGATAATCGAAGCTTGGGAGGATAATGCTGTTTTTCAATTCACCTTCATCAACGGAGTTCTGAAAATGCATCCAATCAAGGGATAAATCAAAAAATATCTCTTTATTTCAAGATTTAAGTTTCATTTTCTTCAATTTTCTTTCATTTTCTTTCATTTTTCTCTTCAATACCGTTTATTTTCTTGAATTTGTCTCAAAAAAAATGGCGCTAAAATGACTTTTACTCAACTTTTCCAAAGATTTTCTTTCATAAATCACTTGTTAATAAAAGAAATATCTATAAATTGTTTTCTAATTTACAATTCGCATATTAAAACATATTAAAAACATAAAACTTCAAAATCAAAGAGTTATCCTTTCATTGGGATCTGCTTCCTCTTATACCCAATGAGTTGTCTCAATCGTGTCTCTCTGTGTCATCGATTCTCTCCCCATTTCTTCTAGACTCCAAAAAATCTTTCCTTTCCTCTTTTCTCATTCTCTCTACTTCTGCAAAAATATCATAGAAAAGCTAGAGAATCAAAACGCGCAGAGACTCTCCCTTTCTGCGTCTCTTCACTCACAATCTTTCTCCGTCAAACATGTGCCCCTCGAAGATCTGCAATAGTAATCGTGTTTCTCTCGTTTCTCTCCATCTCTGTTCTTCTCTTCTCCAACGCACACATATCCCTCTTTCCTTTCCCGTTTTCTCTATCTATCATTTTCACCGATTCTTACTCTTTTCGCCCCCCTTTGACCCGATCTCTTTCCACTCTGTCTCCCCATCTTCCCTTCCTAGATCAGCCTTTCCCCTAGCCCTACCCCGAACTTTTGTTTTTCAATTTTATATTCAAATTTTTCATTTCAATATTCAGAATGCCTTCACCACTTCGTCGATCTTCTCGACATCATCCTTCAACAACTGTAGCTGATCGAGAACGAGAGACTACGCATAGGGAAAGAAAAGCAAGTGTCAAGGACAAGGTTTGGGAAAGATTCTTCAAACGTTTACGTTCAAAACTTTAGTTCAAAACATTATTTTTGCTAACTTTAGATATCAACGCCACAAATTCGGAAAAGGAAAGTCGAATTTGTTAATAATAAAAATGATGCAAAGGATACGGTAAAGAAAACTCGAAATGCAATGTCAGCAAGCACGAATAAAAAATTGGTGGAGACGATGAAGAGTCCAATTAAAATGATGAATACTTCAAGAAGAAAAAGGGGCGAACCTTTATCTGAAGACGGTACGTTTTGGATGTCTTTTAGAAATGAGAAGCTTTTAGAACACAGTGAAAAACAAAATATTCAACCGAGAAAGCCAGAGACAAAGCTGCCGACGACAATCACCGAAGCACTTGTCCCTCATAGTCAAAATTTGATGCCAGAGATGGAAACGGTATTTTAAAGTACTAGATGTGCAACTAAGAATGCATTTTACTATTCTAACAATAGTTTTTAGCCTGAACAACGAATCATTGCTCCCACCAAAAAGGCCGACCATGAGATGACGGTTAAGGTAAATTGAAAGCTAATCTTTCGATTTGAAATTTGAATACAATTTCAGGAGGTGATCGCGAAACATATGCGAAGCACTCGAATGCAATATGGATATGGAAAAGAGATCGTTTGTTTAGCTGATAAAGCAATAGCACAAACAGCAAAATGTAGGTGTTTAATATTCATATTTTATTCAAGAAATGTAATGAAGTTTAGTCAATAGGACAAAATGAGATGCATTGAAAAGAATTTAAAGTCGCGATATTGTATGTAAATGAAAAAAATCTACAATGATACGAATAAAATATCGTATTTTCTCTAATAGTAGTGCATCCTGAGCGTCGCTTAAATTGCTTGAAATCTCGAGAACCGCTTATCAGAACCTATCGATGTGGGGGCGGAAAATGTAGCTGACGATGAGATCTAGTGGGGGATTTGAGTGTTGACCTTCTGGGAAAACTTGGAAACCGTAAAATAGTCACCAACTCGGCTTACCGGGGTGCACTACTATTAGAGAAAATACGGTAATCTCCTATCTGACTAATTAAATCAAAATTCGATAGTAAGCTTTTAAGCGGAAAAACAGTTTATCACAAAAATAAGACTTTTTTGGTTTTGATTCACGATAGGATTTTTCTTTTTCTAGACAATAGACATGTAAAAATTAATTACTGTATTTTCTCTAATAGTAGTGCACCTTGAGCGTCGCCTAAATTCCTCGAAATCTCGAGAAGCACTTATCCGAACCTATCGATGTGGGGTCGGGAAATGTAGCTCACGATGAGATCTAGTGGGGGATTTGAGTGTTGACCTTCTGGGAAAGCTTGGAAACCGTAAAATAGTCACCAACTCGGCTCGCTGGGGTGCACTACTATTAGAGAAAATACGGTACGATCAACTTTCAATAAATGTCAATTTCAATAGGTTTAAAATGTAAATACGATGGTGAAGGGAAAGACTTAAGTTTAAAGAAAGTTTAATAGAATGTAAAAGCTCTCTTAGTGTTTATTTGAAATTTGATTTGTTTAATTTGATGATTTGAAATATCTGGAAGAGCAACAACACGATTAGACAAGGAATTTCTAACCGATTTACACAAAACTAAATCTTTATGATATCTATACTTTAATATTATTATAAATATTATAGATAATAGATAAATATAATATATTAGATATAAATAACTATTCTCATTCTCATAATTGTATAAAGTCCATTGTACAGAGTGCGGCGAAAGTTCTGTCCTTTTTTAAATTCTCTTTAATTCTCTCTGATTGCTATTATTTCATAAGTGTTGATAACCAAAAGATAGCCAATCTTTTACAGTTTTAAATAACTTCTTTAGATTTTGAGTTATTGCTATGCTATGCGCTTCGAAAAAAGGATCTATGGTCGCACATAGTTTTGCGCTTTTTTATTGTAAACTTATTGAAAACTGTTGTTGTATTTTTTTTTCAGTTTACTGATCAACAATTTTTTTGTGAATACTCTTAATCATCTGAGTTCTAAGTTTGACAGTTTTTCTTATACTGGTAATGCTAATAACTTATGCGACCATGGAGCTCACGCAAATTGTGATAACTTAAAATTTAAAGAGGTTATTTAAAAGCTGTAATAAGATAGAAATTCTGTGAAAAATTTGCTATCTTTTGGGTATAAACACTTCTGAAATAATAGCAATCAGAGAGAATTAAAGAGAATTTAAAAAAGGACAGAACTTTCGCCGCAGCTAGGAAAACGTTATGCAAAAGAAAAGCCCCTGACCTAGTTCTGTGCCTGTTTTTTAGAGAGAAAATTTATAAATGATGGGCTGAATGATTATCTTTGATAATTTGAAAACTAAAGGGAAAAAGAACAATACCTTTAGTTCGAAATGGTGTTCGTCAGGTTACAGCCAACGATACACTCACCGTGCTTTTCCCGGAAAGGAAAGACAGCCCGAATGAAAGACCACGAGCCGAAACGCCGAACGCAGACAAAACCCAGAGCTCATCTAGTTTGTTTTTTGAAAAATTCAACTAGAGAATGAACTATTGCAGAAATCGATTCCCCGTTTTCTCCGACAGTCTACGATGAGAATATAATGTGGGGCGGAGTGTGTCAATTGCCGCAAGAGTTCGGATGTCTCTCAGATGAGGAATTCAATGTTGAAGGACAGCGATATGTACGACTTACGTAAGGATGTTGCTAAATAAATGCTCCCTCTTAAAGATGGGTTCCGAATTAGGCTCCGATTCTCTCTAAATTCTCACTCTCACGATTTTCCTTAAATCCAAGCCAATTAAACCTGAGTCTACACTCAATAAGAGAGAGGATCTATGGTCTCAATTGGTAGACTCAATAAAATGAATAGCTCCAATCCAATCGACCCCGAAAACCCCTGGTTACAAATTTACAGCTGAATATCTTTTTTATACCATCTATAATGCAAAAGCCCTATATAAATTACTGGCAAGAGATTCTTTGTGCGGTCGGGTAATCGCTCTGCATCTGGCACACGCACCCCAATAGATAGCTGCTCCTTTAGCAATCGGTGAACGCTCTCTCGCGACAATTTGGATTTCACTATGGATTTCGTCCTTCAATACCTGATAAATGATTGATAAACCGATTCACTTTAATCATTTCTACAACAATTTGGTTCTAATGAGAATCGGTCTCAATTCGGATCTCTCTTTTAACTAAATGAATACTATTAGGTTGGTAAAAAAGAAATGCGCGTTTTCGTTAAAAGTTTATTTTATTATAAAAACAAGATAACAATACATTAATCCAAAAGGTATTCGCCATCTGCATCAATGACTTGTCGCCAACGTTCACGCAAAGAATGGATGCCCTTCTTGAAGAACTCGACCGGCTGCGACTTGAAGAAGTTGGACACCCAAATTTGGACCTCGTCGCGGTTCTTGAACTTTTTCTCGGCCAAGGAGTGGTGCATTGATCGGAAGAGATGGTAGTCGGAAGCCGCCAAGTCTGAGGCGGATGAGGCAGGATTTCCCAGCCCATTTCTTCAATTTTCTGCTGGGTGATTTTTGCGACGTGCGGCCGAGCGTTGTCGTGGAGGAATGTTGTCGACGCCGTATCCACACCTTGACCTCGCAGCACCTGGTCCACGCGGTCCAATTGGCCTTGGTAGAGGTTCGCCGTAACTGTTTGACCCGAATCCAGAACCTCAAAGTACACCAGGCCTTTACTGTTCCACCAAACACATCACCTTTTTTCCGTGGATGTCCGGTTTTGGAGTCAGTTTTGGAGCTTCACCGGGGTTCAACCACTGCCGCTTTCTTGCTGTGTTGTCGTATTGGATCCACTTCTCATCCGACGTAACAATGGAGTCGAAAAACCCACTGTTCTTGGCGCGGTGAGTGAGAATTCCGGTGATTGCGATGCGTGTCGCCTTGTTTGCGTCGTATAGCTTATGCGGTACCCATTTTCCGCATCTATTCGTCTTGCCCATGCCATGCAGATGGGTCTCAATGGTGACATGAGTGCAGCCGAACTGTTCTGCCAGGTCGCGAGTGGTTTGGCGTGGACCCGACTCAATGGCTTCCTTCAAGGCGTCGTTGTCGATGATTTGAGGTCGACTCCCGTGTTCTGTTGGTCTTCCAAGCTTTCGTCGCCGTCTCGGAAGCGCTGGAACCATCCTTAGCACTGACTTTCGGATAGAGCATCTTTGTCAAACACTTGAGATAGAGCGCGATGAGCTTCAGCAACCGATTTGCCTTGCTTAAATTCATACCACAAGCAGGCCCGCAAGCGAAATTTTTGGTCCGACATTTTCTCAACACTCTTTCTTGTAAAAAAACAAAGTAAACATAGACAAATTATATATCAAACGGTGCGCAAGAACACGCTCTTTCCACAATAGAATAAACTATTTAAAAAAATCTTTTACTGTGAATAAAATACAAATTAACAAACACGGCGCTCATTTCTTTTTTACCAACCTAATATTAGGTTGGTAAGAAAGTCCTCGGAAAAAGTTTGCACAGTGATTTCTCAAAAACCAAACCATGAATTCTTCCCAGATTTTTTGATAAACTTTACTATATTTCAAAAAGTTTTTGACAAAAAAAATCAGAGTGGGTTTGTCTGTAAAAAAATTTTGGTCAAAAATAGAGATTATAGAGCGTATTTCTCATTTATGCTAGCTTTACCCCATAAGGAATCGCTTTTCTCGTGCAAAAAGTGAGCTGAATTTAAGCTGGAAAATAATAATTTATCAAAAATCTCTAAAATTTTAAGGCAAAGCAGCACTCGTTGTTTTTTACGAGTAATTTCTTGGAGTCGACTTGTAAAGAATAGAACAAAATGTTCTTGAATTAGTGGATTCATTCTTAAGAAATTCCAGTGAAACTTTTTCCGAAAACTTTCTTTCCAACTTAATAATATTGATATTAGATAAATCTAAAAGAAATCTTTTCAGATCATTGCTAAACGAAGAGGGTTTTACTGTTCCTGTGACGATCCCAGTGAAGATTCGAATTCCACGAGTTCAAGTAAGAAATTTTGGCTTTTGCTTTCTAAAACAAGCGAAAATTAGTCAGTTGAACTAAATGAAAGCTATGGTTTAAGTCAGAAAGAAGAAAGTCAAATAGATGTGCCAATTGCAAAAAGTAATTCAGAATTTTAAGGGAGTAGTATATATGTGTCTCGCGGATGCTTTCAAAGCCAATTATATCCCAGTGAAAAGACGCTCTTTGGCAAGATGGGTTTATAGTAAGTGACACATAAATTATTGCACCTTTGCACACATAAAATTTAGTGATTTTGAAAGGAGCGAATCTCCTCGTTCACAAAGCTTTTTCTGATCTTCTCTATGATTATTCGAATTTGTTTAACATCAAGCTAACAAAGGGAATGGTTTGTTGGAGGAAAATGAAAAATTTTAAAGATTTTTTTTCAGGAAAAGCCTCTCGATGAATTACCCTTTGTTTCTTTGAAAAGATGTGAGAAAAACACTGTCGCTTATGTGAATGGAGTATTTTCAAATTCTTATACTTTAAAATTCAAAATTTTAGTTTGATTTATCAGCTTACCAATATAAACCACGTCAATCAAAGAAAAGTAAGCTTTTTGAAATGATAATTGAATTGAAATGATAATTGAATTGAAATGAGAATTGAATTGAAATCAGAATTAAATTGAAATGAGAATTGAAATAGAATTGAATTGAAATAGAATTGAATTGAAATGAGAATTCGGGGGTGGGACAAAGTTGCACCTTTTTTTTGCGCACCCGACCAAAAGCGCACCTTTTTTTCGCTGGAAAAGGCCTTAGAAAAGGCCGTAGAGCTTCAAAAATGTTTCCACATAGGGGAATCATATGCGTAGATTCCGAATTTCGACAAATTAGAACTCGCTGACACGTCAAATTTGGGCTAAAAGGCAAAAACTGCGGAAAAGCGTTAAGTTGCGTAGTTTTTGCCTTTTAGCCCAAATTTGACGTGTCAGCGAGTTCTAATTTGTCGAAATTCGGAATCTACGCATATGATTCCCCTATGTGGAAACATTTTTGAAGCTCTACGGCCTTTTCTAAGGCCATTTCCAGCGAAAAAAAAGGTGCGCTTTTGGTCGGGTGCGCAAAAAAAAGGTGCACCTTTGTCCCACCCCCGAGAATTCAAATGGGAAATTCAAATCAAATCAAATCAAATCTTATTCTAGATTCTTCGCAAACCGATCAAAACGTTTCTTCAATTACTGATGTTCAATATTTGAGTAAATACATCAAGAAGATTGAAGGAACATCTTTGGAAGAAGCTGAAGAAACTGTTTGTTGCTAAAAAGTTAATCTACTTATGAGATTCAGATTAAAACTGGAGAAACGAGAAAGACTCCATCACCGGAAATGGATAAAAAGTTTGCTGTTATGTAGATGAAAATGAAAATTCGATTTTAGTATCTCAAATAATAGCATTCCTTTAACAATCCGCGTCCTTATCTGTTCGGGATTCGATGCGGGCAGTAAAGAGATTGATCTCGCCGTCATTTTTTCTCTCCCATTGTACAGAGTGAGCTTTCAAAAAAAAGGATTTTATCGCCAATTTCATTTTCAGATCAAAGCCGTCATCTCTTCTTATGCAACAAACATTCGAGAGTTGACCAACTTCTTACAAGCGAATAAAGAGGTATATATAGATACTTTATTCAAGACCTGAGATAAAGTGCGCTAGATTTAAGATTAAAACACATGAATTCATACACATAACACGAAAAGGGCCGATAAAAAGAAACACGATATAATATATGTAAAATGTGGGTAGCACAGATAATATTCAAAGATTCTAAAAAAGCCCCGACTTCACGCATATTTAAACGATAAAATCTCTTATTGTTAAAAAGCATTTCTGTATTTGGAGGGTTTTAGTTTAAAATCCATCTAGAATCATTCAAATTCAAAAAAATCACCGATTTCAGCGCTATCCGGGCACATACGTCGGACTGAATATCATGATGTGGCGCTTCTTTCGAGATTGTCGAAATAAAAAGCTCAAACTTGATGAGACACTGCTTAAAGAGCATTCAAAGAGGATTGCATTACAATTGGGTAATCAAGAAGTGAAGGAATTGGCAAGAAAAGTCGATTTTCGGAGAGGGGATTGAATCCTCAACCTTTTGCTTTTCGGGCAATTGTTTTAACGACTGAGCTATCCGGTACCTTAACTTGCCAAGAGAAAGAGAGAAAGACATGGGGGAAGAAGAAAAGAAGAAATGGATAATATTTAGGGCTCATCGATTTCCGAGCAACCGATACCTGGATGAATGCCTTTAAAAGAAGACATCAGGTGAATATTCTGACAGTTTTGACTACTTTAACACATTTCGGCCACCGGTGGACCGTACGTGGATTTAGCACTTTTTTTGAGGCCGATTGGGTTGAACATTTGCAATCAGGGATTTTCGAGGATGAGGAATTCGAATCCGTTATTAGTTTTTAAAGAAAGCTCATCTATTTTTGGATCTTTCATCCGGTTTAATTACTCAAGTGCAGCCCCACATTCAGGACCGTGTGCCAGAAATTCAGTGATTAAAAAACGTAAAATTTTCAATGTTTACGCTTCTGGCACACAACCTTTAGAGATAAAGGACAAAATCTAAATTAGGTTCGCCTTTTTCTGTTCAATTCGATCTAATTATCCGTTTTTAGAGAATTCTGTGATGACTTTGCTTGAAAATTAAAGTTGCTCAAAAACTAATAACAGCGTCAAATTCTCCATCCCCGAATGTCTCTGGTTACACATTTTCATCTCTACAGCTAACATAGTGCCGTCAGAAACGGTAGTCAAGCCAAAAATGACTTTGTCGTGAATATTTTAATGGATATTTCTTTCTTAGATTAATTATAGCTTAATAAATCTTTCATAATCATCTTAAAGATCGATCTGTCAACTATGAGCGGTGAGCCGGTGTCCTACCAAGAGGAGAACGGGACCGTTGTTTGCTCAATTGAGCCACAATGTGATCAACCATCAATAGGTTTGGAAAGTGAATGAAAAAAAAAATACGAGTGAACCATTTTCGATGGTTTAAGACGATTGACATTTCGAAGATTGACAAATTTTAGACGCAGAGTGCTCAGCTTGTCCATCGCCAGATTTGGAAGCAACTCGACCGATTGATATTATAAATATGAGCCTGGAAAGACACGGTAGTCGAAAATTTGAGAGTTTAAAAATTTTTGTTTACAGAGTCGATTTCCGGTGCCAGCGATTTAAGAGAGAATTCACCAGCGAGAGATATTTTGCCAGGTAATTTAAAAGAGGCTATAGCCCTCAAACCTCGAACATTAACCGGTACGATGTATTGCGAATCGCGGTCCGCATGGCCAACTGGCTAAGAGCCTTGGATCATAGTCGCGAGCTCAAGGGTTCAATCCCGGCTTGGTGATTCATTCTTTTTATTTCTTTTGGAGCTTAGGAGTTGTTCTTGTGTCTTGTTTGTACGACATTATTTGTGTAAATAAGATAAGTCAAAAGATATCTGCAAGAGTTTATCAGCAATATATCCAGATTTACGATTTGTATGCTGTAAATAAGATAAGTCAAAAACTACTAGACAAGTATTAAGACCAATATAACGTTTCAGGGCCATCATCGGAAGTGAATGAGCCACAAGTCGAACTAGAGCTCATTAAAAGTTTAGTGAAAAGCACGTCTATGCATTGCTCAAATACTGAGGTAAGATTGTCGTTGAAAATTATTAGAAAAAGAAAAGGCAAAGCTTAATTTCAGATAGTCTCAGCCCTTGACACGATTCGTTGCTTCATATTGCATAAGGATCCAAAATTGTTAATCCCATTCGCCGATCTTCAGACAAAAATTTTTCATCTTACATTAAAGAAAGGTTCCGTTCGGTGACTCAACAATTCTTAAATCTCAACTTTTAGAGCCGCCATCAAATGAAGCTCTCATCAGCGAAAAATCGATAATTTAAGAAAAGATTTCATCGATATATAGTTATTTTTGTTGTTTTTTATCTTATCACACTTTGAATTCATCTCTGCTCTTGCCCAAATCTTCTACCTCTGTATGGTTCTCCGAAAATATTGTTTGCTATTATCTATTCGATCAAAAAAAACCATCTAATAAAGAAAAAAAAAGAAAACTGAAGAAATCTGGTCAAAGAGAAATTCAAGAGCTCTCAAAATGGCAGCCATTTTAGTGCCAAAACATTGTAAACATTCACCTCAAACAGAAACTTCCCAAAAATGGAACCATTCAACAAAGAGAGAGAGAGAGAGTTCTAAATTCGCTCTCAAAAAACAAGAATCCGTTTATTTGTTCCCTTTAATATATATGCTTTATTCAGTTGAATAGCGACAAAAGAAAATCACAATAATTACCCGGGACACCACTCAAAACACACCCAAAAGATAAATAGATACCTCAAGAAAGAAGTCACAGAGCAGTCAAATCAATTGCCGAAATTGCGGCTTTAAATCTAGCCAAGGTGGAAATATCACGAACATCAGGGGGTAAAAGGTTCCAGAATTTAATAACTCGATTAAAAAAGAAACTGTGGGGGCTTTTAGAGGAAACGGAAGGTTGGCGTATGAGAAAAGGCCCCCTTCTGGAGGCGCCTCGTAGAGAGCCGAATTCTAGTCAAAGAGCAATTCAAGAGCTCTCAAAATGGCAGCCATTTTAGTGCCAAAACATTGTAAACATTCACCTCAAACAGAAACTTTCCAAAAATGGAACCATTCAACAAAGAGAGAGAGAAAGAGAGTTCTAAATTCGCTCTCAAAAAACAAGAATCCGTTTATTTGTTCCCTTTCTACTACTTATAAAGGATTGGTTTCGATTGTGAAAATGTTCAGTTATTAGATTCAAATATAAGCAATATGTTTTTAATATTCTTATCGATATTATTATTATTATTGGGATTTGTTAAATCAAATTATTTACCAAATGATCCATATCATAATTGTGCGACAAGTGAGGTAGAAATTAATGAATAATAAGATTAGAATCTTTTAAGTTGAATTAAGTGTACCCCTTTTAGCAATGCTCCAAGAGTTTATCAGCAATATATCCAGATTTACGATTTGTATGCTGTTCAACGGTTGTTTGTGCTTACGGTTGGATTCATAAGAAAAGAATCGTGCTTAATGTTTGAATGAATAAATTGACAAATCTTTAGATGAAAGTTATTTCCTCGTCACATCGACTTGTTCAACCAATACCGAGTGCTCAGAAGTTGCTTTCAATGGAACCACTCGATTTGCTGGTTTGTCGAAAATCTCGAAAATCTCGAAAATCTCGAAAATCTCTAAAATCTCTTTCAATAAAAAATCTAGCTCGACTCGAAAAAGTGCATTGGGATACGATGGAAAAACAAGTGAATTCTCAGTGTCAACTCGCAGCAAAAACAATCGTTTCTCATCCAAACGTTATGGTTTGTTGAAAAGGGAAAGAAAACTATAAAAGCTTTCTCAAAGAAAAGAAAACTATAAAAGCTTCTCTCAATTTAGGTTTCTCAAAATAGAAATCACGCAAAAGTTGTCCTCTCATCAACGAAAAATATAATAAAAATGAAATCAAAGGTATTAGTGAGAAATGATGGTTAAAAATCGTTGTTTTAGCAAGATATTCGACAAAATTGTGAACTAAAATGTCAAATTGGAGAAGACTGTTGCACGAGAGTCGAATGTGATGAAATGGGAGATGAGAAGAAGAAAAAGGGAGAATATTCTCTGGAACAACGATGTTCTCCTGATTGTCACACTTTTGGATATACACTTTTACCAAAAGCTCATTGTTGGTTTTAAAATTCGTTTAAATGTTTAGCTTTATCAACTTTATCATCTTTATCATCATCTTTCAGATGTATTCTCTTCAAATGACTGGTCAAAACGACTCAATTATGAGAGAAAAATGAGTGCATCATTTGTTGAGAAAAGTTGCCGAGAAACTCGATATTTTCATCAATGGCTAAAGACTCAAAATTAATATATTTTATCCATATAAATGCTCAGAATAAAAATTGAAACGATTTTATGGTATTTGGATTTTTTAAAAAAAACGGTATTTGAATCACTAAAGGACAACCGTGAGAAAGGCGCCAAATTTGAAAAGACAATTTTTTGAAGAGAGACTGCTCAGGAACTTCTTCTTCTTTAGAGAATAGCTTTCAATTCATTTCCATAAATTCTCAACTTATTAATATTACTTTAGCATTTAGTTCGAAATATCAATGAAAAAACAAAGTCTTCTCAACTTCTTGTAACCAAAACATAGCTACATAGCTTCTTTAAGCCAACTTCAGGATTAACATAACCAGCTAACCAGCAGTAACCAGCCACGTAGCTTCTTGTAGACAACTTCAAGATCAACATAGCCAGCTAACCAGCAGTAACCAGCTACATAGCTTCTTGTAGACAACTTCAGGATCAACATAACCAGCTAATCAGTAGTAACCAGCTACATAATTCTAGTAGACAACTTCAGGATTAACATAACCAGCTAACCAGCAGTAACCAGCTACATAGCTTCTAGTAGACAACTTCAGTATTAAAATAACCAGCTAACCAGCAGTAACCAGCTACGTAGCTTCTTGTAGACAACTTCAGTATTAATCCTGTTACTGCTATTTTATTATCTATATATTGTTATATGCGGTTATGATTATCTGATTCGCTTTTATTCGTCCCTGAATAAAGCATATATATATATATATATAGTCAACAAATTTTTGAACTAACTGTGACAATCAAACTTAATTAAAAAACGTTTCTATCTAAGATGAAAAATGTTTTTTTTTGTTTTGACTGGAGACAAAAGGAACCATCTCTTTTTTTCGTTCTTTTGGCATTGATTTTTACTTTTTTGTTCTTTCCGTTCTTTTCCTTTTTTCCATTGATTTTTTAATTTGATTTTATTCAAATTCTATTCAAAATCTTTCCAGATCAATCAACAACTTCAAAAAAAAAATGACTGATTTACTTCGAAAACCTTTAGTGGTAAGTTTATAATGATCTAATTTTTTTATATAAAATCCAGGAAGATCAAAATCCTATTGGACCAGTTGAATTGTCGTATGACAGTGTAGAGAATGAAGGCAATCAGCCAATTATGATGAATTTCGGAGTCATTCCATCAAAAGTTTTACTAATGGCAAGAGTTTTTTTTGTTTTTTTTTGCAAACTCACCACAAACCTTTATTGCACTACTTCATTTTGCTGTCATACTTTTAAAAACATTGTAGACATTAAAACAAAACGCTTATCTTTAGGAACCACCAGCAATTCCAATGGTTCGTTCGGAAAGAGTGCCCCTTTCGCCGCTTTCACCCTCGTCAAACGCATCTCCTCGAACATTGGAGTTGAATGGAAATGTTGGATTTGACACATTACCTCATCAAATGGTCAAGAAAGCTATTGAGCAAGGGTGAGATTTTAAATTTGTTTAAAATAAGTTATATTCCTTATTATTTAGTTTCCATTTCAATTTGATGTGTGTTGGTGAGACGGGACTTGGAAAAACAACACTTATCGAGTCACTTTTCAATATGAAACTTGAATTCGATTCCTGTGATAATGAGCTAACGACGGTTGAATTGAGAAGCAAGAAATACGGTTAGAAATTGAAAGATCATAGTTATTATGGATTATAAGATTCATATATTTAAAGTTTATATAAATTTAGAAGTGATGGAGGGTGGGATTCGTCTTCGGATGACAATTGTCGAGACGGCCGGATTTGGGGATCAATTGGACAAGGATAAGAGGTTTCTTTTGCAATAAGATTAAAAAGAAAAGATTAAAACCAAAAAAAAGGAATTGATCATTTAATAGTTTTATTAATAATACAAGATCCAAAAAAACTTTCCTACCGTAAATACTGTAATAGTACCCCACCCCCATAATGACGGTGCGGAGCGTTGCGTAGTCTAGCTTTGAACGAGTTTTTCTCGACACTGGTTTATGCTACAATGCGCGCTTAGGTATCAAAAAATAGCCCTGAATTTCAGCTATTTTTTTGATACCAAAGACGCATTTTTTGAAAGTACGTGCGCTTTGAAAAAAATGAAATACTAAAAACTACTTTTGCGACTACGCGACTGTACGAGGGGGGTGGGATAGTATTACAGTATAGTACTGGACAATGAAATATCATATTTGAAAAAAGATCGTCACTTTCGCGCGTCTGTAACTCCCTCGTCTTTGAGTTTAAACTATTAGTGTTATACATTTTCTGAAAGCTCTTTTCAAGGGCTACACAATGGTAATATTAATATTTAGAAATACGGTAAAGACAAGGGAATTACAGACGCGCGAAAGTGATGATCTTTTTTCAAATATGATATTTCATTGTCCAGTAGTGTATTTACGGTAGGTTAACTATAGATTGTTTTAGTGCGAGTTTGATTGCGAAACATCTCAACGATCAATTTGAGAAATATTTCAAAGAAGAGCTAAAAGTGAGTAACAGTTTTTAGCGCATAAGTTTCATATCATTTGTTTTTTTTCTTCTTAAATCCATAAACTTTCTAGATTCGCCGTATGTTGTCCTTCTATGAGGACACTCGTATCCATGCGTGTCTCTATTTTATCTCACCAACAGGACTCGGGTATGAAGGCTTTTCTTGAAACGAAAATTTTTCCACAATTCATTTGTGTTCTGAATTCAAAAAAGCTCTTTCTCTTTCTCAATTTTTCCTTTGCTTACTCTTATTTTTCAAAGGTGCAATTTCGATCTTCATGACAATTTATTACTCTTTCCCTTTTCTTGAGGGCATTTAAGAATTGCGTGTCAAAGAAATCAAAAATTTTGAATGAATTTTTGGGGATTCTTTTGTGGGCGAGCGATTTCTTCACATATGTGCATAAACATGCAAATGAATGGGGGGGAAATGACGCGAATGGATTGGCACCGGGGTTTTTTTTTGTTTTTGCTATTGTGTGGGGACCAACAAGGGGAACACTCATCGTTGGAGGATGGGGAAGGCATAGGCTAGCATTTGTGGATGAATGAATGGGGTGGGAGTGGCTGGGTGGAGGGGTGGAGGGGGATGGACGGTCTCCTTCTGCTTGGGGCTCTCTCGAGGTCATGTGCCCCTTCGTTTCCCCTTTTTCACAACCCTGAATCACCATCCCCTTTCAATCCTTGTTTTTCCGCAACCAATCTATCCCAGATTGCCCCTTGAATAACAAGTATCTTCTTTCTAGACTAGAACTCTTTTCTACTAAAGCAAAAAGCTTGATTCCGATTTCGGATGCTTGATTCTTTGCCATTTTATTTTATTTCACTTTCCATTCTCACTCTCCGTCTTCAATCAAATTTTCTTCTTTCAGCCTCAAAGCGCTTGACTTGGTGACTCTGCGCGAGTTGAGTAAACGAGTGAATGTGATCCCGATCATCGCCAAAAGTGACACCATCAGCAAGGATGATCTCATTCGTTTCAAAAGCAAAGTGAACTAAAGAGTTTACGCAGAGTTTAAATTAAAAATGGATTTAGATTCTCTCGGAATTAGCGCAAAATCACATTGAAATCTATCAATTCCCGACTGACGACGAAACGGTGGCCGAAATCAATTCGCAAATGAATAAATTTACTCCTTTCGCTGTCATTGGCAGTACGGATTTCGTGAAAAAAGATGATGGCAAGGTAAAGAAAAAGCTTGAATTTGTTAGTAATTTTTTGCTTTTTTTTCAGTTTGTACGCGCGCGACGGTATCCATGGGGAATCGTTGAAGGTGAGCGTGATTTACGAATTTATAAAATACTTTACAAAAAAAGAATTGAATGTAGAAAACTAGAGTAATCGTGTTTATAGAAACACGTAAAATTTACTTAAAATTTCTCAATTTTAGTCGAAAACGAAGATCACTGCGACTTTGTGAAACTTCGCGATGCACTCCTTCGCACAAATGTTGACTCGCTTCGTGAACGAACACATTCGGTAAGTGAGGCATTCAATGCTTCAATGGCATACAATGCTTCAACGGCATTCAATGCTTCAACGGCATTCAATGCTTCAACGGCATTCAATGCTTCAACGGCATTCAATGCATTCAATGCTTCAACGGCATTCAATGCTTCAACGGCATTCAATTGGGATTGTTTATTTGAAGATTTCATATAGAATTACTAAAATTTATAGGTGCTCTATGAAAATTATCGACGTGAAAGACTCCGCTCTTCGATGAATGACGGAGACGGTGATGCGATTCGATTCATCGAAAATTGTGCTCAGGTTTTTGCTTTCATAAATAAGAAATTAAATAAATGAAATTCAATAAATCAATTAGATAAATAAAGTTCAATAAATGAACAAAAAACATTGCAGAAAATGCAAAAGTACACCTTGGAAATGAGAGCGAAAGAAAAAGAACTCGAGGAGGAATATGATAAACGATTGGCACAATATGAGGCACAGATGCAAAGTGAAGAGCAAACGGTTGAGAAATATGAACTTTATTCATTGAACAAGACAGTTTTCAGCTTATGCGAGCCAGCCAAGACGTCGAGACAAGATATATTCAGCAAAATGAAGTAAGAACTAATAGATAGTAATAAGTGACAAGTAAGTAGGCTTATCTTATCTTATCTTGATAGAATAGAATCTCCAGAAATACATCATATTTACTAGTAAATTAGATAAATCAAAGAACAATTAAACGAATCAATTTTTGTAAAAGAACAATTTCAGCTTCTCGACGCTGAGATGCGAAATGTGCAAGAAGAGAAAGAGCGAATCGAGTTGAAATTGAAGAAAGGGAAAAAGTAAGGAGCAGATAATGCAATAATGCATGGAAAGTCTTCTAAAATCTTGCTCTTTTTTTTGAGTTTGAATATCGACAAAAGTAGGTTCTGAATTTCTGAATTTCCACGCAGAAATTATCGAATATTATTTGGTTTTGTCAAAACAAGAACACGAATTACTTTTTCGATATCCCATCTCTACTTTGATTTCAATTGCACAGCTTTCTTCTTCTCATTGGCTTTTCATGTACTCGCTTCAATCATCTTCAAAATATCTTCTTCTTTTATTTCGCTTTCGAATTAGAAACGATTCTCTAAAAACAAAATTAGCAAAGGTTTGAAACGTTCTGCAAAGTGGATTTCATCTTTTAAAATCAGTTAAATTATTGAGAAATGAATTTATTTTAGTCATTTCTATATTAAATTTGATTAAAAATTATATTACTACATTTCAAATTTGTTTCTAATACTTTATTTCTTTCTAATACTTTATTTCTTTCTAAATAAAGTATTAGAAACTCCAATTCAAACCCTTTCTTTAAGCGAGAAATAAAGAATACTTGATTTCTTTCTAAATATAAATACTTTATTCAGAAAGAAATAAAGTGCGAAAACGACATGAAAAATGTACTAGATAAAAGATGACAAAGTCACTTAAAATGCAACGAAATAGCCCTTTTAAAATCAGACACGGTGGAGATCAAACGCAACTTGTCGGGAAGGGCATTCCAAACTTTAGTCACACGATTTACGAAAAAAGCTCTAGAGGATTATTTCTTTCTAAATAAAGTATTAGAAACTCCAATTTAAACCCTTTCTTTAAGCGAGAAATAAAGAATACTTGATTTCTTTCTAAATAAAGAATACTTGATTACTTTCTAAATAAAGAATACTTGATTTCTTTCTAAATAAAGTATTTCTATATTTCTAGTGAGAATCAGCTCCAATTTAAACCCTTTCTTAAGCGAAAGCCCGGTTTTCCCTCTTTTTTTTCTTTAAAATTCAAGCATGTGCTTTTTATTTTTAAAAAAAATGGTCACCAATCGTTGCGTTTTGTCGAGAATCATGATTGATCCGATTCTATATTCTTTTTTCACATTCAGATTTACTAAACTACTGTTCTTTTTTCTTTAAATACCTTCCTAAATTCATTTTCTTGCTTTTGAAATAAATAATTTGCAAAAAAATCTTTGAGAAAATACATCCTAGCAATTGGTGGTCAAGCATGCGCCTTTCTTTTTGCATGAAATAAATATTTCAAAAGAATTTTTAAATTCTAGAGTCGATCGAAATCTTTCCTTCAAAGAACGCTTTGGATTTTTTTCAAAATAGCCTACAAAAAAAATCTTTTTTTTTTTACTTGTTCTTTGAGTGTTGCAGAGAATAAATCTTTATTTAAATTATAAAATAAATTAGAAATCTTTAGAAATCAGAAAATAAAGCTTTATTTTGAATGAATTTAGATGAAGAGAATGATTTGATGGGGGTTGGGACAAATGCGACCTTTTTTGCGCACCTGGACATTTGCGCACCTTTTTTTTGCTGGAAAAGGCCTTGGTCGTTTTGAAAAAGCTTCAAAAATGTTTTCATAGAAGGGAATCGTATGCGTAGATTCCGAATTTCGACAAATCAGACCTCGCTGACACGTCAAATTTGGGCTAAAAGGCAAAAACTGCGGAAAAGCGTTAAGTTGCGTAGTTTTTACCTTTTAGCCCAAATTTGACGTGTCAGCGAGGTCTGATTTGTCAAAATTTTGAATCTACGCATACGATTCCCTTCTATGAAAACATTTTTGAAGCTCTACAGCCTTTCCTAAGGCCTTTTCCAGCAAAAAAAAGGTAGCATTTGTCCCAACCCCTGATTCGATTCATGAGTTTTCACTGTGGATATTGAAAGTCCATATTGGTGACTTCTACCTAAAAAATGAAATCATTTTTGCTTTAAAGATTTAGCTAACCGGTCCATCAATTCGGAAACCAATGTAGTCAGAGATGGGATTTGTGGCTCGATGCTTGAAAGAGCACACACGACGCCCATCCACTTCGATCTGGAAAAAGTGTCAGACTTATAGGTCTGGTTATAGCTCTAATCGATATTGTGTTAGCTTTTCGTCTCTAGAAACCCATAATAACAAGTATCCAAAGTTAAATAGCTTTTTTTACTATAGAATCTCCAATACGATTTCTGAATTATCGTATTTTCGTATTTTCCCAAATAGTATTCCAACTCGCCGAGCCGAGTTGATAACTATTTTACGGCTTCCAAGTGTTTTGCAGAAGCTCAACACTCTAATCCCCCAAAAGATCTCATCGTCAGCTACATTTTCCGATCCCACATCGATAGGTTCTGATAAGCGGTTTTCGAGATTTCGAGCAATTTAGACGAAGTTCAAGGTGCACGAGATAACACGGTACTTGAATAGCTTCCGTTTCGTTGATAAGGACCAGTGTAGCGCCGCCGTCGAGCTAAAGTTTGATTCACCGTTTTTCATCTCGACTTCGACTTCACTACTCACTTGGAACGGGAAATCACCCTCGAAATCCAGCTCTTCTTTCATCCAAAATCCACCTTTACGAGCATTTCGAACGAGCTAAAGTGAAAAGCTTTAAAGCACTAATGAACCAAATCACTTTCTTTTCAGCCATTCTTGGATTGAAATGGAAAAGAGTTTCCTTGTTTTTCGCGATAAAATCCACAGTCCATCGATCACCTTTCGGGATTACATAAAGCTCAATGCGACTTCCTTGAATGTTTTACATTTTTTTTATTGAATCCACTCTTCGAAATACCTAACTTTAGCGGTTGCTGGCCTTGGAAAGCCGTTTCCCATGGCACCTGAATGAAATTTGAAATTTAAAAGTCCAAAATTAAAAACCTGATAGAGTTTTCCACCCCAATGAACACCGTCGACAATGCAGTCACCTTTCACCTAAAGAAGTGACGTTTACCTTTCTTCTTTTTACCGACCTGCAGAAATTCGGTTTCATTGAAAGGAGAGCGATACTTGAACTCGTGAACTTTCTCTCCGTTCAATCGAACCTCGAAGAACCCGTCGAGACATCTGAATCAGAAACAGTATCCCAATTTCACTCCTGTATCTGGTATCATGATGCTTGCTTGCTCAGAAACATTTTCAACTACCTAATACGCAAATCGAAATCTTCTCCAGCTTTAAAAGGATTCGCCACTCTCTCTTCATCACCCCATTTCCCATCCAAAAACGAATTCAACACCACCGTTGCTTCATCGATTCGAATGTTTGCGTGCAGGAGAGCCTTGAAACGATCTCTTATTGAAACGATTTAGATTTCTTTGAAAACAAACCTGTGACTGCCCCTTGGCAAGTTCAGAATCACCCTTCAACAAGTTCAATTCAATTCTGAAACGTTTTTCTTGTTTTATTTGCTTAAAATGCTTACCGCTTTCCATCTGGATTGATTTTCCCATGTATGTTGATGGTTTGTCCAATCTTGAAAGTCATTCTTTACAGATCAACTAAAAAAACAAAACCTGAAGAGGTTGAGCAAGGCGACAAGTGAACGGCAAATTGACTCGTTGATCATTCGCATGACGCTAGAGTATTTCAATGGAACCTTCTTTTTGTTTTGAAGTGTTTTGAAGTGTAATCTTTAAATGTCTACATTTCCTATTTGCATGAGTTTACAATTCCAGAAAAGGTAACTCGACTGTCAGTTTGATTAAAATACCGTATTTCTTCGAATAGAAGACCGGGTAAAGAGTATCATCGCGTACTCCTGCCTTTTTAAAATCTCTTTTCTGCATACCGTATTTACTCTATTAGTGGGGTCCTCTCTAATAGTGGGGTCCTCTCTAATAGTGGGGTCGTCTGGAGGGGGGTTGAAAAAATAGTGGGGTCCTCTCGAATTGGAAGAAGATATTGGTAACGAAAGTGATACATCAATTGTTGATCTCTTGGATTAGTTCTTTTACTGTTTGTTAATGTTTTGTTACGGTTAAAGCTAAATAAAATATGAAGCCAAACTTGTTTTGTCAAGAATTTCGGAGAAAAATTGATATCTTTTTAATTTAAAACTTTGGTTTTATGTTCTTTTAAATTTCTCTAATAGTGGGGTCCTCTCTAATAGTGGGGTCTGGAAGGGTTGAAAAATAGGGGGGACCCCACTAATAGAGAAAAAATGCTTTCAATCAAGTGCTATAGAGCTGGAAAATGGCTCAAAAATACCACATGAGCTAACAGATTTTTGAGCCATTTTCCAGCTCTATAGCACTTGATTGAAAGCTTTTATGCAGAAAAGAAATTTTAAAAAGGGCTGCTACGCAGGAGTACGCGATGATACTCTTTACCCGGTCTTCTATTCGAAGAAATACGGTAGTCCCAAATAGACAAGAGAGAAAGATTTCTCACTCACCGGTGCCATTTTCAAAAAGTGTTTGTTGGGTTTAAGAAAAATCGGTGGCTAAAAATGAATGGGGGGTAAAGTTGAGTTGTTTTTTGTTGGGGGAAAGGGTCAATCCTTCCTTCGTTCGTTTTTTTCCTCTCACCAGCAGCTGCCTGATCGTTTCATTTTTTTGTTGCCTTTGTCCCCCAGCCACATTCACTTTTAGTAGTCCCCACTTTCCACCTCTCTCTCTCTCTCGTTCTCAAATTGCTTTTTCCCTGAACATGTGGGTCAATCGATCAACGACTTTTAGAAATATTGGAATATGGAGGAAAGAATGGCTTGGGTGAATTTAGTTTGACTTTTTTTATGCCCTGCTGTTTGCTCATTAGTGTCTGACTGCAGTTTTGATGGTGCTCGAACGAAGATAAGAGCAAAGAACCTATCCACCCTGCCACCCAGTACCTTTCAGATGAAGCCATCTTACGGACTTTATCTCATGACTTTTTTTATGCCCTGCATATGTTTGCTCATTAGTGTCTGACTGCAGTTTTCATGGTGCTCGAACGGTTTCAATTTATTTTCCACCAAATATCCCATCAAAGTTGCAATTTGTAAGATTTGTAGATTAAAAAAAAACATAAACACGCTAAAGAGTGATCTCACAAGGAAATCAACAAGAACCTAATGGTGGGATTTCGGTCTAAAAATCAAGAAAAAAAAAACGCCTATCGACTAAGCTGAAGACGATAGGGAAATCTGTTTTTGCAATAGCAATAGTGTTTTTTGTAAAAGCACTTTGGATTTAGAGTATTTTTCGTTTTTAACGACTTTAAAAATAAAATCCGTAAAGACGGTTTCCTCAAAATTGATGTTAATGATGGCAAACTTGATGGCAGAGTGGATAAGCACGTACACTACTGGACAATGAAATATCATATTGTCAGATTTTGTCAGATTTAATTTTCCGACTATATATCAACTTTTTAGGTAGAGTTTTTCATATGCAGTGCATGCAAAAAATGATAAAAAATTGTAACATACACTACTGGACAATGAAATATCATATTTGAAAAACGATCGTCACTTTCGCGCGTCTGTAACTCCCTTGTCTTTACCGTATTTCTAAATATTAATATTACCATTGTGTAGCCCTTGAAAAGAGCTTTCAGAAAATGTATAACACTAATAGTTTAAACTCAAAGACAAGGGAGTTATAGACGCGCGAAAATGATGAAAATATTTTCAAATATGATATCTCATTGTCCAGTACTGTATGTTACAATTTTTTATCATTTTTTGCATGCACTGCATATGAAAAACTCTACCTAAAAAGTTGATATATAGTCGGAAAAGTAAATCTGACAAAAAAAAGCAAAAGCTTAAAAAATCTTTTGCGCGGGTGAGTATCAAACCAGGATTGCAAAGAACCGTAAGATAAGAGCAAAGCAAACCTATCCACCCTGCCACCCAGTACCTTTCATCTTACGCCTTATGAAGCCATCTTACGGACTTTATCTAATGAAAATTGAAAAATCCTTTAAATTCAAAGGGCTTTTGCAAAAAAATCAGTTTTATTTTGTTTTATTTTCGTCTTATCACAAGTTTCACCTGTCAGAGAACAAAAAAAACTCTAGGAAATTATCTAGATTGTGACTCTAGTGAGACAACATTTTTTGAACAACAGAGAACAGAGTAAAAAAAAAACTCTGCTTGTGCTGAGAGGGATCGGCGTCCTTGACCAAGGGAAATTCAAGGCTAGGCTGGGCATGGTGGAAAGGACGAGTGTCTCAAGGTCATCCCTCTCCGCCCGCCACACCAGCATCCCTTCTCACTTATTGAAACTATCCATTTGTTTCATTTATCTATTATTAGAATATTTCCTTGAAAATTATCTTCTTTCTTTCCGTATTTCATGGATTTATTTCAAAACAAACCCAGCACCAGCTCGACCATTTCGGTGAGTCGTTAAACTTTTCTATTGTAGACTTCTTGACTCTTCTTGAACTGTTCAAAACTATTCTTGAATTGTAGAATAGTTTAACGGTGAATGTTTTCTAAAACTCAAGAATTGTAAAAACAGTTTAATCACAATCGTTCAACAATTCTTAAATCTAAAAATATTTGGGAATTTTTCAAGTCGAATTTATAGAGCAACTTTTCGAATGCTCAAATGGAATGCACAGCACGAGAAACCACAAAAGAGGACCTCTTAAAGATTGGGCAAAAACGGTGAGTGAAATTTGAAAACAGAGCATTGAAATTCGTTCGCAAAATAAACATTTGCAATTTGCAATTACAGTCGAACTTCGATCTAACCAACCCAAAATGTGCCTTCAAATTTTGCCCTCGACCGCGGCTGATTGCATTTGGCTGGGGCAGTTAGGCACAAATTTTGGACACGTTTTAGAATTTCAAATTCGTTTTATCAAAAATTCGACTGTATCTGATTTCATAACTTTAAAATTACAATGAATTTTTCCAGAGTAAACACTTCTTCCGAAATTTGCCCATCACGATCAAAGCTTCGAGAGGCTCTCTCACTTAAATCATACGACTCGTCGATAAATCAAAGCAGCAATATCCAAATCAAATTCGACAATGACGAGTATAAGTTTTTGGTATGGAAAAAGTCGTTCAACTGTTTATATTTTGTTTTCTAGGTATTAGATCTTCATCAACGTTTGGAAGCAAGAGATCGAATCATTAAAGATTTGAAAGAACAGGTTTAATTCAAAAGAAAAGAATTCTTTTTAAAAAAAAAAACTTTAGCTTTTACAAATCCGAACACAAAGAGACAGTTTCAAATTGCTTTATGATGGAGCAAAAATCGAAAATCAGTTGCTAAAAGGTGAGCTTTTAAAGATTCGAAAAAGTAAAGCTATCATTTCAGGGACATCAAAGAAATGGACGGAGAATGAGAGGAGAATCGATTTGATGAAACCGAGCGAATCATTGGAACAAAATCCCGCGAAAAGCTCATCGAAAGAGTACGAGATTGGTGTAAAGCAACTATTCACAAATGATCTCTTTGTTGTACCGAAAGATGAAAGTTGATTGATTACAGAATTCTCAAGAAACTCAAGCTCAGCTAGAGCCTAACCAAATCATATTCTGTTGTTTTTTTTGTTCCGTTAAACTCAGATAATTTTCTTTTGTTGAATAGTTTTGTCAACTGTATTTCCACGATTTTTGTGCTGATTCTAAAGCAATATCCATCTCTAGCTCTAGATTTCAACAGCTTTAGCTTTCAGCAACTTTTTCCATCATAATCCTGACCGATCCTTTTGATTTAACTCCTTGAAATCACTAGTCATTTGAAAATAAACATTTACTAATTCAGTGATTCACGAAAAATCAGAAATCAGAAGATTTTGTCAACAAAATCCGAAAAATTGTGGTCATAAAGAGGCAAGAAAGGGAAAGCGATATGTTTGCCGAGCCATGTTAGATTTTGAGGCGCTTCTTTGAATTTACCCCCTTCGTCCGATAATCAATGCAAGAAGGGCGAACCGAGGAGGGTGAAGGGGAGCATCGTTCACGTCATCTTTCACCACTCCTTTCATCAAAATATTGATTCCTAACTGATATTTTTAAACAAATGAAATCATTGATCTTTATTAGGTGATAATTGGAAGTGAGAATGCTTCCCTTTTACTATCATTCCATCGAATCGTCCGTCTCTCAAAGTACATTGGATTCGGACGAGTTTTCCTCGACTCTTGGACCCGTCGATTTCCCAGTTGATTACTATTGTCTTTCTATTAATAATGTTTTTAAAACAAAGAGGTTTGGGAAAAATAAATTTGGTAAATTTTGGTTTTAAAATTAGTTTCAGAATTTTCGACATGGCTGCCTCAACAATTGGTATCATTCTGAATTCAATCCATATCGGGATACTTGTTTACATCAAATTGATGAAAAAAGCTCGAAGTTACGAGCTGCTTCTTGGACAGGTAAAAAGAAAAAGAGAAAAAAGAAATTGTATGAAGTTGTATGAAGTTGTACAATAAAATAGGGAGTCCTTGCATTTTTGACTCATTTATTCTTGCTGCTTGGATGTCTCGTTGATTTGTGTATGGTTGGAGTGAGCGAGTCGGCTGCATGGTTTCGAGCACATATCTGGTTGTTTTTGGTGAGTTTAACTTTGCTTTTGAAATTGTTTTGAACTTATTTTGAAATTTAAAAATAATAAAAGCTTGCTTAGGTGAACACTTTCATGGCCTCGTATGGCTTTTTGATCATTGCTTTGTGTATCGATCGTTATGTGGCACTGAATCGTCCGATCTACTATAGACACACGTTTGTGAGAAGACGGGTAAGGGTAGTGAATTCAAAAAAGAATCCATTTCTATCCATGAATAATGTGATACAAAAAAAATGCGCAAGCCCTAACTAGAAATGCTTTTACACCTAGGCATAGTTTTTTTGGTGCAATTTTTTCGCGTTCCATAAATCTGGATCATTTGGGGATGATGTGTTGAAATTTGTTACTAGGGATGCTTTCCGATTTACACCTAGAGCCTAGGCATAGTTTTTCTGGGGCAATTTTTTGCGCTGACTCCGAACATCTAGGTCGTTTGGGGATAACGTGTTGAAATTCGCAAGATATTCATCTCCAAAGGTTTACACAGTCTTTCTTGTCTTTTTGTTCATTTGTTACCAATTTTCTAGAAGTCCAAAACAAGAAAAATAACCTAAAATTGTTTAGTTAGTTAGGATTTCTACATCACTAAACAGAAAGCAAAGAACTAATGGAAAGCACACTTACCAGTAGGCCACGAACCCACTTTTTCACACCTACGCAAAAGCAATTTGACTATCCATGGTCGAAAAAAGCCATGCTCAAAAATCCTGGATAAACTTTGGAGATGAATATCTTGCGAATTTCAACACGTCATCCCCAAACGACCTAGATATTCGGAATCAGCGCAAAAAATTGCACCAGAAAAACTATGTCTAGGCTCTAGGTGTAAATCGGAAAGTAGCCCTAGTAAGCCCTAAATGTAGGGAAGAAAAAGTATAGGGAAAAAAGAACTAATATTGAACTGGGATTGAACCCTTGGGCTCCCGAGGAAGATACGGTGCCCTTAGCCAGTCGGCTATAACGTCCGCGATTGCCGAGATATGTCTTTTTGATTTTAGACAAGATGGGGGCTGATCATTGGAAGTTGTATTCTCGGGATGATTTTTTGCCTGCGTTGGATACCATTCAATCGAGTTACTGAAGACAATGATATTGAGGAGAACACAACGGTGAGTATAGACTAAAAATGCTAAACTTTATTCCACAGATCAGTCGAACTTGGTATTATACAACGTGGCGAATCATGGTTTATCTTGAGCAGTATGTTTTTGCTGGAATAGCGATGATTGTTCTGAGGTTTAGTTTCAAAAGTTTTCCTTTCTTTCTCTTTCTTTCTCTTTCTTATCTTTCTCTTTCTTTCTTATTTCTTCATTAAGAAAGAAAGCTTAGAGCTGAATGGTAGAGCATCTGCTATCTGATAAGCAGAAGGTCGAGAGTTCAATTCCTTTGCCATTCATTTCTGTAAAGAAATATTCTTTGCGTGCTTGGTTGGTACTCGTCACTCAAGACACGTTATTTCTTGTTTCGAGATACCTGATCTCACTTGAATTACGACACTTTATTCAATAGCCGACTGACTCGGAATTTTTGGGCTCTCACTTGAGCAATCTTCACACAAAATCGACAATTGAATTAAAAGCGACGACAAAAACAGAAACAATTTCGTCCTAATTAGGACACAACTTTCACACGATGAAAGGAAAGCAGAAAATAAGTAAAAACGGGGGTAGGCTAATTTCCGCCATTTTATTTGCGCAACAGGGTCATTTGCGCAACTGGGTCGTTTGCGCAACTCGCCATAACTTTCTTCTAAGTCGGCCAATCTTTATGATTTTGGTTTCATTTTGTTGCACTTATTGAGATCTACAAAATGAAACCAAAATCATAAAGATTGGTCCATTTAAAAGAAAATTATGGTGAGTTGCGCAAAAAATGTTGCGGAAACTAGCCTACCCCAAAACGCGTCAAATCGAACAGCAGTTTCTTTATATAGGCTTTAACACAAGATATTCAGCTAACAAGCTACAAAACAATAAATGATTTGGGACGCGAAATAGAATGAAGGCGCACGGATTTCCGCAATACTTTTCCAATTTTTAGGCTGTCAGAGTTAGGCCACTTTTTAGTGGCTATTCGCCACAATTTCTTTGCCTTTATTACCTCATAAGTATCGATTTTTTTAGCTATTCCAATATTCGAAAACTTGAAGAAATCAAGCGTTCTTATAAAGAAGAAACATTGGGAATGACTGGAGAAATTAAAGTCGAATGGATTCGCAATCATACGGTAAAAAAGAAAATTTTTTTTATTTCACATGTCAATTTTTTCTTAGACAATCTCGAAAATTTGTGCCGTTCTCGCCATCTCATACGTGATGTTCAATTGGCCGTATTGTATTGTCGACTATTTGTACACGGATGATGTACTCGTTTTTTTTTTGATATCTATACTTAACTACTTGGAAAAAATTTATAGCTAAATGATGAACAATGGTATGGAGTGGTGACACTTATCATCAATCTTTTGCAAGTCGTTTACATACAGTTGAATCTTTTCTTTTTCGCCTATTGCAGTCAAATGTATCGATCAACTCTGGTAAGCGTCGTTGAAAATTGAAAACTTAAAGTTGCCTTTTGTTTGACTGTATTCCTTACCGTAAATACTGTAATAGTACCCCAGCCCGCCTCGTACAGTCGCGTAGTCGCAAAAGTTTTTTAGTATTTCATTTTTTTCAAAGCGCCCGTACTTTTAAAAAATGCGTCTTTGGTATCAAAAAATAGCCCTGAATCTCAGTTATTCTTTGATACCTAAGCGCGCATTGTAGCATAAACGAATGTCGAGAAAAACTCGTTCAAAGCTAGACTACGCAACACTCCGCACCGTCATTATGGGGGTCGGGTACTATTACAGTATTTACGATATGCTTTTAAAAGATACCCAAAAAAAAACTAACTACACCAAATTCCATCTCTTTCGACTAAAATTACAGTAATCCAATGTTCTTTTGTCTATAAACATTTTAGCTATAAAATTAGATTAAATATTTTTTAAAAAAAGCTTTCAGATAAGCATTTTCGGTTGGCCGTATCGATCAACGAAAGATCTCATTTTACGATTACGCTTTCATCGCTCGTCAACAATGAAAAAAATCGTTGATTCACGAGAATCAACTACCACTCAAAATACTGTCTTCACTGTTTGTTGATGGGTTTAAAATTTAATGCTTTTTGAATAGCAAATAACAAAATAACAAAATAACAAAATAACAAATAACAAATAGAAAACGAACACACTTTCAGATATCCAAGTTTTTTTTTCTAAAAAATCTTTTAAACCGATAAACTTAAACGAAACTAATTCTTAGGCTTGACAATGAGTAAGAGAGGAATTTCTAAAAGAGAGTAAAGAAAGAGTGCATGGACGTGTCGCTTATCAAAGAAGTGTCGGAAAGTGTAGAGGAAAGGGGATTGCTGTTTGCGCACGTGCCCCCCGCCCCTGCCCTGCCTATAAACCCCTTTTATTCTTCATTTACTCGCACATCTCTTTATTTCTCAAAACTTTCTTCTCTAATATGTCCCTTTGTCTTTTAGAGAATATCTTTTAGAGATTTGTTCATATCATTCATTGATCGATCACTCAAATCTGCTGTGAATCTGTGAATCTGTGAATCTTTGATGATTCACAGCAGCTTTGCAGCTGCGTCGAGCCATTTCTCTTTGTCTTCAACTCTTTTTTTTCTGACTTCAATTATTCACAGAATTTTCGTGCTAAATTAAAAACAAAACTAAATGATTCACCTTTTCCAATATTTAATCTTTCCAAGAATTAGGTCATAACCTTTCTTTTAGCATTCTTTTATGTAAAGTGAATTTGAAAAAAGAAAACGATTTAGTTATTTAGAAAATGGCTTTCTCATTACCATTCAATGGATGATCGTCTTCAATTTCATTTTGTATGCAAAGCTGCGTCGCGCCATTTCTCTTTGTCTTCAACTCTTTTTTTTCTGACTTCAATTATTCACCGAATTTTCGTGCTAAACTAAAAACAAAACTGAAATATTACCTTTTCACAAAAAGATCATGAAAACAACCTCAACAACAATCTGTTCAGGAAATAAAGAAATAAAGGAGCGCAAAGATTAATACACATGAATCCATGCACATACACACAAAAAGGATCAATAGAAAGCAACACGATCGAATGTATTTAATAATTAAGTAGCACAGATAAAGCCAAGAATCAACTAGAACTAGAATCAACTAGCAAGATCAAAATCATCTACAGATAATTTAAATGCTTTAAGATTATTGGACTCTCTCAAAACTCTAGGGAGTAGATTCCAAATTCTGGCACTTCTCATTGGAAAAGAGTTATACACAAGATTATTGGAGGTGATTAGAATTTCTAACACGAAAGAACCTCTCTTTAACTCAAAGAGAGGTTCTTTCGTGTTAGAAATTTTAATCACCTCCAATAATCTTGTGGATAACTCTTAATGTGTGCCTTGTGTTAATTCAGCCGTAGGATTAACTTTGAATAAATCTCAAAAAAAAGATGGATAGGTTGCTTGCCCTTTACAATTTTGAAACATTCAATTAAATCCGTGACCAAGCGGTGATGTCGAAAAATTCTCAAAAGTTTTCTCAACGCCCGTTCGTCTCTTGTAAATTATTTTCACACAAAACTCTCTACCACCCAGGATTTATTTCAAAATAGAAAACAAGAGGAAAGACAAACTTGCAGATGAGCACTAATTGTGAGGGATTGAAAGACGGAGTGTATTTGCGCAGTGTGGATGTCGATTTCTACTACAATGAGGAAGGGACTCGTGTTGACACACGGCTCTTTCTCTTTCCCTCTCTTTCACCTATTTCCTTTTCTTTCCCATACACTCAAACCCTTTTCCTTGTCTTGCTTTGGCATCTTTCCTCTTTGTGAAATCAAAGTTCCCATAAATATTCTTCTGCTAGATTAGCATCTCTGCATATTAGCATTGCTTACCTTATTCTATTTTGTTTACCTTATTATTATTTTGTTCAGCCAGCTCTGTTCAGCCTCTAAACCAGAAGAACACAAAGAGCAGCACTGTTTTCGTTCAGTTTCATTGTTTACCAGGAAAATACCAGGAAGTTTCATTGTTTCCAGGAAAATCTGGATGTTAAAGTTTTCACAAAATGAAATCTTCCTAAATCTAGCCTTTCTTTCAAATTATCGCTATTTGAGTTGCTTGTTTCAATTCGGATTTGCTATCCAATGCCATTTGAAGGCGCCATTTTATTGGTTGGGCATCGTTTATCGTGACACAAAAGGTCATTTGTAGTAGGCACACACGGGACTCTCCGCTTTATTTTTCTCTCTCTCGTTTACACCAAAAAAAAAACTCGTTTTCCGGCTCTCATCAAAGACACTTTACCCGCCGCTTTTCCACACTCTGCAAAATTTTTTGTTGTTGTTTTAGCTTACATTCTCTAGACCATTCAAATCTCTAGACCGCAAAACCTGACCCTATGTGTAAAGCTTTGAATTTTTATGAACCACATGTGTATCTTGAATTGTGTATGGTAAAATATAATGTTAAAATTAGAAAGAGTGAGTAAAAGAAAGCTCGAATAATAATACCGGAAAACTATAAAAGAATAGTGTGAAGTGTGAAGAAAATTTAGTCGAATAGCTAGGATGGTGGTTGAGAAAAGGGATTTCAAGGGTAAAGACGAAGAAATAGCGCCCCGGGCACCATTTTTCACCCCCCAGAAATCGACCAAGTTTTTACGCGTTCCGGTCATTAATCTCTGGATCTACGATGAAGGGAGATGCCGATACGAGTTTTTTTTCCTTTCTTGCAATATGGCCTCCATTCACGCTCCCCATTTTTCCCCTTTCGACGAGAGATTTACATTCGGCTTTTCTTATTGCGACAAAGCGAAGGAAAACTTTTTGAGAGTCAAAGGTCTAAGGTTTAAGGTTTAAGGTCAAAATTTGAGTCCTAACTTGGTACTCGTGAGCTTCCTGCACTTTACAACTATTGCTTGCCATCCTAATCGAATGTGAGTAAATGTGAGTAGAGAAGCGGGCCATTGAATACATGGAAACCCCTTGGGAGTCATAGATTTCTACACAAAACGTCGCGCACTACCCTCTTTTTTCGTTTATTTTCGTTCAAAGTTTTTATTCGTTTTGAATTATCTCATTAGTTCATTGGTTTTGAATGTTTCTTTTCTTTTCAATGAACTGTCAAAGGGTTAGAGTTTTTCATAAGTTCTTGCGGTTCTTAAAAATCAGTCAACAGTTTCATCTGAAATTTCTATTGAATAATCCAAAAGTATATGCTAACTAGTAGCCAAAATTTGATAACGATTGCTTGGTTCAATCGCGATTATTCGGTTAGCATATACTTGTAGATTTAATCGGTAGAAATTTCCGATGAAACTGTTGGCTGGTTTTTAAGAACCGCAAGCATTCATGGAAAACCCTAATAAAATAGTTTTAGTCATACACTTCATGTCTAGACAAGTTGTACTTTTTTGTAAGGAAAAAAACTTTGTGCTTAGCCATAACTGAAGCGTGAAACAGACCTCCAGATGGCAAAAGGCACTTGAGATCTCTTGGCCAACCGAGCGCATTCTCCATTCTCACCCCACACCCATCCATACCTCCGTTGCTCACTGTGAGGCCACTCCCCTCTTACCCTCATCCCCATCCTCTTGCCCCTTGAACTCATGTGTCTTCTCGGGTGGCACCACCCTTTTTTTTCTCAATTAGACACGCCCTACTAGGTTTATGCCGTTCATATAACCCTATTTCAACTATAATAAAACCTTTGGCATTTAAATTAACGTGTAATTTTACTTTGCAGAAGCATTTAGACTTTGCTCTGACCAGATTTCAAATGGAGTTGAAAAGCTGAAATCGGGTTGCTTTGTGTCCATTCCTTTTGGATCCGTAAAAAGAGAATTTGTCCGCCTCCACCCAGGAGGCTTTTTGTCTCCCGCCTTTCTTTTTTGTCCTTTTATGCACTCTTGGTGAGCGCAACATTGTGCCCTTCAACCTCTCCCTCTTCTCACTTCTCACTTCTCACCCTCCATTTCTTTTCACCCATCCTCCCTTCCTCCTCAACTAACTCGTACTTCAGCTCTTTGCTTCTTTTCTTACCCTCTTTGAAACTTAACTGACATTATTGTTGCTATTGCAAATTACTATCAAAAAACCAGTTCTCATTTTCGCTTTTTTGAAAAGCTTTGCTCACTCTCGCTCTCGAAGTGTCAAATTTCACACAAACTGCCAACAAATGAGTCGAGAATCGTTATTTGCTTTCTCGACTAGTACAAATTTTGCAAATAAATTACTTTTCCGTAAATCTCGACTCAATTTCTCACTTGCTAATCATTGGGTTTTTGTCAATAAAGCGGAACTGGTTCCAGGTAGATCACCTGGAATTTCCCAGAGTGAAGTGGGGATTTGAGGGAGGGAAAACGAGAAAAATGATGAGCCGACCACAGCATGCACGATCAATCGCATGCAAATTTTGATGAAATCGGGGTCGGAGGCCGCGTCGAGAGCCTCTCCCATCTTTTTCCCTTTTCTCTCACCCTGAAACGTGTTTGTTGGCGGGTGGGAGAGCACTCGACACTCCTCCCCGTGCATCCCCATTCCTTTGCCCTATCCACTGCCGCCTATCTTATCTTTCTTTATCCCTTCATTTGAATATTTGAATATTTTTTATTTTTACAGATGTTTTGTTTTAGAATTCTGGGTTTAATAAGTTTGAGGAGCTTTTTCCGGAAAGAAGCATGACGAGTGGTGAATGTAGATGATTTGTCCGCCTGTTTGCTGCTCTTCCGACCCAAATTAGCGCTAATTTGACAGCTCACATAAGAGTGAAAGGGGAGGGGCGGGCGGTGCCCGTCTCTTCAAATTCCCCATCTCCCACACCCTTCTCTTTTCCCTCCTCTTGCACAAATCCCTTCAAAGTGCTCGCATCTACCTTCCCAAGAACGTATTTATTCTATTAGTCGAGAGTTGTTTTGGCATTTTGTAAAACCCATCAATTTTGTGCCAACCATATGGAAATAGTGCGGGAGAAAAAGGGGGTTACGTAAGAGATGGGCTGTAGTTCATGAAGGCCTCATCATCGGCTATCTTGACACGCCATCTCAATTTGCATATGTCCTCTTTTCCTTCTCGTTTCTATCTCCGATAAATACCCCTCTTCATTCTTCGTTTCACTTATTTTACGCGACGTTCACTCCATTTTTGACCTTGTTTTCCAATTCTCCATCCGCCGGCTACTTTCTTTGTTTAGAGTTTTCTCTCCAATCAAAGTGAGTGCTGAGTAGTAGAGTCAAACGCGCATAATAATGTCCATTTGTTGAGCATTCGTGAAATTGCAGCGGGTGTCCCTTGGTTACCAAAAGGAAAATCCCGATTGGAATTTCCCCTTTCTCATCCTCAAGCACCATATTACTTTATTAGTTACTTATTACTTTATTGCTTTATTACCCATTACTTTATTACTTATTACTTTATTATTTTATTACTTATTACTTATTACTTATTACTTATTACTTTATTACTTAGCACCAGTTTACTCAACACCATATTACTCGATTTCTTATTAACCATATTAATCGTTTTCTTGTGTTTTTCGAATTCATCTCAATTACTTCAATATTCTAGAGTCGATATTCTTTCCGATGATGAAATTGAGAGTACGAGATATCGTGGATAAGTGATGCGCAAAGATCGTCCTTCCTTTCGCCGAGAGGCTTCACTACGAGTTTTTCGGAGGTTTCCCCTTTTTCATTTATCATTTCTCGAAATCATTCAGATGGCTGGCCACGTGTGAACAACCGCTACTCATCACAAGCACTCCTTATTCAGGGAAAACGTTTTTTGTAAATCAGGTGGGCAAAATTTCTGTTACTTTCCTTTCTGTTAAATTCCTGTTACATAAAATTCCTATTCGAACATTTTCTCAGGGATAAATCTGATCATCTCTAGAAGGTCCATTAGTAACCAAGAAATAGGGGGGAAATCTCAGCAGGGAATGGGACATACAAAGAGAGCAAATGAACAATGTTCTCACGCCTTTTGCCATCCCTTAAAAAGCGGCGAACACGCGAGAAACAGGAAGGGGGGGCACAGCGACAAATTGACGAACCCTTTTCCTTTTCTTTTTCTTTTCTTTCCCTTTACACACATAATTGGGGAGCACAGGATCCGAATCGGATTAGACCTCACTCCCTTTCTTCTACTTTTAGCCTATTTACTCGATATCCCTTTGCAACTTGTCCGACGAATATCTCCCGAACTTTTCGAAGCCAAAATTATTCTCGAAATACCCGCCAAGACCACCTGGCACCATATTTTGAACACCAAATTTCAAGTTTTCCTCTTTCTCCACCCCATAACGCTCAAATTCACGAGCTAGGAAATTTCGAGAGACCCGCAAATTGCCTCATTTCTCAGGGGAATTCAAAACGAATTCTTAAGAAAGCCACAAAAAAACTGAAATGCTAATGGCATAGGTGAATTGTTGAAAATAGCAGATGGGGGAAAAACAAGAGAAGCAAAAATAAATTTAGCTATAAATAAATCTCGAAATTTAGCTTCAAAACGAGCCCGAATGCGTTGGAGTGCACTTTTGCCGCGCCGAGGTGCCAGAGTCGCTCGAGACGGCCACCGTGTTGAGGAGTTTAGCCTCACAACTTGTGGCTAGGTGAGACATTTGACGGGACAAACTTTTACGCACAAAACTAGTACAAATCCCAAGCACAAACTCTTCTTTCAGATTCCCAAATGTTGTGCTACCATCGTTATGCCAATGGACGCTACTATCGGAGTGTGTGGGAGCGGTGGAACACCTGCTTGGGCTACCCCTCGCCTCTCTTCCTCCACCGCCGAAACCCCTATTTCTCGTCATCGATAATCTTCAACCATTACTCTACGAACTAATCCTAGCTGTAAGTATTAGCCTTTCAAATAAATGTTGCTCTTTTGGGGGCAAAAGTGGGCATGTTTTGACGAAAATTTGACACATTTGATATAGGGGAAAGAAAATCTGAATAACCATGACCTCATTATCCATCAAAGGAGTGTCATCGAGTCACTGAGAAATTTGCATATTTGTAAACAAAGATTTGCCAAAAACAAATGAAAATAAAGAAAGCAAAAGGTTTTTTAAAAGAAAATTTAGTTGGAAGCGTCTTTGCCCGTTTGGTTGAGATGTGTTGTTACCGCACGTCCACTCCGCACCTCAGATGAACAAAAGGTATCTTTGTATAATAAATATTATAACGATAATGATTTTGTAAGCTAAATATAAATTTTTAGTTTTCTTCTTTTCACATCTTTGATTTGGCCGGAGAACCGGAGGAATTGCGAAGTTTCATCGCGACTAAATTGCCACAATGCAGTTTCGAAGATGTTTACGATGCATGTGTGGTACGTTTTGAACAATTCGCAAAATATATAATAGAATAATTAGATATGTCTTTTATTATTTTAACCGTTAATTCAAACATAATTTTTTTTAAAGGAATCCTGGTTTTACGTGGATCAACTGGGTGAGGCCTATGAGCAAGGAATGCTTTCCTATGAATGTCTTCCATTTGGCACCGAGGAACTCTTGCACGAGATCACTCAAGTGAGATTAAATATGGGAAAAAACATTATACATAGACCTTTTGTAGATAACGAGTCAGTCCCACGTTTTCAGCAAAAAGCTCCTTTTTTCTAAAGCTCGAAATAGCATTGTAGTCACGCTTTAGAAAACAAGAACTGTTTGCTAAAACGTGAAATTGACTAGTTTTCTACAAAAAGCTCATGTATGTAGCACGAATATGTTAGGTGCTTCCGCAACGGTTCACCATTTACTTGATGCTTGTGAAAGCTGCTCGTCACCCGCCCACTCATCAACAATTGATCGCTGTCAGTCAGTTCATCATCCGGGATCTCATTTCGAATATCCAGGTGAGAAAAAAACTTTTATAAGGCTAAAAATAATCCCATTTCACTCATCAATGAAATTTTCAGCGCGATATCGAAGAGATGTCATTGCTATTCTCGAGCAAAGATCCCTATGTTTTGGCCGGCTCTTGGGCGGATTTTGTTGGCGATCTGGCGGTTTGTGAAAACATTGAATTGTCAAAAAAATTTATTTTTAGGTTTATCATACAGCTTGGGCCGAATTGTTCAAGGTGAAAAAGGGGAAAACCCCGGAAGATGTTGTCGAATTGGCCTATCATCTTGCACATTCAGGTGAGGATAACAATGAGAACTTATTCACATTTAATACTCTTCAGAAGTGGCCCCAAGTGATTCGATTCGAATCTTGAGTTCTCTTGGAGCCGGGGATTTCCTGTTGGTGTGTGATGTGATCGATATACCCACGGTACGATAGCTAAATAGCTCTTATAATTTGCTTAATTTATAGACAAATCTTCTTGTTCATGCTGGAGCCTCGCTACAAGATCACTCTCAAAAGGTACGTTACTAAATACTTGCCAACACCTCAAAAACATTGAATCTAAAGCACTTTTAAGGCATTGCTCAACAAATATTGTAAACTAGTTCACTAGGAAATTAGCAAGTGTAGGCCTTTTGCCAAATAATGAGGGGGTGAGGTGAATCGAATTAGAGTGAGTGCGCGAGTTAGTGGATAAAATTGCATTTGTTCACGTGATTATTAGACGGTTCGATTACGTGGAAACTACCAATTTTGGGGGTAACAACGATTCAAAAGGCTGACTCAATGAAAAACCGTAGATTGGTGTTTCAAGATTCAGAATCAACGAGAATTTAGGACGACTTTGTTTTCCGGTGCTCGTGTGGAGATTTGCGAAAAGTGACTCAAACCATTGAACGAGCAACTGAAAAGGTATACTCTTTGAAAAGCCAAAAGCTTCTTCTAACAAAACAAAAGTTAGATTACAGTCATAAAGCTTTTCAGGAGTTATCACTGGGACTTCTTGCAGCAGCATCTAGAGGTCATGTCGCTATCTGTAAAAGGATTTTAGAGGTGAATCTCCGAATTTTTGATTCAATTACACTTGTTGTTTTTTTTCCAGATGAGACCTCAATCGGGCCATTTCGTTTCCGAGAGTCAGTGGAATGCTCTCCGCAGTGCCGCTTGTAACAATCATCTACCCGTACTCGATTTGCTCATCGATCAAGGTCAGGTTTCCCGATTTTCAAACACTCTCGATCTTTTTTTTCCTTTCCAAAATGAAGATGATGAAAATTGGTGGGAAATGAGTGAACGCGATTACAATCCAATAAACCATATGGCATAGGGGCATCCACGGGGCAATTATGCCTCTCTCTCTTCCCATCCAACCAAATCCCTTATCCCTTGCTGGCAGCCGTCTTTCAAACACTGAATCCTTTCTATAAGCCAAGGAAATATGTTGAAATAAAGATATATAACCCTAAACATTACAGGCATAAATGTGGATGACTGTGGAAATGGTGGACGCACGGCTCTCCGAGCGGCAGCTTGGTTTGTTTATCAAAAATTTTTTTTAAAACCAATGATATTTTAGGTCAGGTCACCGAGAAATCGTTTGTCGATTGCTGCGAGCCAAAACGGATGTGGAAAAGAAAGATTCGGAAGGTTTTCTAGAATTTCTTATTCAACATCGGAAAATGGCTTTCAGGACGAACGGCTCTCATGGCAGCCGCATTCATGGATCACGCGGAAATCGTTGAGGATCTTCTCAATTATGGAGCAAACATCAAAGTAGAGAGAAACTCAATGATTTGAATTTTTTTCTTTTTAAGCAACTGGACGCAAGCGGCGCCACAGCGCTTCATTTAACTCTTTCCAATGGAGCCAAATCACCAAACCATGATCGAACCATTGCTGTCCTTCTTCAAGGTATACTCTTTACTTCTTTGACTTCAAAATATGACAAATTCTTTAAGGATCAGCCCCGGTGAATCATAGTGATTCAAATGGTCGCTTATGTCTTCACCTTGCCGCCTATCATGGTGATCGAAATTTGCCGAAGATCGCTGAATTAACTGGGAATATCGATGCACAAGTACTCTAGCTACTTTCTAGAAGATTTAGCTTTTAACTTTAGAAATATCTTTAGAAAAATTTATAATATTTTTTTCTATAGGATGAAAATGGGCGAACTCCTTTGATGTTGGCTGCCAGTCACGGGCAACTTGAGGCAGCGAATCAATTAGTTGAAAGGGTAAAGAAACAAAGGAAAATACAAATTGTAGAAAATTTTAGAAAACAAACATTGACGTTGTGGACAATGAGGGTCGAACAGCGCTCATGCATGCCGCCATTCATAATCATTTGCCAATTGTCGACCTTTTGCTGAGTCTTGGCGCTGATGAAGGGCACAAGGTAGACAGATAAATGAGATTTTTACAAAAATAAACCCAAATAAAGGACAACGACGGAGCTGTGGCGTTGCACTACGCGGTTTTACACGGAAATGTGGCTCTTGTGCGAGCTTTGTGCACAAACACGACTCTGCGAAGTACCGATCGTAATGGTGCTCATCCGCTGATCATTGCAGCTCAGCAGTCAAACGTCGAAGTAAGCAAAAACTCCGTATCTTAGTGCAAAGATTGTTAGGTGATAAAAGAGTTGCTCAATTCGGGAGCCCCAGCGAATCTCCAAACATGGGATGGACTTACTGCTTTGCGGGCAGCAGCAAATGTAAGAAAGATTCCCAAAATCGTTGCTAATAAAACTTTCAGGCGAATCAAATCGAAATCGTAGAGGCGTTAGCACCACAAATCGAGGATTGGGAGCAATTGGATCTTTACGGAACGCCACTTGTTCACAATTTGCTCATGCAATCGCAGGTATTTAAGGAAGTCAATGTGAAGAATCAAAAAATCAATTAAAGGAAATCAATCAAGAATCAATCAATCAATCAATCAATTCAATCTCAATTCAGAATGCAATGGTGGAGCTATTGTTGAGATTGGGAACCCCGATGGGAGTTCGAGATGCTCATGCAAGGACTGTCGCCCATGTGGTTGGCGCAACGAACGATGTTCTCGGAGCAAAGATGTTAAATCGGTAAAAAGAAAGACATTTATAGTAAAATCAAATCAGTTTTGTTTTAAGCTACAGGCTCACATTTAGCTTGGGAATTTCATTCGAAGTTGGTGATATGGCAGGGCGAACTCCGTTGCACACAGCAATCTGGGCTGGGCATCTCCTCGTTGCCACCTATTTTCTTGAGCAGATTTGCGTTGATCCAAATGCCATTGATCATCAGGTTTGGCATGATTGGGAACACATAAGGAAAACAATTTACAGGGTGCTTCCGCTCTATCAATAGCATCTCAGCTAGGAAATCGTGATTTGGTCGTACTTTTACTCAAATTTGGCGCTGAGCCTAACCAAAGAGATAAAATGGGTAAGAAAAGGAAAATGAGTTACAACAGAAAAGCTAAATCACTTTCAGGTCGTTCTTGTTTGGATGTAGCCCGTCTCTCAGGTCATGAGCACATTCGATCATTGCTCAAATCAGCATGTGGGTCGGCTGATTCGTCAGGTTTTGGGAGCATGCCAAATTCACCAGCTGGAGAACGAAGGCGAGCCCCGCCACAAACCACTTTTCTTTATCACACTGCCTCTCCAAGAGTTCATCTCAAATAAAAGAGCCATAAGATTTTCATTCATAATTTATTACCTATGCTTCACTGATCTCGTTTGATACCAATAACCAATTCTCGTCCGCCTTTTGTGAAAAATTGTCTTTCCGGTGCACCTCTGTATAAATGCTTCTCTGATTCACATACAAATTTCATCTTTCCGTCAAAAAATCCTAATCGAGCATGAAGTTATATACTTTAAAATAAAGATTTATTCAAAAACAAAGCCAAAAACAACAAGTCAACAAATAACAAAAAAGATAACAACTTCGAAAAGCTAACCCTGCATACTAAAATCTCATCTAAACTACGTAATAAAACTATCAAACAAAATTGAATTCAAATCACATTACTCTTTCAACCTAACTGAAAAAGTAAATCGAATCCCGTACCTAAAAAATGCCATGAAAAATAGGTGCGTAAAAATAAGTTTACCTCATCTATGTTGAGTTCGCCTCGAGTAAATTCTGCTGCAAAGATTTTTTGAAAATAGGCTTTTTCGGCAACGCTCATTTTTTCCATAATATCCTTTGGTAAGTATTCCGTTTTAAACGCCGAAGCTAGCCTATACAATTTGGTTTGTGTAGATTTGTAGAATATTGTTACTGTTCAACGAGGGGTTCCGAATGAAGTCGCACAAACGTGTCCCTACATATATCACTCATATCATCAACACTACAGGCGTGTGTCCAATAGCAATCATGTACCGCCGCAAATGTAATGCCTCTATATAGCTTCATCATATAAAAAAGCCCAAAATACAACCTTCTTGAGCATTCAAGCGAAGTGAGCATCATGTGAGTTGAATCCAAAGAATGGACGTAATTCGGGGGAAATGCATTTGTCTAAAGTGCAATTTCTTTTCGATCGACAAACAACTTAACATTTAACTTGCTAAATTTAACCTGTTTTTTCGATAAAGGTGACAAAAATTGAAATCCCTCAGATTCTTTTACGGTGAGATAAGGCTGCGCAACGGGAAGTCCAAGTGGAGTTACCCATTCTGTTGTTCTTAAAAAAATACAAAATTCATTAAAGAAATTCATATTTACCTATGCAGTTTGGAAATTCCTTGGGCACATTGTTGAAACCAATCTTTGAGATTCCTAAATTAATTATAACCAAAATTTTCCATTAAACATACATAGAGCTTGTGAAGGCATCGTGAAGAGAAGAAAACGTTTTCTCGGCCAAGTAGGTTGCGAATTTATCAATCTAAACGCAAAGACATTTCACGTTTGCAAAATCTTTTGGTCTGTTTTTACAAGTTAACTGCTTTTATCTAGCCCAACAGTTTTAATCGTTTGCTAGCATCACTTACACTGTCATTATTAATATCTAACGCCTTCAATTGCCGTTTGATTTGCAAATTTGCTCCATACATTGTAACGCCGTACACCTAAAACAAGTTTCCTTATAATTATAGTGTAACTTAAACGCTAAAACATACTGTCGTCATGATTGTTTGTTTAACCACTTTTCGAGGAACTTCCTAAATATTGCCGTAACACTATATTTAAATCAACTTTTACTTGAGGTAAAGATTCACGCAAAAGCTTTGCAATCTCGTGGTTGGAGGACGTTGGGTTTGCTTCATCTTCAAGCCGTTTTTCTTCTACTCTTAAAGAGAACGCTTACACAAAATATTAAAGAGTTGCGTCTTACCTCTTTGCTACAGAAGAATATACATCACTTGGTTCATTTGTCGGGAGTAGATTAACCTAAAGTTGATGTAACAATAGTTTCAGCATGATTCAAGAAAACCTCTTGTCCTCCTTGTTGATCTCTACCTAATGCAGCGTAATGTTGTAACCCATTGCAACTTCCATCTTGATGAATTGGCAAATGACTAAAATAACTAATACTAGACAGTAAAAATACTAGACAATACTTGAAAATACTAGACAGTAAAAAGCAAAATTTACCTCACAAATGAAGCAGGATTTCCAGAATCTAAGGCATCACGTAACTCCGTACAAGCGGCAAGTGTTTGCCACGGATCATCAGAATCCATCCACCATTTATCTCCTAAACAACGTATCTACATTGCCGAACTTCTTATTACCATTTAAAGGATTGTTTGCCGAATCAAGCATCAGTGCTAAATGTGCTTCGGCAGCTCTAAAATTTTAAATGATTTGATAAGTTTTTTCAAAAACTTAAATCAATACAAAAGAAACAAACAAACTTGTCTCTTTCATCAATATTTTGTCGTTTCCATTTCCCGGTCAAGTTGATTATATGACGTTTGAGCCAATGAAATCCGTGATTCTCAAGTGGTCGACCTGCATAGTAAGGGTATTTGCATGATCGCTTCGACACTCGTTACCTCGTGCAAATTTTAAAAGACATCGGTTTACATCATCTCCCATATGCGATAGATGTGGGGAGATCGGGTACACGCGACCACGGAAATCCTAATCGCATTTGTAAAACTAAGCTTGAAAAGGCTAACTTACCATATTATGCGGAAAGTAGATAACTTTTCCTTGATATGCATGCGCTTGAGCAAGACGATAAAGCATAAAGCATCTCAGACTGTTCGTTTCATTTCTAAAAAGGAGTAATCTTATTGGTAGTATGTGGTTTATACCTCTCCTTTACTGCTAGTGCTTTTTTCACTTTAAATTTTTTCCACATTTCTGGCGTAATATCGTCGTTGCCAAACTCCCCAAACATCTGCAAAATAAAAATAAATGCAAATGCAAAAACCCTTTTTACCTCATTCCTTGTAGGCAACTGTATATTTTGTGGTGATTGTGGAACGCTCAAATTTGAGAGTAAAGATGCGTTCTTTGGATCGTTTCCCATTCGAAATACCTAAATCTCTTGTACATATTAATAGAATGAAAGCTACTATTACCTCAGTTAAAACTTTTAGTAATGACTGATTTATTGTCCATGGAGTAGAACCAAGTTGATTTAGAGCATCCCAAACCGGCCGGGCCTGTTCACTAAACATATATAAGGGAAGTGTTGGTAGCGCATAAACTCAACTCATTAACAAGTCGTTTTCGCATTTCTTCATCCGTGTTAAAAATTGAATCAGGTACAAGCCGCACAATACTTTGTGATCGATGATATTCTGGCCCACCGAGACCTTTATCAACCCACGGGCGCGGTGGCACCTAAATGTAACTTCTGGTATTAGACTTTAGTTAGAAGACAGGATCCTGATTTAAAATTCAATATTCAGAGCTCTTAAAAAAACCTCACCAACATCGGTAGCTCCTGACTAATAAAGTAAAACTGTTTGAAAGGGTGCTTCTCCAATATTTTTTCCACTAACGAGTTCACTTTCACCTGAAGTTACTTATGATTATGGTTAGAAGTGTGTAAACCCCACCATTTCAACAATATTTGCTTTGTTATTCCCGCCTACTTGAACATTACTTCTAGAGTCAATCGCCAAATCAACCACGGTAAAGATTGGTATAGAAACTAAAACTTTATGAGCACGGTGTTTTTCGTTCAAGTTACCTTGAGGTTTGTTTTTATTCCTTTGGTTCACTTTTAATGTAAATGTATCGAAAAGTATCCGTAGAACAAAAGCACTGAGTGATGCCCAAACAGATGAGCCAACTTGTTCCGAGTAACCCTGAAATTAGAAAGAAACTTAGTTATATTACATTCAAACTTACGCGAATATTTGATGGGAGGCTTAAAGTTATTATCGATTGTTGCCACCATTCACGATGCGTATACTTTCTACTGATCTCTTCGTCAACAAAATATTTGCCATATTCCAAGAAGATTTCCGACCAGAGCTAAACAAAATTATCGAATGTTATAATAACGCATGACACTTGATCGTTGGTCCCATAGGTAGCCGCATAACTTTTCTGTGAGAGTTCCATTAATGGGTTGATCACGGCAAACTAAAGCATTCAAATAACATAAATGAACATAAAATACTAAATCCGTTTGATGGAAAAACTTACTGACAGTACCCCCTGAGGAACCAGATTTGAACCAGAAGAAAGAACTTTCAAAACACTTTCATATATACTATTTGCTACAACATCTGTCCCAAGATTTCGTATTAAGAGTTGCGCTAAATAATAGCATAAATAAAATGTCTAAATAAGCAACTCACGAAAATTGTTCTTTGTCGTCTTCAGTGATAACGTTAAAGCATTTGAAAGTCTTTCTTTCCAATCACATGTTTCAAAGTAATCTTCCGCCGAACGAGCATGAACAGCTGAAATTGTCGCATATTATGTACTACAGTCATGCACAAAAGTCTTGTAACATCCAGTTTAGCAAATTTCAAAGTGTAATAACTTTTTTGCAAAGAGGCGAATTCCCAACAGTTTTTGGTTTTCAGTTGTCAAAAACTTCTATTTTTATATGCCAGAAAAACTTTAGTGAAACGATTAACAAAAATTAAGAAAAACAAATAAAAACAAAAAACGGGCGTATTTTTGATGCTCAAAAGTCTTGTAACATTTGAAGTATTTCGCTTTTTTTTTGTTTTTGTTTTTATTTTGTTTTATATAACAAAAAATTATTTTTTTAGATGCCTGGACAATATTTGTCAACTCAGGACAAAGAAAAAATTGTGGAAGCGCGAGAGAAAGGACTTCAGAGGAAAGATGTGGCAGCTCTCTTCAAATGCAGTGAAAAAACGGTATCTGTAATTGTCGGGACGTTCAAAACGACTGGATCTGTTCACCGAGCTTCAAAATCAGGCCGTCCACCAATTACAACACCCAGAGAGGATAAAGCGCTCGTCAAAGCTCACAAAAATAACAAGGATCTCAATGCGAGCGACGGAGTCGTCATGATGAAGAGTCAATTCGGCAAGGATGTATCACGAATGATAGTGAGCCGACGCTTGATTCGTGGTGGGTTGGTGACAAGAAGAGCAGCCAAGAAGCCCTTTATGAATGCCAAGCATCGGACGATTCGTTTGGAGTTTGCAAAGAAGTATGTCAAAATGATTGGGCAAATGTGATTTTTACTGATGAGTCAAAAGTCAATCTTTTTCGCCCGGATGGCAACCACTTGATCAGAAGACCAATAGGAAAGCGGTACAACATCAGATATGTGCGACCAATCGTGAAATTTGGCCAAGGATCAATCGTGCTTTGGGGTAAGGGCTACTTTCGTGGTGCACACTCTCAACTCTGTCTTTCAGGTGTAATGTCGAGAAATTCACCAGTTCCGCTAGTGCTACTAAACTCAACGTTCAACGCTGAAGGCTACAAATCAGTTCTCAAGAATCATCTTCTGCCATTTTCAATTGCAAAAATGGGCCCTGGATGGCTGCTTTATCAGGATAATGCGCCTTGCCACAAGAGTCAATTGCTAATGGGCCGGATCATCACTCTCGCAAATGGTGGAAAAGCTCGTCTTCCAGGATGGTTCAAAGCAAATCGTGTTCAACTTATCTCAGCTCCTCCATACAGCCCAGATTTGAGCATCTTTGGGCTTTTTTGAAGTCAAAGCTGGAGGGAAAGCGACTCAACTCGAAAATAGAGATTTGGTTCTTCATTCGCCGTACCGGGTCATCCCTGGGAGCCCAAATTCTACGCGATTTAGCTTATTCAATGCCAAAGCGGATCCAGGAAGTCAACAAAGCTAAAGGTGGACCAACGAAGTATTAAAAATTTGGTAATTTCTATGTTTTTTTTTCAAATGTTACAAGACTTTTGAGCATCAAAAATACGCCCGTTTTTTGTTTTTATTTGTTTTTCTTAATTTTTGTTAATCGTTTCACTAAAGTTTTTCTGGCATATAAAAATAGAAGTTTTTGACAACTGAAAACCAAAAACTGTTGGGAATTCGCCTCTTTGCAAAAAAGTTATTACACTTTGAAATTTGCTAAACTGGATGTTACAAGACTTTTGTGCATGACTGTATTAGATCGAAAATGCTTCTCACCTGTATCAAACAATGGGTTTTGCACTCTTGTCCATACATTATTCTCGCAAGCCATTTGTTTTGAAAAAAAGTCGAACAAGTTCTTCTAAATGTACAATTTAAGTAATACATAGTAATATTCAACTTACCCCTTCAGCGTCAGTAGCCGCATTTGGGTTACCTTGATACTCAGTTACAGGAATTGGGTCCCGAAAGCTAGTGAGCAGTGGGTTCTTCTAAGATAATTCAAAAAATTGGGCACCAATCAAAAATGTGACAATACCGGATCATATTGGCTTTGATAGCTTCGTCGATACTTCTTTTCGAGGCGACCAGTCAACATTTCCAAGCGACTCAGTATTTGATTTCTTTCTTCTCTCGTATACAAAATCAGTGGTTGAGAAAGATTAAAAAATTGAAGCTAAATTTTAACTACCCAATGAAATAATAAGCCTAACTAACCTTCGTGGTCAACTTCCTTTGTAACTCTTCCATTTCAGTAGAGATAGAGTTATCTTGATTGCCTTCTAGAAGTCTTGGGACAAGCTTTTCTAACTAAAATGTGGTTAAATTGCCTGTATTGAGAACCAACGTTGATGAGCAAAAACAGAAGACCAGCACCCGTTTCAGGGTTAATCGTCCTTATTTGATCTACTACATTTAACGTCGAATAAAATAATGAGTGATCTACGGGATCTAAACATGAGTTTGCAATCAGAAAAAAATTGCAATCTCCAAACCTGAACTTTTAGCTGCACCTTGGAGCTGTTTTCCAAGAATTTTTAAACCCTCGGCGACATACTAAAGAAATTAATCTAACTAGATAGATTAGAAAATATACCACAGGTTTAGACTTCCTTTTGCCAGTCGTTTCCAATAACCTCTGAATGACTGCATGTGAATCGTGATTTATTGCATCGCTAAATATTATATCCGAGAATTGCCTAGTGAGTTTAGATTTTCAACTTACTTAATTAAAGCGCAATGCATTTGCTGTCTTTTTTGATCGCTGATTATTTTTTTCTTTGCATCCATGTACTCATTATGCAGTTTGCTCATCTGGATCCTGAACAAAAAAAAATAAACCGATCGATAGCAACTAATACTTGTGCCATTCTGATTGACGTGAGGTGCTCGTAACTTTGTTATTTTCTTCATATATTCCATCCTCAATATCTAAAGTATGCAATTTCAATTCGCCCCACTTCAATAATTAGCAAATTATCTTTAAAAAGTTGACCTTCTTTGTTCTTATGACATGTTTGATCTTTTTGGTTCGAAATACTTCGGGATTGTAGAGCAAGCTAAACTCAATATAATATCTTGTTTCTTGCTGGAGTAATACCCTTATCAAAGTTCTTTTCTGAAACAATCGAAAAGAGGAAATCGTGCGCATGAAAGATCGACTATCTAGACCTCCAACATATTATTTTAATAGTTGCATAAAACAAATCTAGATGTAATTAACCAAAAATAAAGTGTATTACCGTTTAACCCATAAATAAATCAACGTTTATTCGCATAAGTTCATGATTGGTTTTTCATATCGACATGTGAAACATGCAATCCAAGTACACAAATTGACAATAAACTACTTTAAAACTTGAGCAAATCAAGTAAGGAATTATGTTAATTCAAGATATCACAATCTTAAGGCACCGTATATACATTTCTATGGGCAAATAAGAAAAAGAAACCGATAATAAATCGTGAAACCGTTATTGAATCGCTCGGGATTGAAAGTTAGAGAAATTGAGAGAAGAAAAAAATTCCATGAAAAGTTAGGAATCGATTTGAATATCATTTTCAACACCCGTACTAGCATCCGTGATAAGTGCTTGAGTGTCGTCAGTCGGTTTTGGCTAAATAGAAGATGATTTCATACATAAAATTTTAGGCTTACCATGCAACATGTTATCACCAAGTGATAGCCAATAAATGCCAACCAGCAGGCTGCTCCCACGAATAACAATGTCAAACCTTAAAGAAACAGTTAATCCAACGCACGATGTGTCCTACCGACGCCAAAAATCCAATGTTTGGCTCGCCACAACTCATTTAACATTTCATCGCGTGTCTCGGCATCGAAGCGTGCTGTCTCATTTATCCAAAGGACGGGCATAATCAAATTTTTCGTCTTCGAAAGTATTCTAAATAAGAACTGTTTTTACGTATAAATTTGTCAGTTTACCCCAAGTTTCCTTTTTTCATTCCGATGTTGATTTGAGCTCGTCGCATGGCATTCACCTAAAGAAATTGTTTATGAAACGTTTTTGACTTACAAAATTAAACATTCGACCACCACTCTTTTATTTAAGCTAACCGCGGCTCCAGTAGTGGGTTCTATGTCAACAATTGTGCTATCCAACTGCGGATTTGGTTGTTTGATTCCCTCCACCGCCTCGTGAACCTAAGGCAGAACAAAATATTAACACAATAATTTTAATTTCCTGAAATTACCTCTTTAGGTGACCCCAAAAAATGTCCTTGGGATATGTAAACGCGAGGCTGTCCTGGTTGACATCGACTGATGTCAAGGAGTCCAGCTGGTAAACATCCGGCTAAATGACTATTTTTATTAAAACATGCAACGCCCACGTGGTTGTATTGTGATATTTTTAAAGAAAACAGGCGTTGCGTTATTGCAAAAACCAGCGTTTTCTGGCAAAGTTGGGTCATACATTGAGTCCGGTACACCGTATCTAAAATAACGACAAACTTTGCATAAAATTACTAATTCAAACCTATACGCTGGTACACCTTCCACTGAAGTCATACTCTTGTACGCAAGTTTCACAGATCTAAAACGCACAATGATCTTAAGTCTGTCAATTTTCTCTGCCAATCTACATGTTAAGAAAACTTACCGGCAAGCTTGTGCCGCAAAAAGGATTCGATCCTCCCCTGCCTTGAGTAGAGGTGGGAATAGCTGACCATCAGTTCCGTTGATCATCCTACATAAAACATTGACAAATTTTTAAATTCTAAATTCTCGTCATACAAAAGAAACTAGGTTACGATTGGGATGGAACTAGAGTGTGTTCCCCTCGAGTAATGCGTTTTTTAAAATGCACTATTTGAGAGAAGTACCGTAGCCAAACCGTTAGTTTACACCCGACCAGCCCAATTTTGGTATCATTAACTGAGTATTGTAATTCCTCATCGAATGTTACCAAAATCGGACGGATTGAGTGTAAACTAACGGTTTGACTACGGTACTTTTCTCAAATAGGTGCATTTTAGAAAACGCGTTACTCGATACTCTAGATGGAACTATGCACAACCTACTCGGTAAGGTCGACCACACGCGTTTTCGACGGCCTAACGCCAAATATAATAAATGGCTTCCACTTACCGTGCTTCTTTTGTCGACCACCATGTTTCTGGTAAACTTGTTAGATTGTTCCATGTCACAACCTAAAACACAAAACATCGAACATCAAACCATCAAAAAATCGCCTTTCCAGTGTTGGCACGCAAATCGAGGCCAGTCAATATTTGATACGTTCCATCGTAGGAGTTATTTTGCTAAAATTTAATTATCATATTTTCTAAGATGTCACATGCATCCTCACATGTACAAAATTAATGAAACAGTACCCCATAGAAAAAGCCAATTTTTTCTGGAAGATTTAAATCCTTGCAAAGGCTGGGAACACGACGGCACGCTTTTTGAACTAATTCGATAAGTGGATCGTTATAACCTAAATTGAAAATTAAAACAGATAATTTTTATTCAAACCGGTGAACAATGCTTGGCCAACGGGAATCTTGATGAAAGGTGCTTCAGGCACTAGCTTTAACGCTTGTTCAATAAAAAATTTGACAATAGAGCTGGCTTCAGCAAAGTCGACAAGCTTCTAAAAAGCATAATACATAATATTAAAAATTGAAGAATACCTGGAAAATCACATTAGGAAGTGTCACATTTCTTGTGAGCTTACAGCTCGGACAGGAGAGATCCTCAATATAAGTGTAGGTGCGCTTGTTTCGGTAGAAAATATGTGTTTCATTGTTCGTAAAATTATACGAATCCTTGAACATTTCTTCTCTGAATATAGTTTTAGGTCATAAAGTAGTGACTCCCTTACTTGAATGTAAAAGGGCCGATTTCTTCGAGACGCGGACGAGAGCCTTGCAAAATCTCAGCTGAATTTTTCACATCATACATCCAAATCTAAAAATTAAAAATTTTTTAAGTTTGCAAAATCCAGGATTTGGGTGAAATTTACTTGTAAATACATCTTGAATGGTGGCTTGATCCACTTTTGGGTGAATTCGTTGAGTGGTCGGGTTCCATTAACTGCTTCATCATAGCCAATATAAGAACGCTGAAATTCCGTTTGAAGAAACAAAATTGAAAAAAACTGAACCTTTAAAACGATTTGATCAACAAGTCGGGAGAAGACAGTCAATGAAAGTAGCCCGAAAAATATTGATATAGCGCCGCCGACTGCCAAGGCCCAATTCGCAAATCGGGCACCACACATTATCCGCCTAGACTTAACATAAAAGTAGACGATTTAAAACTTCAATTCAAAAAATCATAAACACTCGGTTTTGAATATGACCGCTAAAAACATTTCAATCGCTAAAAATTAAACGTTTATGTAAACCAACAATAACAAAAACAGTCAACGAGTAAACTAAAAAAGTGACACTATTCTACAATATATCAAAATTAGGAAACATTTCATTTATGCTAGAATACTTTTCGCACAAATTCTTGGCCGGTTGCTTCTGCAATTGTTTCGATCAATCGAAGGCGCTCCTCGTGCTTCTGGCGAACAAGACTTTGTGTATAGTCGTAAGATGCCGCTAGCTCCTCTGGTGACGAAAAATGATGCCTGGAATTTGTATATTATAGTTAAAACTCAATGCAAATTACCTGGCTATGTTATTGCGAAGCGCTGATTCCCAATCGCCAGCGGAAGCGTGAACTTCTTGAAGTATTCGAAACACGTTATTGAGTGGCAGGGCTTTGCTCCCGCGCTCCCATCTAAAACGGGGTCATTCCTTTAAGCTTTATTGATTTTTAAGAATAAGTTAGCGTGTCCTTTAAATGAATATTAAAAATTACTTTAAATATTTATCTATCGGAAGTGAAGCCGCGTATACTTTCTTGCCCAATCGTCTTGACGCGCCGACCGACTGCATTTCAACAAAATATAGGTAAATTTAAATAACAACGTACCTCACGTTCATTATCAAAGCTCGCACAGATAACATACGCATCAGCAGAAAGAGGACCATCGATGTAGCGTCTCGCATACCGACTGAGATACACAATAGTCTTCGCATCTTTCAATGCCTATCAATACAAAATTACTTAAGCGTCTGATTTTAAAAGTATTTAATATTTCAGAAACCACTTTATTACCTCATGAGCTCCGTTTTGGCTAAGTTCAGGCAATATTGTTTGATCCTGTTTGTCGGCAAAATAAGAATTCAAATGTCTAGAAAATATTAGAATTAAATCCAACGAAAAAAAACCTACATTTGAAAGAATTTATTTGTTTTTTCACCTTTAGGCAAATTAAAGAAGCGCAAGTCAAAAGTTGTAGGTGACATCACATTATCCCTAAAAGAGACTAACCTTCTTTGTTACCAATAAACTTACGTCAAAGCAAAATTTAGCATTTTTCCAATACTACTTGTTTCCATTTTATCCCATTTGTCAAGAAATTGCATATCAAACCCAACAATAGGTCTGAAATATAAATTATTATAGCTGGTACTTCCGTATCTTTCCCCCGTCACTCTAAAAAATAAATGCTAATTTGCACCATCGTAGTTTCCCCGCCACTAATGGGCCAATAGAAATCTACTAACAGTAAGATTTAACAGTGATGTTCATACAGCTGTGCATGTCAACCTCAAAAATCTACAAGTACTGGATTTATAAGATGCGGACAATGTAAATTAGCATACGAACGCGTGCCGGGGAAAAGATACGGAAGTACCTGATAACTAAATATAAGTATATCAACAAACCTTTGAATACGTAAGGCAGCAGCCAATCTCGCACCACAAATGTGTCGAACTCGTTGCTTTCGTCGAAAAGGATTTCCTATTTCTTGAAAACCCATCGGGCCATAGACCATTTCACCAGAAATCGCTCTTAAATAAATATGCAAAAGATGATTAAAAGTAAGCTAACTTGTGAGCCACTTCATCGAGTTCTTGGCGACGTTTTTTTATTTTTGAAGCTATCTCATCTGGATCACGTTTCTCAAAATCTCGCTGTTCACGGCGCTGTTTAATAGCCAAGAACCACAGAAATTCGATCCTTTTTGAGAGATCTCTAAAAAAACGCATTTTCTAATCGACCCTCAGACAAACTCCAGCTCAAGCAAAGTTTTCCACTCCGCAGAAGAAAGTTGTTGCGGTACATATTGTCCCAAATAAGCGTACAATTTTACTTCTTCATATATTCGCTCTGTTGTTTGCTGCTGAGCCGGGCTTAACGAAGCGAGAAAATCAGGCATGGGTTTAAGCCGCTAAATATTTAATAACTTAGCGGGTTTCTTTAACAGACCTCTAGCTGTTCAGCATACTGCGGATCGAGACTTTTAGATGGCGTCGGTTCCTAAAGGTACTGAATTAGTGGTTGCAAAAATACCAAAAAGTAAAAATATTTTATACCTGATCATTTAATGCAGAGGCTTCATGAGTAGCTGGCTTTTGGGTTGAATAATAATATGGCTTTGGTAGCTGTCTGAACTAAAAATCATCGTTAAGGGCCTTTATTTTTCACAAGGCTGGATAATTATTATAATTTTGAAGTTAGGTCTTCCGAAGCAGTGGAGTTTTTAATAGTTTAAACAAAGGATACACTCAAAAACTAACACTTGTTTTTGAAATAATTGAAGGAAGAAGCCTTATCGATCGAAATAACGACGCGCGCATCTAGGAATTGACAAGCCCTAAAAACATAAAACACCTCATTTATCGACCATCAGACTCAAATAAACATTCCCTTAATAAAATTGGATATATTATGTGTTCGAACACCAATACAATTGAAAAAAATGTTTTGCTAACTCTTTATCACAAACAAAATTCATAACAACATAGACAATTAATAACCCTATAACTTATAGTTTCTTTACCACATTGCACGTTGTACTCCACTTAATTGTGAGTGGTCAGCGTATCTACGGAATAAATGTCGACTTATACGATAAGGCTTTATTTTTCCTCGCTGGCGTCCAGTAAACATGCACATACTGAGGACCAACTTTGGATGAGAATACCTAAACCAAATAGTAGTTTGAAACTTGAATAAAACTTATAACTTAAAATTTTAATTTTCAAAATTCCAATTGTAGGCTTTAATTTGGAAGATTAGGAGAAGATCTAGTTAAAAGTTTACATGGGCATTTTGTGAAGAGTCTCGGCGGCTTCATCACGAATTGCTTGAGGAAGAATTGTGTTGGCTTTAATGGCTTTAAACCGCATTCGATCAGCACCTGTCTCCTAAAAAATTATGTAAAAATATGTAGTTCCTGACAAGTTGGTTTAAAAAAAACCCAGATCTTACTTGAATTAGCAGTCTTCGTTTCCAATCTCTCAATTGTCTCCAAGTTGCCCAAAAACAAGTTCTTTTTCCAGTTTTCCACCATTCTCTTTCCACGTAGTATGGATACTGATCGAGCTTTAATTTCTAAATTCAAAACGGTAAAGAAAAAACAACAAAAACATACCTGAAAAGTCGTCAGTGAATATGCTTCTTTCACCAAAGGCTCTTTCTTCATTTGTTGTTTTTCCTGCAGATCTGCTTCGGATTTAGGCAGAGTTTCCTCGATAGTTTCTAAAATAAAATATTATTAAAAATTGTCGCCCTCAAACCCCCTACGAATACGCTAATTAGAAATCTATAAAGTGAATAACGCTTCAAAAAAAAGCAAAGTCTATCGACAAAACAAAACAAACCGACCTGTTGCTTCTACATTGCTAGCCGCAATTGGGTCTTTACTTGATTGAGCAATTGATGTGGTCGTAAACCTTTTCGGCAACAAATTGTTTCCGATTGAAAGAAACCGCCGTAACATTCGAAATCCCTTTCACGAACTTAAAAGAAAGTGTTTTAAAAATCAAAAATGAAATTTCAAAACAAATTGAAAATAAACGATATTTCTCACGTGATCGAATCACTACAAAAAAAGTCTCAAAATTATTTAAATTTTATTCAAACCATTTAAACCACCATTTTTTTCAAACTGTGCGAGAAATTTACCGAATCAGCGCAAATGTCTAATTTTTGACCCCAAAATATATAGTGCATTTTCCCAGAAAGGAATAAAGAAAGAAAATCACAAACATCAAAAGCAAAAATAATATGAACGTGGTTATATTTTATAATCTTACCCATTTCCCCAGATCTAGGATTTAAATTTCCTATTTCTCTATCAAATGGTTCGCCTTTCGCAAACGATTTCACACTTCTATTAACGTGATTTCAACAAAAAAAAAGCTGAAATAAAAAAAATAAAGCTGATATCGTAAATACTGTAATTGAACGGCAGGGTAGAGGGGGAGGGGAAATAAAATGGCACCCCTACGCAAGTGTGCAAATTGTGTTTTAAATGTAGAAATTTTTATTTTTCTTGAAAATTACTTGTCTAACGTCTAACGTCTTTTTAGCATACATTTTATTGTTTGTATCTTTTCCTGCTTATTATATGTTTATAAGTACTAATTTTATTTTTTTAGGTATGGATCTCCGTGGGACCCGTTTGATGAATGGAGGAATTTCGAGCTCATCGCGAACATGAGGAAAAGGAGGAATTCTTCAGGGAAACGTATGATGAGCTCACCAAGCAAGATGCCAACGAAAACGAAAAACTTAAAGCAAAGTTTGATTTTTTCGAAAAATTTTCTGAATGCATTCGGCTTTGGCAACTTGAAATATCGGTAAAAATTGACCGGCAACCTCTAATAGAACGGCAGGGTAGAGGAGGAGGAAAAAAATAGAACGGCATGCTGTTCAATTACAGTATTTACGGTATCAATTATATGCTATCTTAATACCTTCGATAGAACGCGCCATAGCCACTTCTTCAGAAAATCCATGTCATACGTTGTTTTAGAGTAGGTACTGAAGTATTCTATTAGAGTCACTGATACATAAATGATTGTTTGGATAAAAAAACAAGGCTATGCTATGCAGAGCATTAGCTCTATTACATGTGTTACGGTATTACATCGAGTCTTTAGATCAGTGGGTACGTTACGAGAGCATTTTACAGACAAATTTAGGTAGTCAATATATGAATGGCAAAGATATAATCATAGTGAAGCGTTATTATGAAAGCCAAAAAATACAATAGGTGAGCATTTCGGTCAATACCGATGACTACATTTTTGACTAATAGAGAAAGAAGAAACTCTTGGGCCAGTTCTATCAAAAGTGAATTGGATCTTCATCGGATCTTCCCGCTCTGAAGTTTTTTGCTGGGTTATGATTCTTCTTGATTTTTAACTTACGAATCGTCAGAGATTTTCTCTGTTTGACTAGGTTGAGCGATCTCTGTGCTACTGCTGGATACTAATCCATGGCTACTTCCAAGTGCCAATGCTTCACTTTGAAGCAATTGATGCATTGTTTCCACATTGTCCTAAAATCTCTTTCTTCATTTTTTCATAACTATTTCTACACTAACCTCAGGGTTTTTCAACTTCACCGTATCCGTTTTGCTGTTTTGACTCAATTTCCAAACATCGACATTTGAGAGAGCATTTCTTATACTAATCGAAGTCGAATTAAGCTCTCGTCCGGATAACAAAGTCGGTAAAGCCGACCTAAAATCTTGCTTTTCATTTTTGCGATATGTGTTTTTGCTTTTCAATGAAAACCCACCGTATTATTGACTCAGCAATCTCATCTTGCTCAATCACTCGTTCAATGTCACTCACAACACTCAACTCTCGGTTCATTTTTCTAAAAACAAAGATTTCTTTATATTGTGTTGATATTAATTGCGATATATGTCGAATGAACAAACTTTTGCTTTAAAAAGCGCGTATCCCGCCAGTGTTGAGGAGTGGCTGTGAATTGGAGCTGACTGGTATCGATTTGCACAGTGAGCCAGCACTGTGGATCTCGAAACTCACTGCTTTGTGACCTAAGGAAAAATGAAACTCCAAAAACAATTAAATGAAGATCAAACCTCGCCAAGTGTGCTTTTGGAGTATCCAATCGATCCTCACTTTCTGAATGCTCTTCTTCAAAAGCCGCATGCATCACTGTGGCCCATTCCGAGTCTGAGCAAACCTTTCGCAATTCTAAACATTCTTTCATTTTATTATTTGAAATTTTCGATTCCCACCTTGTAACGGATTAATACCATCAAATTTCTCATCCGAAAAACTCGTCGACGATTGGGGATCTTGATTGATGCTTGATTGTTTTCCACCATCAAGACTGCTCATCAACTCATCATGTTCGGTTTCACTCTGAAATCGTTTCCTTGTTGCTTTTTTGTCCAACAATTTCACCTCCTCAGTCTCACTGTCCCAAATAAACTCTCCGCCCAAATTTCTTGATCGCTTTTCATCCTCATTGATTGGATATTCAGGAGAGATCAATTTATCTGTCGCTGCGATCTGAAATCTCATTGGCTTTACTTCAAAAAGATTACTAACGATTCTTGGAGCTTCATTGATTGGAACACCAGCCGTGGGCCTTAAATCTGAATAAGCTGTATCGATTCCCATCTCATCTACAGCACTTTCTTCCGCACTCTGTAAACAATGTCTCTTTACAGACGTATCATTTTCATCTAATACCTCAAATTCCTGTTCGTCGTTGGCCTCATCGAAACTCGAGTCTTCTTCATCCTCAACATCGAAAACAAGATTTTGGATAACATTTCTCTAAACTTGGGATACTAATCATCAATTTTTCCAACTAAACCTCTTCTCCAAGATTTTCTTGAACACTTGGATATATGGAAGTGGATCCTAAAGAGCGAATCACCTAAATATTCATTTTTCACAAGATTCTTTTTCTCTAAAAACTTGAACAGAAGTTATAGCCGAGCCTCGAGTATTATTGGGTTGTCGAGACGATGACGGAGCTGCGTATTCATTGTTTGTGGAAGCGTGGGCTGAATTTGCGTTATTTCACCTCTTTCCTAACTTTTTACCTCTAGCATTTACAGTTGAACGGAAAGTGGGAATCAAACCGGAAGTGGTAGCATTAGTCTAAAAATAGCTTTTCATTTGTCTAATTGGTGAAAAGCTTTGTTATCACATACCGGTATTTGAGTGATTTGAGTGATTCGCAATCCCTCAGTTGGCGTGGCGTTGAAATCAGTTGGGAGATTTGGCAAATTTCTAGAAAATCGATCTTTCAAACATTGAAATGAATGGAAATTACCTGTTGAGAGTTGCCATTCGAAACATGTCATCCACATCGACCAACTCGCTTGTCCATGGTAAAGCGCCCAAACCATTGTATAGCTGTTGTACTGCTGTTCCAACACCTGCGCCTAAATGCATTGGCTTGCTTCATGATAGTTTATTTTGCATTTCTATGTGTTGGATGGCTTTGGCGTTCTAAATTTTTATTGCCCGTTTCACTAACAAGGGATGGTCAACAGACCCAGCTCACCAAATGCAATGAGCCATCGACCATCCGACGCAAAATTTTACGCTGATTTCGAATATCTGATTCGTTTTTGCAAATCAGCGTAAAATTCAGAATCGCGCGCAATTTGGCAAACAAGTGTTTGGCCTCTCTTTATAAGGTTTACACGCGCACTACGTGAAAATGGCTGCGTGATGTAATGGCTAGTGGATTAGGATATGGAGATGTATCTACTCGAGGGTACCAATCCGCTCACTTTTTTCTTTTTTGGAAAATCTATCCTATGTGTTTCTTGTGTGCACAAACGCGCGTCATCTGGCATAGAACAAACTATGATATGCTGGCAATGTCCAGTGTATTCAACTGCCGCCAAATGTAAGTCATAAACAGTGATCTGGGTCTGTTGACCATCCCTTGTAAGTACTATTTAGTATGCATAAGGTTTATCAAAGCTTTAAAGTTTCAATGTAGGTATCTTACCTGGCACACCATTGTCGGCAAGAACTTCAGCATAAAGCCGTTGTAACGTCCTCTGCGTTGGGTGACCTCGGCGTTCTAAATTTTTATTACCCGTTCAGTTTTTACTATTAAAATGTATAGATTTATTTTCTGAAACGATTCAAACTAGGTAAATACATTGAATCAAAAAGTCACCGGCAGGTTGTCGGGGTATCCTTCGTACACCAAGCGTCGGTCTTCTCAATGCTCTCGAATTGTCTCGTTGCATTGTTCCAGTGGGCTCAAAAGTTCTAAATCCAATAGATTCGAAATCCTTTGTGAAATAGCTTTATATAAATTTTTCTAAAATCAATGAAACTGCTTACGTGTGAGTGTTTGTCCAATGATTATACAAGTTCTCGACCTCTCGATTCGCATCATAATCTGGGCAAGCAATACAAAGAGGGCAATTCTGAAATTTGTTGTAGGAATAGGAGAAACAAAAGAATTTAAGTAATAATTTACTAAGCCAGTTTCAGTTTGAAATTTCTAACTGAAATCAGCTTTTAACATCATCATCTTCATCTTCAGCTTTCAGCTTTTAATATCTTTTCAAAAAAACGAACCACATTGAGATTTTGTGGTGGTTCATGATGTTCTCTTTGTAGATGTTCGAAGAAAGTCGTGTGACTGAAGCCAGTCTGTCCACAATATGGACACGTGATCACCGCAATTTTACATTGCAAGTAATTTTTTGATTGATCATCCATATATAGCAATTCTAAAGTCTCCAAAATTCTTCGTAATTTCTATTATTTACCAAAATCTCGTTGAGTGAGTATGCATAACACTGGATGAGCATCAGTATGTTGAGTAGATTGTCCATCAGAAGGAATCGGTGGATTGTACCTGATAAAAGAGGTATTGTATTTTAAGGAAAAACATTTTCAAACCTTTTCGATATGTAACAAGTATGACAGAGATCAAAATCATAGCATCTCAAGCATTTATATCGATTTCCAGCAAAATTTGGAGCCATACAACCATCGCACGAAACGCCTAAAGACTGTGAATGGAAACTCTTGTTTATTTTCAACTTACCTTCATGATTTGCTTTATTTGGCTGTGCGGAAGTGGCCATCAAATTGTTGAAACCCTATTGTCTAAAATTTATTTACGTTTACTAGAATTCAATTGCTTTAGAGAAACATATACATTTAGAAAAGTGTTGAAAGAAATTTTTGCATACAAAACAATGACTATGTAACAATGTAAATGACAATTGTAAGACAATTTAATGTAAGACTATAACAGGATAAAATAGTAAAACTTAACAATAACCAGTAAAATTTCTTAAACAATTTTTTTGCGTAATGATTCAGAAAGAAGTGAAAGAGAATGTTTGTTTGTCGCCTTGTGATTCTCTTGGAAATAGGTATAATAACGATCGACTACTCGCAACGATTTCTTTGTGTCCTCTCGTCTAACGCGCGCTCCATTTCCTCTGTTTTTAATATTTTTCATCATTCTTAATCAGATATTGATTATTAGGCTTGTTAGGAAGCCAACATTTTAAAGTCAACTTTAGAAACCTTTTATTCTTGACTTTCTTCATTTCAAAAGACTCAAACCATTCTTTTCTTTTAAATCTTTTTTTGTTTATTAGTAACAGTTGCTTTATTTACCAATAACAGTTGCTTTGTTTACTGTTTAAGTTTTAACAATCTTTAAAATAATTACAAAAATTTAATTTACAGCAATTTTCAGAACAGTATTAACTGATTTCTTGTTTTGAAAAATGCCACCCTCGTTCTTTCAAAAGCCTGAAGCGGCGTTGAAAAGAGCCGAAGAATTGATTCGAGTCGGGAAAGAACAAGATGCTCTTGAAACTCTTCATGATACAATCAAGGTTTTTAAGATCAATACAAATCAAATCAATTCAATCTAAACTCGTTGCAGGCTCGACGACATAAACAATGGACACAAACTCATGAAGAGATTATGCTCAAGCATGTCACTCTTTGTGTCAGCCTTCGCAAACCGCACACCGCCAAGGATGCGCTCTTTCAATACAAAACTCTCACTCAACAGGTAAAAAAAAGTAAAAAGTGACAAAAGTAAAACGAGTTTTCAGATTGCTGTGACTTCTTTGGAAAAAGTGATTACTCACTTCTTGTCATTGGCTGAACAACGTACAGAGGAAGCACAAAAGATTTCCATAGAAAAAGTCGAAGAAATCGATGACCTTGATCAAGGAGATGCACCTGAGCAGTTAATTTCTTGATTTAAACATTTTAAAATGTAAATTTCAGTTTGCTTCTTTCTGTGGTCTCTGGTGCTGCGGCTCAAGATCGAATGGATCGCACAGTGTTAGCTCCATGGCTTCGTTTCCTTTGGGACAGTTTCAGAAACTGTTTGGAATTGTTGAGAAACAATGCTCAAGTCAGTTTTCGAATCGAGCAATTTAAAATGAATAAGATTTTTACAAAAAAAAAGTGTTTTATAGGTGGAGCAACTCTATCACAAGATCACTCGTCAATCCCTCGCCTTCTGCGCTAAATTTCAGCGCAGAACCGAGTTCCGCAAGTTGTCTGATTTATTGCGCTTGCATCTCAATCAAATCCAAAAACAACAACACTTGCCACATGGGTAATGAAAATAATGTTTGACAAGGAAACGAGTGGTAATTTCAGAGTGAAATTGTCTTCTCCAGAGTCGTTGGTGTTGATGCAAGACACTCGTCTTTGCCAGCTCGATACAGCTATTCAAATGGAGCTCTGGCAAGAAGCCTACCGGTTTGTGCTGTATTTTGTGGATTGTCACTATCTATTAGATTGGAAAGAAAGTTCTCGGAAAAAGTTCGACTGAAATTTCTTAAAAACGAATCCACCAATTCAAGAGCATTTTCTTCTATTATTTACAAGTCGACTCCAAGAAATTACTCGTAAAAAAAAATGAGTGCAGCTTTCCCATAAAATTTTAGAGATTTTTGGATAAATTATTATTTTCCAGCTTAAATTCAGCTCATTTTTTGCACAAGAAAAGCGATTCTTTATGAGGCTTTATGAGAAAATGGTGGTACGGACAGACAAGCAGATGCTGCTTTTATCTATAGTATTAGGTTGGCAAGAAAGTTCGTAGAAAAAGTCTGCACGGTGATTTCTCAAAAACGAAGCCAGGAATTCTTCCCAGCTTTTTTGATAAACTTTGCTAGCTTTAGCTAGCATAAATGAGAAATACGCTCTATAATCTCTATTTTTGACCAAAAATTTTTTTACAGAGAAACCCATTCTGATTTTTTTTATCAAAAACTTTTTGAAATATAGTAAAGTTTATCAAAAAATCTGGGAAGAATTCATGGTTTGGTTTTTGAGAAATCACTGTGCAAACTTTTTCTACAAACTTTCTTGCCAACCTAATACTATACAGATAAAAGCAGCGTCTGCTTGTCTGTCCGTACGATCATTTTCTCGGCCTTCAATAAAGTTAAAACTTCTCTAGAAAACCTTAGAATATCTTGTAATTGTGCCATTTAAAAACATTAGAAAACCAACGTTAGGTGAAACACCCGGGCATCGAACCCGGAGCGTGTGGGCTGCAAACAAGCGCCCTCTCAACTGCGCTACGGCGACGCAATGTTTTTGGACAGTTTTTGGACAGTTTTTGAGAAGAATAAAATTGATTTAACATTAAGTAGAAGTTAAAAACTAGAAAACAATCTCATAAAAGGGGAATGATAATCAATTCTAATCAATTCTAATCAATTCTAATCAATTCTAATCAATTCTAATCAATTCTAATCAATTATAAGCAACTGTTTGCAGGTCAGCTGAAGATGTACACGGAATGATGCAACTCTCAAAGGATAAAGATCGCCGAATGGTGAAAGCCACTAGCTATGTCAATTATTATGATAAGGTATAAAGAAAACAGTCAAAGACGCACAATAAATCATTTCAGTTGGCTCTCGTCTTCTGGAAAGCTGGTAATCGATTGTTTCATGCGGCAGCTCTCCTCCAAAAGTTCATCATCTACAAAGACATGAAGAAATCATTCACCGCTGATGAGGCTCAAGATCAAGCGACTCGTGTCCTTTTGGCGACCCTTTCGATCCCTGATGGAGCTGATTCAGCCTCTGATCTGACTCGGCATCTTGATATGGAGGATCATCATTTGGCCAACATTCGGTAAAAAGCCCATCGATTTTAACGTCTATCAAACATTTCAGACTTTTGTCCAATTTGCTGAAGTTGCCGATTGCACCAACTCGTTCAGGAATTTTACGAGAAGCGGCCCGATTAGGAGTTCCAGAATTGGCAAATGCCGAGTCATCAACCCTTTATCGCCTTCTTGAGAACAACTTTGCTCCCAATCGTCTCGCTTATCTTACCGAAGTGCAATTAAAGAAAATTGAGAGCGAAAAGGTTGAATACTCACAATATGTGGATGCTCTTCGCATTGTCATTGCTACAAAAACACTCAAACAAGTGAGAAAACCAAAAAAACTATTATAAAATTATCGAAATTTACAGATCTCTGTGATTTATGATACAATCTCATGGGCTCGACTTCGTCAAGTGCTTCCTTTCTTTGATGAGTTGGCTTTAGAGCAATTCTTGGTCGATGTCAGCAAGCATCGTTATGTTAAGGTAATAAAAATTGCTAGACAAAGAAAAGTTTGGAACTTTCTAGGCAAATATCGATCATCGTGATAATTGCATCCGCTTTGGTGGCTCTTCGGAAGCGACTCTTGCTGGAAGTTTTGATCTTGAAGAAGCTGATGGATTTACAGGAGATGATACTCAGGTTAAGAATCTTTAAATCTTTAAATCTTTAAATCTTTAACATGGTTTTTCAGTTGGGTGTTGGAGGGATTCGAGTTCATCTCGAGCAAATGCATAACAAATTGCGCGAAATGGTTGACTGGCTTGATGGTGATGAGCGTCGCACGAAAGCCATTGAACAAGTGCGCAAATTAGCTGGAGTCTATCAACATCACAAAATGGCTGATTATGAGCGAATTCAACAGAGACGGTGAGAAAAGAAATTAAAAGAAGATTATGATCATTTTTTTTTGCAGACGAAAGATTGAAAGCTATAAGGAAACGAGCGAACGGGTGAAAGAACAGAAATACGCAGAAGCAGTCAAAGAGAAGTATATTCAAGATGAAAGAAAACGAAATGAGGAACGAATTCGTCTTGAACAGGCAAATAAAGAACAAGACATTCGCCGCAAACAGGTAATGCTGAAGGTAAAGCTAGCTGGAGCATTATCTCTGAAATTTAGAATGAACAAGAAGAAGTTCAAAGAAAGATTCGCACGGATAAGATGAAGAAACTTCAACAAAGTTCGCTTTATCAAGCAGTGCTCAAGAATTACACTGAAGAGGAGTTAGCTACAATGGATCCTGAAGCTGTGCTTAAAGAACAGGTATTTACAGTCTTTAAAGTATTTAAGTTTAATAGGTTTTAAAGTTTTAAACAAGTCATTTTAAGCGTGCTCGTCTTGACGCTGAACGCCAAGAGCAACAGCAACGCTTGCAGCTTCAAGAAAAGAAATTCGATCACACGGTTTGTTACATGATTATTATTTTTTTTTAACAATTTAAAACTCTACTTTATTAATTAGTTTCAAAATCTATGAAAATCCATAACAGATTCGTGCTTTCCATTTGGAAGAAATGAAAGAGCGTCGAGCATTGGAGGATGTTCGTCAACAGAAAGCTCCTCGACTCTTCAATGAGTACGAACAGCGCCGAGTTACAACAGCTATGTACGCAAAACTTTTATCTATTTTCAGTTAAAAAAGATTATTCGTTCTAAAGAACAATTCACTAAATAAATTCGCTAAATAAATTCCCTAATAAATCCCTAATCTTTAGTGCAAATCACGAGGAGAGTGTTAAGATGTGGGATAGAATAAAAGGAGTGCACGAAGATGCGCATGATTGGATCAAGAACGTTAAAGATCGTCATGTTGATGACTTTGATGCAAAGGTTTGTAAAAAAAAAATAAATTTATAAACAATCATTGGACTTACAGTTACGCGAGTTTGAAGAGAAATTGGACGCAGTGCGACTTGCACGATTGGCGGATAGAGCTGAACAAAGGAAAACAGCGAAAAAACGTGAATGGGTGTTGGTTAGTTGAAAAAGATTTCGATTAAGCTAAACATTGAAATTCTAGAAGAAAATGGAAGAAGAAAGAATTCGAAAAGAAACTGAAGAACGCCAAAAGCAACAAGTGCTTGAAGATCAACGACGAGCCGCTCGTGGAGAGCGTATGGTAAGGAAAAATAGGCCAGAGAAAAGAATTACAGGGTTAAACCATTGTTAAGTTAAAAATTCTAACACAAATTTTGTTGCAGGATCAACGACGAGAACGCGAAGATGCTCCATCAAAAGCAATGGCTGATGATGATTGGCGTGGAGGATCTCGTCAACCAATTCAACGACCAATGCCCAGCACTCGTGAAGCTTTCCCCGAACGAGGTGAACGGCAACCGATGCGAGAGAGACCAATGCAACAACGAGAACAAGTCTGTCAAATTAGAAGTCTTTAGAATAACTCCAAATTCTAGCCCGCTTCCGCTGCTGACAATGATCAATCGTGGAGAGCATCAATGTCCCGTCCGATGCCTCAACCCCATCCTTCTGCTCAAAGCGGTGGTCCAGAATCCGATTCCCGTACTGGATTCTATCGACCTGGCGCTATGCAACAACGTCGGGTAAAAAGAAAACAACAAAATAATGAAGTTTATAATTTCTAGAATGTGGAACGATTGAATGTGGAACGATCAAATCAACCCACAGAATCCGGTGTTTGGACAAGAGGCCAAGTTGCTGTGAGTGTCAAATTTTCAAATTTTGATTTCAAGATACTCTCGTGAAAACTTAAAACTTTCAAATATGTTCTTATTAAATCGTTTTAATAAGAACATATTTGTTTATAAGACAAATTTAAGGCAACACCAACAGCCGGACCTGCCGATGGAGCCCCTCAAGTGCCGATTCAAGAGAAGAAACAGGGATATGCACCACCACATCAAAGACGGTAGATTGAATATCAAATAACAAATATTGTTTGTAGAAGAGAAAATGATGTGATGCTAAATGCGAACGCTCCAGCAAATCAACCAGACTCTGAGGGTTTCGTTCATGTTGGACACCCAAAGCGTCCAGGTCCTCGACCCGGTCCTCAGAACTCACAAGTAGGTTCTATAATAAAGAACTAAAGAATAAACTTTACCTAGCTTTTAGTAGTTATGAAATGAATGTGAATTTTAGAATGAACCCCCACGACGCGGTCCTCCTCCACCACGTGGGGGAGCCGATTCGGATAACTGGCGTCGCAACTAGACACTAATCATTGCCAAAGATGGTTATATGTTTTTTCTTTCTTACCTATTTCTTATCTATTTCTTTTATTCCCCTTTCTCTATTGATAAACTTATAGTTCTGGGTGTTTTCCTTTCACAATAGTTTACCATGTTGCTCATCCAACATTTCAAAAAACAAACGTATTATAAAGTTATTGTTCTTGGGAATTGTTATTTGGTAGTTTTGTTGAAATAAATCTGATTCGTTTCAAAGAAATTGAAAGCACACATTTCCGTATAAAAGTTCCGTATAAAAGCAATGTGAACGAGTGCCGTGGAGTGTCTCTACTCTCCCAATCTCAAACCACTGAACCAACTATTATCGCTGTAATAAAGATTATATCTAAACCAACAATAAGCACTACACGTATTATAAAGTTATTGTTCTTGGGAATTGTTATTTGGTAGTTTTGTTGAAATAAATTTGATTCGTTTCGAAGAAATTGAAAGCACACATTTTCGGAAAGGTGGTTGGAGAGAGATTTTGATTCTCAAATTCACAAGATGAGATCTCGAAGTGCTGATTAATTTGTTCAATATGTGGACAAGACGGGGAGGAAAGTCAAGAGCCATCTGCGAGATTCCCCTCATTCCATCCTCTATTCCCTCCACTCACCACCCTCTCCTCCGTCCATTGCTTGTCCACACGTGGCCGCTAAGAAAATACCGTATCCCGTTGGTGATTCTCTCAACATTTGATCACTTTTCATCACCAATCCTTGAAAGTTAAATCGAATTGATTTCATGACTACCCGATTCTCGATTGATGCTCTTTTGGGAAACTGTGAGCCTAGTGGGTCGCAAAGAGGTACTGATTAAAGCAGTTTTTAAAGCTTTGCGTTTTCTAAACCTTTTAAACTACCTCTAGTTTACCTAGAGGTAGTTTAAAAGTTTACTCTTACCTCTAGCTTTTACCTAAGCTGTCTAATTTTTTCTAATTTGTAAGATATTATAAGTAGAAATTGAATTACGGTAGGTTGAATGTCAAATAAACTTATCAACTAGATCATAAAAGTTAGCCATTTAACTAAAACCTTACAGAAAATGAATCTTCGATTTCATTACGGTTAGAGGGTGGTCAATTGTGGGAACAATTTCATTCATTGGGCACAGAAATGATTGTCACAAAATCAGGACGGTAAGCTTACACTCTTTCTAGTTTTAGTTTTCCGTATTTGTTTTGTTCTAATGAAATCATATATTAGCTGAAGAATATTTCCTTTTAGACGAATGTTTCCAACACTTCAAATGACAGTCACGGGTCTACAACTTCATTCTTTATATTCATTTATTGTTGATTTAAAGTGTGTTGATCAGAAGCGTTATCGCTATTCATTTCATCAAAGCAAGTGGATCGCTACCGGGCCAGGTTGGTATTGGGGAAATTTTTCAATAACTATTTAAATACTATTCATTACAGTATGCCAGAGAAAAGGATTCAGTCGACAAAAAAACTTACCGTAAATACTGTAATAGTACCCCACCCCCATAATGACGGTGCGGAGTGTTGCGTAGTCTAGCTTTGAACGAGTTTTCCTCGACACTGGTTTATGCTACAATGCGCGCTTAGGTATCAAAAAATAGCCCTGAATTTCAGCTATTTTTTGATACCAAAGAAGCATTTTTTGAAAGTACGGGCGCTTCGAAAAAAATGAAATACTAAAAAACTTTTGCGACTACGCGACTGTACGAGGGAGGGTGGAGTACTATTACAGTATTTACGGTAGCTTCATTTGCAGTGCTTAAAAGAGACTCATTGGCAGTCTTGTCGAGTCTACTTTTCTCAGCATCTCAGCATTCTGTGGTCAAGAGATTCAGATTTAACTAACTTATGGTTATCGTATGTTTAATTGGAATTCGATCTAGGTGAACCAGAGCTCCCTTCTCGTGTATTCCTACATCCAGACTCGCCAGCTCCAGGTCGTCATTGGATGAAAGGGCCAATATCTTTTGATAAGATTAAACTTACAAACAATCAAATGGACACTCGAGGACATGTATGTTATTTATGAAAATTGAAAATTGTTTTGTTATTTTCCAACACCATTTATAAACTATTTTCAGATCATTGTCAACTCGATGCATAAATATCAACCACAAATTAGCATATTAAAAGTTAGTTTTTAAAGTTAATACTTTAAAAATAAACTTTAGCATAATAGCGTTGAAAAACGAGAGACTTTTTCTTTTCCCGAAACCACGTTCATTGCTGTGACAGCTTATCAAAATCACAGGGTAAAACTATGAAAAAAAAAAGCTTTAATTCGTTTGAAAATCTTTATGAAATTAAAGCTTTATTATCAAGAACTTTAGTCAAGTCTATTCAAATAAACCTTACAAACCTTCAAATTCAAATTCAAATAAAACGATCCGATAAATCTGAGGAAAAACACATTTCAGATAACTTCACTAAAGATTGAGCGAAATCCCTTCGCAAAAGGTTTTCGTGAGGGTGATGTCGATGATGAGATGCGTGGTCATCTCAATCTTTTCAAACCATTTTTCTCCTCGATTTCTTCACATTTTCAGTACTCATAAGTTTCCTTTTCATTTTCATTTACATTTTTTTTTTTTTATTTTCATTTCGTTAATTGTTTCTAGTCATCTTTACACAAATATCAGTGAGAATAAACATTTTAAGTTTAAGTGGTAACGTTTTTCATTTGAAATACTGTTGTTTTTTTTTGAATCATCGATGATTTTCCACCACAAAACCTATCACAACTTGTAGAAAAATGTCAAAGTAAACAAGTATTACTTAAAAGTAGCTTTAAAGTAAACAAGTATTGCTTAAAAGTAGCTATAAAGTAAACAAGTATTGCTTAAAAGTAGCTTTAAAGTAAATAAGTATTATTTAAAAGTAGCTTTAAAGTAAACAAGTATTATTTAAAAGTATTACTTAAATTTTCTACTTACAATTACTTACAAGTAGCTACATTTTCTAGTGAGACAATTTTCCTTTTCATTTTCATTTTCATTATGCAGTGATTAGTGCTTCTATCACAAGTACAGTCGTTAGTTCAAAGCTACATTATCTATCAAAAACTACAAAACTTTTGTGTCTCCCCGAAAAAGCAAAAAAAAATTAGCAAGTGATGGGAAAGCGTATGTATCAAGGAATCGATTTGCATTTGTGGCAAGAGTAAGGAAGGCGTTCACATGAGCGCCAATGGAGTAAAGAGGAGGCGGGGGAGGGGGCTGCAGAAGAAGGGGAGGAGTGGAAATTGGGGGAATGGCCCTTGGTTCGTCTCTTGGTGAGAGTAAAGGCCCTGCCTCACCGCACTTCTTCTTCTTCTTTCCATTCTTCCACCTCTCCCTTTCCTCCCTCAACCTTTTCATCTCTTTTCCTCATCTCTCCTCGTCTCCACTCGTCTCTCCTCTGTCGTGGGACATTCGATCCCATTTATGGATTCGCCTCGCCAGCCCATCCCCTTTTCTCTTCTAAACGATTCGTATTCATGCTCTTCCCTTCATTCAATGCATTCTGACTTTTTTTGTTACTATTACTGTATACTGATTATTCTCGCTGGAGCTGTAAGTTTCACTCTCTTGTGTTTTAGTTAATAGTTTGAAGCCATGTTTGAAGCCATTTCAATAGTTCTATATTTGAAAGTCAATGGCTAAGTGATGTTTATGTTTGAGTGGTTGGTGAAAAGGGGGAAAAGAGTCTTTGATTTGTGACATAAAAGAGGAAATGTGGGAAGAGGGGAGAATGGTCGAAACGGTGGCGAATCACCGACGATAGCGATGAGTGAATGACGGCGGTTGTTGTGGAGAATCGACTCACATTTGGGCGACCGTCACTCAAACAACCGGCCTTGAACCATAAGCACAGTCATGACAATTGCCCCCCTCCCCTTCAATCCACTTTGAATCTCTTCGACCCTCCGGCTGCCATCGATTTTGCACTCTCTTTCTCTCTCGTTTTTTTCCCCTTACAGACAAACATTGCCTTTCGAGCTATTTTCGAAAAAGGGCAATCCCAAATCCCAGCGCGAACACACGATTTCAACAAATGTCGTTAATCGAAAGAGCGAATGACTCAAAATCTATAAACTTTCACCATTTCTACTCCTTTTTAAATGCACAAATTTTAGCGTTTGCTTATTGTTTTGTCTTTGAAAGCGAGAGCCGATCTGGCACCCGGTTGCCCCATAATTATGATCGAATGGTACAGTAATAGCAGGGTGAGTGCTCTCTAATTACCGACGGGTCCATATTTGTGGGTGGTGAGAGACTCGTCCCCTTCCCCTCCCCCCTTCCCCACCTCTTTGCTTTCATCGTTCCCAGAGGGTTAGTCGATGCGTGCAGATGGCTCTCTTCTCATTGTGGCTTTGACTCTTAGTGGAAACATTCGAAACACACTCGCTTTTACTGCGGCACTTTCATTTCTAAGTCGATCTTCTTTTGGTTTTTATCGTGATGCAGGAAAGTTTTTGAGTTTAAACGCTTTTTACAATATCTTATAAAGCTTTTGCCGTTTGAGAGCCAATTTGGGCAAATCAAGGAATCGATTTAATGAACAGGAGGGCATGTCAAAATAGAATTGAAGTGTTTCTCGTGAATCTGAGGAGTTGAGGGGTGAGCGGTGGTCTGCAGGGAAGTGCTCGCTTGCCGCCGCCGACGAGGGGTCACTCAGCGACCTCAATTTTTCCCCGTCCTCCATCCACCCTTCCTTCTTCAACCTGGATCCACATCTTTTTCATTCATTCATTCATTCATTTCTTTCATTCATTTCTTTCATTCATTTCTTTCTTTCTTTCATTTCTTTCATTCATACATCCCATCCCATTTCCTCTTTTTCTAGCTCGGTGTTGCTACCCGATGAATGTCCTCTATCCAGGCTGTTTCTACCACTTAACGTACCGACTCTCCCTCAAGGACAATCTTTCTTTCTTTCTTTCTTTTATGCGTAGAAACTTACTATGTGAATATTTGAGTCCTTGAATCGTTTCGCTTTCACACACAAACCCTAGAGCTATAGCCATATTCTCAGAAAGGATCTTCATCGATAAAAGAGCGGAGATTTTATTCATGAAATGCATGAGCCGATGAGCTACGATGTGCACGATGTAAATGAGATGAGGTCTGCATATGGGAAAGGGGATGGGGGATGGGGGTGTCCTGCCCGATGGAGCCCTGCCCCCTTCTCTCAAATCGCTTCGCTCCTCCTCGGCTGGGCGGCCCCCTCAGCGCGCAGCCCATTCTTCTCTTCACGACCCGTGTAATTGCACCGCAAACACGAGTCGGCTATTCATTTCTGCTCGGTGTGTCGGCGGGGGTTTCGACCCCACTCGGCCCTCCCTTTGCCCCCTTCTCTCCCTCCACTTGCCCTTCACACCCCCGGCCGCAGCCCTCAATACTTTTACATCTCATCGTTGTCTTCCCCTTTCACCCATCCACACTTCCATTCTCCTTATTGCCTTTTTTTTCTTTGAGCTCGACTAACCCTAGATGAAATTGAGAATTTCTCGTTTTTCTTTGAAATTTTGCAATTTCTCAAGCTTTAAAGAGCTCATTGGACATAAAAAGCATGTTATTTCTGTGATATGGTGTTACAATCTTTTTGAGAAAGTCCTCCGTGATATGGAATAAGAATTTCAGTATACTTTGACATTTTTTAAAAATAACAAAAGTCTTCAAAATTTTTGTTTTGACTATTTTTGGTCGCTTCGGGGGAATTTGTCAACACATCAATATTTCCTCGACATCACTGGAAATTTCCATTTTCACCTTTCAATTGTCATGAACAGTGCCATATCATGTATTCGATCTGTATCTATGTAGCATTCGTTTACCCATTTCCCCCAAAGTGCCACCAAAATCCGCGCCTGAATTTTGACTCAGCCTATATCATAGAAGGTGAGCAAAGTCTCAGGTGTGGTTTTCGATGCCGAACAACCCTTATTTCCCCAAAATAAATAAAGGTTTCCCAAAATTTTGATGAGAGTTTTTGTAACAAGTTCGTTGTTTCTTCGCATAAAAACACCAAAAAAAATACTTTTCAATACATGGAGAGCTCCGCTAGATCCCAAAGCGAATTCATTGCTAGAAACGGCAAGGATACTGTGCCAGAAAATTCAACGCGTGAAGTAAAAATTGTGACTAGAGAAGATTCAACTTCGAGAACTCTAGAATAAGAATATGAATATGAAAAATGAATTTGTATGGATTTGGCGAGTGTACGGAAAAGAACAAACAACGCGCTTTTTTTATTCTCGTCTTTCGGAAAATAAAAAGTTGAAAGGCTGCATTTGTTGTGCTCATTTGTAAGCGCAATCCAGTTTTACACACTTCTCTCTAAATTTTAAGTGCTAAAGTGCTAAAGCGCCTACGATGAGTGATAGCTTGACGCTTGCTAATAAGTAATCCATAAAAGTCCTATGCGCACATTTTTTGTTCAATTTATTAAATCTTCTTTTGCAAAAACTTGATTTCTTTCTTTTTCACACTTGTATCGTATTTTTATTTATAGGTGTGTGCAAGTTGCCTCTCGAAAGATGCTTTCACGGACATTGTTGCGAGTTTCAGCGCCTCGAGTATTTCTTCGACTGGCGTCAACGGAAGCAGGTGTGGTTTGCCTTTTATTTGTTAAACTTTTGGTTTGTAAAAATAAGTAACGATATTGCTGACAAATTGCTAAAGTGCTAGATTTGATGCGTTTATCAATTTTACATAAAGTAGTTGCGAGTGGAAGCCGTGTAAAGTAATCTTTTTGTAATTCAAACATCACGATAATTGTTATTTAGCTCTTCCCCTAAATGATGGCCCTGCAGCTCCACATCCAGCTCAAGATCGAGTCGTCTCTTCAAAAGTGAAATCACTTGTCGATGAAATTAGTTCGCTAAGTCTTCTTGAAGTGAGTTAAGCGTTTTAGTAGCTTTTATTGAAAAAATTTCAGGTATCAGATCTAAATTGGGCTTTAAAGAAGCGATTGAACTTGCCCGATGCTCCAATGATGCCGATGGGAATGCCGATGATGGCTGCTGCTGCGCCAGCTGCAGGTAATTTTATTTGGAGGAGTTATCATACTTTAAATGCCATTCAGCTCAAGAAGAAGCAGCCTCAGATACGCCACAGAAGATGACATTTGGAGTGAAACTTACAAAGGTGGTGCTAACTAGTTTAATAGATATATTGGAAACTTGTTTTCATCGATATACATAAAATTATTAAATGATTTGCTTAAATATAGAACAAAATAAATAATATAATGTCTTTTTATAGTTCGATGATGCCAAGAAAATTGCTTTAATCAAGGAGATTCGAACGGTTGTACCAGGATTGAATCTAGTACAAGCTAAAAAGGTTTGCTGCTTCCTAAAAAGTTTATTTGAGATTTTTTTTTAGTTTGTTGAAACAGCACCTATCACTGTAAAGGAAGATATGGGTAAAGCCGAAGCAGAAGAGTTGAAAGCAGCACTTGAAAAGGTAAACATTTCTTTTGCTAATTGATTCAAAGTCTTTAGGTTGGCGCTACCATCGAACTCTTCTAATAAACTTGTTTGTGAGTGAGATTTATGGAGATCTTTCTTTTTTCAAACGAGGTGTATTGATTCTCATTTATTAAGTGTAACCATTTTCTTAGAGTTAGTTGTTTAGTGATTTGAATTTGTTCTTTGTTACTTTATTTTTGTTATGATAAATTTGATGAATTTATGAGGTTAAAATGCAAAACAGATCTATGAGGTGTCCGGCAGCATTTTCATTTTCAAAACAGTTGTGTCCATTGTAAATCTGTTTGTTTTCTTATTGTTCGATAGAAAAAGAAAATCGAAGTGAATGCTGATCCGTTCATAAGTAGGAAAGGGTCTGTCCTGGGCGGCCCGCTCTCCCTCTTCAAGTCTCTGATAACAAGTCTTTCCGAACACGAGGGGTTTTCCGTATATTTCTTGTTGATGGACACTTTCTATTCTTTCCAATAATTTCTGCTGTAGTCCTCAAAATTGCTTCGTGATTTAACAGCCACTCACCTGGCTCACCTTTATTGACCGCTTTTCTCTGACAATATCACTACATTGTACTTGCCTTTTACAAGTCACATTTATTAGCTGAAATGCTACAACCAGCTGAAAGTTTTGGGCAAATGTGTAAGCTTTATTAAAATCGAGGAAATTCCAGTATGCACATCAAAATTCACATTTGCAGATGTCCCATCAAAAGTGTCAAAAGTCGACGATTTCTTTCAACTCGATAAATATCAACTCATAATGTTGCTTTTCAATGAGTTACTGATCTTTAACATTCTTAGCAATCAGGTTTTTTTTGACGGTTTTTGATTCAGAACTCTTTCTACTTTCTAGGTATTCAATGTTTTCGGTGTTGCACCCCCAAAACTAGTCGGTTGTGGTGATCAAACTTATGACGGATTAACGAGAGTTTAGATGCATTCCAAAAAAAGACATAAAATTTCTCATATAGGCTGATCGTTGTGCCCAATATGCGAATGATAGCGATTGTGTCAATCCAAGACTTGAGTACGAATTTGCTAGTGCCACAGTCGAGGTTTTAAGCTTTCCAAAAAAAAATCACTCAAAAAGGCTTCCAGTTTCAACAATTTTGCCCCCGGCGCGAGTACACATTTTTGGATAAAATCGTTCAACACTTTGGCATCATCGACAAAATGAAATTCAGGTACATTCAATTTGATCGAATCTTTTCTTTTAGAAAAAGAGCAAAGGACAATCAAGATAAGACTGGCGGTCAAAAATAGGCTTACGCTTGAGTCCACCAAAATCGGTTCCTTGTTTTGATAACAATTAGAGGGAGAATGAATGCTTAAAATAAAGGCGAAAATTTGAAAATAAAAACACCGTAAATAGTCGAATAAAAGCTCCTATAGGAGCGTCGCGTAGTCTAGGTTTCAACTCTCAAACAAACGCTCATGTCTCGACACCAGTAGGTTTATTTCTGCGCGCTTGGGTATCAAATTAAAGTAGAGAGAATGGGTCATTTTTTGAGATATAACATAGATTTTTAGCATTAACCAGTGCTTAGAACAAAATGATTCAAAAATGATGAAAAATCGGCTTTTTTTTGCCACTTTTGAATCATTTTTTTCTAAGCACTGGTTAATGATAGAAATATGTGTTATATCCCAAAAAATCGCCCATCCTCTCTACTTTAATTTGATACCCAAGCGCGCAGAAACAAACGTACTGGTGTCGAGACATGAGCGTTTGTTTGAGAGTAAACCTAGACTACGCGACGCTCCTATAGGGGGGCTTCTATTAGAGTTGATTTCGGGGCATTTGTTTTCACGGGGAACAAATTTCCGGGTACCATTAGAGTATTAACGATATACAAATGTTTTCATTAAAGATGAGTAAACAAAAGTATCCAAAACGTGGTCCAGTTATCTGCCCAAATCTATCCAAAAGAAAAACTTTCAGTACAACGATTCAAATGGTTGGTCTGATCATCGGTGCGGCCGTAGCCGGTCAATTGAGTGACTCGTATGGGAGAAGAAAAGTTTCTTTGTCCTTTTCACCGCATTTTCAAGATCATCAATTACAGGTTCTACTCGCTTCCATGATTTGTATTTGCTTTCTTTCGACGATTCTCTCATTTTCACCATCCATCGATTTCTACATAATTTTCCGATTCTTTATCGGGATTTTCATTGGATCTCTGACAACGTGAGGAAAAAAAAAAAAAAGATTGATCTAACAATAAGATTGAAATTTTATTGTTTTTTTTCCAGAGTTGGTCCAATTTTCGTTTTGGAATGCCTCCCAGTTGCACACCGTTTCTGGATTGCGACTGGTTTGTTTAAAGAGTTGCCAAGAATTTTTTTTTATATTGGAATTTTCTTAGTGGTAACATGGGGTCCAAACTTTGCAATTCTTTCATTGATCGCTTATCTCACTGGCGAGTGGCGCCTCCTCAGTCGGGTCTCCAATGCCATTTCTGTTCTTGGTGTTTTAGTGCTCGTTTTGTAAGTGTTCCGATGAGTTTTGTATTTTAAAAAGTATTTTAGCTTCCTTGAGGAGAGCCCAAAGTTTTTTGTTCAAAAGAGACGCCGCGAGGAGGCGATCAAGGCTCTCGTTAACATCAACAAATGGAAACACAAAGATAATCAAGTTCGATTGATGAAATTCTATTTAAATTAGACTTTGAAATAGACTTTGAAAATAGATTCCCTACAGCGAGATCGTGGCCATTGTCAGCAAAGAAACGGGCGATGATGGGACAAAAGAGAGCCTATTGAGTGCAGAAACACGACCTAAAAAGCAAGTTTTATTGGAAATATTTATTTTCATAGCAGAAGTAAATCATTTTTCTGTTGAAATGCACGTGTAAAGGCTTAGGCTTAGTGAAGATTTTGTTTTCCCTTCAAAAAAAAGCTCTTATTTGGGAGGAAAATTCTCTGATTGATAACAGGCGGGAAATGAGCAAAAGCCATATCGAATGTTGAACTTTTTCAAAAAAAAAGGATTAAAAGCCGAATTGAAGGCAAGCGTTCAGGTATACATTCTTGGATCTCTACACAACGGGACCGATCGCTTTAAAGACAGCGGTGACTTCTTTTGGATTGTGAGTTCGATGAGTGGCGGAAAGAGTTCACGATCAGCATTCAGCTTTCAGATTTCAATTCCAGCTTTCAGATTCTCCGTCTCACTTGTCAGCTATGCACTAATTTTCAATTTGCATGTGATCCCCGGCTCACTCTACCTGAACATGGCCGCCAGTGGGGTCCTCAGATGGGGAATCGGGGCTGTGGTAAGGACACGCGCCCCTTCGCCATTGGCAATCCAACTTTGAGCTCAAATATATTGGTGTTGGGCTGTTCAATTTAAATAGTTTTTGTACCAATCGACAGGGGAAGACTTGGCGCATCCAATGATATCAATAATTTATAAATCGAACATCCCAACACTAAGAAATTAGAGCTCAAAGTTGGATTGCTAATGGGAAAAGGGGCGAGGTAAGCTTTGGTAAGTGCAAACTTCAAAAGTTTGAAAGCTAAAAGTTTCATTGAAGAAATAGTCTTTTATTCGCTATGTATTCGAATGAAATCCCGAATTCAGGTGGCGATCACAGATCATTTTGGCGGTGCTCGGGTTGGCCGCAAAATGGTGCACTTTGTGACCGTCGGAGCGGTGGCCATTTGCTTTGCATTGCTTTTTCTCATCGTAATAAATGGTATTTGCTCGAAACGTTTCTATCAGAGTTATCATTTTTATCGTTTTCAGGACTCAAGCTTACGTATCCATTTGCCGTTCAAGCATGCACACTTGTTGCTTTTGGGATCACTGGTTGCATTTTCTTGCAGGTGACTAGTGTAGCTCGTAAAAAAAGAAAATCCTCTGTAGATGGCTCTAGCGGTGGCTGAGCAATTTCCGACAGCAGTTCGAAATCTAGCGAACGCGAATGCGAACGTTTGTGGGCGACTCGGGAGCGTGATTGGGCCACTTCTTTTCTCAATGGTAATCTTTTAAAAAAAAACTCAATAAAACAATGCATGACCAATTTGAGGATATCGGCATCCGCGGTTCTTCATACCTTATCATGTCGATGCTTGCTCTGCTCGATTTGATTCTTTTCCAGGTTTGCATCAAAAAAAAAACGCAAATACATTAATTTTAGGTGTTTCTCAAAGAGTCAAAAGGAGCCCCATTACCCGATGAAATGCCGGAAAGAAGGAGACGCTCAAATAACGCATAACTCAAATTTTTATCCAATTTTTAATAAATTTCATAAAAATAATGAACGCTCGTAAATGATTTCGATATCGTTTTTGTGAAGTTGAGTTGCTTTGTATGATGATAATGGTCGAATGTGAAGAGAAGTTAAATGCTCAGAGCGAAGCGATGAAACAGCGCCAAGATCTAGAAAAGAATATTCCTACCGTAAATACTGTAATAGTACCCCACCCCCATAATGACGGTGCGGAGTGTTGCGTAGTCTAGCTTTGAACGAGTTTTTCTCGACACTGGTTTATGCTACAATGCGCGCTTAGGTATCAAAAAATAGCTCTGAATTTCAGCTTTTTTTTGATACCAAAGACGCATTTTTTGAAAGTACGGGCGCTTCGAAAAAATTAAATACTAAAAACTTTTGCGACTACGCGACTGTACGAGGGAGGGTGGAGTACTATTACAGTATTTACGGTAAGTACCCACAAAAATACCGTATTTCTTCGAATAGAAGACCGGGTAAAGAGTATCATCGCGTACTCCTGCGTAGCAGTCCTTTTTAAAATTTCTTTTCTGCATAAAAGATTTCAATCGAGTGCTATAGAGCTGGAAAATGGCTCAAAAATCTGTTAGCTCATGTGGTATTTTTGAGTCATTTTCCAGCCCTATAGCATTTTCATTGAAAGCTTTTATGCAGAAAAGAAAGTTTAAAAAGGGCTGCTACGCAGGAGTATGCGATGATACTATTTACCCGGTCCTCTATTCGAAGAAATACGGTAAATAAATAAAAAAACAAGTTTTGCCTGTTTCCTTTGGTTTGCATACCTTCGACGGTTTGTGCGAGTCGTTGCAAATGTTTTGATTGTCTTTCTATTGCAGCAATTCGCATAAATTTCCCCTCTTCGTGTTTCAATCGAGAATCAAGCTGAAAGAGTGAAGGTTAAAGTGATGAAATTTTTTTAAAGAAAAACCTTTTCTTTTACTTCAGCAAGAGTTTCTGTTCGAATCGATACTCGATTTGTGAGGTTCTCGTTGATTCGAGCAATCAAGGCCATCCTCTTCGGCACCAACAGCGGCTCTTCACACGCACGACGCCAACCAATAGCCCGAGTGCGAAGCTGATAAAGGCGAACCTATCAAAAAAAAAAATATGCAGATTTAAAGGAATCAATGATCTCTAAGGATCTCTTTGACACATACTTACCCGTTTCTGAATGATCCTCGCCGCTTTCTCTCGTCTTTCGCTTTCTCCTTTATCGAATCGATGCTCATTCATCTTTACTTTCATCGGTTCTTTGTTCATTGTCTCCAAAAAATCTTTTATCTCACTAGCTGGAAGACTCATAAGCCGTTCGTATTTGTGAATAGCAATTCCCTAAAAATGTAAGTGGGGTAAACGTTATACCTACTGTAAAACCTTTTCGCATTTCAACGTTTCCATTTTTTGTAATAGTTCATCATTTGCAAGCGAAATCTTTTTCAGAACAGTCCATTGTTTTCTTAAAAATATTATACGAAACTAAAATAGGTTTAATTACAGTTCTTTATTTCGAAAACGCTTGCGAAGACATTTTCGCCACCAATACTGGATTTGAATAGCCGCGGATTCCTTAATGAAGTGGATAAAGAATTATTATTATCAATGATAAACCTGAAGAAATTGTTCATCCATCTATACAGATAGTAGAAATATTGATTGGGTATATGTATTGTATGTGCCGCATAAGAGCTATGCTTCTGCGTATTCCATTTCTATAGCGTTATGGTTTTTGTTGTTATGACAACAGTTGGCAAAGATAGATTTATTGCCACAAAGTCTAATAATCTGCGTCTAAGAACAAAAAGAATTTGGCAAATTTTAAAGTGAATATTCCTAAGAACACAAAAAAATAAAAACAAGTTTGACCTAAAAGGTATTTGCAAGTTGTATACATTCAATAAAAGCACAGGGTGCCAAATAGCGATACTAGATGGCAAAAGGTGAAAGTCAATAAAAAACTAATAGAACAAAATAGTTTCTAGTAATTTTTGAGCGTTATGAAACCAGTACATAACTGAAAGAATACAGCATAGATTATGAAATGGTCGTGACTATCTGTATACTGCACATTAGAGATCAAAAAGCACCGTAGTATTTCTAGAAGCCTTATCAAGAAATATAATAGCGATTCTATTTCAAGACGACATTAGCGAATTAAGTTTTACCATGCAAATTTCTTGGGTATCAACCAGATTGAACAGTCGCTTCGCGTTTGTGTTTCGGGCGAGGTGCATTTGCAAAAAGCATGTCCCGGGAATAATGAAAACCTCGGTTGACCCAATGGCCGTACACACAGAACATAGCACTTTCGGCCTCGTGACGAATCTAAAAATTGCGATGTTTACGGGAATTATTGATTGAAATACTCTTGTAGAATAAATCAGTAGCTGTATTATCAAGTCTACCTCGCGATCTCTGAAAGGTCTCTTCTTGACTGCATCTCGATCAATTACTTGGGAGAATTTCCTAAATAAAACTTTCAAAGATTAAAAAATAAAGCAAATACCTGTAATTAGACAGACGAATAAAAAATCGGACCCATATAATAGCATGGCGGAAAAGGCGGCGCTTGTCGGATTTCTAAAAGAGTTAGGTTTTTATGTCATGTTTTAATGTTTAAAGCACGACGGTACGTCCGAAACTTACGCGTGTTTTTCTTTGCTCAATAACCACAGCCTCTCCGACGCCAGCCATCCAAGGGTGACGAAGTGCTTCTGCTGCAGTTATTCTTTTTGCCACGTCAACTGTTAATAAGAGTGACACCTCAAAATGAATTCTCAAGAGATTACAACTATCTTTCACACATACCAACTCTTTGCACTCGGATGTGATTGAATCCCATTGCTCACGTCGAAATTCAAAGCGTCCTTCCTGAATTAGTCGCATCATCATCAGCTGTCGCCGATGATAAAATGGAGCATAACCTAAAAAATTGATCATCTAATTAACCGCACAACATACCTGCTAAGAAAGTATATAGGATAACGCCAAGTGCCCATTGATCTACCTCAAGACCATATCCTAAAGCATTATCTGAGAATGAAAGGGAATAAACTAAAAACCTTTGGCGTCTTCATACATTTGGCACCGCAAGGTCTCGGGTGCTAAATAGCCGGGGGTTCCACATAAATCTAAAAAGAATAAGTCAAAATTATTCTAACTAAATGCCACCAAGCTCACCCACCCTTCAAAAGTTTTTCATCAGGGAGTATCATCGCAAAGCCAAAATCAGAAATGACAATCCTTTCGTCATCAATGCACAAAATATTCTCCAACTTGAGATCTCTAAAATCGAACAGGATTTACAATGAAAAATTGGATACCTGTGAACAATGCGATTTTCATGCATATACTTGACTCCCTCAAACAGCTGTTTCATTAGTCGTTTTGCCTATTTAAGAAAGGCATTGAATTTCAACAAAAAACCAAAGCTTACTTTCTTTTCAGTCAAAGTGACAGTAGCATTCAACTGATCGAACAGTTCTCCTTTCGGCGCCATCTCAAATACAGTGAAAAGAAACGATGGTGTCTCAAAGAAATCGTGGATTGCAACTAAAATAAAAACGTTAAAATTTAACGAACGAAAAGTATACTGATTGAAGGATGTCCCGCTAGTTGTCGTAGTATCTTCACTTCAGAGATGGTTTCCTCATACAATCGACGAGCATCTTTGTCACCTAGAAATTTTCTTAGAAAACCCAATTTTTCCAGAAGCACTTTGTTTTTCTGTTGAAACATCGACAATTTTCACAGCAAAGCTTGCTCCTGAGCCTTTTTCAATGCATCTTCTTACAGTCGATGCGAGACCACTACCGAGAATCTGAAAACAGAAATTCCAACATTTGCATAAATCATGAAAACCTCTTTAGACTCATAAGATGCATAAAAGCCTTGATCATCTTCTGGAGTCCCGTAACCTCCTAAATAATTCTATGAGCCATGTTTTAGACCACGATAAGACAACTAACCAGGTGAATTCTCGCGTTCGTCGTCTGCAGTCATCGGTTAAGCATAAAAAGTTCCGTCACGAGTTTATTTTGACCCCTCTATGGCGGATGCTTCTCTAAATGCAACAGGAATTAAACTCAAAACGATCAAAGATCAATTTTTTGTGATAAGAATTAGGCAATTACATCTTTTACATTATAGATCAAAAACAAAACAATTTATTGAAAAACAAACAGTAAAGGCAAAATCTATGACTTAACAATAAAAATCGAAAAGAAATTCGCCTAATGACTTTAAATTTTAAGTCAGATATCCAAGTCAAGAGTATCTGCAGATTTCAAGTTAGAATGTGTGAGCCAAACGTAAACAAGCAGTCATAACAAATTTTTTAACAAGTGCACAAGCATTGATGAATATCCTATGTCTCTAAAGACAGATCTGTGACTAAACAAAATACTACCGTTAGATATGACTATGTTTCGATAGTTTTTTCTAAGGCCAACATCATTATACGCCAACAAGATTTCGTCATAGATTTGTTGATACTGTGGGACTATTTCTATCGATTTTGAAAAGAAAATCTTAGTTTTCAGAAAAAACTTTAACAAAAAAGAATCTTTAAAATGGAAAGAACAAGCGGAGTGAGGATAACTTGTTAACAACAGTTCAGGGATTGAGCATTTGAGAAACACCACAAGTAACCTAAATAATTCAAAGCTTAAGCGTCCTCAAAACTAAATTAAAAACAAAGAAAGAGTAGCCTCATAAGGGCAACTGATAACCATTATAATCGAAACAAATAACTTTGTTGTAACCTAAGTATACATCAACAAAATTAAACAAGGGCTTAGAAGCAGGTGTAACCCGTAAATAAAGAAGCCGTAACTGTTTAGTTAGTCAACATGGCCGAGATTAGTGATCTGCGTCTCCATTCTCGGTACTTTGGCCCTTTGACGCCTAAATGAATCTTAGCAAAAATATTAAGAACCAACAAACCTCAATATTTTCCTTCTCTTTAGCACCTCCACCAAAAGCGTTTGCATAAGGGTAAGCGAGATGGCAAACACGCATAAACTCAGCAACCTAAATCAAAGATAAAAACAATCCTGGTGGACATTAAAAAGAATTAGCCTATGATTGTACTTTGAGACATCTACTTTCATAATAAAATATTACTTCATCACGCGACCATTCACCAAATCGACCGTAACGAATTGCATCCCGCATCTTGATCAGTATTTTCAGTGAACGACCAGGTGTAGTGGCGTCCTAAAATATATAATTGTGAACTAATAGTAAAATTACCCATGGTTAATATTAATGGTTTCGAATTACTACCTTTATACATTCCAATATAGTTTTCTTGGCCGCTGGAACTGATCCTGGTTCCAGCAAAATATTGCACTCAAGAACTAAAAATCTAATTTCAAAAGTTTCGAAAAAATCATTTACCAGCCATCTTTGATCCAAAATCTTTTGCTATTTCATGCTGGTAGCGTTTGTTGAAGTCCACCGGATTTCGTTCATCACCAAAAAGCTCCTAAAAATCATCAGCTGTTAAAATGAGAACTTATTGTTAATTGTCTTAGTATCACTTAAGAAATTACGCACTTCAGTCAGTTCTTTAACGAGTTCTCCAACGACTCCATCACGGTTGAAATTGCGGAGATAAAGCAAGAACTTCACATTGGCAATATGGAGAAGTGGATGTGCTTGATCAATTTTCTGGGCAGCTTTCAAGCATTGAAGCATGCGCAGAGGCTTTTCCTAAAAAGCATAAACCTAATTAAGCCTAGAACGACCCCACGAGAGTAAAACTGTAATACCTTGCGATAATAAATCTCAAAGCCCAAAAGGTATCCTGTTACATGTGTGCATCCCAAGTCAATCACTGGCGCGATAAATCTAAAAGAAATACGATGATAGAAAAATGATTTCGACTCTGACTTCAAAGCTTCATCAAGAGGGGTTTTTGTCTTCAGCAACTCTTCAGGATCAATGTTAATTCCCACCGGTTCGATTCCTTCTTCTTTTTTCTGTAACCAAGTTCAAGTATGACGTTATTTGACTAACTAATAAAAAAATAGCTCAAGACGAACCGTTTGCTTTTCAACTTGACCAGCTACTCCTTTTGTCTTTTGTTGCTCTTTCTCTGCTGCACGCGCCTTCACCTTTGCTTGTTTTCTTTTCTAAAAAAATTGTAAAACTAAAAGTAATGCTAAATTACTACCATTTTCTTGATTTCTTCCGCACTCATTTCTTCACCACACTCGCTTATATCAAAAATGTCTCCTGGCCTATCGAGCATTCGTAAGTAAATCTAAAGTGAGTCTACAAATGTAACCTTTTCAAGTCCAACCTTTGCTGCACATTTGGCTGCTTGATAATACCATTCATTGTTGCGAAGACGATCCTCGAGCCTCAGTAGATTGATGTATGAGCACAGGGTAGATTTTCGCAAGCAGTACGTGTGGAAATCAAATTGGTCATCAGTGATATTCACAAAATGCTAAATAAATCTTAATCACAAATGAGATTTATTCGAAATACCTGTTCAATTTGATGACAGCTCTTCAAAGCGTCGCCGTAGTGCGAAACTGACCTTTCAGCTCGAGCCACTTCAAGAGCATACCACATACATTGCATTTCGTTCAGGTTGATCGAAGCATTGGTTCCATCCTAAACCTTTTATTTTTCAAGTTATTTGATATGCAAGCAGCCCACCTTGGGTACAAGAAAATACAATGGTATAAGAATTTAGACCACCTCTTTTTTCTGGCATTCTACTTAAATATTAACTTCAAATCACCATGGGCAACGCATGTTAAAACCTTGCATAAGTTTGTGTAAGTTTCAGAACTCCATGCGTTATTTAAAAAAAAAACCTCTGCCAATTACTTACATCGGAATGCTAAAAGTCAACTGTTTACGTAATTTCTTTTACCTAAGTTGTTTAAACTAACCCGAGTAAATTTGCCGCACATCATTTCAGCTTCTTTGATTAAGCCTGCACGAAGTAAATATTTTGCGCACTTGCTGTTCACATATCTAAAACTTTTTAATGCATGACATGCAGGAAATTATACCTATCAGCCGTATCCAAAAGCTGAGCCTCTTCCATAAGACGAGCCGCCTCGAGCAAGTTTCCACGGTGCTAAAACTGACAAATTTGATATTTTAAAAATAGTACCTTTTCAATTTTTGCCTTGACCATGTACATATCATTCAATGTTGGAGTATGATCGAGAGTTCGATTAATATACTCCATAGCCAATGTTTGATTTCCAACTCTAAAACATAAAGGATGTATTTGCGGAAGCTTTTGTTTTACCGATCGTAATGTTGAGCAAGAAGATAATAAAGCCACAAAGCTGTGCTTGGTGATTCGTGTTTTCCTTTGCAGCCTAAACTCCAAAAGTTACTCTACTTTAACAAATGCTTACGAGTGAAACACGCTCTCTTGTATCCCCGTTTATCAATTTCTCCAATGAACTCCTTCAAAACGCTTTCCAACACTTGAACCTTTGCGTGATCCTAAGGTAGCTATTTTTTTTAATAAGAATGGACTTTTCACCTTGTATAGTGGAATCAAACTCTTGAACAACGAAGGAACTCCTTTTCGCAACATGTTTACGATCCAGACCAATAAACTGAAACAAAGAAATTTATGATTTCAAAACATAAAGTAAGACTTACCGGAACCGAAGTTCTTTAGCGTCGGCGAAATAAAGTGGTTCTCGACGTGGAATTGAAGACCGTGGAAACTTGATCGCCAAATCGTCGTAAAACTTCAGCTTTGCATCAATATCATCTAAAACTTGTTATTTACGTTTTAAAATTAAAACGTTACCGTCCGTTAGTCCCATACAAACTTCAAGCTGTTTATAGTAGTCCAAATTTTCAGGATTTCTCTTTAGCAACATTTGATAAACGTTAGCAGCAGCTTCGTTTTGACCAAGACTCAACAACAGGCTTCCTATAAAAGTTGATTCACAACATCAGAAAGACTTCGTACCGCGTGTTTCATGATATACTCGACGATCAATGACCAATGCTGCATTTTCTTCAAGAAGTTCCAATGCTTTTGAATATTGACCGGCTTCTCTTGAAATACACAAGATATAAGATTTCCATTGATCTACTTACCGCATTATCATGTTCTGATAGAGAATCAGTTCAGATCGCGCAAACGCGTCGGATTTTCCTTGTTTCGATTCAGCTTTTGCAAATCCCTAAAAAGTTAAACTAATAAAATTAAATTATAGTCACGAGATACCGGGTAACAGCGCATATACTCGTCGATGATGCTGAGTGCCATTGGGTAATCCTTCAGCAAATGGAAAGCAGTTGCATAACCGTACCACGAAGCGATTTGTGGCCTTAACTTCAATAGGCGGTATCGAGAGTCCTAAAATTTCTTTCTTAGAAACTACAAATTTCCAAGTAATGTTTTCTTTAATGGCAGAATCCAGGAAAGCCAACAACTTTACCTTGTAGCCTTCATAATCGCGAACTTGAATTTGTAAAAGACATAAGTCCCTCAAAATTTGCTGATTTTCTTTGTCTCGTGCCAAAGCCATTTTATAGGCCTAAAGAATTTGAGAGTCTTAGTGTTTTCAATCACAAACTTTTAGAGCCTCATCGTACTGTTTTCCTTGCCGAAGTACAAGACCATAAACGTGCCAACAAACATACGATCCAACGTCTCTCTAGAATTTATCACGAATACCAAAAAAATTTCAAAATCTCAAACCTTTAAGCCAAGCTTCACAGTTTCAAGTGCTTCCGCCTCTTTTCCCAAACAATTGAGGATCAACCCTTTCATGGCCAGCGTTTCTATAAAAACTTTTTATAAAGAGGCGTAAAAATGCAAACCTCCATGCTCTGCAAACTCCTTACGATCCAAAACTTGCTTACAAAGCTTCAAACCTATCTTGAATTGCTTGTTTTCGTAGCATTTCTAAAAAGAACGTTTAGCAAAGGTACAAAACTCCTCACAAACCACAATCCTGCGAAAAGTGCCCAATTCTTTTGCCGGCAGCGGTTGATTGCTCGAAGTCGGCGGGCGAGACATCGTTCTCAAGCCAAGGCAAACTAAATCAAAGTCATCGTTTTACCTTTTGGCCTCAACGAAGGTAATAAAAACAAAAAAAAAATTTAAATTCAACAAAAACGATCACAGCCAAAGTGCAGCGTTGAACAAAAAATTTCTTAAGAGTTTCGAGAAGTTTATTTTGCAAATGAATTAGAATAAATCAGGTGTGCAAAAAATATATTGCAAAGTGAGCTTAAACGATCAGCCACAAATGACAGAGGGAAAGAGTATTCCTGCGTAGTGAGCAAAAGGGAACAGCTCTCAAGGACTTGATTACACAAAAGCTAGGAGGCGCAAGAAAAGAAACTTCACGATAGTATGGGCAAAAAAGATTGAGATCAGGAACAAAAGTATCCACAATTTGTAGGTGCTTGATGCTACAAGACATTTATAAATAGTCAATAAATGTAAGATGTATTGCAGCACTTACGCGAACAAAATAAATTGCGGAAAACAATGAATTCGTCCCATAATCACAATACCTACCGTATTTACTCGAACAAAAGCCCCCCACCGGCCCTATAGGAGCGTCGCGTAGTCTAGGTTTACTCTCAAACAAACGCTCATATCTCGATACTAGTACTTTTATTTCTCCGCGTTTGGGTATCAAATTAAAGTAGAGAGGATGGGCGATTTTTTTGAGATATAACACAGAGTTTTAACATTAACCAACGCTTAGAACAAAATGATTGAAAAATTATGAAAAATCGGCTTTTTTGTCACTTTTCAATCATTTTTTCTAAGCACTGGTTAATGCCAAAAATTATGTGTTATATCTCAAAAAATCGCCCATCCTCTCTACTTTAATTTGATACCCAAACGCGCGGAGAAAACGTACTGGTGTCAAGATATGAGCGTTTGTTTGAGAGTAAACTTAGACTACGCGACGCTCCTATAGGGCGGGGGGTTTATTAGAGTAAATACGGTAGGTATTGATCTTTTAGCGCAAAATAGAAAATTGATACTGTCACAAAAACCAAAAAGCCACATTCGTCAGAAAACATTCGATACAATTCTATTGGCACTGCAATATCTGTTTTAAACTTTGCCATTGGTCTTTTTAATTGATCAAAGCTTATAAAAAGCCCTAAGGATTTTTATAACATTGTAGACAGCGATATGTTATGAAAATTTAGGAGCTAGGTGGTGGATCGTTTGGTGGATTGTCGTTCATGCTGCCGAGAAAAAGAACAGCTACTTTTTCGGCTAGTTGTCGAAGTTGCTGAAATGATTCTTTTTGGAATTCATTCTACGTTTCTTTGGCACTTTATAAAACAAGATGGAGAAACAACCTAAACTTGTAAAGCCATCTCTTTTAGAACTGTCTCTTATTCTTCAACCTGATTGACTGTGATCTCTTGTGTGACTTGTTGGAATCTTTCAAAGAGTTCCCTCGTTTTCTCCAAATTTCCATTTTGTCCTTCAAAAATTGCATAGTTTAGAATGATCTAAAATTTTGATTGATGGCTGGATGGGAATGGCTCGAGCACCTGAGGGTCATTGTCAAAACTGAGCGCCCGTTGATAGGCTTTTGCAGCATTGTTGACATCTTTCATATTGGATAGAGTTACTTGAAAATCACATTGTAAAGTTCCATTTGAAGACTTACCAGCTAGTGTTCCTAAAACTTGAGCATTCCTTGGGCTAAGCGATAATGATGCCGCCAGAAAATGGTATGCCGAACAGTATCTAGAATTTCATTTACAATTTTTAACCTTGGATACTCACTGTTGCATTGCATTATGAACTAATCCCAGATTGTATAAGATACGATATTCAAGCGGGCACAGGAAAGCAGCCTGAATTGTACAAGAAGAGTCTATTTTTTTTGTAGTCATTGAGACCTTTTTGAGACAAGAGATCGCAGCAACGAATTTCCCCTTTGCAAAAAGACACATTCCGATATTATTCCAGAGACACCCATTGTAGTCACATTTTTCTGCCGCTATTCGATACTTATTGAGAGCCACGTCGTGATCACCGTGTGCCTGCATGACACTACCTGAAATCACTGTCTAAATGTTGAAAACTATCAAGTGCCTGCTGCAAGAATACTGTCTGCGTGTGCTGCATCGTAGCTCAATGCTCTGCCAAACATTGCAAATGCGGGATCCTCGTTTTTCGTTCTCAAATAAAGCATACCCAAATGTACCATTAACTCGACATTCTCTGGTTCAAGCTGAAAGATTTATTTCAATCTACACATCCCATACACCTACCTCTAATGCCTTTTTATACGTTTGAATAGCGGCTATCGACTCTCCAAGTTGCGTGAAAAGCTTTGCAAGAAAAATGAGAAGTTCTAAAGTTATCGACAAATAAAATGGAGAAGATTTTGAGTGAACCAGCTGAATGATGAAGTACAGGAGCATTGAGAAGAATATCCTTCGCTTTTTCAGCCGGATCAAAAAGATTTGTGTCGAGGTGGTAAACGGCACGAGCAAGCCAGAAATAAGCTTTCTGTAAGGTTAGTTTGAAATGATCTTGCCATCTTGCCATACCTTACTTTACTTTATCGAAAAGTCAAAGACTCACATAGTTCATCTTGTCCAAAGTCACCGATCTCTCCAATTGTTCAACGGCTGCCGTGTGATTTCCCATCAAGAGATAAAGTCGTCCAATATGCATCAAGTACCTAAATAAGGCTTAACTTTTTTTCATTCTTTTTTTCAACAACTTTGCATCATTTCTAGCAAGTGCTTGAGCTTTTCTCATCCAATTCATCGATTCCTCAAGATCACACTCTTCTCTGAAATCCGTTCTCACCAGATAATTTCTGCATCAAACCTGGCGATGACTGATCGAATAAAGATTGGATATTCACATTCTCCTTGATATTGTTCGATTAATTCCTAAAGGGTAAAGTGCAAGAAGGATAATCTGTAGTCAACAACTGACCCCAATGAGTGCTTTACATGCTGGATAATCTCGTTGTGCATAGAGAAGATGAAGTAGAGTATTACTCTTTTCAACAGAGATCGGCTCAAATGCCTTCATTGATCGCCTACTATTCTTACACTTTGTAAGACGTTAAGTACAGTAGATTTAAATATAAGACAATAATTTTTTATGCGTAAGAATTGAAAAAAATAGCAAACCGAAGAGGTTCCTCCTTTGGTGCGAGTTGTTCTTTTGGAGCGGTCACTTCTTCATCGTTTTCATCCATTTTCTTGCAGTTTAATCAAATGAATATTTTAAAAAAAGTCTTTGTTTAAACTGGACAAATAAAAAAAACACGACAGTTTTGGTATGTTTTGGTATTCTCTATCCACGTTAAGAGCGACACGTTTCCATGGTAGCAACCAAGGCGCGAATTCGAATTGCTATTATTGCTTTTTTTTCTAAAGCCATAAAAAAAATCCACTTTTCTTTTTTTTTTGTTTAGACAATGAAACTAAATTGTTTAGATGTTCGTACTAGAAATGAATTGTGCACTAGATCTTATTTGGGTTGAGGCATAGTCTATGCTTATTCTAGATCAGAGTCTAGATCTTATTTGGGTTGAGGCATAGACTATGTCTCAACCCAAATAAGATTCAAAGCTTTGTTCTCAGAGAAAGCTTTCAGAAATGGTGTCATCAGTTTTGGAGAAGTGTTGTTTTTGTTGAGACTCGATGGGAAGAGGTTTGCCAAGACAAAGAAAAAAAGGGAAGAGGGGAAGGAGGGAAGCAGGAGGGAAGAAGGAAAGGGATTGAGAGCCCCCGGGAGACCCCCACCCCTTCTCTACACTCGACCCTCTTCCCCTTTTCTCTCTTCATTGCTATTACCGTTTCTCTTTAATCTTTAATCAAAAGCTCTTTTATAACTTTGATACTTATGGATTAGAGTTGAAACGAAATTTAAGAACCAACTAGTTCAGCTCCATAAATTCTTGTTTTTCATTTTTACTATACATTCTTCCAAATGTGTAGTATGAATGACAACTTTTTTAAAGCTGACTAACAGCGCAAACTAACAGCTTTTTTAAAGAATAATAATTCTAAAACACGAATATGATTGCTAGTTGTAAACTCTTTGATTTATTAACAAACAAAATCGAAATTGAGAGCCTAATCAGCAATGACATTGATCATTGACAGCAATGACAATGATCACTGTGACTCGCATTTGACGGATTTTTTGATTGGGTTTTTTTTTATTGTATAAGAGTTTTCTATCTATTGATGAAGATCATAAAAGAAAAAAAGGATAAGAGAAGTGAAATAGAGGAAAGAAGAAGGGGAGGAGTGTGACGGGGTCTCTTCCCCATCCCTTTTTCCTCTTGTTTCCTCGATGGATTTCACGAGCATCGCTTTTCCACCAGTTGATCCTTTGTTTTTCCTTCATCTGAACATCTGATTTTACTTTAAACTCATTCATTTTTCATAGAATACAAATTTCCATAAAACCCTCATTTCCTTTTCGATCTTTTGCATATCTCAAAGTAGTTGAAGGAAGGAGTAAAGGAAAGAGAGTGTAATAATCACAGCTGAGTACCATTTCCCATCCATTATGCATCATCTTTCCCCTCGAAATCTTTTCCATAAATCAAACTCTATCATTCTAACAATTTATTGTTTTTTAATTGCAAAAAGTTACGCCCATAACTGCTAACAAAATCTCATTAAATATTCTACTTTCTGGAAAAGGAAAGAGGGTGCAATAATCAAAGCTGAGTACTATTTTCCATCCATTAAGGACTATAAACTTTTAAAGTTTGATTTTTGCTTTTAAAAGGATTCATTTATTTATTTGAATGCTGAAGGAGGGGTAGGCTAATTTCCGCCAATTTTTTTGCGCAGGGTCTTTTGCGCAACTCGCCATAACTTTCTTCTAAGTGAACCAATCTTTATGATTTTGGTTTCATTTTGTAGATCTCAATAAATGTAACAAAATAAAACCAAAATCATAAAGATTGGCCCATTTAGAAGAAATTTATGGCGATTTGCGCAAACGACCCAGTTGCGCAAAAAAATTTGGCGCAAAGTAGCCTACCCCCTGAAGGATGTTTGTTTGTAGAGGGAAGAATGCACCCACTAAGACAGAAGAAAGCTCTTCCGAATTCACAAAAAAAGCCATCCTCTCGCGACAAGTGTCTTCATTCCTCTATTTCCTTCTTGTCGCTTTCAATTTCATATTTTTCACACGTTAATTCTGTAACTCATTCGCGAGTTCTGTCAAAACTTTTCATGAAACTCTGTTTCAATTTAAATGAACCAAAGATACTATAGATGATTGAGATGTTGTATTGTTGAAGGGTGGATGTGGAGGGCTCAGTTCGAGGTGCTCGAGGTGCTTTTCTCAACGAGAAAGAATAACAAGAGATGCTTCTTGTGGTTTCCCACCTTCCCACGCCCCTCTCTACTCCTATTCCCTTTTCTCATCTTTAACTCTCAAAAGACTAGGACTCTCTTCTGAAGAATGACTTCCATTCATCTTTTCTACCTTTAACCATTCGTTCATTTCGTTGATCTTTCGTTTTTAGGCGATGCTTTTTGATTAGAGTCAAGAATGGAGCCACAAGAAGGACTGTTGCGACGCTCGTTGCGTCGTATGAATCCTTTCAAAACAAGAATTTTTCGACTTCCCGCAACACCTCGACTAACAAGAAGCAGAAAAAGTTTGTCAAATTTAGAAAGCTTTCTCAAAATCTCGATATGTTTCCAAGCGATGAGTGGGTAAATTGCAAACAAATTCTCGGCGACTACATGTGCAATAAGGGATCGTGCATCTTTTGTTGATACCTCTTTTGAGATGAAAGACGAGATGCGGGGATGACACCCCTTTTCTCTTTCACTCATCCCGCTAGAAAGAAAAAAAGGCAGAAAGAACCCTCAATGTTTGCATTAAATAACCTCCTCATATCAGAGCCATAAATTACAGTTCGTAGAGTGGAATGAAGGAAATTGAACAAATAAAGTTCTCGTTTTCAAATCAACAATAATTTTGGCAAACTTTTGGTTCCTTTAGTTGTTCTTTAGTTGTACTTCAGTTGTTCTTTAGTTGGTTCTGGATGTGAAGATGCAACCGGGTGGAACTTTGAGAGAACTCAATCATTGCGAGACCGAGTCGCACCAAATCCCGCTCGACTCGACCCACCAACCTCTCCTCGTTTCAAGTTTCTTCACTCAATCAATTACAAAGTTTTATTTTTAGGACTATCTTGAGCTCTGATTCTCTATCAAGAGCAAGTTCTTCAGCTGATTATCAATGTGTTTCGGAGAGTTTTGATCTTCGCCGACCTCCACGTGGCCATGATGCGGTAGGGTGACTTGTTCGTTTTTTTCCCCCCAACTTTTTTAATATCCAAAAAAAAACACTAAAAGTCTTTCTCTGGTAAAGTGCTGAGAGAAATGCGTGTTGCGTTCAATGTGCGCTGTAATTGTTGCCTCAAGGGGGAAAAGGGAATAGAGAGCGAAGGTGCAGTTGTAATCCGTCACAAACCGGGCTGGTCATTCCATCTTTTCGTCGAAAAGGACAGCAAGAGTAAAGGCACTCGATTATGGGAAGCATTTTTTTCGACGATAGAAATTGATGATCGAAATTTTCAGTCACCGCCACCGGATCCAATCCAAGCAGAAACATCGATCGCTCGCCATATGCACAGCCTCCTTTCGACACAAGTTTCTAAATCACAATAATCTGAAATTGTTGAAGAAGTTTAAGGAAAGAAATATGAAAAGAACGCAAAGAATTCGAGAGAAAAGCCCTGGACAAAGTGCTTTTCTTCAACTACCAATCACAAAATATACAGCTGATGGACAAATATCAGAAGCGTTTTGGGAAAATGGTAAAGATCAAATGGTCAGAAATGATTTTACAGAGTTTAGAGTGCTCAATTTCACCAAATATTTCAACGATTTCATTGCTCAACGTAAATACGAATCCACGTGTACAGAGCATTCGAAGTGGTATTTTTTTCCGATATGAAATTGATCTTCAAAAAGCCTTAGGCTCAACGTCGGTAGGCCGAAGTCCCTCACTTCGTTCAACATATCCAATCAATGGACTCTTCAATCGATCCACAACTCTTACAACAAAAGACAGAGTAGATTTCAAAAAAAAAAAGCAATCATCTAAAAGTTTTCTAGACAATTCAAAACAATCTGCCAACATCTTTGTTCACACTCAATGAGTTTTATTCGGAAGCACAACTTGAAGAACCATTTCTTGGTCGAGAATGGGTGTTCAGGTAAAAAGATTAATTTTGATTCGGACGACCAAGGCACACATAGCTCACTGGTAAGAGTCATGTCTCTTAGTCGATAGGCCAAGGGTTCAATCCCGCCGGCTAGGTTGTTTTTTTTTTTCCTACATTTAAAGCTTAGAGTTGTATTGTTTGTATCACATTATTCGTGTGAATAAATGTGTTATTTTTTTAAATAAACAAAGAAAAGCAATAGTTTCTAGGGAGTTATATGAACATTCGGTGATGGAGAAAACCCCGATCGTTTATATTGAAGGTGGAAGAGGAGCCGGGAAATCGGCGATTATCAATCAAATCATTATGCATTCGTCTTTCTACAAACGACAAGTAAGTTTATAAATCATTAGCTTAGTTCATAGCTATCATAGCTATTATTGATATTGATGTTTTCAGGCGTCAGACACATTAGACAGTGGTTGCGAGCCGGATGCTCCTCACTATGAATGGCTGAAAGCTGTGGCTGCTCGTCTCGTCGCTTATCACGTGTGCTCAATTCAAAGCGGTATCCTTAACAATCACTTTTCAAGTCTATTCAAGTCTATTCAGCTTCTTCATGCTCAATCCCAGAGTTTGTTTGCAATTTGGGAGCCACTTTGGCTCGATCTCCGGTTTTAAGAAGCTATGCTGATATTCTTTCAAAAGTAAAACCGACACAATTCTCGTGATACAATTAATTTAGAACACGAATTTACAAGAGTTGCTAAAGTTGGATGAATGTTTACGTGTTAGCCCGAAAGTCGTTTTTCAAAAAGCAATCGCCGAACCACTTAGCCAATTGGCATCGAGTGATGAGGTGAGTGGAAAATTTTTTGGAAAAAAAGTCGTTAATAGGGTTGTCTCGTGATTCTCATCGATGGACTAGATGAAGCCGAATTTCATCGAAGTGAAGCAGGGCATTCAATCGGTTTTTGAAACAATTCCCATTTTTTTTATTGAATCCTGTTTTTAGCTCGATTCCTAGAAGAAATCTACAAGTTATTGCCTTCATGGATTCGTCTGATCCTCACCGCAGACACTGATATCCCAACTAAACTGAAAGGATTCCCCTCGAAGAGTGTGAAGTAAGAAAATCAGAATACAGATAAATTGATATCTTAGAATCGACGACTCACAACTGGACGAAAGAGTAATGAGAGATACGAGAATGTTAGCAGAGTACAGAGTGTCTGTATGTGGAGAGAGTCTTCGGTCATTGAGAAGAACCTCATCATCGACTTCTGATCCTCTCAATGATTTTATTGATCACATCGTTTCTCAAGTGGATCTCCTTTTAAAAAGTTGAAAATAAAAGAAAACTTTAGTCTTGTGGGAACTTGATGTATGTCTCCTTGTTGCTCTCGCTGGCTGAATCTGATCTCATACGTTTAAAAGTAAGTATAGCAATTGGAATGGCAAAGAAAGATTTCCGGAGGGGGGATTGAACCGCCGACCTTTTCCGGGCGGATACTCTAACCACTGAGTTATCCGGTATCTTCTTGCCATAGAAGAAAGAAGGAATACAAAGGGGATGACCATCATCTAGCATTTTGGCTGACTCGAAAGCGATGAAATAAGCATAAACCCCGAGTTTCAGGCATTGACTTCAGCTCTCTTACCTACCGATCTTGATGAACTATACCTGTTATATTTCAACCTTACATTCAAGTAAGTATTCAAGTCGTTATGAAAAACAATTCATTCAGCTCTTTGAATCTCTTCTCTCGATGTGCTCCAATACTTTCTGTCTTGATGGCTTCACTCAAGTGTTTAACCATTCAAGAGATGACCTCAATACTTAATATTTCTGGAACCGAGATTACTGAAGATGAGATTAATTCTAGGTGAGCAATGGTTTTGAAATGGTTTGAGTATTTTGTATTTACCGTATTTTCTCTAATAGTAGTGCATCCTGAGCGTCGCCTAAATTGCTCGAAATCTCGAGAACCGCTTATCAGAACCTATCGATGTGGGGGCGGAAAATGTAGCTGACGATGAGATCTAGTGGGGGATTTGAGTGTTGAGCTTCTGGGAAAACTTAGAAACCGTAAAATAGTGACCGACTCGGCTCGCCGGGGTGCACTACTATTAGAGAAAATACGATATTTTGTTTCAGAATCAGTCACTTAACCCCGTTTGTTTCACAATCATCTACCGGGAAACTCTCATTGCGTCATGCAAGCTTTCGTGAATGGTTGCATCGAAGTAGAGGCCAATGCAGATACACTGTTGATCCAAGGTACGATACGTGGTGTTGTTTCTACGTTAAAATTCCTTTTCAGAGAGGGCCACCTTCTTCTAGCGGTTTGGCTGGCTCGAAAGGGTGGTCTCTCATCGACTGAACTTTTCGATCTCGCACATCATCTTTTAAAATCGAATCCACACAAATACTTCCCAAAGCGCCCGTTCCCTGAGGTCTGTGAAGTGGCAAAAATTCTCAAAATCATACTTTCAACAACTTTTCTAGTATCTTCGAAAACTCAAAATATCTGAGGTTTACCTTTTTGTGATGTACATCTCGTGCCAAAAATTATCTACTCTACTTTTAAGCCTATCAAAATTTCAGCTTGCCATTTCGCGTGACTGTCAAATTGCTTGGCTCGAAACAGCGGCAGAAAACATTCAAACAGTTCTGCTCAATCATCGAAACATTTTGTATCCAAATATCAAAGTAAAATGGATAATCAATCGAGTTTTGAATGATAAATTCCTAGGTAAGCCGCTTGTTGCTTCTCTCGGGTGCATTAGCGAACCCAGTTCCCGCGGGTGCGTGTAAAGATTCGCTTCTTACGCTAGCTGCGAGTGCCGGGGATCCGTCACTCGTTTCTCTTCTCATTCAATATGGAGCTGAAGTGAATCCATCTACAGGTGATAATTTTAGCTACAGTATTATAACTTTAAACACACACACACACAAATTCGATCTCTACATGAGCTTTTCAGGTTCACTTCCAGTGGTGGGAGCATCAGGAGGTGGGCATATCGATGTGGTGCAACTCCTTCATCAGCATGGAGCTCTGCAGGGAGAGGCTGCTTCTCTAGCCATCATGGGTCAGTCGGACTTCAAATACATAGCTGACTCCTTTTTTTTGCAGAAGCATCTAAATACGGGCATCTGAATGTGGTATCTTTTCTATTTGAATGTGATTGGCACGATGTCGAAGCCAAACACATCACTAAACAATCCGCTTTAGAAGAAGCAGCCAAGAGTGGTAAGGAAATTATAAAATAAGTGCATAAAGTAAGTTTTAAGGAAGTCTTCAAATTTGCGAATATCTAATCGATGGAGCTGAGCCTCACTCAATGAAACTCGACTCGGCACTTAAAGCTGCCTGTCTTGGAGGACGTGCAGATGTTGTGCAATTCTTTCTTTCTAGGTTTCTTTCAAAACTTTTGCACAAAATCTATTTTATTTTAAGGGGCGTTCGTCTCTCTTCTATGTTTTTAACTATCGATCAATCACCTTTATTATGTGCCGTTGAAAGCGGTAGCTGGGATCTTGTGGTAGGCTTTGAGGGAACTCGAAAATCGATAAACAATTTTCAGGTTGCTGTTTTATCCCAACCGGATTGTAATTTTCATGGAAAGAATAAAGAAGGGCAAACATCTTTGCATCGATCGGCCATCAAAGGTAAACAATCATTCGCATTAATAAAAAAGAGGAAAATGTTTAGGACATGTTGGTTTAATGGACCTTTTGATTAAAAAAGGGCTTGACATTGACGCATCCGATTTAAATGGATGGAATCCTCTAATGCACGCCGTTTGTTGCACACGTGATTCCCGAAAAGAATTTTCATTTAGATAGCCAACAATCATCTATCTTGTGTTCAGCTATTGTTGGATAAACAAGCCAAATTAGACTTGACGAACGAGGGTTTGATCCAGACGAACTGAGAAGAAATCAAAAATTTTAGATGACGAGGGAGTGATGCACGTGGCTGCCCGCTATGGGAATCGGGGAATAATGGAATGTCTTCTCAGCACAGGGATCAGTATTGAAGATAAAGATGCAAAAGGAGATCATCCAATTGAAGTAAATTTCACAAAAAAAAATAGAAAAAACGAAAAATGATCTAGACTGGAATACGGGCAAAAAATACGAGTGCTGTGGCAGCAATGTTGAGACGAGGGGCGCGACTGCGCTCAAACACATGGCTTATCGCCAAGTCATACCATCCTCAATCACTTGTATCTCTTTTAAAGAAATTACTCGATGACGCAGCTTTATTGTACAAGTTAGTTTCAATAGAATAGAAATTATAAGACAAATTGTAACAGAAAGAAGAAAATCGATGCGGCACTTGAAAGGCTTTGCTATGCACAAGAGAAATGCGACTCGCTGTTTGTTAGTGAGACTCCCGAGGAGATAATCGAAGAGCTTAAATCAATTAAATGGCAGGTAAAGATAAAAAGGAAAATTTTTCAAACATGATAAACGGCTTAGATCCTGCTGGCTTTATCAAGACTCAAAAGACGTCAAGGAGCCCTGAGTGAAGCTATTCAAATGTGTGAAGAAGCCGCTATAATTTCAGACTCAGGTAATCAAACGAATAAAAGACAGAAATATGATACTACGGTTGATAAAATTCCCAATCAATTTTCGATTTTAATTAACACATGTACTCCTTCATTTTTATTGAGTTTTAATGAGTCACACTAGCGATCTCGATTTAGATGACGCGCTATTTGAAGTGATTCTTTTTCGTGCTAAATGCCATTTTGACAATCATGATTTAGAGAGGTCGGTTTAAAAAAAGAGCATGACAATTATTCGTGGTAAATATTTAGAGCAAGATGTGATGCAAAGGTCGCACTGCAATTAAGTGCTATGAATGAAGAGGCGAAACAACTCTTAGCGACCCTCACTTTACCACCAACGAGTCTTTATAAAGTATAACTGTGCCTTATTCGAAGATGAATTAAAAATTAACATTTGCACTGCATCTCGCTAGTATTTTTAAAACCCTACATTTGTAGTGATTGTTTTTAATGCACATACAAAAAAATTTACTATATAGCTAATTTTCCTTCAGAAAATCAAAAATTAAATTAATCACCGGAGATCAAATGTTTAAAAACGAACAATAAGAAAATTCCTGAATCATGACTTCAAACAGAAAATTGTCGCTAGTTAAAATACCCGAAATCTATAAAAGGAATTTACGATTAGATGAGCCGGAGAGTACCCTCATCTCAAAAAGGACTTAACACGTTCAATGCCAAAAATATACGAATGCCCAAAAGAAAAGTTATAGTCAAATAAACGTGACTGTTTAATGGATCATAGCTTCTTCACCGTTGGCTTTTGATGTCTCGTCAATAGCTTTCTGGATTCGGCTTACAGCATTTGACAACGCCAGCTACAAGAAGATAATTTACGATGATGTTTTTCAATTTTTACTTGAAATCCTTTCGATAATCGCGGAAGTGGATATTCTGGTTTTGCGAGCGAATTATTTTCATCAAACCAACTCTCAATCCGTGTGCGATAGCTGGAAAAAATTTGCATTTTAAAAACTAACTAAAAATCTTACTCTGGGAGTCCAGAAGAAACAATGTTTCGAATCATAGCTTCAAACGATGGGGGCGGAGATTCAAAAATTCTCTCCATATACTGAATCGAGCTCATTGTGGTTGCTTCGTTGTATCTAGAAACAGCTACATGGCTTTAAGAAAATTGAAGATTCCAAGTAGTTTTTTTCTTTAGAAGTGGTTCGAGGTCTAACCTTTCTGAAGCCATAATTTGCTGCGGGTCATTTTTTGAATGCTCACGACCGGGTTCATTCCAATACGGCTCTGCGTTTAGAATAAGTCCTAGGAAAGCAAAAACTAAACCAATAAATATAAAATCAAACCTTGAATTGATAGAAACACTTGCTGAAGATTGGAAATGTTGGGATCCCATTTTTCCGATTTCTAAACGATGCATAGGCAGAACTCAATAAATTCAATACCTTGCCAGCCCAAGTGCCGAGCAAAGAAAGGCATACTTTTCCTTCTTGATAGAGATTTGGATTCAAGGCTTCTGTTGAATAAGGAACGAAGTTAACCTAAATTCTTGTTTAGGCATTCCAATCTAAGTTTTACCTTTGGTGGCTTGTTCGGGTATTCATCCGGAAGCTTAATTTCAAAAAAGTATGGTGTTGAATCAAATGGCGTTCCACGAGGCCCAACAATTATCGCATGCAACAAGTCCAATCTAAAATTTAAAAAAACATTCTGCGTGTTGTTTTTACTAATTTAAAATAAGATTTTCGCACCTATTCTCATAAGCTCGAACAAAAATTCCTTCTGGAAGCTCGGCAAACATTTTGTACTCCTTTTGAATTGCTCGCTTGAAGGTAGCATTGAAAGAAGCTGATTCAACTTTCAACCATTTATGCGAAGTACACGTGGGCAACATCTAAAAGCCGACAGTTGAAACAATCAACTGAGGTGGTAATAGTGTAAACTCGTATTTTACCTGGAATGCCGAACCGGTCGCATTCGCAACGGGTTTTGCTACTCCACCGTTTTCGTTTGATTCCTTTGGCATCTGTTTTGCAGAACGAATTGCAGAATCGTCTTGTGATACCAAATTACCGTTATTCTACAAAGGAAGCGGCTAGTTTGCAAAGCAAAAGCACAAACCGCATTCAACGTCGAATTCGATGTTTTTGCATTGCCTGTTGTAGTCTTCACACCGAGAGCTAGCTTTAGAGAATTCAACATCTGCTCGCATTGCGGTAAGGCCAACCTAGAACCGGGTAGGCCCAAAATTAATAAAAAATTTACAATGAGTTGAGACATGTGGTGACTTCCTCCGGGACATTTTCATTCTCCCAGTGTGCTGCCTAAATGATAATTATTTGGTATCAACAAGTTAAAAGCAAACCTTCAATACTAAGGCGCTATAATCAAGCTCCTCGACTTTCAATAAGTCCTTTTCGATCAATTTGACCAGCTCATTCATCACATCGAAAAACATTGGCCCAACCTGTAAAAAAAAAATTTTAATTCAGGAAACTCTATACTTTCTTATTACCTTGACTTTAGCCAAATCACATTGTCTCTTGATTTCATTAGCAAGTGAGCTTTTAGGGTAGACAATTTCTGCAGCAGCCGCAATTGTTGCTAGGGTTTGTGCAAAGTCGTCATGTGCCAAGCTGGAGATAAACTAAAACAATACACTTAACTACTCGAATTTTAATACTTTAAGCTTGAATTAGGCATTGCTTAGATGTTTCAAATAATGATCATACCCCAATCGGAAGCTTGAAGTCATCGATTGAGTCAGAAGTGCTCAAAAGATCATCCTCGGCAGCTGACATTGATGCAAAGTCTTGTGGCTAAACTACGCATCCTTAAAAGCACAAATTGATAAAACATACAAGTAATCCAACGAAGTGCGATTGCGATGTTTCTGCTTTGGGCTTTTTAAGCGGTGATTTTTCCGAGTCGCCATTCATGGAGGAATCCATTGCAACGAGACTAGCTACATTCCATTCGTTCGTTCCATCAAAAATTTGTACCATGCCTTCTTTCTAAGTTTGAAATATTGGTGATAATTCGTGCTAACCTAGTTAAACAGTGCAGTAAAGCATGACATTAAATAAAAGGTGCTTTCAAAGCACTACCTTGATCTTCTCGGGTGACTTTTTTTGTACCTTTTTCGGTGGCTCAGCATTCTGATTGGGAATGGTTGAATCAGCCATAATAATTGTGAGTGGATCTTTCTTCAATATGCTTGGAAGATGTAATTTGCTAAATCCCAAGCCATATCTAAGATGTACTATAGGTTTACTAAATTAAACAACTTACTTGATTGAAAAATGTGAAAGGCCTCGCATTTCGACTGGCCAAAAGTTCGCAACTTTCCCATTCAGAAAACGAACAACCTAAAATCTTGTATGATTATAAATTGCAAAATCGATTAACAATACCCTTTGTCCATTGGGCAAAAAGCGACCGGCGATAAAAAGTGACTCTAGTAAGCCATCACGACGAGAAGAGGTTTCACTCTCCGACAGTATTCCGAGTTGACCAGGACTAATTCTAAATTCGGCGTATTGCCCAAAAGCACTTTGTAAGATTACTTGAAAATTTCCATCTGGTGTGATAGCTCAAACAAAGGACAATCTTCGACTTCTTTGACCTAGAAAAATAAATATCATAATTTTATGTGACAACAAACACCTCACCTGAATCACTACTTTACCATACTTAACTTCCAACCACTGTACTTTTGCAAAACGTTCTTCGTCGTTGACAGATAAAACAATTCCATAACCACTATCTAAAAAGATAAAAAGTCATGACCCATGCTATTTATGAGTTAACCATTGTTTTTAAATTTATTGATGTCGATGGATGTATTTGGACCCGACAGAATTCCAACGACAGGACCTTTCAACGGATAGTTTTTTCGTTGGACAACATTGCCCGGGAAAAGCCAAGCTAAATCGGTATTCTGTACAACATTAGTGTGGGGGAGCCTACGGATTCCTGCAGCATTTGCTGCGCCTGCCATTTCTTTGTCTGGAATCGGGGCTAGAAGTCGACCATCAACATCGTCTGAGATTGTTCCGTCCGACCACATAATGCTTACTTTTGTTTGAGTTGCAACAACCTTAAAAAAATTAGGCATGTAAAATCAGGTGACAAACCTCCACCATGACTTCGTCTTTGAAGAAATCGACACTTTCAACCATCGTAGTTTCAACTGGAGGGAGCTCTTCAAGAGGCTCGAACACCTAGAAATAGAAAAGGGGATTGTTTAACAACCAGCAGCCAATAAAAAATTAAGCATCAACGAACTGGCTCTTGTCCGTTGCAGAGAGCTTCTTCTTCTTGGAATTCACCGTATGAACAAATCTTCATTTTGTTTTTTCTTATATGATTTACGAGACCCTTTGCAAGCGAGGATGACATCGGGCAGTCATCCAAATCAGTTGAGCCAGCGTAGAAACAACCGGCAAGCTTCTAAAACTGAACTTATTAAAAGCAAAATAAACAGTGACCAACAGCATTCTCTTTCTTTTTTACGATTTCGTTGAACGTTTTGTTGAGGGCTGTTTCAAATTCCGATCTTTCGCAAATGTGTGCGTCAGCCAAAAATTTTCGGTTAATCTGAATTAATTTAGCTTGCGCAAACCAAATATTTCTCACCGCAAGACGGTCGCCCGCACGTACAAGTCGAGTTCGATGAATTACTTGGACCCTAGAGTTGAATGACGATGGAAATCTTGCAAGGTTATTTTTTTAGTCATTTGTACCCACTTGAGACATTCTTCTCCTTGAAGTTGTCCGGCAGGTTCTGGACTTGCTTTAGCATCGATTGCTTTTTTCCAGCTAATAGTTAACAGCTCGGGTGTGATCTAAAATCGTTAAATTTAGATTTATTAAACCTTTTAACCTACCGATAAGACTGTGCATTGTACGGATGATTTGCGTCCTTTGATTCCCCTGGTTTGACGAAACAATTCTGGTGGAGCCTCTTGATTCCACTAAAATATGCGCATATTCCACCCTACATATCAACACAACAAAAAAGACAGTCCCACAAATTCTTCTAAAAAATGTACCGAGCAAACAGGATCGAGCAAATCACGAAGCCGAACATTGACAAGTTGTCCGGGAATATAACACTTCTAAAATTAGCGTTTAGGGGTCTACCTACGTTACTTACATCTTCACACGAACCATCAGCCGGGATAAGCTTAACGACCTTTCTATCATCAATGAAAGTGATGCTAAAAGTCACTCAGATTCGTAAAATGAAATATCATAGCTTACACAAAATTTTTATCATATTCCAACGAGACTTTGTTGGTTTGGTCCAGCACCTCACCAATCCATCCGCCATAAGAAACGCTCGTAACTTGTCGATGAATCTTTGTGTATGCAAATCCCGTTCTAAAAACAATCATACAGTTTTGCGTTTCCGCCCTACAAACCTGAAAACATCGTCCTCCATTTTTGCTTTACACGGAGCCATTACAAGTGGGTCAAATTTCAGCAAATCGACGTTTCTGATCACATATTTCTTTTCAGGAAGAATCAAAGCATCTCCGTTAACCTAAAGAATCAAACAATCTGGAGTATTAAGCGTAAGATGTGTTACATTTTCATAAAAATTCGTAATACCTTGTAATCAACAACGATTCCATGAAGTCCTTTGTGCTCTTGGTGCCAAGGAAAATAATATTCGTGGGGTTGCTTCATATACGTTTGATGCGCCCATCCGACTTTTTCGCCAAGCTGCAGTCCACGATCAATAACAACCAACTTAAATCTCTTATACATTTGCGCCAAATTTTACATTGAAAATACCTTGTTAACGTCGAAAAGGTCTTGATCGTCGTCGGGAATCGTGGAAACGTTGACTTGATGGCCAGGAAGTAGGTCTCTTCCCGTATTGTAACGCAGCGATGTAACGCATTGGATTTGTGTATTCTACAGGAGTAGCCCATTAGAAACCAAAAAAAAAAACGAAAAAAACGCACCAATGCAATATTACCCAAAGCTACACGATCTTCATCGAGAAACACAACGATGTCATTCTTTGTCATAACCGGAAGACGAGTTGGAACTGGGGCATTCTAAAAAAGAAGTTTATAAATGTTCACGGTAAAGCTACCGCTCGTGTATGACGTCGCTTTCCACGTCTAGTAGTAAAATATGGAGCATAGCCAAACTGCCCATAGTTTCCGAAGTCAAGCGTCTAAAAAGAAACACTTGAGTGCAACTTTAAAGAAATAACCTGTTGGCTCAAAAGATCGGTTAATTCCTTGCTTTGCACAATTGATGCTTTCGCCGTCATCAGTAGCTCTTTTGTCTAAAACAAATCCAAAAACATTAAAAACTCCTAAAATTTAATATGCCTTTTCAATAGCAGCCGTTGTTTCTTGCACTTGCACTTGCAGCATAACATCAGCACTGGTCGATTGCTTTTCTCCATCATCCATAACCGCATCCATGACTCCAACAAAGTAAAAGCCAATCCTTAAAAATCTTTGACAAATGGATAATATGTGCCGAAAACAAGATATATAGTGAGCAAAACACAACAAAAGCAACAAAAAAAGAGATAGATTCCACAATTCTTGAATATTCGTTTACAAATACCTCGCCAACAATTCAACCTTAGCTCAATTTAGTACTCACAAGATAGAAAGAATGTCAGTAGATAGAAAAATATCAAAAACGAACAATGCTTTGCGAAAAGATCGATGCTCAGATAATGTTAAAAAAATACTTATGAGATGAAAAGATTCATCTTTGACAGAACGCAACTTTTCGCGATAAGACGGGCGTTTTTTAGAGAATAAGTGATATTGAAGCGCGTAACCAGTCGTATCATGGATATTTTTAAAATTTGCACATAAAAGGTCTCTAAATTTTTCTACGAACATTTACCTGGGTAATAATTTCTCATGTGTGATTTTTTCCTTCTTTCATTCTTTTTAAAATTGATCTCGGGCTACGGTAGGTTTGCCAATTTTTAGATAACCTTAATTTCTCTTTAAATCATTTTATTCTGAAAAAATGATTCTTATCCCGCCGCTTTTTAAATCTTTTTTTTGTTTTGACCTCGTTTATACATTTTTTAGATGCGGTACTTGTCTTCCAATGTGAAAGCGACAACGGCCACATATTTGAGACGGCAAATGAGTGATGAGTATGTGAAGTTGGCAAAAGAACACTCATATAGGTAAGGTTTGTGCTACCCATTTAGCAATAGATTCTTTTAAAAAAAGGACCATTTACAATAACATTTGTTTGATGTTTTTAGAGCAAGAAGTGCGTTTAAACTGATCGAAATGGATGATCGATACCATTTTCTGAAGCCAGGTTGCAATCTGTTTTTATCTTGAACATTGTCTTTAGGAAAAGTTGTGGTTGACGTAGGGGCTGCCCCTGGTTCCTGGAGCCAAGTAATTATTTTACATAGGCAACTAGTTTTCAATTTTAGGTTTCGGCTAGCAGATTACGCTTACCACAAGAAAAAGCCAGTTACTTATTATCGATTGACTTGCAGGTATTTTGTTTAGAATGTATTTTGGAAATTTTTTTAGAATTTTTTACCAATACCTGGAGTAGATCTGCTTATAGAGAGCGACATCAGGGACATCAAAACCCATGACAAAATAAGGGAACGTTTAAAGGAACGCAAAATAAATGTTCTTTTATCCGATATGGCCCCAAATCCTACAGGTACTTAATGTGGTGTTTCAACTCTAAGACTGCGGTTATTTTAGGTGACAGTAATACGGATCATTTGCGACTATTAAATCTATGTCGACTCCTTTTGAATATGACCAAACCTCCAAACTCGGTATTAAATTTACGTTTATTATAGTTATTTACTTTTTTAGATATTTCCGTTAGATGATGGAGCTGTTTTCATCTGCAAGATTTGGAATGGTGTCGAGACAAAGGATTTCATCAAAGAAATGAAAGCAACTTTTAAAAAAGTGACCCTTTTTAAGCCTACTGCTTGTAGAGAGTCAAGCGCAGAAATGTATGTGATCGGTGTTAAGTGATTTGAGTCTAATAAATATTTTATTACTAATCCTTCTGTTATTACAAATGTTTCACCGTGGGAGTATTAAACTTTTTCTTCAAATGTCTCGTAATTTCTATATTTAGTTTATAAACCAGTGATTGATGGTTTGGAAACACGCTGTGAAAGTGGCTTTAGCGGCTGGCGAAGCTTTGGCTAAAGGATTCAGTCGAGCTGTTCGCGAAGAACTTCGTGGTATGTTTTTGGCTGCTGGCCATTTAATTTTTTATGACCTATTTGTCTTATTCTCACTTTTCAGCTTCGCAACAAGCTGCTTCTTCTCACACTGCCCGGCAATCCACTTCAGAAGCAAGCGAAAATTTAGCTGCTAATGCTCGTTTGGGGATTTCTTTAGATGTACGTTTATTTTCTATTTCAAATATTTTATTAAATATTAAAAAGTTACGATTTAGGAATCAATTCAAATACTTAATGTGAAGCAACCGCTTGATAATAAAGATGTCCAAGAGAAATATGATCATTTATTTGCAATAAACGACAAAACGAAAGGAGGCAGTTTCTATCTTCAATCTAAAGTAAGATTTTCAAAATTTAAATAATTCTGTTTTAAAGAAGTCCCATGTTTTTCATTAGCGCTCTACTGTCATTTTTGTTCAGATTTATCGGGCCAAAGAAAGGATCGATGAAGAGCTACGGAGAAAAACTGAAGCTCCATCTCAAAAAGAAAATGAGTCAACGGATAAATCATCAACTAAAGAATGATTTCCAAACGTGTAAATCTTTGCTAATTTTATTTGCACCACATATTTTCTTAAAACTTTTGTACTTCTGTTTTTAAGTGTTTTGTTATTTGAGTACCGATTTTGCGTGTACATGGTTTAGCATAGATATGCTAATATAGGTAGTTATAGATGAAGGCAGATATTGCAGTTGTTATGATGAGTTTTTTTCATGATTGATAAAGTTTCGTGAAGAAAATTATACTGTGCAAGATTATCTGATACCCAGTTTTAGTTGCCTTTTTTCAAACATCAAAATCAAATTATAATTTTTCTTCATAGAATGCATCGTCTCCTCAAAGAGCAACTTCAACAACTGAGTGATCTGTCAAGAAATGAAAATTTGGACCAAGAGAAACTAGAAATTCTTGTACAAATTTTGTTAGGAGAACGGAAATGTACAATGCACTACCAATTATTATATCACTACAAAAATTTAGGGGACAAGCCATGTTCATTTTCTTTGGCCGAAACTGTATGGCGAATTTATTCAATAGCCGCTGGAATTCAGCTCACAGGTTTGCAATCTGCAATCAAAATGCAATAGACAAAAATTATTTAGCAGAAGAATTCCGTTCGCACAGTCAACTTCTAAAAAGCCCATGCTCAACGATTTTGTCTGATGTCTATGAAAATCATAGTAAACAAATACGTGCTTGTTTAAGCACAATCCGCATTCGAAACCCCGAAGTTTTAGATGTTCGATGGAAGGAACAGCTCAACTCTAATGTAGTCAAAAAACAAGAATGATCATAAATGCAAGCTTTTCAGGCGGCGGCTTCTGTGGCCTTTGAATTGCAGACACTTCCTGTCGACACACTCGCAACTGGGCTTGTTCGATTTGAATGCGATCGAAATCAGCTTTTGGTAAATATGCCCACTCAAATCACGAAAAAAAACCTTTCAGGAACTCCATCATCGATTGAAAGAAGCCCAAAATTTCCTCGAAATACTGAACTCAAATTGTAAATGAAACGATGCACATAAATGAATTTTGAACTCAGCTCTTGATCCGATTTGCATTCAAACAAAAAAAAAATACTTTTCACGGTTTCCTCATAAAGCAATTAACTCTTTAATAATTCACAATTCACAGAAACTGTGCATGGAATTGGATTAAATTAAAAAGAGAGAGAGAAAGGGTGTGTGGAATGGAATCTAGTGGGTGGGAAAAACGGGCTCCTTTGTGTCTTTTGTGTGTAGATGGGGGTCTGCCGATAATTTCATTCTGAAAACGAACCCATTCCGCTTTCAAAGGTAATCCGCCTCTCCTTTTTTTTTCTCTGGTTTATTCGACCAAAGGATTTTCAATCGCGTCTTCATCCACAAAATGTTTTTCGACTCTTTTGCATTCAGAAGAAAGAAATTCTCGAAATTGGAACCTAATCTTTTCTTTTCCTGGATCGGTTTCCGAGAAAAAAGAGGGGTTTATGTGGATGTGTGACATCGACGAGAAATTACCCGTATGCCGGAGCCGAGAGGGGAATTGCTGAGGCTGGGTCCTTCTCCCCGGGGCGCTCCCCCTCTTCACCTCTTCAGCAGCCGTTTTCTCCCCTTGTGGACCCTAGGCCTTCTCTGACGAATCAACGCACTCCCGTTCCACATCAACTTCCCCCTTTTTCATCGTCTTCTCTTCTGTTTTTATCACTTTCTTTCCTCTTTTCGAATTTTGAGTCCTCAATTGGGTTTCCTTTTTTTTGCATCCGCAATGTGGATTTGTGTTCATTGTCCTTTCCATCAAGCATGTGCAGAAAGTCAAATTTATGTCTTTTTATCATTTTTTTTTCGAATGAACAATTTACTTCTAAAACCAAACTCATTTTTTTTCCTTTATTTTTTCGTGTACTCTGCCTGCAAAAATTTGTTTATTTTCGATCTCACAAAACAGAAAATCTTTTTTTTTTTTTTTTGGAAAGGGAAATCCCATCAGTTTATTTGATTTGAAAAATTTCCACCAATTATTTTTTTATTTCAAGTTCAGTTAATGTTCATGAAAGCTCTTGAAAATTGAAAGCGATTTCCAGAAATGGTAATCCGACACCAATCGGTCGAGTCCACCACTTCACGATTCAGCATTTTTTCGTTTGGTATCGATTTACCGATAAGTTTATGTGATGATTTATTTTCATCAGGCCGAGTGCACAGTGAGACAACGAGTGACGATCAATCGCACCCAGCAACGACATCATGGGAGCGATCGGTAATAAATAAATTTGAATTTCAATAGAATACGGCGATTGATTTCGGTGATTCAGTGTTCAAAATTTCAATCTCAAACCTCAAATATTGGGTTTTCAAAAAGCACACACACATACGAAAAAAAAACGAGAAAGAAAGGGGAGAGGAGCTCAATTATTGCCGGAAAAATCAAAGGTCTCCTCCACAGATAATTGAGATTCTTTTTCAATTTTGTTGCCTTATTTTTTCCCAAAATGTTGCCATACAATTTGTAGCCCTCCTTTCCGTTCCCAAGGGTCCCCTCTCTTTTCCACCTCTCATCGCCCACCTACGGGGTGTTTTTGAACGTTTCACACGGATTTGATCTCATTTCTCTTCACTTTCATTCACTCTTTTAAACCAAAATCATTTCAATTCAGCTAACATGTTTGCCCTTTTGCAAGAAAACGGCGATTTCTATCAATTCAAAGATCATTTACTCTCTAAATATAAAAATGAAGGTTATTTAATGGTTTTCGATATGTTTTCGACGGTGAGTAAGTAGTAAGCAATAAGTAAGTAGTAAGTAAGTAGTAAGTAGTAAGTAGTAAGTAAGATATCTAACAAATGAAGAGATAAAAGTTGAAGTCTAAAAATAAAATTAGAATCTTTTGTGTTGATTACAGTATTTGAGGCATCGGTAAGTGGAGCGAGAAGAACGAGAAATGGAAGTGTTGTCTCGATTGAACAAGATTCGACTCTCCTTGATGTTGATGTACAAAGAAAGGCCCGGCTTGTTGATGCTTTAAAGAAAGAGGTAAAATGAACATACAGTCGACTCTCGATTTAATGATTCGAAAACGTGCCCCAAATTTCTTACATAGCTGCCCTGAACGACCAACGATTGCGTTTGGCTGGGCAGCTACGCAGAAATCAAGAGCGTGTTTTAGAATTTCAAAATCTAAAATTTTGGAGCAAAAAGCAAAAGAATTGACGGCGAGAGGAGGCGCCTCGAACGACTTCCGTTCGTTTAAAAGACGTGTGCGTTAACCATTCAGCCATGCTCTAGTAGATGGCGCAGTGCGAGAGCGCATGTCTCTAGCTCACACGATCCGGGTTCGACTCCCGCTCGCGGCAGACTTATACTTTTTTAAAAACTTTCCTTTTTTTTTTGAAAGTTATCGAATTCTCTTTATGATTTAAAATTTAATTTAATTTAATGCAAAGTTTGATATAAAATATACATTGAAATATCAAATATGTAGAATTAAACAAGAAATTCTAGGTAAAAAACATTATGGAAGAAGCGGTCAGCAAAAGGAGTATCGACTTGAGCTCTAATTATGTCAATGCGCTTTGTGGTTAGTGAAAAGAAAGCTATGGGGAATAAAAAGAATGAAAAAGAATAATAAAAAAAAGAATAAAAGTCATTTCAGCAGCGGTGGAGGGATGTCTATTGGACGGATTAAAGAAACGGATGTTGGGATTATTGGGTGTGAGGACAACGTTCGCTTTACTTCAACATACAGCAAAGAGTTTCCCACCAGCACTTGGCGTACTTCAAAAGCTTGCTGAAACCCCTAAAGAGTATTCTTTTCTGAATGTAAAACATTTCTTTCTTTTCTTTCTTTCTTTTCTTTCTTTCTTTTCTTTCTTTCTTTTCTTTCTTTCTTTTTTCTTTTTCTCTCAACTCAAAACTCAAAAACTCTTCCGTTTTTCATGAATACTTTATGACTTAAAGTGATTTTTAAAATCCTTTTTTTTTTGAGATAACTAAAGTTTAATGTAAATACCCGGAAGTGCCAATCGGTGGTGTTTGCTATGAGATGCGTGGAATGTAAAACAATTTAAACCGTATTCAATATTTAACTTAATTAACTTATGTTTAATGTTAATTCTATCTATTATCATATGCTAAAAGTTTGTTTTATTGGAATGTGACGTAAAAACGGCACATTCAAAAAAAGTAGGCACATTTAAATAAAACGGCACACACAAAGCAGGCACCTAAAGAGTATTCTTTTAAAGACCAGCACTTGCCGTACTTCAAAAGCTTGCTGAAACCCCTAAAGAGTATTCTTTTCTGAATGTAAAACATTTCTTTCTTTTCTTTCTTTCTTTTTTCTTTTTCTCTCAACTCAAAACTCAAAAACTCTTCCGTTTTTCATGAATACTTTATGACCTAAAGTGATTTCTTTCAATCCTTTTTTTTAACTGAAGTTTTTTAACTGAAGATAACTAAAGTTTTATATAAATAGAAAATTAGAAATTAGATTAGAATCGAAAAAAATTAAACTTTAAAAGCATAAAACGAAAAAAAAAAAACTTTAGTAATCCATGGGTTCAATGGTGTTGGATTCGAGAAGCTTTACACATGCGAGTTCTCTCTTCAATCGTTCATCATATTTCCACATCTACAAAGTTTTTAAAGAAATCATTACATTACATTACATTAAAATTAAGCATTCATCGTTTATATGAGGCTCACGCTTTGATGGTTGATCGTTCAAAAGGTGGAATGGTGGCCGCATTATTATGTGAGACGTTTGAAATTGTTTCACAAAGCGGCTTTCCCTATTTTTCTTTTCATTTCGACTTCGAAATGCTTTGGAATTGTTTTCGGAGAAAGCTTTTTTTTTCTCTTTTAAAAGAAGCCGTAGTGAGTCGGTGTGCATCGATTCAAGGCTCCCCTTCTCGAGCCCCCATAGGCCAAAGGGAACGAAGAGCTGCCTGCTCCCCTTCCTTCTCTTTTCCACCTCCCCCACACACCACTGTCCACACAAAAAAATACTAGTAAAAAGAATTGAGAATCTCATTTTATCAAATCTGCCAACTTTTCATCTTATATTTTTAATTTAAAGTTTAATTTGTAGCAAAAAAAAACTTTAGTGGGCCCTTGTGCCGTTTCTTTCAAGCGGATGAGCCATGAGGAGGCGGCTGAGGAATTGGTATTCATTGAAGGTTTTGTCATTTTCAATAAAGATTTCAGGTGCGCCAGGCATCGCTTGTACAACGATCCAATGGTGTTCGCCCACCACTTTCGGTGAGTTCTCTTTTGCTTTGCTTTTCTTTTCTTTTCTTTCTTTTCTTGTGTATTTCTTGCGACTTACCCTACAAATGTTACTGGATTGTAAACAAACAAAAAACAAAAAAAAAACAAATCATCAAACAATTCCTTGTTCAGATAACTCGTCAGGGATCATCAATTGTTTCTGTTTCCGAGCGATCTTCGGTGAGCAAGGACTACATTTACTCGCTACATCACAATTTCAAAGTGAGTCTATCTCTGATTTTTATAAGATAATCATCTTATTTTCTATTGAAATAGCCAATTTATCAAAAAAAAACAAACAAACAAACAAACAAACAAACAAACATTAAAATCTTATTCAAAACAAAGCTAAACTTTTTCCAGTCAAGCCTTCTTTACGGAAAAAACAATGTTTGTGTTGCCGATTCACACCAAGATGAGCCAACAAAGGTTGCTAACAGAAAATTCTTCAATTCTTCAACGAAAACCAATTTCCAGGGCTATTTATCATTGCATAAACAGACGCACACCGGTCTTCTCATTCTCAAATGGACACCAAATCAATTGATGCATGCTAAGTGAGGAAAAAAGATACAAATTCTTGTATTTATGAGTGTGAAAAAGAAACGACTTAATTACGAGCTCGAAGTTCAGAATCGTGCTCGAGTGCATTTATAGAGTCGGTTATACTGCCACTTCAATGGCTCCGGTGATCTAGTAGATAGTATCCTAGTCTACTAGACTTGTTAGAGTGTTTTGCTTTTGGTTTAAGTCCCATAGAACCAAATCTTTTTTTTGAATTTTGAAAACATTTTATGATGAGTTTGCAATCAATTTTTTAAACTCTATATACCTACCGTAAATACTGTAATAGTACCCCACCCCCATAATGACGGTGCGGAGTGTTGCGTAGTCTAGCTTTGAACGAGTTTTTGCTCGACACTGGTTTATGCTACAATGCGTGCTTAGGTATCAAAAAATAGCCCTGAATTTCAACTATTTTTTGATACCAAAGACACATTTTTTTAAGTACGGGCGCTTTGAAAAAAATGAAATACTAAAAAACTTTTGCGACTACGCGACTGTACGAGGGGGTGGGGTACTATTACAGTATTTACGGTAGCACCGTATCTCCGGGCACGAAGCTATTTTAAACTTCGAGTTTGTGTCATTTTCTTGTCAGTTAGAGGATTTTTTTTTTGAATGCTCATAAAATTCAGCTCGCAACCGTGTTCGGCGAATCGCGAAAACGAGCCACAGCCTTATCTCTTCAAGCAAGCGATTTCTATTGATATCTCGCAAATCATCTACATTCATTTACACCAAAAAGGTTTGAAAAATTTGCAAATATATTGAAAATATTGAAAAGTATTTTTTTATTGATAAAAAAAAGTATTCAATTGATTTTAGATGAACGATCTCCATCAGTGCTTATCTTTGTTAATGCAGAGGGTGTCCAATCAGCGCCTTTACAAGTAATTGTTATTTTAAAAGTATTTCAATCGCTTTACTTACTTGGGGGTAGGCTAATTTCCGCCATTTTATTTGCGCAACTAGGTCTCGCCATAACTTTCTTCTAAGTAAGCCAATCTTTATGATTTTGATGTCATTTTGTATATCTCAATAAGTGTAACAAAATGACATCAAAATCATAAAGATTGGTCGACTTCGAAGGAAGTTATGGCGAGTTGCGCAAAAAATTTGGCGCAAAGTAGCCTACCCACTTACTTGTTCAAAAATGAATTTCCAGTTTCCAATGGGTCAACACTCGTTAGTGTTTCTTTCATCTCTCGAATCGGGATTAGCTCCATGTCATCGCCTTGAACCACCACTTTGGACAAGTCATGGAAAAGGTGAGCCGTGAAAAACTTTAAACATTATACCTAGACTTTATCGTTTGTTTTTAGAAAAAATACTCCCGAAAATACGACGAAAAACTTCATCACAAGGCCCCGCACAAGATTATGTTTTTCGAATCATTCGCATATCTGGTTTAGAGAAAAGAGGATTCAAATTCAAATCCAATTTAGGATCCGATGGACAAGTGGTTGATACAGAGAAACAGAGTCCACCAAATAGTCCAATGCCGACTCATTGGTTTTTATTCTATTCAAATGCTTTTTTTTTCACTTTTATTTTAGTGTCTCACTTCCGAACTCTCCAAATGTGATCACTGGGGAGCATGTGGATTCACTCGTAAAGTTGGTTTTCCCAATTACCCATTTGACGACAATGAAAGCAATTTTCTAGCTACCAAATTGGTGAAGCGTGTCAGTCAATGAAACAACAAATTCTTGCAAGAGCATTTTTTGGATGTAAGTTTATTTGGGGGGGTTTTAAAAAAAATCGATAAATTAAGGGCTTTCTTATGTGCGACATTTGCGAACAGTTCGCTCACATTTGATGTATCTTGTAGAAAGAAAAGAGTTGCAAGATCGTGGTAAAGGACCAATCAATGAAAGCTTTTGGGATCAATGCCGACAAGAAAAAACGGTGTCTAGATTTCTTTGTTTATCAAGACAAACGAATTTTAGAGAGAACTTGAAGACGAGTTTCTTCAAAGGGTTTACTGGAGTGGAATTGAAGGCGAATCTCCAAAAGAGCTTCGAAGACGAGTTTTTGAGATTTATTGAAAAGTAATGAAAGACTGGTTACAGTGTTGGCCATATCTGATCGGCCTTTTTTCATGGGATGAAGAAATGGAACCAAAAACAACAAATTTCACAGAGAAATATCGGTGAGAAGTTGAATAAGAAAAAAAAATTATATAGATATTCTTTAGACAAGATGTCGAAAAGTGGAGATTGTGGGAAGCAGAAGTGCGACGGTTGGATGAAGAAGCATTCAATTCGGGTAAATTATCAAGTATAAGATTATTAGCATAAAAGTGTTTAGCACGAGAACGTCGTGTATCTGTGCGAGAGGCTTCAATCACGAGTGATGTATTCGAAGAAGAGAATGACTCGGCATTTCGTCCACAATCTGTATGTATTCATGATTCTTTTAAATCAAAAGAAAAAGATTTAGTCACAAGATGAAGAGAGACTCTTTCATCTTTTTTTGACTAATCTTCATCGAATTGAAAAAGATGTGGAAAGGTGAGACAAAGAAATGACAAAGACAAAGAAAAGACAAAGACAAAGAAATGACAAAGACAAAGAAAAGACAAAGACAAAGAAAAGACAAAGACAAAGAAAAGACAAAGACAAAGAAAAGACAAAGACAAAGAAAAGACAAAGACAAAGAAAAGACAAAGACAAAGAAATGACAAAGACAAAGAAAAGACAAAGACAAAGAAAAGACAAAGACAAAGAAGAAAAGACAAAGAAAAGACAAAGACAAAGAAAAGACAAAGACAAAGAAAAGACAAAGACAAAGAAATGACAAAGACAAAGAAAAGACAAAGACAAAGAAAAGACAAAGACAAAGAAAAGACAAAGACAAAGAAAAGACAAAGACAAAGAAAAGACAAAGACAAAGAAAAGACAAAGACAAAGAAATGACAAAGACAAAGAAATGACAAAGACAAAGAAAAATCATTTATAAATGCTAGTTTTTAATATTTTTTATTTACTTTATAGATAATACAAAAAAGATATTGAGGTTTGTAGATTGTAGATTTGTACCTGGGGGGTTTCAAGGTCGGTGAATCGATTGAAACTATTCATTTCTACATAAAACCATGAAAAACTATGCTATTACACCAATCTTCTAGTGATAAGTGATCTTAATTCGGATGCTTCCTTTAACGATTTTCTTTAGATGTGATCGAAATTTGATTTTCTTCCAAAATAAGGAGAATTTGGAGAGTTTGAGGCGAATCATGTGCACATATATAACAAGGTTTATAGAGGTTTAGTTAAAGCAATAAAATTTGATTTTTAGAAACCTTGAGGAAGGATATGTACAAGGAATGTGTGACATTCTTGCTCCACTTCTTGTCGTTTTTGAAGATGGTTCATAAAAATGTAAAAATTTATCAAAAAAAAAACGTTTCTAGAAGCGCTGACTCTTGAATGCTTTTCCTTGTTGATGATGCGAATGAGAGAGAATTTCCCGCAGAGAAATGGAATGGACGAGAATCTCAGCAATCTTCGATCATTGATTCAAGTAAATTAAAAGAGGATTTTATTGAGAAAACAAAAATTTAGGTTGTCGATCCGCAAGTTTTTTCGATTTTTACTTTATCCTCCGATTTCACCCATCTCTATTTCTCCTATCGATGGTTTTTACTCGATTTTAAGCGAGGTGAACAAAGAAAAAACAAACAAACAAACAAACAAACAAAAACAAACAAACAAACTTTTAAACGTCTACCGTAAGTATTACCAATAGAAATTAGGATTTAAACTTTATAAGCATTCATTTTTATTCAAGTAAAAAAAACAATAGTGTAAGCGAAAGAAATTTATTCAAAAATTATAGAGTTATCTTATGAGGGAACACATCGCGTTTGGGAAACGATTTGGGCGAGTGGCCGAACTGTCAGCCCACATTTTCAAGTGAGATTTTAGAGAAGAAAAAAATGGCCAAAAAAAATGTGTTTAGCTTTTCTTTGCTTTGGCTTTGGTGACAAATTATCGTGAAGTGATCATTGATAACAATATGGATTTCACTGATCTCATCAAATTCTTTAATGGTGAGCACATTCATTTGAGCACTGTTTCAAAAAAAGGAAAACAAACAAACAAACAACACGCAAAGAAAAAAGTTATATAAAAATATTGAAATAGAAGTAAAATGTAGAAAATTTAAATCAAATATTGAAAAATATTGTTGTTAAAACACAAAACTCTCGGAAAGAACAGAAAAAAAAAGTGAAAAGAGAACAGAAAGAAAGAAATAGAATAGAATAGACTTTTAGAAATAGAAATAGATTTAGAATAGAATAAAAGAAAGATATAATCTAAAGATTGTTTCAGAAATGGCGGAAAGACATGACACACAGAGAATCCTAGAAGGAGCAAGGAGTCATCTCACAGCTCTTCAACAACTTGTCCTCAATCTTCCTTGAATAGTTTTCGCTAACATATCTATCCAATAAAATCTCAGCCTTTCTTTTCTCCGCTTTTTAGTCCATCGAGTAGCCCTTTTTTTTCGCTTATTTTTATTAAACTTTTATCTATACATACAGTGCTTTCAAGTCTTTAATGGCTTGAATGAAATGCGGTCGGATTTTGACAAAAAGTCACCGAAGATTTGCTTGTTTTTAAGATTTCAAGACTTAAAAAGCTATTTTTATTAGAAAAATCATATGAAGTTTACCATTAAAAACTTGAATCTATTGTTATAGTCTATTCAAATCTATTCTATTCTTTCAATCTTTTCACCAAAATAGCTGAACTAAGAAATAATCCATGGGAGTGGGACAAATGCGACCTTTTTTTTGCGCATCCGGACATTTGCGCACCTTGCCCATTAGCGCACCTTTTTTGCGTTTTAAAAAAGCTCTAAAAAGCTAATATTAACCAATTTCTATTCCAAAAGTTGTTTTTCTAGGTAATTTGAGGGTGTCGAATTCAAATTTTGACATAACAGAGCGTGTGGAACCAATTTGAAAGAAGACGATAAGGTGACAATTGTTAAAAGAAATTTAGTTCCTATTTAGTTCCTATTTAGTTCCTATTTAGTTCCTATTTGGTTCCTATTTGGTTCCTTTATAGTTTCTATTTAGTTCCCAATTACCAATTTGAAAGACAAAACGGCTAGATCAAATTACAGAAAATTGTCGATTTTTCTCTTTGTATAACTCCGTCCGTTTGTTTCCACAAGCTCTGATATGTCAAAATTTCGATTCTACGCCCTAAAATTACCTAGAAAAACAACTTTTGAAATCGAAATTGGTTAATATTAGCTTTTTAGAGCCTTTTTAAAACGCGAAAAAAGGTGCTCTAATGAGCAAGGTGCGGAAAAAAAAGGTGCGCAAATGTCCGGGTGCGCAAAAAAAAAAGGTCGCATTTGTCCCACTCCCATAATCCATTAATATTTCTTATTCTTCACGGTGTGCATTCATTATTTTTCTTTTTCGATTTGAAAAAAAAAACGAGGTCTTTTTTATTTGCGGAAATCTACATTTAAATACACATCAACTTTCTTTTTCTTTTCTTTTATTGTTTAAATAAAAACTTTTACTCTTTATATTGATTGTGGTTGATTTGTGAAAACAGAACAGTTTAAAAAGCTTTGCAAAAGGATTTCGAATTGAAAACAGAAAACTCAACTCTGGTTTATGGTTGGTTCCATTTAAAGCACGAAAAAAAAAATGAATCAGAGACAGTGAAAACGTTCAATAAATGGACATGTACAACACAAAATTACGCGAAAACTTCGTCATCCGTTCAACCGATCAACATCAGCTCTCTTTTTTGTTTTTTCCTTTATTAATCACCATCTCGACTCTCGATTCTCGACTCTTTTCTCATCTCCATCAATATAGAAATATATTTCTTGAATTAATCAAGATTTCTTCAACAAATCAATACATTGTTTGACTCTTTGATTTTCAGAAAACTCATTTCCTTTGATCTTTCAATCTTTTCTCACCTCTTTTTTGATTCTGTGTTTCCCGGGTAATTATGTTTATAATTTTTATTTTCTCGCCTTTAAAAAAGAGAAAGAAAAACTCTTACTATTGATTTATTTTACTCAAAAACCCATTTGTAAAAAGCTTTGTTTCCATTGGCTTCACTGTTTCAATGCTCTTGTTGAAGAAACCTTTCAACAGATTTGAGTAACTTCTATTTTTGTTTTCTTTTCTATTTTCTATTTCTATTAATTTAGATTTCTATTAATTAAATTTCTATTACCGTATTCTCTCTAATAGTAGTGCACTCTTTAATAGTATTGCGGTCCGAAAGGGGGTTGAAAAAATAGTGATGCACACCCGAAAATTTGAATTTCTGGTGCTTCTTTTTCATCGAAACCTTTTTGACTTTATGTTTATGTGACATTCTAAAGCTATTCAAGCAAGCAAAAGTGAGGCTTTTTTTTATTCATTTATTAACTATTCTTCACATGAAAAAGTTAGCAAAAAATCTAAAATTGTTGTGCAAAGTGCATAAACATCTTTTTGTTGTTTGTCAAGACACAAATTGTCAACTCGCCGGCCCACAACTGTATGTCAAAAGGAGCCGAAGGAGTATGTGAAAGAATTGCAAGAATTGTTGGAAAAAATCTTATATCTGTCTTACTTTGGTAAATGATAAAACTCTCTAATAGTATTGCGGTCCAGGAGGGGGTTCAAAAAATAGAGACATACTATTAGGTTGATGCATAAGTCTTTTTGTTCCTTTTCGTCTGCCGTTTCAAGCCAACAAATGCACCAATTAAACTACGGTTGATTTCATTAGAAAAAGCAATTATTTTTCTGCAAAATAACATTAAAACGGGTTTAAAAATATTTAATGCCTGGATTTTCTTGAGAGTATGAAGTCGGGTAGTCAAAAAGGGCTAACTCGATGATGCGGTTTAGACACCTTAGCTAAAGAAAACCTATCTTCGTGTCAATAGATAAAAGATAGAGAAAAAAAACGTTTGATATTTCGCCAAAATTTCAGAGAAATTCATTCAGCCAATTTTTCCGTAGAGTTTTTTATAGATTTTTACGAAAAAGGCGTTTTTCACTCTCGAATTTGCTTGAAAGTGAACCGAAATTCATTTAAAAAGATGCAAATTGAACAAAAAAAACACCTTTTTTTTATAGAGCAAACTATAGATTAATTGGTGAATTCGTTACTTTTTAACAGAAGTACGAAAAAAACGAAAAGACTTATGCATCAACCTATTATTAGAGAGAATACGGTAATTTAAAAAAAAAAAAATAAGTGTTTCCTGGTTGAAAATAGAAATATATTGTTGATATTTGTTTCATTTTTATTTATAAATTTATTGATTAAATCTTTTCTCATTCACTTTCTAACCCTTTTTTTTTTGTCATTTATTGCATGCGCTTTGTAGTGGATAATATAGACTTATTTTTGTTGATTCAAAACACACAAATACAATGTTTTTATAAATTAAATAGATTTTATCAATTAAGAAATGAAGAAATAAAGAGATTGAAACGAGAAGAAATGTGGGGGAGAGCTTTTGTTTGGGTTAATAAAAGATAATAAAAAGATGAGGATAATGGGGAATCGATTCAGCAGCAAAGTTAACTAAACTAGCCCAGGACAGATTTGAACTTAACTCGCTTGACCGGGAAAATGTTTGCTACATTGTCTCTGGCTCCTTGATCTGCTGGGCTTACAGGGCTTACAGTTCTGGGCCAAAAACAAAGCGCCGATATCTAGGTTTCCATGATTTTCCTGGCTTTGGGTTTTGACTAGGTTCTGAACTGAAAGGAGAAACCCCAAGAAACGATTAGAACAAGCAGAAAAGGAAGAAAAAGAAGAAGAACAAGAAAAAACGATATGAATGACATGAACTGATTCATTGTATTGCCCGAGGATCTGTATGCACAGATGATGTCCCGATTTGTCCCCTCCCTTGTCCCATACTTGAGCTAAAGATACAAAAATTTCAAACAATTCAATGTCCATCATTTCCTATTTCTATTTTTGTTATTGTTAAGGGTGTTTTGTGAGCAATATTTGAAGAATTTGCTTTGGAAATAACTATCTTTTCCATTATTTCTTTGAAATTTTCCCATATATTATTTCTATTTAGATATTTTGTTATGACATTTGCTCGTTTATGGAGCATAATTGTTGCCATTGTTGTTACAAGTGAGTTTGTTTTTTAGATAGATTACAAATTTGTATTCTATCTAATAAGAAAGATTTTCATATTTAGGTTTATGCCTTTTTCAATACTATGGCTTTGATGGGATTTGGCCCTTTTCACCTATTAGGTATTAGAAAAATAGAAAAATGAAAGTAATTCCTTAAATTTCAGTTCAAAAGCAGAAATTACACGTGATCTGCGAGAAGTTATTGTTTCGAATCGTTTAAAACCAGCAAAAGAGATTCGTAGGCTTGAAAAATGATTAGCTGAAAGTTTTTGATTCAGGACGCTTTGCTGTTCCATTTCATGGAGTGAAGAGTGGAGCTGGTTTGGGAAATCAACTCTTTGAATTGTTTGCTGTTATCGGAATTGCCAATCTTACAAATCGGTAATGGGGGTTTTTTTTTTTGGGGGGGCAGTATAAGCATTCACACACTTGGCTGCTGTCGTCTCTCAACACTTGATCATTTGAAAGAAGGAAGAGTCACCGAGTAAAACGATTACAGAATCCCCACTTTCAACATTGATGATTCGGGTGTTCTCGGGCGTTTCCTCGAGATCAAAGTCATCTTTCCAGATCTCATCTATCAAATGCAATACACAATGATGCCTGTAAGTGGATTTACGAGAATAAAATGAAAGCAAATTATATGAAATCCTAGTCGACATCGATTGCCAGTGTAAGCATTCACACACTTGGCTGCTGTCGTTTCTCAACACTTGATCATTTGAAAAAGATGGAGGACAACTATGTCATGGGACATGGCATTTACTTTCAAGTAAGCAGTTACCGAGTAAGCAGTTACCGTAAGCAGTTACTAACTGCGTCTAAAGGAAAAAGAAATCAATAGAGTCAATTTTAGAGTCATCTATACTCCTCACATATGAGAAGCCGATTTTTGGAGCTGATGAACCCTTCAACTGAAGGATTGAAAGCGGCAAGAAGAGTATTGAAGGGTGGAGATCTTGTAGGACCTGTGTATGTGAAATCTTTGTCTCTTTTCAGTAAAATTTCAATTTTTAGTGTTTGCATTCATTCAAGACGCGGCGATTTTCTGACGGCTCCTCATCCGATGGCTTCTACCGAAAATTTCACTCGACATGCCACTGAATATATTCTTCAACAACGTGGGGTTAAAAGAAAAAGATTTTGCTAAATGAAAATAGTTTGAAAGTATTATCTTTAAGAATAGTAGCCTCTTCAACGTCTTTTACACAAATCTTTTCCTCAATTGTACTTTCCAAGAAATAAACTTTAGACGTGACCAAGGGTCCAGCTACAGTGCTTTTATTCTCAAATGATCCCGTCTGGATGCTCACAACTTTCAACGATGTGATTCAAGGCGGAAAACGGTAAAAGAAAAACAGAAAACAAACCACTTAAAGAAACTTTTTTAGGACAAAGCTTGGAAGCGAGTATAAAGGAGTGAATTACATTATTCCAAACACTGCTTCTCCTCATGTCACTCTTGTCATTTCTAGACTTTATTGCAATGTTATTCTCGTCACTGGTCAGTCTTAAAACAAAAGAAAAAGAAAAGAAAAGTTTAGCCCCGGCATCGACTTTTGCTTGGTTTATGGCCTTTTTGGCGGACGGTGGAAAAGGAAAAGTCTTTTATTCTGAGGTATCAATAAGGATATCGACTAGAGAGATTCTTTATCTTTTCTAATGCATTTTTTAAAAAACAATTTCTTTCAGCACTATGCAAAACGTGGCGGTGAACTCGAGAAACAGTTTGTTCCAAAGGAATTCCATTTGCCGCACTGGATTCCATTAAGGTTTGCTTAAAGAAAGTGATTTGAAAGAAAAAGAAAGAGATTATTCTCAGAATGCACGACAATTTGACTTTCGAGCAGATCTCAGTTGATGATATTCAGCCGTATTAGTTTTTTTTCTAAATATCAGAAAAGTTTCTTTCATTTGATCGATCAACAAAAAGATGGGTATTATAAAGTGCCTTTTGTTCTTTGTTTTTGAGAGTGGGACAAATGCGACCTTTTTTGCGCATCCGGACATTTGCGCACCTTTTTTTCCGCACCTTGCCCACTAGCGCACCTTTTTTCGCGTTTTAAAAAAGCTAATATTAACCAATTTCTATTCCAAATGTTGTTTTTCTAGGTAATTTTAGGGTGTAGAATCGAAATTTTGACATACCAGAGCTTGTGGAAACAAACGGACGGAGTTATACAAAGAGAAAACACAATTTTCTTTCTGTACAACTTTCTGTAATTTGATCTAGCCGTTTTGTCTTTCAAACTGGTTCCACACGCTCTGTTATGTCAAAATTTGAATTCGACACCCTCAAATTACCTAGAAAAACAACATTTGGAATAGAAATTGGTTAATATTAGCTTTTTAGAGCTTTTTAAAACGCGAAAAAAGGTGCGCTAATGGGCAAGGTGCGGAAAAAAAGTTGCGCAAATGTTCGGGTGCGCAAAAAAAGGTCGCATTTGTCCCACTCCCTTGTTCTTTGTTCTTTGTTTGTTTTTCGAGATTTTGCTCTTTTGCTTTCCTTTATCCTTTCCACTATCGGATGGATAAGGCAATGTTGTGAATATTGTTCAAGAAATGTGCTTTCTTTTGATTGTATTTTTTACTCTATCACTAGATCTTTTCTTTTCTTTCTTTCTTTCTTTCTTTTCTTTCAATCTTTTCAAAGCTCTAAAGCTCGTATTTTTTTGATTAAAAATTTCATTTTAAACATAATTTTATGGTAAATGCATCAAAAAAAAAGTGAAAATTTCTTTAAAATGTAAGGTTCAATTTGAAATTTGACACCAATTAAGTCAATATTTGCAAAAGAAAAGACAGAAAACTTTGCGAAACTTTTCTCTTTTGCCTTTCAATGACAATTTGACAAAAAAATTCGAATGCTTTTTTTATTCTCACTGATTACAGGCAAGCTTTCAAATAAAAAAGTAACGATGAAATTTTGAAATTTTGAAAAATTTAGGTGTTTTGTGTTTAAATCGAACGAAATCTATTGAAGAGCTCATTCAAGATCAAATCATTACAGCAAAAAGTCAGAAATCTTTTGTTTTTATTATTTGGTTTTTGATTTTGAAAAGAAAAAGAGAACGATAACGATAACGATAACGATAACGATAACACAATAGTCATCTGGTCATATTAGTCTATTTGAGATTGAAAGAAATTGTTTGAATCAAATGTTTCCTCAAATCTAGTGAAGCTTTTACAGCAAAAAGTGAGAAATCTTTTGTTTTTTATTTGGTTTTTGATTTTGAAACGAAAATAAAAACGAAAACGAAAACAGTAGCTATCTGGTCATATTAGTCTATTTGAGATTGAAAGAAATTGTTTGAAACAAATGTTTCCTCAAGCCTAGTGAAGCTTTAACAGTTCAATGCTTTGAGATTACTCAACAAATGTGAGACCAGTGTACAATGAGGCGACGACAACAAATGTCTCGATCAATCTCAACTCTTTTCAACTCATCTCTCTCGTGCTTTATTCCTTTTCTTTTTCAGTCTTTTACCTTGAAATTTAGGATCAAAGTGCTGAAACGATCACAATATCGGCTGAATTTGTGATGGTAAATTGAGCAAAATATTGATAGCCATGGACTTTTTGTAGTAAACGAGTCAGTCAGTCAGTTCACTTTTTAACAAACAGCTCTTATTTTCTAAAGCTTTACAATACAATTTCGAGCTTTAAAAAAAAACAAGAGCTCTTTGCTAAAACGACTAAAACGTGAGACTGACTCGTTTTCTACAAAAAAAAGCCCATGTATAATAAGTAGAGTTCTTTTTTTCAGACATGGAGAGACGAGTTGTTGCATTGGTCTCTCGACGAGTTCAACCTCACCGTTCTCTCACTTCGCGCATCTCAAGTTTGGCGTCCCGATGTTGTCGTCAGCTCGGCGTTTGTTTTTTTTAAAGCAACCATTATCTTTAAGCAACCATTGATGTTTAAAATTTCGATATAGAATCTCGGCAGTGTACACAATTGATCCCGATCAACAAAGAGTCAGCATTTTCAATGATGGCCGCGTTCGTTATAGCATGTATGCTCTTTAATTTCATTTTGTTAATCTCAATCTCAATCTCCTTTATTTCATTTAGCTAACTATTCAATTCCTTTATTTCAGGTATGGTCAATTTGTTAACATTTGTGATATGCGGGTTTGTTTAAAGCTTTCATTTCATTTCATTTTCAATTCTCAAATGTTTTCCAGGTGGATCGCTTCCCTTATGACACTCAAATTTGCCAAGTACGTTTGAGTGTCGTCAGTGAAGTGTTTTAGAGAGTTTTAGGTGAATATTGGTCCATGGACGTATCGATTAGAACAAGTACACATCACATCGGTGCCCGCTCATCCACTCTCAAATGGTGATTACGCGGTGAGCAGGCATGTGAACTGTGTCCCTTTTTTTTCGGTCCATTTGCCGTTGGTGATTTACGTGTTTTGCTCGTATCTTACAAGGGAATGACATTAGCTCGAAGTTGAGAATCGCTTCGTGACCGAGTGCATTCTTTAGAATAGCTTCTGCTGATTCTGAAGCTGTAAAAATTAGCTGCAAACACCCACGCAATCACAAGGAATCTGGCATAGAAAATTCCCTTAAGTTTCGGACTCTTCATTTGTCCACACTTCAACAGCTGCGGTGCTCTAGCGGATAGTGTGCTAGCCAACGGAAATTATGAAGTGTTTTGGCTTGGATTCGAATCCTCCCTTGAACAATGCTTTTTGGGAAATTCTTTTTCTGATGCCTTTGCATTAAATATCTATGTTTTATCCAGATTCAACTCTTCAAAAAGTCAGCATTTTCCAGACGCTTTTACAACTTCTAACAGTGTTCATAAAAGTTGATGACTGAATCTGGCATAGAAAATTCTCTTAAGTTTCGGACTCTTCATTTGTCCACACTGAGTTGAGTTGATGCATCATTAGTTCATGACTTTATGAACTCTGGTAACAAAAGCAGTGTTCTTTGTAAAACAAAGTAGTTTGTTTGTGCAAAAAAAAGAAAACTGTTGTCATTTCCTTGTTATCCGGGGTTTGTTTGAAAAAAAAGCGTTGAATTTGCTTTGATTCGACTTGAAATGAAATTTTCTAACGAACAAAAACAAAATCGAAATTTTTCAAACAAATGCAGTCAAGATACGAACAAAATTCGTAGATTGCCAACGGCAAATGGATTGAAAAAGGGCGATGGAAAGGCGATGGAAAAAAAATGATAGAAAACATATTAAACCGATTGGAAAAAGATTCAGGGTAACAGTGAATGGGAGTTAACAAATGCGACATCGGGTGTGCACACGAGCGATGACACTGACATGAATTTCTCTTATGAAGAAGCCGAATTTCATGTACATAAAAGATTTTCCAACTACGATTTCTCTGTTGATTTGAGGTTTGGCTAAAAAGGCGTCCTCAATTCTACGTGTACGTCTTATTGGTGCCAACGCTGGTGATCACCGTCGTCGCTATTTGTGGCCTTTTCATACCCACAAACACTATCGGAGAACGAGAAGAAAGAGTTCTAAAATATTTTCGCCAATATTCCCAACAACTTTTCCTAGGTAAACTTGGGTGTGATGACACTTTTGAGTCATTCGGTGATCTTGCAAATTGTCGGTGATGCTATGCCAAAAACGACTGGGCTACCTGTTCTTGGTGATTTACATCGTAAAAAGTCATCCACGAAAACTTTAGGCAATTTTATTTTGGCGGAGATTTTCGTGACAGCAGTTGGAGTACTTTTCTCAGTTGTTGTGTTAACATTGCACTATCGGGCGCTCACTCGTAAATGGGATGTGCCTAGATGGGCAAAATGGGTCTTACACTTTCCAAAAGTTTTCACCATTCTTTTGTCAGCTACAAAAGTTATTTCAGATGAAAAAGCTGAAAAGAGTTCGAAGACGAAGAGTTGAGGGTTTTGGTGAAGAAGTTAGGTGAGGCTTAGGGGCTTTAACACGTTGACGACATTGTCACCTGATGCTGTCTGACACATATTCGTTCGCCTGGGACATTGTCACCTGATGTCAGGTGACAGTACCAAAATTGATTTTTTTCGCGCATATTTATGTTTGCTGATGATGAATATTAAATAAGCAAGTAGGGTAGTATCTATATTCGACTTGGTCCCGGAAAATGTCGATTTAACCGTTGATTATTAAAATTTTAATTTTTTTAGGTGACATTTTTTGTCGAAAAAAAACAACGTTGTCCCATGCGATTGTTTGTGCAAAAATGCCATTGTCGTCAACGTGTTAAGAAATATGAATATGATCTTTAAGAAATTCGCAAAAGGGCGAATTTCTTAAAGATCATATTTTAGTGGGTTTTTGGCTGATCTCTCATCACTTTTATGTCTTTCTGATGAATATATGGTTGAAGAGGAAAGTGATCACGTTAGAGAGGTTGGAGAGAAATCACAATTATGCTTGCTTCAAATTTCTTTAGGTTCGTTGGACAAGTTTCTTTGATCGAGTCGATATGTTTCTACTCGCTATTTTTCAAGTTGCAAATATCTTTGTGACGGCTTTTGTTCTTTGAATAAATGTATTTAATTGTTGAAGAAAAGACACTTGAAAAAATACGGTATAAGTGAGTGAAACAAAAAAGAAAGAAGACCGAAAAAGCAAACATTGTGCCGAAGAGTTCACACGAATGAAATCCAATATTGAGAGTCGTTTGAGAAATTCGCTCACATTAGCCAGTTTGTCATTTCCACTCTAGAAAAATCTATTTTATAATGAAAAATTAAAACGCATAATGAGACTCGTAAAGCTTACAATACTCTTAGGTAAGTGACATCTAAAAAGTTTCATTCAAAGAAAATTCTAGCCTTGTGCCCTTTGACAATCTTTGCTCGACGCCGAACGAAAACAATGGAAGCCCTTCTCACGGAACGACTTTTTGATTCATCAGGTTTAATTTCTCAAAAAAAGTTTCGATATTTTTTCTTTTGCAGACTACTCAAATGAGGTGCGACCAGTCTACGATGAGACAACCACCACGAATGTCAGCATTCTTCTCAACCAGTTTCGTCTTCTCTATCTGGTGAGCAGCAGAAAAACAAATACATTTCTTCATCTTCATCTTCATCTTTCATAATTTGGTGCAATCATACACAAGCACAACGCCTAAGCCGTAAAGCAGAAAAAAATCACCGTATCTATGAGAAAAAAGAACCAATAATCTAGCCGACGGGATTGAACCTTTGACCTCCATACAGGGCACTTAGCGAGTCGGCCATGGCGGGAAATCCTCTAGGTGCAAGCTCTATCTGAATCTAGAAAGTAGTCATAGAAAGCAGTTAGTGCAAAAAAAAAGAGAAAAAGATAATTTCTAGGATCAAAGCACGGAGACTGTCAAGTTCATGGTCGAATTTGTCATAGTAAGTCGATTTTGGTTATTGTCGCAAAATTGTCTAGACTTGGAAAGACGAGTTTTTGATATGGAATGTTGATGAATACAATCTCACCGAGATCAATGTGAAAGAAGATCGTGTTTGGAGGCCCGATATTGTCATCTCTTCATCGTAACTTAAAAATTGTCAGACGTTAAGGAAAAACTTTTCCCCAACTTTCAGAGTGTCGAGCTCGTCTCCTTTGGATGCAAATGAGCGCTATGTGAATTTGGAAAGTGATGGCACGGTAACAGAAAGCATGTATGGAATGTATGTTAATGTGTGCCAAATGCAGGTGGGTTTGGTCAAGGGATTACAATTTCGCTCCGAAAGTCTTATTTCATTGCGCCTTTCCGCGCTTTACCTACAAATAACTATTTTATGCATATATTCTCGTAAATAGGTATGGTTTATCGATTAGCCTGTGCTTACTCTGCTAGAAAATGAAAACAAAATGAAGGGAGTGGGACAAATGCGACCTTTTTTTTTGCGCACCTGGGCATTTGCGCACCTTTTTTGCTGGAAAAGGCCTTAGGCAAGGCCGAAGAGCTTCGAAAATATTTCCATATAAGGGAATCGTATGCGTAGATTCCGAATTTCGACAAATCAGACCTCGCTGACACGTCAAAATTGGGCTAAAAGGCAAAAACTGCGGAAAAGCGTTAAGTTGCGTAGTTTTTGCCTTTTAGCCCAAATTTGACGTGTCAGCGAGGTCTGATTTGTCGAAATTCGGAATCTACGCATACGATTCCCCTGTATGAAAACATTTTTGAAGCTCTACGACCTTGCCTAAGGCCTTTTCCAGCAAAAAAAAAGGTCGCATTTGTCCCACCCCCAAAATGAAAATTTTCCCCAAAAACTCCTCGTTTTATACCACGAAAAGGGCGCGTTATAGAAAGCGCCGATAGTCGCCTACGGTAGAATATAGAGGGTGTCCAAAAAAAATCCACTTCGGGTCAATTTTAAAAATATTTCCGGTGGCTCAAGGTGGTAGGTATGGCGCAAAAATTATTTTTTTTGAGGTCGGGAAATTTTGATGTTTTTTCATGATTTTCACCATATGGACCAAAAATGGACTCCCAATACATGAAATTTTTCTAAGATACCATGGTCACCACCACCATGAGACTTTTGTCATAAAATTAAAACTTTGTACTGGCATCATGGTGCCATATTAGAGTTATTATATAAACTAAGATTTTCGCCAAAAACTATCCATCTACATTTGATGCTAATCTGTCATACATAATAGATTTTCAACTCGCTTTTTTTAAAGAAGTGTCCCGTTTTTCCTAGGAAACGCTGATCAATAAAGTGTATGGTTTAAATTTGTAGTTATCCTAATAGTATTTATTATGCACCACGACGCCACTAGCAAGTTTTAATTTTATGGCAAAAGTCTCATGGTGGTGGCCCATATGGTGGTGGTGACCATGGTGGCTCAGAAATTTCATGTAATTGGGAGTCCATGATATGGTGAAAATCATGAAAAAACATCAAAATTTCCCGACCTCAAAAAAAATAATTTTTGCGCCATACCTACCACCTTGAGCCACCGGAAATATTTTTAAAATTGACCCGAAGTGGATTTTTTTGGACGCCCTGTACACAAAAGCAGATTTCAATGCATTTCAATTCGTCTTGCATTCAATTGGCTATCGATATTATCGATATTTCTCGAGTAGTCGTGCAAAAATCTTATGACTTTGCATAAAACTACTCAAATGCTCTGAAACTTTTACTATTGGAAAACCAAAAGTTCAAGCTTTGTTTTGGTACCTAACACTCAAAAGAGCACGCAAAACTCAGCTCTAAAAACCTAGTCGATACGCTATCGATATGACCGTATCGGTCACCGATATAATCGTATCGATAAGGTTTTTTGAGAGAGTTGCTTTTCTAACAGTACGTATTAGGTACCAAAATGAAGCTTGAACTTCTGGCTTTCCATTGGTAAAAGTTTCAGAGCATTTAGAGCTACAATCACAAAGATATGTCCGTTTTAATGCGAGCACTCCAAAATATCGATAGCCAAGTCTAATTTCAATGGAAGACTTCCATGGAAAAGATTGGTCCGATTAGGTCGACGACTTTCCCTACGATTCTCAAAACTGTGCCATCAACATAGGACCTTGGAACTACCGAAAAGAACAAGTAAACAAAAAAAAGGATCCGAATTTTTTTCTTCTTCACAATATTTTAGGTGCATATCGCCACGGTTACACCCACAAATTGGGATTATTACCTGGTAGTAATCGGGATTATTGCCAATGTGCGTATGCTACAAATTTAGGGTAATAGTGAATGGGATCTGGAGAATGCAACCTCATCGGTGCACACAGAAGAGGACACCGATGTCGCATTTTACTACGAGGAAGCCGAATTTATAGTAAATTTTTTACGATATCCGGATTCGATTCAAAACAAAAAAGGCATGTAGGTCAAAATCAAGCGCCGTCCACAGTTTTACATCTGGGTGCTTCTCATTCCCACTTTCATCATCACGATGGTCTCACTTTTTGGGCTTTTCATTCCGACGAACACCAGTGGCGAAAGAGAGCAGAGAGTGAGCTTTTACTTTTAAATTAAATCTCATTTTTTCATCTTAAAATCTCTCATTCATAACTCAAATCCTAATTTTATGTGGTACTTGGATTGACCACTCTTTTATCTCACGCGGTCATCCTTCAAATCGTTGCTGATGCCATGCCGAAGACGAACGCACTGCCACTTCTGGGTTTGTTTAGAAAAAGAAACCCCCCTACAATGCGTAGAATAGAACAATGAATAATATGTGCTTATATTTTCAGGCGACTTCATTTTGGCAGAAATTTTCGTCACTGCTATTGGAGTACTTTTTTCGGTGCTCATTCTGAGTTTACACAATCGTGCTTTGACACGTGGGTGGAACGTTCCACAGTGGGTCCGATGGATTCTCCATTTCCCAAAAGTTTAAAAATGGATTCGATCGAGTTTCAATCAAGATTTCAGGTTCGACGTCGCAAGAGATTGCGTCGAATCCCCGTGGAAGCACCTGAAGAACCACCAGCGTATGAGCTACACAATTCGGTTGCAAAAACGCTAATTTAGTGGAGTACTTGGTGATCTTTGTTTGATCCTTTCACGTGTTGACGAATGGATTCTAGAAGAAGAAAGTTCAAAATTACGAGAAGTGAGTGATACATCAAAACTCAATCATACCACTTCCAGATTCGTTGGACAAGCTTGTTCGATAGAATCGACCTTCTACTTCTGACGATTTTTCAAATTGGAAACATTTGTGTCATGATTTTTACTATTTAAAGTCAAGTAACTGAAAATCAAGTTTATTGGAGATGGTAGGAAAAAGTCAGACACAGAAATAAATACTAACACAGTTTTTCAATCAAGAGTTGCAATGGGAGCCACTGTGATAATTTAACACAACGATATTCACTTACACAAAAGAATGAGTGAATGAATAGGAGCTCAAAAACACGGAAATGGCGTAACAAAACAAGGTGCTTGTCTCAAAAGTAAACAGGATGGAATTAGTTTATGAACCATATTGTCCACCCTAAAGATATCCCGTCTACCACAACGGAATGAACAAGTTTTCCGGCGGTTCGGAAAGAATTGCAAAAAAAGAAAAAATATAAAAATCTTACATTACAGGTAAAAGCTGAATTCAACACAGAGAAAGTTGATAGCCTAATCACATTGAATATCTGCCTAGCTGCGATTCTTCAATTGATTTGAAAGCCAATCGAGTCCCTCGTAAAGACCATCTCCGGAAGTTGCGCACGTGGCCTAAAGCAAACTTTATTTACAATCAAAACTTGAATGAATACCTGGATGTACCAGGAGCGGTTGCGAAGAGTGTGCAATCCAAGTTTGTCGGTAACCTCAGAAGCATTCATAGCGTTAGGCAAGTCCTAAAAACCATAACTATCAAGTGTAACCGCTAGTTTAGCTCACTTGTTTGTTTGCAAATACAAGAAGAACAGCGTCACGAAGCTCATCTTCAGCCAACATTCGCATCAATTCTTCTCGAGCCTCTCCCACTCGCTCTCGATCATTTGAGTCAACAACAAAGATGAGACCTGAAAAACGAATAAAATTGAACAGATAAAGAATGAGCTCACCTTGGGTATTCTGGAAATAATGCCTCCACAATGGACGAATTTTGTCTTGACCTCCGACATCCCAAACCGTGAACGAAATATTCTTGTACTCAACTGTCTCCACATTGAAACCTAAATAATAACATGTACTTTCATATAAAATGGACAGCTAAGAAACTACTTTGTAAAACATCATCTTTAAAACGAATTGACGTTGAACAATATTAATCAATTTCTTTTATGCATCTGTTTCTTGATTGGGTTCACTCCGTTCAAAAACAATTAGTCAACATTTTCGAAGTGGCTTTAATTATAAATTTAAATGCTTTAGACCGATTTGAACTAAAGCATAGGCGAAACATTTGACACTCAATGTTTTAGCTTGTCTTTCTATCCGAACCAATCGATAACCAACTCTAGCAAAAATATCAACTAATTAATTATGCACAAAGGTCTTACCAATCGTGGGAATTGTGGTCACAATCTCGCCGAGCTTCAGCTTGTAGAGGATCGTCGTTTTACCAGCCGCATCAAGCCCAACCATCAAGATTCTCATCTCCTTCTTGCCGAAGAGGCCTTTGAAAAGATTCCCGAACACGTTTCCCATGATTTGCCTCTAAATAAACTTAATCTAACAGTTTTAATAAAAAACGAGCAAGAAATGTTTCTAAATAAAAGAAAAATAAAACATTGTGAAAGATTTAAAATCTAGGACGAGGTATGATGAAAAATCTTTTTAAAAATAGTGGCTGAAAACCGGCTACACACGTCATCGGCGACGCGACCGCCCGCGTTGAAATTTTTTGGCAAACGAAAAACTTGACAATCATCTCTAATTACCGCTCGCCCAAATTTCACTAAATCAACGGAGAACTCCTGCAAATGAAAAGAAATCTTGTCTTTTTGTTTAAGTTAACTAATTTATAACTTTTCAGTATGCGAAATAGCACAAAATGTTCATCGAAAAGGTAAACACGGTAACTGGAGCGCGAGAATGGACAGTCGCCGACGAGGATTACGACCTAGCTCAAGAGGTAAATGACAAAAAATGAAATTTTTTTCAAATGGAGAGCTTAAATAGTCACAAATGAAATTTTTTAAAATGAAATTTAAGGCGAGACTATGGAAATGTTTTACCGTAGACCTTTTTCCACATATTTTCCTTATTCAGCAAAAGATTAAACAGCTAACTATAAGAAAATTTATTTAGATTTCATGCAGCCGTTTCGGTGATATGATTCTCGACTACGATCGAAATGAGAAATTCTTGCTTGGCCTTCGATCAGTGATTCGAAAGCTAAAGGCACAAGACACAGCTGTGCATGTCTTGGATATTGGTGAGTTAAATTGAAAATTAACTCCACAAGCACGTAGATTCAGTGCACAAACTGTATTTTTCCTTGCAGGCACGGGAACAGGTCTACTTTCGCTGATTGCCATGAATGAAGGCGCAGACAAAGTGACAGCGATTGAGGTAAAGAATAAAACAAAAAAAATAGTCTCTACATATAAAAACAACTCCAGGTTTTCACACCAATGGCCAGATGTGCTAAGAAAATCGTTAAAAATAGCGTTTGGAAGGATAAAATCCAAATAATTGCCGAACGTTCTACAGATCTCGAGCATCTCGACGATAAACCGAATGTGATTGTGGCGGAGGTTGGAAAAAACACTCGTTTTAAACATAATAAGTAGTGCAAGTCATGGCTTTTTAAAATGCACACTTGGAAAAAAATTACTGTACTTTTACAAAAATTATCGCCAAAAATGGAGCGGAAAAACTACAAACGACGACTTATATAAAACTCCTTTTAAAGATATTCAACCCTTTAACTGGTTTGATGGCAAATTCCCGTCAAATGTAAAGGTATTCAATTTACTCGACGTGTAAAGAGGATTACTCGTAGTTACTTGACCAAAAACGTCGACTAATCGAGTAATTCATGCAAATTTTACTCGAGCAATTATTTACGGAACGCACTCTAATAATAAGCGTTTTAGGTGTTTGACACTGAATTGATCGGCGAGGGAGCATTGCGTACTTTCAAAGAAGCTCTTCAAAAACTTACAAAGGTGAATCAAAAAACTCAAATCGGTTTTCATCGAAAATTTCAGCCAAATACTCGCGTGGTTCCTTCTCGAGCCAAAGTTTTTATTCTACCGTTGGAGAGCTCGGTTTTGGATGAGTTCACAAAAGTCCCAGTTCTACCTAGTCACCGTAAGCTGCTTTTCAAATCCTCTTCACCTCGAAAATCCATTCAGCTTCTGGTTCTCCCTTACCCACTTGTCCTGGCACAGCTTCCGTCTTTGATTGTCAAGTTTCACAGCTTGGAAAAGGCCAATTTCGAGCACTTTCATCACCCACTCTAGCTTTTGAGTAAGTACATTATTTACAAAAAAAAAACTAGACCATTTAATTGTAGATTTGATTTTGAAGATGCTTCGAAGATTCATTACGATGAAAGTCATCGAATCGAGATTCCAGGTTAGATAATTATCCCATCAATTGTAACTTTTGTCTTCTTATTAGTGAAGTCGACTGGGCGTGTTGACGCGATTGTGATGTGGTGGGAATTGGATATGGATGGAACAGGGGAACATATTATTGATATGGCTCCAAAATGGATGAATAACGATTATCAAGTAAGAAAGACGTGTGTGACAAAGTATTAAAAAGTTTCAGTGGCGAGATCATTGGATGCAAGCGGTTTATTATCTTCCAAATGAATGCCACGTGAGAGCTGGACAATCATTGAACCTTCAAGGCTCTCATGATGAATTCAGCTTTTGGTTTGAGGAAATCTCCGACTCGCAATCCAATCAGAACTTCTCTCGTCCATATTGTCGATGTCTTCTCCACTCAATGCTTTCTAAACATTCAGTTTTCCGGATAAACAGTGTAATGCAAGATCGAAAAGTTGACGAATGGTTACACAAGGTTTGCCTTATTTTCTGGAGGAAACTTATCTTTCTTATAGACATGTTCGAATCAAATTGTTGCCTGTGTTGGTGAAGGGTCTTTACTTGGAGTCCAAGCTGCTAAACATGCACAAAAAGTTTTCATTGTCGAGAAAAATGAGCATTTCAGGTAAATAAAACAAGATCAAAGGCTAAGTAGACATTGGTTTCAGGTTGATAATGTCACAATATAAACGACACTACGAATTGGAGAATATCGAAATCCTGGATGATCTTGAATCAATCAAAGAATCGGTAACAATAGCTAGCACTTTATTTTATCAAAACCTTTCATTTAGCCTTCTCTATTAATTTCGGAGCCATTCTATTTATCTTCATGGGCACCCTGGGATAATCTCCACTTTTGGTTCGATACATTGCATGCTCGATCATTATGGCCAAACATTCAGATATCTCCACCGGTTAGTTCAAAGATAAACAGACTTTACAATTCGTTGTCAACAATGTCAATCAGTACAGATATATCTTCTCGACTTATATCATTGTTGTTTATATAAATCTATTGTTGTTGCTATTGTTTTTATATCTAATTATCCGAATCTCTCATAGAAAGGGCGATTGATGGCGGTTTGTATGCATTTCGACGATTTGTGGAAAATTGCGAGTCCGGTCGGAGTGGTGAATGACTTCGATTTGTCGGCTTTTGACGAAATATCACAAGTGAGAATAAAGCTGCTAATGAGCTGCTTATGCATCACTATTTTGCATCCTAGCTAAAGCTTCAGAAAGCTCGAGAAGCAACAGAAGCGGTGATCGATTCACAGCCACTCTGGGAATATTCTGGGTCGATCCTCTCTCAAATCCATAAGGTAATTCCTCAAATTGTCAACACAATTAGTTTTAAATCAAATCTAGATTGCCGATTTTGATCTCACTCGAGAACCGACAAACTTTCAAACCGATTTGAATATACCACTCAAGTAAGTAATACTTAGCATTTAGCATAGCTAACTATAGCAGTTAGACAAGAGATTTTGTAGTATCTCTAACAATAAATGTATTTCCAGAAGTGGAACAAATGGTATCGCTTTCTGGATGGAATGGGAGCTCAATGATAAAACTTGGTTTAGCACCGGTTTGCGTAAAAGGTAAATAAACTTATCATAAGATCAAAACTGAACTTATTTTTAATTTCAAAACTTTTAAGTGCTGATGAAGGTGAATCCGTGTGGTGGAAAGGGGTCAAACAAGGGGTTTACTTTGTTCCAAAATCACTTCAAACTCAAGAAAACTTATCCTTTTCAATGCATTTTCTTGCTGAGAAATGTGAATTTGTTTTTCAACTTTGTTGATGTTTTTTTGTTGTTTGTTATCTTGTTGTTATTGTTAGAATTTTACGAGATTGTGAAGAAGTTCAAATAAGAAGATTATCGATTAGTGATTAGATTATCGATTTTGATTTATCTAAGGTTCTTTTTTAATAATCGGTGCTTTTTTCTTAATAATCTTTATCACTTTTTACATAAAATCTTTACTATCAAAAGTCAAAAGGATCACACATTTTATGGAGTGCCTCAAAATCGCATCCCTTTTTACAACATTTTTCCATCAATAACGGGAGTTCCTCGGAAGGTGAGACACTCATCTAAAGTGTTAGATGATTTTTAGTGCAAAATAAAGACGATTACGATACGATTACGATTACGATTACGATCTGTTGTTTTTAGATAGAAATATCTAAAAACAACAGACACTCAACGTATTCAATAACGATTTCTTTTTAATTCCACTTGTTAACGCAACAAGCAACTCAACTTTCAACGGCGTTTATCACAAAGTTTACTTTAGTTAACAGTTAACAGACAGTTAAAGTTAACAGTTAAGTTTAAAAGTTAACAAGAAGCTTTACTGCTTTTTACTCAAAGTAAAGTTCTTTGTTCTTTCATTTTCGTATAAATGTTTTCATCTTTCAAACCTTTCTCGATGATGCTCGATGATGCTCCTTTCTAATTGAACGTTTACGTCTTTTCATCGGACACACAAGCTGGAATGCTTCAAAAAACGAGGGACCACCTGAAAAGAAATCAAATTGACTTCTATTGTTTGTTTGTTTTTTTGCTATTTATATGCATACCAGCTGGACAAAGACGTAAAGTGCTGGAAAACATCGTGAAGGCGTCGAATTTCGTATTATGTGTAGGCCGTTCAAGGGAAAGTAGATGAGATGAGATTGTAGGTGATGAAATGGAAGAAATTAATGGAAGAGATGGAACTGGTGACCGATCATGACTATCCCATCCAGACAAACCTTTAGCTGAAAGTGAGTTCATCATGCTAGAATGTTGTATGATGTCAGCTGCTCTGTTGTTGCTTAAATCAAAAGGTACCAACTGATTCTCGTCCATAAAGAAAAAGCGATCACAACTCGATAGATGAACACACTGAACATGAGCAGCCATCGGCTACAAGCACTCATAAACACAAACACAAGTCTGTAAAGAATTTCTTTTAAATTTTCAAATGATCAATAGAAAATCAAGTCAAGGGAAAATAGACAATTTTAAATTTCATTTTTTTTCAATCTGTGAATAAAGAGATTACATTTTGGTATAGATTAGTCAGCTATGAGATTGGGTTTTTCTCTGAAACTAATTCCCAAATTATGAATCAACATCCAATCTGTGGAGAAGGCCAACAAATTTTCAAAAGTTATCAAAATGAAAGAAGCAAAGCCACCGTATTTCTTCGAATAGAAGACCGGGTAAAGAGTATCATCGCGTACTCCTGCGCAGCAGACCTTTTTAAAATTTCTTTTCTGATTAAAAGCTTTCAATGAAGTGCTATAGGGCTGGAAAATGACTCAAAAATACCACATGAGCTAACAGATTTTTGAGCCATTTTCCAACTCTATAGCACTTAATTGAAAGCTTTTATGCAGAAAAGAAATTTTAAAAAGGGCTGCTACGCAGGAGTACGCGATCATACTCTTTACCCGGTCTTCTATTCGAAGAAATACGGTATTCACTTTATCAAAAATCTTCAAACTTTCTAATAACAAAAAAGGAAAAATGAAAAGAAATAACGATAGTTGAAGATATATATTGGCATTGTTTGAATAGACCATTCTGGAAGCTCTCCTTGATTCCTTTGAAGAGCTCAAGAAAAAGACGATGATGATGTCTCTCCTCGTTCCCTTTCAAAAATCCAATGCCAATTATTTCTAATTGCTATTTTCTCAAAAATCCTCCTCTATTTACTGGCTCGTAGATGAATAAAAAAAAAGAATGATGGCACGGGTTTTCTGTGTTGGAAATACGTATACCAAATAAAGAACGTCTTGTTCAGATGCTTAAAAAAGAGGAATGTATTTAAAAATAGACATGATTCTTACAATTTATACAATCAATGACTTTCAAGTCATTGATCTGTGTGTTAAGATGTTAAGAAGTATGTTAAGAACAGCTTCAGCGGGTAATCTTTCACTTTTCACATTCGCACATATTGTTGCCTGTTTTAAATGCAGCGGATATATTTTGAGATGTCTATCTCTTGTTCTTTGAAGGGTCTTTTCCTTTCGAGAACCTTTCTCTTGTTCTCCTCTCCACTCTCTTCTCCGCTCCCTGTGCTCGAACTCCGCACTGTCTCCACTGTCTCCACTCTTTATTCCACAGCTAGCTTCTTTTTTTCTAATCTTTATTTTGATATTTATTCATAAAAAATTTCTTATTTAAGATGTTTAAAATATTGCTGATAGCAAATTTTTGTGGTTATATCTGGTAAGAAATTTTCTAAAACTTGAATACGTCCTTGACCTAAAAGATCTCTAGTTCTCCAGGCGATAATCGATTTTTTTTTAAAAAGAAAGATATGTTTAGACATGAAATTGTAAGAATATAGTAGTAAAGTGAATAAAAAAAGGTTTCATATTTCATAGTCAATATTTCATAGTTAATATTTCATTCTCTATAGGGCATCTTGTCCCCATATGATGGGCCAAATGAGATCAAAGGAAATAATCGCTGAAAAGGAGAAACTACTCGAGGAAAGAGTTCAACAGCAACAATATCTTGGTTTTAAAAGTATTCAGCAAAAAAAAGAAATTGTTTATTGTTAGGATCGCCACCTGGAGTTGAACCGATGAATGATGGTGCACCAGGAGTGATGCCAGAAGAAACATCTCTTCAAACAACTTTTATTCACCTCAGCAAAACAGGTACCCATTTGCGATAAACGATTGAAAGTTCAAAAAGTGCAGAAGACGAGAAAAAGTATGCCGGTTTAATCTCAACAAAACTCCGAGAATTGCGCGAGATTTTGCGACGAGAGTTGAGACTCACCGTTGACCATGAACATGTTAGTGATCAAATTTGTACATTTGAATACATTCAAAAGAAAACTTTTCAGATTGCATGTCTTGGTGTAGAAGGAGATCATTTTCGATGTCGAGATTATTCCCTTAATCATCCATATCATTTTCTCATTGTTGAGGATAGGTTTTCAATTCTGATAAATCGGTTTCAAATGTGTTTTTCTCAATTTTCAGTTCTCGTGGAGCTGCCGTTTATTCACTAGAGCGTGATCTCAATGGAGAAAGTCCGGGTCGAGTTGAAGCCGCCATTCTTGAGTCAGTATAAGTATAAGAACTTGAGAACAGAGCTTGAGTATAAGAAGAACAAGAAGAAGAAGAAGAAGAATAAGAAGAAGAAGAACAAGAAGAAGAAGAAGAATAAGAACTGAACTTGAGTATAAGAAGTTTTTTTTGATTGTTTCTATTTCCCTTTTGAATATAAGTTTTTGATTGTTTCTATTTCTATAATACTTTATGTGGAAATAAGTTGTTTCCCATTTTTAGTGCTTTATCGAGGCACTCAAAACATCCGCTTTCTCTTCATGCATCAAAAGAAGGTGAAAAAGAGGTATGCTACAGAATAAATTTGATCAATTGCATCAAAAGCCTTTTGATTTCAGGTGGGCTTTGTTCGCGAACTCACCATTTCTGAACTCGAGCACTTGGGACGAGTGGCGACGAAGAAACGTTTCCCTCGCACCTCTTCTATTTCACCCACCGAACTCAACGCCATCGATCCACAGATTCTTGAAATGAGGCAAAGCATTCATCATTTTTTTTATCAAACAAAAAAACCCCTTTCAGAAATTCTGAAGGACTCGAGATTGAAGATCATCGTCTCACGATCGTTCCATCCAATGAAGTGTTTGATCAACTCCTGCAAAGATATCGACATGTTTTTGTGCTCTTTTGGACAAATGGTTTTTTTTAAATGAAGACGAAATTCGATTTTGTTTTGCTTTCAGTTCGTTCATCTTCGGCGCACGCTTTTCATCAATTTGCAAAGCTGTCGAATTCTTTCGAAAAAACCGAGCATATTCAGCTGGCGGTCGTAAACTGTCATCAGGTTGACTTCTGCGTTGGTTTGTTGCTCGAAGTTGCAGGCTTGCATAGGGGAAATATTCAGGGTTGAACTATAAAGATTTCTTCACTGTTGTTGCCTATGAGAATGGTGGAAAAGTCGCAACACAAGAGCTGATTCTCGATGAAGAATTTTATCGAGGATGGATTGAAAGGTTAATAAATGTTCACAGTAAGCTCTTTAGGCCTCCTTATAAGGAATCTGAAGTGAAAGGGCGGAACTTATGTTTGATTTAGCAGATTTAGCTTTTAAACTAGAAAAAAGTATGAAATGACACCAAAATTTTGGGGATGGCGTATGGTTTTGCACCGAGTGAATTTTCGTTTTTTGGCTGTTACATTTTCCCTATTCATGCTATGTCGATGATTTTTGGGGTTTAAGGGTTATTTTTGGTCCTGAATCTAACTACGTTTTCAGTTTTTTTTTTGTCACTGGCACGGAAGCCGCAGAAAATTGAAATTTAGGACGGTGGCGTATGGTTTTGCACCGCACTGTATAAGCGCACTGTTAGAGTCATAAAGCAGTAAAAAAAAAATGAAATCATTACAGAATTGTAGCCGGTCCTCTGATCGAGTTGAAAAGCAGCGAAGAGGTGGTGGCTGCAAAGAAAGGTTTCATTTAACTATTTTCATTTCTTAAATTAAATGAAAGCTTAAATTCTTCTCAATATTTCCTTAAGGTTTTCTCCTCGGTAAAGCTCGCTCAGCTATTTCCATTGCCACTTTGCCCTCTATCGACGATCCAGAATTCGTACACATTGCCAAGATTGCCGACTCAATCAGAGGTCGATATTATCTTGCCTACACAATTAAGCCTGGGTAAGAAGAATAGATATTTATAAGGTATTCAATGTATTTTCAGTTCAAAACCAGCTCTTGCCACCTATAGACCAAATGAGCGAAAGAAGAGAGTCGATTATTCGGGAGATTTTGATCCTCCATCACTTCTCAGTTTTCTCACCTTTTCTCCTCTTCCTGCACTGGTTTGAATGCTTATAAAGCTGATGAAACAAGCAAACAATGAAACAAGCTTATAAAGGAAATATCTTTCAGGTTGATATCACCAAGGGTTTCAATTCGGATTTGCTTCTTCGTCAACCCCTCCCGATCATTATCATGATCGCTCCAAAATCATTTGACACTAAACTATTTGAAGATTTTGCTTCAACACCCGGTTTCGCACACAATAAGTTCATCTATTGCTTCATACAAAGGTGAAATTGCATATTTCTAATCAGAAAAAACTATTTTCAGCGAAGGGTTCAAATTGAGAGACAAATTTCTTGAGCCATTGAAGCTCGAGAACACTGATGGCCCAATGTTTGTGCATCTAATTAAAGTGGGTTACCAAACAAAATCTATGAAAAAAAAAATCTTTAGAATAAAATGTGGTCTCGTGAAATCAATTCTGAAGACTCTGTCGCCAAATTGACAGAATGGATTTCAACTAACGAAGCCGATGAATCGCAACCGAAATGTATGTGCATTCATTTATAATTTATGGAAACTCTTTTTGTTGAAGTTTCAATCACCTACAACGATCCACACCCATTAATGTACCTTCAAATAGAAACTTCAAACAGGGTAATTTTCTCTAACTCTTGAGAAAGGAGTTAATATCACTTTAGATCTTTGGTGAACAACCGATTCAACCAGTACCAGATCTTTCCGTTTTTCAGATCAAGGCTCAAAAGGTAGTGAACGAAAAAAGATAAAACAACGAAAATATTATATTATCTACCTAACTTAGCCTTTACTACACGACATGGCCAAGTCAGGATCGGGTGGAGGATGTCCATTCATGCACGGGAACACTCTTCCTGCACATGATACCCAAGGTCGTCACGATGAACTTTGAACTTTCTGCATTGTCTTTCAAAGCAAACGGGTTTAAGAGGAATAAAAGTCGTTTCTGAATAAAATTCAAACATAGAAATCTTTATTTCTAGCGAGATCAAGTTAACACCGTTCAAAAACTTTGTACAATTGACTGGTTGAGGTTAACTGGACAAACGGCGTAAAAATCTTCTCTTCTCCACTATCATCGACCCATGTTCTCGGGGGCAAAAGGTGTTCCCGCATTTTTGGAAGTAGCACATGCTAAAGAGAAGAATTAAACTAATTTCTTTTTGTAAAACTCAAAAATTAGGTATTAGCAAGATCTGTACAACAAAACAAATCAAATAAACATTTATTTCAACCTGTATTAGTTCTCTCCAAGTCGGCAAAAGCTCGGTAGGATGTAGTTGACTTGGTGATGTGCCAATACAATATTTTGATCGTAGAACAAAGAAATTTGCCAGTGCCACGGAAATTTTTCGAACAGTGAAACCTTCCTAAAATTGAACGCAATTGAACGCAATTGAACGTATGACCTCAACAAAAATCTCAATTATTAATTCAATTTATGACGGTAGCTAGGCCGAAAAGGCAAACAAATACCTGGGATAGTCCTATCGCTAAAAGTTCATTCAGAAACAGAGGTAGGTATTCTAGTTGTGGGCAGAATCCATGCACCATTGAAGGAAGCACAGTGAGCATCAATTTTTCACCTGAAATACTAATTTATGTCGACAACCAAGTGCGGAAAAACCCAAGGGCAGATAAACCAAACCTTCGCCAATAACAAAACCAATCCCGAAATATTGAAGAAGCCAATCCTTGTTTTGGGTTAAACGCGAAAATGCCTAAGCTTTTTAGCAAATAATAATGCAAGTAGAAATAATACCCACCTCCTCTGTGTGAAATGTTTTATTAGCTGATAAAGGTAATGTTGCCAAAATGTCTTCTACTCGTAGATTGTATGCCTGTAAGTCAAATCGCCCGTGATTTCCAAAACCAAAAACCGCCATCTAAATAAAAAACAAAATTAGTTCGAAAATTTCAACATACCTCATAGAAAAATTGCCACAGTAATCGATAAAAGTCAGCGATAAACAAATCAGGACCATTTTGCATAAGAATACGCTCACAATCAATCGCACCAACAAACACGGTTTTCTAAAAATAACGACCAAGCTACAGGTTACTAAGCAGTTAGAGATCAACCTTGAAAAAATGAATAAATTCCGGAGAAAAACTGGTTTTGATTTCTCTGTCAAGCGACTGAAATTCTTTGATTAGTAGCTCTTCCAACTCTTTCACCATCTAAATTTATTTTTGGTAACGAAAATTGGTAATTACAAACCGTTGGTTGAACTTCTTCTTTAATTAACTCCACCGCAAAACTTCGACTCTTTGGTGACATAAATTGTTCCAGAGTCCTTTCTTTATGGTCGGTTCTGACTGTCTGCAATAATTTATCGTATACACGATAAAAAGCTAGTTTACCTCTTGAGGACGTTGGGCGAGAGGTGAGTTCTTTAAAGCATTGCTTTGAGAACTAGCTACGGATAGGTTTGACTTAGATGATGATGTTTTGCTGAAAAGTCAGCATAATTTTTACGCTAGTCATGGGCTTACCCAGACTAAAACGGGTTTGTTCACTAAATTGTAAAAGCCACTAACGCCACCCACCAACTAGGCTGGCTAGCCGAAGACAACGCTGGAGAAATATTTAACGAGTCTTTAACCAACATGTTGAGTTTCTAAAATTATGAATATTTATAAAATAAATAAGTAATTTATACCTCCTTTATACACTCAATTATCAGATCCTCATTCAGGAAAATAACTGATTCTTTTGTAGGATGAACATTTACATCAATACATGTAACATCTATCTAAAATTTATGGTAAAATAATAAATAATTGAGTCTTTTACTTGAATGCTCATATAAGTAAAAGGAGAAATTACAGCATGGGCCGCAAAGACAGAGTCAACTGCATGCCGCAAAGCATTGCACAGGACAATCCGATTGTTTATAAATAGGAAAAAAGTTTTTCCTCGTAACTAAATTTAGATTTAGAATAGTTATAACACATGGAACCTATTAACCTTTTTTGCATTGACCGCTGTGGATGTAGCGGCCGAAGTAGGCCGTGTGAGTGCACACTCAAGAGAGAAATTGAGAGCACTATCGTTTAGGGTGAACTCTAGCATGTCCTAAAAACTTTTGTTACTTTTTTCAATAAAAAATGTACCTTTGTTAGGTGTGATCCCAGCAATGCAGCAATAACAGCTCGCCGATCGCCATCACCTTTGGTTCGAAAATTCTTTCTATCATCGCCACGGCAAAACGAAAACGATACATCCCTAAAACCAACAAGCTTCTTGATGCAATAAATTAGTTTGAATGTATAAAAGCACTTACGGACGAAGTACAGCAAAACGAGTAATAGCATCTGCAATCCGACTATTTTCTTCAGCAATATTTTTGAATCCCTTCAAACAAGAATAAAAACAAATCACAAAAATAATTTACATTTAATCGAGCTGGCCAGTTATAAAATAGTTCTGTAGCAATAATCAAAGTTCCATTTAGTCCTGAGCTTGGCTTGACAGTACCAACCAGTTGACCCTCTAAACATCAATTATGATATTTCTTTGAAAAAGAACCCAACCAATATAACTCGCTTCAAAGGCACAAATTTCGTCCTTCGTTTTGGTTTTTATGGAGACCTAAAATGGAAATTCAAAATTTCTGAATAATAAGTATAAAGTCAAAAGAAAGTGACCTTTGAAACTTGCGATAGAGCACTTAGCGCCTCACCCCGGAAACCAAAAGTACGCATGTTTCTGAGGTCGTCAAACGTGGTCAATTTTGAAGTGGTAAATCGCTCACAAACAATCGGCAAGCATTCCTTTCTGATTCCACTGCCATCATCCTAATAGTGATTTAAGATCGTGAAAACTATTAACAACCACGAACCTCAACACGAATCAGATCCAGCCCCCCTCGTTCACATTTAATTATTATTGATCGTGAGCCAGCATCAAGGCTATTCTCAATCAACTCCTAAAACGTAAAAAGGTTATTTGTTAAGATCGAGTAAGATTACTGTTACTAAGTGTAATTAATCACTTTGAGAGCATTTGCGGCTCGGACGACAACTTCCCCTGCAGCTATCCGCGCTACCACTTCATCAGGCAAACGTCGGATTTCAGCCATTTATATACAGTACTCACTTATAAAATGGCCTAGATAGGCAATCATGACAATAACTAATGCAATGTCATTAAACAGGGTAATGCTGGCGTTTAACTTTCAAGACTTTAATGCAACTTTAGAAACTTTGGAACTTTTTATTCAAAGAGATATACACGTTGTTCGGAGATCAAAAACTGACATGAGATTACAACCATAATCGAGCCACACACAAATAAGTTTGCAAAATGATCAATTAAGGCAAAATATTAAAAAAATAGCATAGCGCAAATAAAACCTTAAAAAACTTTCCAGTCAAGCTTGTGTGAGCATTTTTCGTGAAGGCTGAACAAAGCTCTCGCAGATGCATTCCTACATATTTACCTATTTTAACAAAATAACTGCACAAACCTAGCCTCGATGTTTCCTGTGGATTCGTAGAAATGGGTAGATAAGCGCAAACCTTCCTAAATATGGTCATTGTTTTAGGCATACCATCGGCTAGGTAAACATATTGAATCTAGCTTAAAGGTGCTTTTTCTAATGTTTGCCAACCCTTACCTTCATCCAAGGTTTAACCCGAACTTTCTTTGAGTACAGGATAAATTTGTACAACCATTCAGGGGCATTCATTCGATCTATATTTAAACATTAAATATACTGTAAAAAAAAAGTCTACCGTTTCCTTTTTGATTGAGATAGAAGTGAGCCATTGTACCAGCAAAAAGTGCTTTCTCAACACCACGGATTTCATCTTTTGCTTCATTTATCGAATTCAGTAAGGGCAACGCCTCATCGAACTTTTCTTGCTCAATCTAAAATGAGAGTTACCACCGCTATTTTCAATATATGCAAACCAAAGCAAATGCCAAGCGTCGTGAAGTCATCCATATTAAAGGTTTAGCCTGTGAACGAGTTGCAAAGCTAAAAATCTATGTCAAAATACAAAAAAAAATGTACCAAAGAGCTTGTCTAAGTGATGTTTCCGCCTTGTCAAAATCGCGCTGGAGAGCATATAGACCACCAAGAATCGCAAGAAATCTAAAAATAACTTATTTGAAGAATATTGCCAGATCAATTTGAACAAACCTAATTCTTTCAATGGTCCTCACTTCGTTTAATACATTCGGCTCAAACTTTTCCAATGTTTCGATACCTTCCAACAAACGCCCATTTGCAGCAAAAACAGTAGCAAGTCTAAAATATTTTTTGACCAAGAACGCAACTCAAGCAAACCTGAAAGTAAACTCGTATTTATCATACTGCTCAATTTCGCGTAAAAAATACAAGGCCTTCTCTAATTCGCCACGGAATACGGTCATATCGAAAAGAATCAGCATTTGGCACAGCTGCAGTAGCTTCAAGCACTAAATCCCTTTCTTAAATGTAGTTGCACTTTTCAAAAATAACCTCTGGGTGACTGTTGTTTGTAAATCTTCTTAATGACCTTTTCACACTAGATAGCGCGCCGTTCCATCTTCCGGTCAAAGCTAGAGCGTAAGCTTCATTCACCCTCTTTATTACCTAAAAATGGAAATTACACTCGAAACTTCTTTTAATTCTTTGATCTCACAAAAGCGTTTGCTAAAATTCTTTTAGCAATACTATAAACATTTTTAATACTCACAAAAGGTTCAGTGTCGTGACGAGATACGATCTTATCGCCTGTATTTATATCTCTTGCCCGCTTACCAAAATCTTGCACCTAAATCCTAGCATAATTATTTTGTTTTAATTTGCTTTTAAAAAATGCAGTGTTTAGGTGTAATTTAGATTAAATACCTGTCTTAAATGGCCGTGAAGAAGCAAAACAGTCGACTTTATGGCAGTTGCGGTTTCAAGGTATTCTTTTGTGTAGCCATAGGGATCGTTCAATCGGGTCCAGTCGTTATTTGGTGGTTGCATGTTTAGAATACCGCTAAAAATAAAAGGAGTATAATGGCGGTTTTCTTGAGTAATACCAATTTGTTGGATTTCCGCTCAGCACGCTTTGCATGACGCTAACAAGCATATTCCCAAAGTCAAAGCAATCAGCCTAAACCACTAAATTGATCAGACTCACACTTCTTGCCAACCTGTCTCTTTTGCTCCAAAGGGTTGATAAATATAGAAGATGATTTTTGTGATTCATCAAAAATAGATGGAGATGATTGAGCTGTGGCGTTGTGCGCAGCTGCCGTGTTTGGTGATTGTGTTGTCGAGGAAAGCTGATTTGCTGGCCCACTATTATCTAACGGAATAGTCGGGTCTCCGTTATCATATGTAGTGATTTCCATTGTAGATTCTTCTGAATCTTTTTGGCGTTTCATAATCTAACTAGATAACGCACCATTCAAACCAAGGTTAGACTGAGCAGTAGCATCTTCATCATTGAACTAAAACAAAGGCGTGCAATCAGTATGTAAAACTTACCCATTGTCCATTTTCAAGGCGCTTGGGACCAGTTTTAGCGGCATAAGCATCAAAGCGTGGGTACTTTTTTCCACAGCGAGCCGCTTCAAGCAGAAAACTCTTCAATGTAAAAATTAAACGTTTGCTTTCCAAGACTTACTCGAATTTCAAAAACTGCCATTTTTAACATTTCGTCGTCTTTATGCGTTTGAGCTAGTGACATAACGTCCTCCAAATAGTCGGCAGCTTTATCACTAAATAGGACTAGATTAAAGGACTTGAAATAACAAACTAGTTTTGCTGTAGACGATACAAGCGGCTAAATAGAAGTGAGGCAACCCGCTCAATTCTAAATTAATGCAATAATTTACTAATTCACAGCTGAATCTTACGTCGAAAGCGAGTTCGTCGTCGTCTTCTTCTCAAAGCGGTCAAAAAAATGAGTTTGAGTCAACAACAACGAGGCAATGAAGTCGTGAAGAGAATTGCTTGCTTTTTGATAATCATAAGATCGCTGATGAACCATTGTGGTCAACAAGCTCTAAATCGTAAAAATTAATAGAGTTGTAGAAGATTTTTATTGAAATAAGTATTGTTAGATATATTTAAAACTTACTGCACTTGCCATTCGTGGATGAAGTCGCGTGATAATATCAAGAAAAACCAACATAGTACGATTAGCCTCCACGTGCAATGGCGCAACCTAAACTCCAAACATAATTTCTGCAAAAGCTTCTAAACTACCTGAAGCATGTGCATCCTTTTGAAAACCCATCGTTCGGCTTCCATTGGTGAGAATATAAACGATGGAATCAAATTTGGGCTGAAACATACACCTATTTAATTAAAAAAGAGTAAAAAACTTACGGAACAGTAATCGATCTATCATCGTCGAAACCATGAGGCCTGCTATGTATCCCCATTTCATTTAGCGTCCTTGATTCCAATGAGAGTTGCCACTTAAATAATAATTTTGCTTCTTTTAAAACTCAAACGAACGTCGCGAAAACCAAGGTCTAAAAAATTAAATTAGTTTGGCTCCTAATTTATGCATGCAACGCGATATAAAAATATTTAATTATTCAAGATGATTTCGTCAAATTCATTTGATTATTGGCTAAATATTATGAATATTAATTGAATATCTTTCAAAGAAGGTCCATGTTTTTTTGAGATTAGGTGTCAAAATAGCGCCTATACAAAAATAGCGCCAAATTGAAAGAGACTGCGATTGGATTTTTCGATTTTGTCTTGATTAGGACCCAAAGTTTCTTTCCAAAATGAAAATTGTAAGCTTTGAAAAAGTGCTAGTTACCTTTTTCAGCAAGATTGAGAGAAAAGAGTTTCCTTGTAGAATTGACGATTTTCCGGTGGTAAGTAGGCTTCCAAACAAACATTTAATTCCAAAGCCTTCGTTTGCTCTGAAAAAAGCTTTGCACAAATGTTGTTGTTTATTTTCAAAAAGATCCCGCTCCTCTATAATTCACTGCCCCTGACTAGAAGACCCTTTTCGGCTTCTCAAATTATTTTTTACTGAAATTTTGGTTTGATTTAAGATGTAATTCAAACTAACGCGTTTTGAAAAGCTGATTTCAAATTTGGGAATGCTTTCGCTAAATCGACATCCAGTTCCTCAAAACTTCGTGCTTTCGAATTCACAAGAGCGGTGCATATTTGTTTCAACAGCTGAAATGTCGTTAGTTTGCGTTGATTTCCTTGTGCTACTAACCTTTAAAAATTCATAGGATTTCGAAGAGTTTGTCTGCAAAGAAATGTCGATAGCTTGAATGAGTACAGCTAGATTTGCCTGAAATCGGGGTGTCCTTTCATTGAGCGTACAACTTGAACCTTGTAACTGGGTCCAGTTCCTGATGTTGATTGTGCTAGCGAGCTATCGAGCTGTGGTATCTGTGAAGTTTTTTCAAGATCTGTCTCCATCCCTAGCCTTGATTGAGATCATTAATTTTAACCTAAACCATTTTCATTACGTCATGTATCGATTTCTAATGAATGTCAGATATATTTTTGAATCTTTGAGTCCTGCGATGCTAGATTGTTTAGAATGTTAAAATTACTTTATTAGGCGAAATTTAAACTTCATGAAAAAATAGAGAATCAAGTCTTATTGTTTGGTATGAATGGAAAGTGGCGGGCATGGTTGAGCAAAGAATAAAAAGCCAAAAAGCACAACGTTGTAGCACTCGAAGGAGGGTAGGTAATACACTTTTTCAGTTAACTTCTAAAAACAAGCAAAACGAATTCAAATAGACAGTAACCTGGTCACCTAGAGAAAGCATATAAAATAGTTTGAAATGCAAAATAAGATGCATAAAATCTCGCTTAAAAAAGATCTTTTCAAATAATTTTGAGCATGATTAGCTTAGGTAGTGCAAAATGCACGTTTAGCCCGTTCATTGCAATACTAATTCTTCACAAAAGTTTTACCCGAATTGATCATTTTGGGGCGGAAGTAGATTTGGGAAAAAAAATGACAAGAATATGCTAATTGTAAGATTAAGTAGGCAAGAAAGTAAGAAAGGGATATCACAAAGCTGCACGACAAGTTCAATATTTCTTTATTCACATCACAGCGCACTTCTGCTTTCCCTTTTTCCCTTTTTGTTTCGCGTTCTTTACTCCGTTATCCTGGAAATTGTTGTTGATTACTTAATAATTAGCCAATGAAAACTTAGTATGCTTTCAAAGTGTCCCCCTTGCCCACTCAACTGAATATCTTCTAGTTTCATGGAGAATTTCAAACAAAAGCGGCAGCTACGAAAAATCTACGCAGAAAAAGGAGCAAAGCTTCGTAGCTTTCAGAGCTGCGCCATTTGTTTTGAATTTTCCCACAAAATTAAAAGATATTCAGCTAGAGCTTAGGGGGACACTTTGAAAGTATAAAAGTTAGCGATAAAACTCACGGCCAGATCAGCTTCATCATCGGGAAAGCTTTTCACAATACGCACCAACTCGTGAAAAGCATTATCCACATTAATGGGTGGATCTTTTGCAGAAGTCTTAATATCAATATTTTTGTAATTTTCATTCAATCACCTCAATGTACGGTAGTCGCAATTCGGTGGCGAGAGTTTTCCCTTCTTGTTCAGAAATTACACGCTGATTAACGAGATCAGTCTAGAAATGATTTTGTAGAAACTTTTTGTTCACTACTATTCATTTTTTGAAGCTGTTGCTTGCTTGAATATTTGTTTAAAACTGACTTTATTTGCCACAAGTATTATAGGTGCTTCCGTTGCATCTTTGACACGAAGTACTTGACGATACAAACGTTTCGCTTCTTCGAGAGACTTTCGATCGCATACCGAATAAACCAGCATGAAACCCTTAAATTGTGAAGTTTTTTTTTCAGTCTTACACTACTTCTATACCTTTCCAGTCCTCATATACTGTTCCCTCATAGCACTAAACTCCTCTTGACCGGCAGTATCCAATACTAAATAATTTTAATAGCAAAAGCTTTCAGTGATACAAACCATCCATAATAATCCACTGTCCGTCAACTTCACAATGCTGAATGTACTGGTCTTCAATTGTCGGATCATAATAATCGACGAATTGTTTCTGAAAGAGTTATTAGAGTCATAGCTATTATTTTCTGTTTTTGTACCTGAAAGAATTGTATTGTTAATGTGCTTTTGCCAACTCCTCCACCACCAATTATCACTAAGCGATATTTAGGCAATGAAGAATCATCTTCTGGTGGTCGACCTTTAGCTGACAGAGCCATTCTGAAAAACTCGTAATGCTTCTCGAGTCTTCTATTTCTATCACAAAAACTCTAAATAGTTTGCCGTGAAAACTTTAACAACTTTTTGTTTGCAAATTTAATGCTTTTTCTGAACGTTCCAGTTTAACGCATTTATTCAAAATGTAAGGTTCATGTAACCAAAGAGTTTTCAAAACATAACATTATGGTAACAATTTATTGAAACAAATAGGTAACAATGTTCACCATTGGTTAGACGAGGCATTATTCCAATCTTGATTTCCTGCTCCCTGAGCCCAAGACTCGGCAGCAGTCTCAGCAGCCCAGTCCTTGATCTCGGGTTGAGCGTTGAAGTCGATGGCTCCAGGCTCAGCGGTGCTCACGTACTCTTGAGCAGCGGCATCGGTGGCCTCGATCTGTTGAGCCTCTTCCTTCTCTTGCTCAGCTGGATCACGATAGAAGTAAAGGTCGGGCATGATCTCCTTATCATCGAGGATGAAACCGGTTTGATGAGAGATCTTTCCCTTGATGGTGAGAACCTCACGGGCCAAGAACCACCAAAGAAGACCAACCGATTGAGCTCCCTAAACATCATTGTTTTTCGTCTTTTTTTGCATCTTTTTTGCAAACCTTGTTGTTGCATGGGATCGAGATGTCGACCAACTTGAGTGGTGAATCGGTGTTAGCAAAGCTGATCACGGGCACGTTGGCGTACGAAGCCTCAGTGACGACCTGAAATAGTTGTTTTTCAGATATTTTAAGTTAGTCGTCAAAAAGATTGGGGTTTGTCTTGCTAAATACCTGGTGGTCAACACGTGGATCCGAGATCACGATAACTCGTGGCTCCTTGTAGTTCTTCTGGATCTGGTTGGTGAGAGCACCTGGAGCAAAGCGTCCGAAGATTGGAGTGGCTCCAGTGTGAGCAGCGAACTTCATGAGAGCACGGTGAGCGAAAGGTCGAGCCGAGACAACGATAACATCAGCAGGGTTCTCAATGGCGGCAATAGCACGAGCGGCAAGTTGGAGCTTTTGCCAGGTCTTTCTCAGGTTGATGATGTAGGTACCTAAATTTTCTCTGTAGAGTACAAATCAGTAATGGTCGTTTTATGTGCAGAAAAACGAAGTCTATGACTAATAAATTAGCATAGGTACCGTAAATACTGTAATAGTACCCCACCCCCCTCGTACAGTCGCGTAGTCGCAAAAGTTTTTAGTATTTCATTTTTTTCAAAGCGCCCGTACTTTCAAAAAATGCGTCTTTGGTATCAAAAAATAGCTGAAATTCAGGGCTATTTTTTGATACCTAAACGCGCATTGTAGCATAAACCAGTGTCGAGAAAAACTCGTTCAAAGCTAGACTACGCAACACTCCGCACCGTCATTATGGGAGTGGGGTACCATTACAGTATTTACGGTAGGTACATTCTACATACAGAAATATGCTATTACCTATTTTACATATGACAGCTGTCTTTTTTTGCAGTTCAAATTGAATCTGTTACCAACCGTCAACTCGACGCTTGTAGATGTATTGTTGCATTTGGTAGTCGACGTTGGTAGTACCGATATGGGTTTGTGAGGCCAAGAATTTCATCGCATCTTCCTCTTTGAGAGCGAACGGATCGAAACCGCCCGACATTTTACCTGTAAAATTCTTTTATTATTGATTTCTCATCGAAAGCTACAGAGAAAGTTTCGAAGCGTTTTATCAAGGCATTGATTTTGTTTGGGCACATGTGAAATGTTTCCTATTTCTAGTTTTACTGTGCTATTTTGAGTTTTCTTTCTTTTCTGTGAAAATATGGCAATGTTATGATTATCTGACTAGCTTTTATTCGCCCCCTGAATAAAGCATATATAAGTTTTGGCTTTTTCAAAAAAAAATATGTATTGCTGGCTCGTAGTAAGATTTAAAATTTTAAATAAAACATAAGCCTTAAGAGAATTTATAAATGGAAAAGGATTTATAAATAGAAATTCATTCGGCCGCAAGTATGAACAAGATGGTAGCCACAGTTACTACATATAAAAGCTTAATCTCTTTAACCCAAGACTTCGCATAGTAAAATTTAAAAAAAAAAGAACTTCTGAAAAAATATCATTGCAAAAAAAAGCTGATGTAGGTCTAAAATGGCGAGCAAATAATTTTTTGGAGGATAAAAGTAAAAATGGGGGGAAACCAGCTAACGCTACAGAAAACTTGAGGTCTTGTAGCGGAAAAAGTTGGCCTAGTGCCAAAATTTGACTCTTTTATATTGTGTAATTCGTTTCTTTCACTCTCTTTGATCTTGGCTCTATTATATGATTTTTGAAGATTATAAGTTTAGTAATGGCCAAGGAAGACAAGGATGATTTCTTTGGCATCGAAGTCCTCACCTCACTCGACTTTGAGCAGAAAAAGCAAGGTAGATTTGTTTTGTTTTAAACGTGATTTAACGTTTACAGTTTTTGCAACTCCGCCATCTGTTGAACAACAAAATAAGAAGCTGCCGGGCGTAGAATTTTTCGATTCCGCCTTTTTTCCAGAATTTGACGACAATTCACCGGCAAGTGCATTGTTGTTTTTGAACTCTTACCTTTTACTTCATTCTAGGAGACTTCATCACAATCGCAACAAGCTTTTTCCAGCAGCAATTATGTTGATGATCAGTATTTTGGGAAGTCGAGGTTTTTTTCAATGTGCTTGATATATTGTTTAGCATTTTTAGCATCAAAGCCACCCAGATGTCGCCAGACCCAGAAGTGCAAAGCCATAACAAAAATGCAAACATGAAGTAAAGTTTAGATTTTAGAAAAGATTGAATGTGTAATCAATTCAAAAATATTTTTCTTTTAGTCTCGTGGAAAAAGAAGAAGATTTGGAGCAAGAGTACCTTGGAAATGCTGCAACTAATCACGGGCAAGAGTTGTTTTCTGAAATGGTGCCGGTGTGGAAAATGAATCAAAAGGAGATGATTGAATATTTAGCATCGCAAGTGCTTTATTCCGATGGTAATTTTTAAATATTTTTTAGGTAAAAGTATGATTTTCAGATAAAATTATTGCCTTTGATAAACCGTATGGATTGGCGTACAGTGGTGGCCCATTTAATCGCCCACAATTTGATCGACTTCTTCAAGATGTTAATTTTTAACTCTTTCTAAAGTTTCGAGATCGTATTTTAGGTAAAATCTATTGTTTGTCCAAAAGTGGAAAGGCTACATCTAGTGAAAAGTCTCGACCGTAACGTTAGTGGAATCATGCTTTTTGCAAAGTAAGTATTTATTTTTCAAACTAAGTATCTATTTACCAACATCTTTAGATCATCTGCAGTGCAAAACGACTTGAAAAACATGTTCAATAAGAAGCAGCTTTCTTCTGAATATAGGTAGGTATTTTGTTTAATAATGTAATACCTATATGAAAGTTTCATTTAGAGGAGTTATTCGTGGTAGGCTCAGCTCTAATGAAGTTAAAGTGAATGTACCATTGGTGAAACAAATAAAGGATAAGGATGTAAAGGTTTTTAAAAAAAATATGAGATGAATTAAATTTCTCTTTTAGCTGATTCCAGTATTGGATACAACAAAAAGACGAAATGATATACAGTTCGTAGAGACCGAATTTCGAGAGTTAGGCGAGGGTGCGACGAGATATTGTTCTTACATTGGTATTTCTGTTAAACGAGGTGAGATTTTGATATGAATTTTCTCTATGTATATTCTGTGAAGCTTATAGAGATTTGCACTAATTAATTGCTTTAGAAATTCCTCACCAAATACGAGCGCATCTCTTTTTAAATCATTGTCCATTAATTGGAGAAAACAAATATACAAATGAAGCGCCAAGACCTCCGAAATTTGGCGATCACATTCTCCGTCTTCTTGGAATATCGTCTAGTCAAGCTCGAAAACTTCCGATGCTTCTACATCATAAACAAGTATGTTTTTGATTACCTAAAAGGGATTTAAAAAGATTTATGGAATTGACTTATAACATTTTATTAGTTTTGTTCTATCTGCAATTGATGGATTTAGATGGATATTCCAACCATGGGTCAAGATGGACGATCCCTGATTATCAACTCTCCAATTCCAGCCCATTTTTCATTTTTACTCAAAAAGCTGAAATTATTAAAAAGGTAGATCATGCTTTTCATTGAAGAAAAATTTTCTTATAGCTAGGATTGTTGTTATTGTTGTTTTTATTTCTCATTGTTATGTTGAGTCTATGTTTGTTTTTTGGATAGCGTGTAATAAAATTTACAACGAGCAACGTATAATTGAGCAAAGAGTCAGCAGCACATTTAATACTTTTTATATAGACTTGTTTTATTTGTTCTGTGGTAGCAATTTGATTTAGTTCCGCTCGTAGGGAATGCCCGTCGATCGGTACAAATTGAAAATATGGTAATGGATTCTTCATGGCGACTTGTGATAAAAACCAAGGAGTCAATTGGTGGTAAACTGACCCTGTCATTATAATTTTTTGTTAGATGGTAGACGAAAAACGTGTCCAAATCTGATTCGATGTCCACCTGAAGCAATTTTAACGCTAATATATGACATCATCATTGGTCGAGTCAATTTCGAGTCTATTCGGACAACGGGTTTTTCTTTTACGGTAAATTTAATTTATTTTTTATACAATATTTGCTTTTTAGAAGTTTGTTCTTTTAATTGCCCAAGCCCCCATCCCTGCTATCTTATACAACTGGTAAATTACTTTTGATTTTTAAGAAAAATCATTTGTTGTTTTTGAAAAGGAATTTTTCAGGGAATATCGCCTAAATCACGTTTTTTTGAAACAACTGGAATTGGAGCGAATCTTATGGAATTTATCAACTTTGGGAGGAGCTTTCTCAGCGATGGGAGATTATGACTTGAAATTTGTGAGATTTCATGTACGCTATTTGTCATGTAAATTTTCTAGGCAGACACGGCAATTTCCGTTTCCATGATTCAGCTACGTCTGGCCAAAGAGTTCGGTGATCCAGTGTTGATAGCAAGGTATCTTTGATATGGTTACAGTAATCTGTATTGTTAGGTGTCATCTTTACGTTGCACTAGCTCTTGCACAACAAGGATTGTTTAAAGAAGCATATCGAATAGTCAGGTGGGTCATGTTTGAGTCAGAAAAATATAGAATTAAAGATTGTTCTCAGATATAAAAAGTTTTATATGTTTTTGCTTTTTTAGGATACAAGCCAGATACTCGCAAGAGCTACAGTCACATTTGCTTTTTTCTTGTTGTCAAGGAGTGTGGGCTAAAATCACAACTATTCAAAAGCTCGGAACGGAAGCCTTAATTTCAAGATCATCTGAAACAAATAATTAATTAATCAGGTGATGAATTTTATTTTTGCATTTTCCCAAAGTTGTAATTTGAGCAATAAGGACCGGGTTTCTATGTAGTTTTACGCTGTGTATTTTAAAATTTTTCTCTGATTGTTTTACCCGTTTTATTCTTGCGATAAACGTTTTATTTTTCATAACTGTGCATCCCGATAAAAGCGTTTAAGGATTGTTTTCCTTGCGAGCGAGCCGTTCTTGCTGTGGCACCTAAAATGGGATGAAATCGAAACTTTGATAAACGGGGTGTCTGACATTGTTCCATCATTTCGATTTTCTTGTCCATTTCATCAATTTCGTTGATCAACTGGGAAAGCTTGTGAAAAATTTTTTCACACCTGAAAAAGTTGTTCACACCCGTTAAAGTTTTTTCTTCAACATACCCATTCATTAATTTCCTCTCTTTCTTTGTTGTCGGTTGTTCCGACTTCATCGAAGTTGTTGGCTGAATTTTTTTTTAATTTTTGGGGTTTACCAAGTACCTGGCTAATCTGCGCCTCCATTATTAGCAAAAACAGTGGATAGTTGGCTATAAGAATAACTAAATAGAAAGAAATCGGAGCATATTGATGTCGGGAAGCTTTCGAAATATCGATGGAGAGTGCGCTGAAGCGTGCTAAAAATGGCTCGAATATTTGAGAAAGTGGCCCCTTTCTACCCTCTAGAAATGTGTAGTTTACTAGAAAACAAAACCAAGAATTCGGAGGTGGGGTCTTGAAATTAAAATTTATTGAAAAATTTAACATTGCAAGCAGATTTATTGTTGCACATACAGAAATTCTCGTTTTCGAACATGTGAGAAACGGTGGTCTTTCAGATACTTACCGTCAATACTGTAATAGTACCCCACCCCCAGAATGACGGTGCGGAGTGTTGCGTAGTCTAGCATTGAAGGAGTTTTTCTCGACACTGGTTTATGCTAGGTATCAAAAAATAGCTGAAATTCAGGACTATTTTTTGATACCAAAGACGCATTTTTTGAAAGTACGGGCGCTTTGAAAAAAATGAAATACTAAAAAACTTTTGCGACTACGCGACTCTACGAGAGCCGTGGGGTGCTATTACAGTATTTACGGTAAGACTTACACTGTACGAACGATGACATGAAAGGTCTAAAATCAACAATCGGGAATTAAATAAGCTTAACATATTTGCAAAGTGTGTAAACAAGTTTATATAGATGAAGGGGAGAATCTCTGGAAGCGGAGGGGAAGTGAGGGAAGGGGATTTTTCAGAGGAAGACATCCATTGCGCGGCTCTCGCATCCCGACAGCTTTGACGAGCCTCTTTTCAAAGTTTTCTCTTCTTTTTTTGCAACCCTCCGACGAATCAACGATTACTTGCGTTTTTTTGACTCTATGAATCATCTCTATCTCTTCGCTCTTCTAAACTCTCCACTAAAGAGAAGCGGGTAATTCGAACTGGTAAACTCTATCACTGTCGCCATCAGCTACATTTCTTTCTTTTTTTTTCAGTCCACTTGGTAATATCTAACAAATTTGGTAATATCTAACAAATTTATCCTTTATTCAAAACACATTAATCTTATACAACTGTCAGAAGCTCGACTGGCTTACGAAAATGAAAACCACAGGGTGAAAAGGTGAAGAAAAAACAAACGATTGCTCTATTTATTTGCGGCCAGCCCATGCGTAAAAACGGCGTTTCTCAAAAGCTGGAATCTGAAAATTTGCAAATTATAACAATTTTTAATGTCTATTCTACTCACCTCCCATGTTTGTGGTCCCGAGCGCTTTCCAGCCCAGGCGTAGAATCTGAAAGCATTATTTGCATGTTTTAATATTGGAAAACATTATTTTCTTATTTATTATCATATATTAGAATTGATAGAATTTGAACAGTAAAACGTACTGCTTCCTTTTGGCGATCGGCCCAGGGAAGGCATCTTCAAGTTGGAAGGGCGCTGCGCGCTTCAATGGAACTCCCATATTTTCCCAAGAGTAGATAGGCCTCATCTGGAATTTTCTATATTACAGAGCTTTCCTTTTCTGTCAACAATTGTGTTTTCAAGAGGACACCAAATTTTAATCATAAATCTCTTTGAATTAGTCTTTTTTTTTGGATTTCAAGAGGTTATTAAAGCTGCGAGAGAAGGAACAGCCAAGCGAAGAATGTGCGAAGAAGAAGAAGAAGAAAGCGAAGAAAAAATTGGGGCACAAAGCAGCCACGATATAATTTATATGTGGATTTAAAACGAGAAAGGGGAAAGAGAGTGGCTAGGTCTTGAGATGTTCCGTGTCAGCTCTTGCCCTTTTATTTCTCCGTTGTTTTTGTTCTTTTCCCCTTTCAAACGCAATATCGAAAGCCTCGAGATACCCATTTTTCTTAGCTTCGTTTCACCTAAGGATCAAGCTCGAAAAATTTCCCAGTCATTCGATTTTTTTGGGAATCTTTGCTTTGTTGAGAGAAGTTTTTGTATCCCAGTGATCGGGTATGCTTGACGAGTGAAAAAGACAAAGGATGGGGAAATAAGTTGCCCTGGGAGAACGGTGAATATTGGACAGTGGGGGGAAACAATGGACAAACGCTTGCCTAGAGAAATTCCATAAAAACCACACACGAAGTTTTGTGAAATGACATCAATAATCCCTTGAAATGAGATCATCCAAGTTTTCAAAGCAGAATTGGGATAAAAATTAGTGAATTGGGGTTTTTTTTTGTTTCATGAAACAATGGGTTTCACAAAAAAGAGATTTGGGTGTTTCATTTGCAGAATGTGATTAATTTTCTTCGCAATGACGTTTCTGTGAAGATGAAGAACAGTAATGGAAAAGGATTTGTTGGAAATTTGAACTTAAATGAAAAGTTTTAGGTCTGGGAGAATGGGTTTAGTATGATATGTGTACAAGCTTTCATGAATTTTTTTTCTTCTTTGAAATTCTTTTTTAAAAACCCTAAAGCCAACAACTAGAGAGATGCAAATTGTCTTAGAAAACGACTATCGCGGAACCAAATCCCCACGTCTTCTCGTGGATATACGAATCGGAACTTTGTGCTCGCGAAATCAAAAAAAAAAGAAAAGACGAATTTAGGGAATCGACGGGAAAAGGGATTGAGAAATTGCAAATTGAATGGTACCTCCTGGTGGTCGTCGGCGTGTTGTGTGAGCACAGAGGAGACGAGAAGCATGCAGCCAAAAAGAATACATGACACAAATCGTCCCAACATTGTTGAAAACTCGCTGAAATAATCGAATTCACTTCTTTTTTTCCTTTTTGCGCTTCTTTCTCACCAACAACTGATTCACTTTACCCCTTTGCCCCCTATAAACTTATCCCACATCATCGGAAATCTGATTTGTGACCCACCGCCCATATTTTTGCTTATCTTTAAATGAGGCTATTATTTTCTAGCCGCAAAATCGAGAAATGACCGATTCAACCGTGAAAATTAGCTCTTTGATTATTTGAGCGATTTTCTTATGATCCGGAAAATCTATAGAAAATTTTTTGAGATTTCTATGGTTGACTAGTCATGATGGAAGTTTGTCCATCGGGAAATGCTATTTTTTTAAAAGATGAGATTATCTGGAAGACACAGGTACAGAAATTCGAAACGGGATTGGAACTTCACCAAAAGGAAAAGAAAACTTGTCATAAATTTCGTCAGAGAAAGACATTTGACCATACAAGTCAAGCGGACATGCGTTAAAAGAAATTTGACTTAATTTGGCTCAGATTTTCGTGTGTCTAGACTACGGTAGCTAGTTACTACAAATTAGCTTTCAGAGAACTTGGAACGTTTGAAGGCTTAGGCTATGGTGGGACATATGTTTAGAGTTCTAAATCCCAGAAATATAAACAGACCAAGAACCCACCTGAAATGTAGACTCTCCGAATAGGCTTGGCGTAAAGAATGAGGTGTTGTAGGGATTGGGGGAGTAGAGGCTGGTGGAAGAGGAGGGGTGGGGCCCTCCTCCCCCTCCTCTCCCTCTCCTCTCCCTCTTCTCTGTCCCATCTTTGTGTTCAATGGCCCGCTATCTTTTTTCTCTTAATTGTCTCTCTCTTTTTAAAGATTATGATTACAATAGCGGCGATTCAAAACTCTGTTTATGAGCTCGATTCAGTCGGCCGATTAATGAAAAATTAAAAATCGGAGACATGCGATTTCCGAGATTCTTTTATTTGTGCCTATTTTAAGCAGAAACAAAAATTTAGATAAAACTTGATGTCAGATCAAGTTTTATAAACCGATAAACAAGATTTATATCGGTGTTTAGGCATTCTCGTGATTTAGTGATTCCATCATTAAAAGAGTCCACACTAGAGTCTTTTCAATTTATCTATTTGTGTTTTTTTTTCTCATCTTCATTTCTCTATGTTAATTTTAGACTTGCTTTTGATTGAAAATGGCAAGCACTCAAGATTTGCAAATAACAAGAATGGTGTAGGCGTGTATAGAAAGCAGCTCGTCATTTGACGTCTATTTCCATAGCGGAAGATATTGAGTGTTTAGAATTGACATGGGATTGATCGAGAAGAAAATGAAGGAAAACAAGAGGAAAAGATAGGACGAGCAATTCTAGAGGTTGAAGCACTCTCGACTTTGCCTCGCCTCTTTCTTTTTTTCTTTTTTTGGTAAGCAATATCTACACTGTAACGAAAAAGGAAGTCCATGAAAAGCTCTGTTACTTTGCAGTTTCGACTTTGACTTTGTATTCAATGAAAAATATTTATTGCCAAATCTAATAAGTACTTCATTACATGAACAAATCGACCAGAGTTATCAAAAAAAAACCGTCGAGGGAACGCTTGACTATTTGTTGAGAAAAAATATTCTAAAATATTAACACATTGGCGACGACTTGATACGCTATAATTCTCAAAATTTGTCCTAATATGCAAGTTTTGTTTCCATTTCCGAATCCACCTTCAATTTTCTTCAATAAAGTAGTATTTTCTTTTAAATGCAAAAGACTGCAAAAAAAAGCGACTCTGCGCGTTCTTTTCATGTCACTCCTAGGAAAAGTGGCGTCTGATACACTGCCGCGGATGTGGGCGCGCTCAAATTGGGTAATTAAACGGGCCTCAAATATTATTTTCAATAGGGAACTTGTGGTTTTTCTTTACGAATTAATGTTTGTAGCCTCAAATAATTCTAGAATCAAAACCATCAAAAAGTGCGATCGATTTAAACCCAAACCCAAAAGAAAGGGGTTCTTTTTTTTTAACACAAAACAAAACTTGTTTGTTTTGTTTTTCAAAATTCCGGATGCCCTGATTTCTATTGAAAAAAAAGATCAAGTGCTATCTGAAAGCAGCATCCTCAAAAACAGCTGGGTATAAATTTTGAGCTCTACAACAAGCAAAAAACGCCTTCATTTGATAGTCGAGTTGTCGCCAATATGCTAAAGAAAAAGATTGCACTTAAAAATGAAAGAGCTGGAAGAAATATTTGGGCAGTTAAAGGAAAGACAATTGTTTGGGCTCTAGGAATGAGCTTTCAAAGTACTGTAAAGCCTGTCTATCTCTCTACAGTATTCTGAAGTAACAAGTACTTAGCTAATAGGATTAAATGGATATTCACTTCAAAAGATAAATACTTTTCTCATGTATACTGTAATGTGACAGGATTTTAGGCTTTACTTTTTTGAAAAAAAGAGTAATAAAGGGGGGTGGGACAAATGCGACCTTTTTTGCGCACCTGGACATTTGCGCACCTTTTTTTTGCTGGAAAAGGCCTTAGGAAAGGTCGAAGAGCTTCAAAAATGTTTTCATAGAAGGGAATCGTATGCGTAGATTCCGAATTTCGACAAATCAGACCTCGCTGACACGTCAAATTTGGGCTAAAAGGCAAAAACTACGCAACTTAACGCTTTTCCGCAGTTTTTGCCTTTTAGCCCAAATTTGACGTGTCAGCGAGGTCTGATTTGTCGAAATTCGGAATCTACGCATACGATTCCCCTGTATGAAAACATTTTTGAAGCTCTACGACCTTGCCTAAGGCCTTTTCCAGCAAAAAAAAGGTGCGCAAATGTCGAGGTGCGCAAAAAAAGGTCGCATTTGTCCCACCCCCGTAATAAAGTATTGAATAAGTACAAAGAAAGAAAGAAGCCTGAATGGCTGAAATGGAATGTATTATTTCTGACTGGATAGGAAAAGAAAAATAAGAAAAAGTAACGTATCAAAATATTCGATTCAAGCTTTCTAAAATGGTTCTTGTTTCATGCGAGACGGCGCCACACGAGAGATAATTTGTAATCTGAAATTCCTTTATCATTGTCAAGAATGAATCTTCTTTCTCTCTTTAATTTAATTTTGTTTTAAATAATTTACTTGATGTCGAGCCTGTTGAGTGATTTGCTTGAGTCGTTGATTCTCGTCGCGAAGATTGTGCATTTCTCTTTCGTTTACTTTTCCTATCGACTCCGTGTTAAGAATACAACCCTGAGTTCGCAAGAGTTCCGCCTAGACATAAAAAAACTCTCAAAAAAATTGATTGCTTTTGCAAACTTGTAGGTGATCTCGAGTTTCCTCAAGGAATCTCATTCGCTGCTCACAATCGGCAGCTCTTGATCGCATCAGTGAACACTCGAAACAAGACGATGTTCCATTACAGGAACCTGGACTTGATCCCGATGTGTGGCTATCTAAAAACAATAAAACAATAAAACAATAAACAATAAAGATTAACTATCAAACAATAAAGCGTTTGGACATTTGAATGTTTTTTTTACCTGATGGAGAAATGTGGACTGGCTCTGGTGCCTCTTCATTTCTTCCAGTTCGAGGCTCAATTTTCTGGAAGTTTCTTGTTAAAATAGTCTTAACGAAAAGTTCCTACAAGCATTGGATGAAAAGCGCTTGGTGTGTCAGCCTCTTTCTTGAACATATTTCCCGGAAAAGCGATTACGTTTTCGATGGGACTATTTTGGGTAGACGAGATGTTAATTGAAGTTGATAAATCAAGAGTTGACGAACTGAATTGGGAAAACTTTACAGAATTTCGTAACACCTCCCACCTTTTTTGCTCACCGCTCATGCGCGCATCTTCACTTTCACTACCCGAGGGTTGAGAGTTCTGCAAAAGAAATGTTATGGTTATTCGTTGCAACGTGTTTCCAAACCTCATCCATGCCTAAAGTCTCGTCGTTTTCGACATTAATTATGTCTTCAGGGCACTCTTCGTTCCGACATTGTAGCTGAGTCGGTGATTTGTCTAAATTCAAGCAATTAAATCAATATGCATTGATGTTAAAACCTTGCTGATCGAGTGGGAAAAGTGATGAACTGAGCCACGAAGGAGTGAGAGAGCTCTGCGGACCAAGAAGAGCGTTCAACATTACCCTTTCTCGTATTCTAAAGCTGAAAATATCTAGATTATTTTTTCAAAGAAACCTGGACAAGACTTCTTCTGATGGACGGCCAAGTGGAGAAGAAAATAGTGGAAGAGATGGAATGGGCATAGGAATACCTGAAAAAGAAGAAATGAAGAACTTTAATGAAATTTTGATACCTTGTGTCAATCCAAAATGTGGTGGAAGAGTATTATTATTGATCGGAATTGGTCGCAATGGTGAAAATGCAGAGGATCCGACTAAAAGTTAAGAGTTTATTGAAAGATTAGATTGAGATTAGATTGAGATTACCTTCAGTTGGTGTTTCGAGTTGCGATTGAATGATGGGAATTTGATTGAGTGGAAGATTTGAAAGCGAATTTGGTAGAAAATTTGAGAGAAGATGAGGGAATGGAGCGGCAGTGGATGGTGGGGGTGGACGATCTCGATCTTCACTACCATCTCCAATCGCTCTTTTCGATATGCTTTGTGGAGAAGAGCCGCCCGTTTGAGCCATTTCATCTTTTAACTGAAATTTCTTTATTCATTAGCATCAGTCTCTTCGAATAGCTTACTTGTATATGCAACTCTAAAGCTTTCTTGTCAGGAAAAGCCCAATTACAACATCGACACATGAACATGCGCGCCACTCCGTGTTGTGCATACATATGTCCACGCAATGTATCTGAGCCTAAAATTTACATTATTTCTTAGTCGATTTTTTTTTGGTTTAAAGATTCTATCTATTAGTTTAATATAGATTTTAACGATATTTCAAGCTTTTTTTGTTTATTTCTCTAATCAATTTGAGTGAGAAAAAGATGGAGAAAGAGAGAGAGAGAAAAAACCCCCGACAAGTACCAGTTCGCGTGCCACTGTTTGAACAGTGAAAGATTTCCACTTTCTCATTTCTCATCCCGTAACTTATTTTTCTAGTTTAAGAATAGAAAGCATAGAAAACTCGATCACCTATTTCTTTTCTTTGACGTTCCGAGTGGAAATCGGTTTCCCGGATGTCTGTGGCCTTTAGTTTTCGCTTTCGAGATCCGGCAAATCCGGCACTTTCAAATGCTCTCAAATATTCCCTTTTACGTTGAAGAATTCGGCAAACGTTTGACTTTGCAATCGAATATCTTTCAGCGATCGCCGCCTGACTCATCCCGGCATTCTCTTCAGCTAAACGAATCAACTGAACTTTCTCCTCGAGAGTCAACTCTTTGTATGGCTTTTTCTTGCGTCTTTCAGAAGATTCTTGATTGTGATAAGTGGATGAGCTTGATCCCGACCCTTCACTTAAATGTGTTTGATCGGGAAAGTCCGGATGCGATTGAAATCCAGCTGAAAGAACTGCAGCCAAAGCAAGGGCATATGAAGAGGAAACTTCAGAAGAGTCCATTGATCCAATTGATGTATTAAGAGTTGACTCGTGAATCACACTCTCATTCGAAATCAAAAGAGCATCAGACATGGCTTTGAATAAAGAATCCTAGTCTTGATGTGTAAGCATTATCTGCAAGTAAAACTAATAAATCATTAAGAAAGAAAAAATGAGAGCTTTGTTGAAGAAAAGAAAAAGGAGTGAATTGAAAGTGAGAGGAGGAGCGGTTTGTGAAATTTGGAACGGATGGCCCGATATCTAGCGGGTCGACAACGGGTCACCATTTCGATTCAGTTCACAATGGATTAAAGGAAAAGAGAAAATGAAAGAAAAGACAAAAGAGAAGACAAAAGACGAGATCACTCATGATGATATACCCAAAAAAAAGAGATAAATGAAAGAGAAAACAGACAAAACGATCACTATCGAACACTATCGCTGGAAGAAGTTTTGTAAGTTTTAATTTAAACTACTGAGAGATGATCTAAATGAACTAAAGGAAAACGGTGATTGAAAGGTAAGCGGAAGTGAGAGTTTGGGACTTCCCCTTACTTCTATTGCCCTATTGGGGTCAGTGAGTTTTCTCTATTTGATCTTTTTACTCTTTCTCAGGTAGCGCCTCTTTTTTTTTTCTTTAGCTGGCGGCAATCGAGAGAGTTGCGAGTTGTGTACAAAAGTTCCCCTTTTCTTAAAACGTTCAATTCCCCTTTTCACTTATTTACTCTAGTCCCCTTTCAGCTCACATTCAAATCGGTGAGTGATTTGTAAAAGAATTGGTAACTTTTAACTTTTAAAGCCAAAGATCAAAGACAAAGATACAAAAGTAACTAAAGCAAAAGCTTGAAAAATAGTTGAAAACTGTTTTGCCTGAATGTGAACTGTCGTCCGGGTTTGGGACTTTTAGGCATGAGTGATGAGAGACTGGCCTAGCCGAGCACCAACGGTCACTCACCATCCCCTCTCCCCCTTCATCATTGAATAAATCTGTATACGAGGCTGGGTCGAGTCTCTCTTTTCCCTCTCTCTCTCTCCTCTTCATCACTTGCTGCCCCTTTTCCCGCTTCAAAAAAATATTTCAATGTTTTGCAATGCGTGTGGTCAAGCGAATGCTATGTGCTTGGCTCTAATAGAAAAAAAATTTACAAATAGTTAAAGCTATTGTATAAAATTAGACTCTCTCCTATGACCAGATAAACTGAATTTGAACAGCACTCACTTTTGCTAGAGAAATACTTGTTTTTCTTGCATACTTTACTGACAATGAGACAAGAGACTAGGATTTTACACTCTAAGTCATATTAGGTTCACCGATAAGTCCTATCCGTTTTTGTGATTCGTTTTCTCGAAAATCTTGTCTATTTTTTGAGTGATTGCTCTGAAAGCTTGACTACAATTCTTGAGGTTTATAACTTCAGTAAGTTCAGTACAGTACAGTCTTCAGTACAGTAACTAAATTTTCAGAGCGATCTGTCAAAAAAACAGTGGAGATTTTTGAGAAAACGAATTGAAAAAGCGGAAAAACGGAAAAACGGAAAAAACGGTCGATAGGCCAACCTAATAGTAGCTAATGAAAACAAAATAAAAAGATGATCAGTTGTTAGAAGAAATTTGAATTCTAAAAAATCTTCCCAAAAGCCACAACTCTTGTATCAAGGATTTGAAGTGAATACCGTATTTTCTGTAATAGTAGTGCGCACTACTATTTTTTCAACCCCCCTCCAGCCTGCACTACTATTACAGACTGCACTACTATTATAGACTGCCCTACTATTACAGAAAATACGGTAACCGAAAGGCCGAAAGGAGGAAATGTGTCGGTAAGACGAACGTGGAGAGAAAATGGGAAAATGCTAAAAAGCGGAGGAAACGCTTCGGGTAAATTTCACTACAGTATGACTCAATGAAAAGACCTATACGATAGCCTTCCTTGCGCGACATTTTTACGACATTCTATTTTTTACCCTCAAGTCGCTCGTTTCGTATGACTAAGAGAGGGCTATCGTAAAGAGAGCAAATTTTTGTATATACAGGAAGCAAAAAAAAAAAGAAACCCCTTTGTTGAAAGGGCTAAGAAGGACTTTGTAAAAGGATAAAAGAAATGTTATTATGAACACGAGGCTTTTAAGAGATCGTTGATAAGTGATTGATACAAACAGATCACCCACAAACTATCAGCCAGTTATTAGCATCATCAAATAAACGCAAATCGTTTCTCTCGATCAGCCACTCTTTTTTTGTGTGCATAACTTTTCGCAAACCAGTTCCCAAAATGTTTACTAATTTTTTTTGGGTTATAAGAGCTAAACTGGTCATTTTTGGACAAACGTTCACATAAGGTTTTCCTTTTATTTCCCCTTTTCTCTTCATTTTTATTCCTTTAAGCTCCTCTCTCCTCTCCAATGTAACAAGTTTGTTTCGCTCAAAAAAAAAACGCACAGTGAAAGCCTATTTTTTTTTTTAAATTCCGGCTAGAAAGTGTGTCAATCCGGTCTGTTTCCGTTTTTGAAGCCAAAAATTTCCCTATTTTCAAGCAAGGGAACAATTCAGTGTTTTAAAAAAAAGTGATAAGTATTTCAGTGATAAGTATTACATATTTCAAAAAACTTCTGCATTTCATATACAAGTTGGATGGTGACTTTTTGTATAGAAAGTTGGTCATTTTTGTCAAAGAATGGTCATTTTTGTGTGTTCAGCTTGTGTCCACTTTTCCCTTGAGGGGGTCATTCTGAAATGGGCGCGTTCTGTGTGCGCTCATTTTTTTTTTTTTGCGTCCGATATTCAATCGTTTATGGGCAATGCGAGAAATCCGAGAGAATCTGGAAAGGACATGTACCACCAGGCACAATTCAAGAAGAAGAAGAAAAAATGCTTTCTTTTTTTTGTTACTTCTTGTTCATAATATCAACGGAATAAGAATCGTTAGAAATTAGACAACTAGACAACTAGATAACTAGTCAACTAGACAACTAGACAACTAGACAACTAGACAACTAGACAACTAGACAACTAGTCAACTAGACAACTAGTCAACTAGACAACTAGACAACTATACAACTAGACAACTAGACAACTATACAACTAGACAACTATACAACTAGACAACTAGTCAACTAGACAACTAGTCAACTAGACAACTAGACAACTAGACAACTAGTCAACTAGACAACTAGATAACTAGTCAACTAGACAACTAGATAAAAGTAATGTAAAATAGAAAGAAAACATGATTGTGACGTCATAATAATTTAGATGTTTAATTCTTTGTTCAACACTTCATTTCAAAATGTTACAAAGTATTTGAAGACTTTCTATCAGATTTTCTATCAGCTAAAATTTTCCCAAAGTAAATGACCGAGATCTTTGACATCTTTAAAGATCTTTGACAATTTATTTGCAATCCCTTATTGGAATTTTTAAGAAACTGAAAGAGTAGCAAGTTTTCACTAACATGCGGAGAAGGGGATTGAGAATTGAGAAGAGAAAAAGGAGGGGAACGGTGAAAACATATGGGTCAAGCCTTTCCTTTTCTCGGGGGCAAAGTGAAAGCGCTCAACCGCTCACCACTTTTCCTTTCTTTTTTTTGTACAATAACGAAACACTGAGTGAGTAGAGGGGATTGTACCGAAGATCATGGAGTGGAAGTAAATGATGTTTTCTGATGTAAAGCTATAAAGTTGATGCTTAGTCATGGATTTGATCAAAAGAAAAGATTAACAGCTTGCATTGGCAACAGCTTCATAGGTGCAGATTTACAAATTCTCTATCTGATAGGCGAGATTTTAAACAAAAAGTTCAACTTAAAGATCCGAATAAGGTTTTTTAGGGATTAGTAATCAGGAAAATGAATCAACGATGAGGAAATCTTAAAAAATTGATAGTTTTTGATGATTTAGCTTTAGAAATGCTACCCGTTTTATCCGTTTTATCCGTTTAAACACTTGAAAATACTCGAGATCTTCATTTTTATCAAAATCTTTCTTCATTTATCTTTTTATCTTTTTATCTATATTTTTAGAAAGCTATACAGTCCTTAAATACAGTACTCAAATAATAATTTTTAAAGAAAAATGATCCAAACTTACTTTTGATTTCTTTGTTGCAAATTGTACAGTGATAGTGCGAGAAATGGATCTGCATTCGATGACGAGAAAGTGACGATGAATGACAGAAAACTTTTGAGCAAAGTGAGCATGGATAAGTACCTGAAGAAGTTTTCGTAGATGTTACCGTAAATACTGTAATAGTACCTAAAAGCACATACCGTAAATACTGTAATAGTACCCCCCTCGTACAGTCGCGTAGTCGCAAAAGTAGTTTTCAGTATTTCATTTTTTTCAAAGCACCCGTACTTTCAAAAAATGCGTCTTTGGTATCAAAAAAATAGCTGAAATTCAGGGCTATTTTTTGACACCATTGTAAGCGCGCATTGTAGCATAAACCAGTGTCGAGAAAAACTCGTTCAAAGCTAGACTACGCAACGCTCCGCACCGTCATTATGGGGGTGGGGTACTATTACAGTATTTACGGTAGGTCGAATTTGTTTGATTTACCTTTTAGATCCGGTCTCTTCAAATCCTTCTCCTCAACAGATCCGTCCGATGGAGAATTATTTCCAAAATCTGAAATTCTTCACACTTTCACACAAATTTTTTCTCAAACCTTCATCAGCTTCAAATTTTAGATTCATTTTTAACATTAATGGATGGTAGAAAGGATTGTTGTTGTTGTTGTTGTTTTTTTCGATTAACATTTCCTAAAGCATCTAATAGAAATCTTTCTTTAATCAGTCAAACCTTTGCCTGAAAGTTTGTAAGTAATGCTCGAGGATTTTCCATAAATTTCGAATTTTAGAAGATCGATCAAATGTTTGTATCTAAAAGCTAATAGTAGAGAAAATGATAGAATAATTCAGTAAAGATTTTTTTTTCAAAAAGAGAATATTTTTGATTGAAATTGAAAAATTATGTAGAGATTAATGAAAGAAAAAGATCTTTTTAAAGATTTTCTTTTTTGCCTTTCAAAAGAAAAGATAGGATTTATAAAGAGAGGAAATGAAATGTTTAAAACTACACCTACACACTCAGCGATTC